TTACTTGTGATATGGGGTGTGTGTATCTGTTCACTCTGACCTACATCTGTCTCCTACAGTATTAGTCATATGAACTTGTTACTTGTGATATGGGGTGTGTGTATCTGTTCACTCTGACCTACATCTGTCTCCTACAGTATTAGTCACTGTAACTTGTTACTTGTGATATGGGGTGTGTGTATCTGTTCACTCTGACCTACATCTGTCTCCTACAGTATTAGTCACTGTAACTTGTTACTTGTGATATGGGGTGTGTGTATCTGTTCACTCTGACCTACATCTGTCTCCTACAGTATTAGTCACTGTAACTTGTTACTTGTGATATGGGTAGATCTTGGTGAGGGGTGTGTCTGTTCACTCTGACCTACATCTGTCTCCTACAGTATTAATCACTGTAACTTGTTACTTGTGATATGGGTAGATCTTGGTGAGGGGTGTGTCTGTTCACTCTGACCTACATCTGTCTCCTACAGTATTAATGACTGTAACTAGTTACTTGTGATATGGGTAGATCTTGGTGAGGGGTGTGTCTGTTCACTCTGACCTACATCTGTCTCCTACAGTATTAATCACTGTAACTTGTTACTTGTGATATGGGGTGTGTGTATCTGTTCACTCTGACCTACATCTGTCTCCTACAGTATTAATCACTGTAACTTGTTACTTGTGATATGGGGTGTGTGTATCTGTTCACTCTGACCTACATCTGTCTCCTACAGTATTAATCACTGTAACTTGTTACTTGTGATATGGGGTGTGTGTATCTGTTCACTCTGACCTACATCTGTCTCCTACAGTATTAGTCACATGAACTTGTTACTTGTGATATGGGGTGTGTGTATCTGTTCACTCTGACCTACATCTGTCTCCTACAGTATTAGTCACATGAACTTGTTACTTGTGACATGGGTAGATCTTGGTGAGGGGTGTATCTGTTCACTCTGACCTACATCTGTCTCCTACAGTATTAGTCACATGAACTTGTTACTTGTGATATAGGTAGATCTTGGTGAGGGGTGTGTCTGTTCACTCTGACCTACATCTGTCTCCTGCAGTATTAGTCACTGTAACTTGTTACTTGTGATATGGGGTGTGTGTATCTGTTCACTCTGACCTACATCTGTCTCCTACAGTATTAGTCACTGTAACTTGTTAACGGCATGGTTATACTTGCAGTGAATTCTTAACATATAATTTCTAATTTGATTGGGGATGTAGTGTCTTGTTTCATCATATAACAACCTCTTTCTCAACAATATACAGACATTAATGTGACACAGAACTTTTTTAATTGATGGGATGAGGAAAGTTTTTCAATTTACTTATTCAAGGATTAAAATGTTTTAAATTTCCTGTTTTATTTTATTCAAGAAACTTTGGAACTTCAGATGAGCTGTTTTTTTATCATTCTAACCATATTAACAGAAATAGTGATTAATTATGTTAACCGGGATTGTAACTAATGTTCTTTCATAGTAACCATCATTAGGATAGCTAGGGACCAGTTAGATTTATCATCTGTTCTCTGGTTAGGTATCAACTTTAGATATCATTGTTTACAGAGATCAGCGTTATAAATCATTGTTTACAGAAATCAGCATTATATATCATTGTTTACAGAAATCAGCATTATATATCATTGTTTACAGAAATCAGCATTATATATCATTGTTTACAGAAATCAGCATTATATATCATTGTTTACAGAAATCAGCATTAAATATCATTGTTTACAGAAATCAGCATTAAATATCATTGTTTACAGAAATCAACATCATATATCATTGTTTACAGAGATCAGCATTATATATCATTGTTTACAGAAATCAGCATTAAATATCATTGTTTACAGAAATCAGCATGAAATATCATAGTTTATAGAAATCACCATTATATATCATTGTTTACAGAAATCAACATTATATATCATTGTTTACAGAGATCAGCATTATATATCATTGTTTACAGAAATCAGCATTATATATCATTGTTTACAGAGATCAGCATTATATATCATTGTTTACAGAAATCAGCATTATATATCATTGTTTACAGAAATCAGCATGAAATATCATAGTTTATAGAAATCACCATTATATATCATTGTTTACAGAAATCAACATTATATATCATTGTTTACAGAAATCAGCATTAAACATCATTGTTTACAGAAATCAACATCATATATCATTGTTTACAGAAATCAGCATTATATATCATTGTTTACAGAAATCAACATTATATATCATTGTTTACAGAAATCAGCATTAAATATCATTGTTTACAGAAATCAACATTATATATCATTGTTTACAGAAATCAACATTATATATCATTGTTTACAGAAATCAGCATTAAATATCATTGTTTACAGAAATCAACGTTATAAATCATTGTTTACAGAAATCAGCATTAAATATCATTGTTTACAGAAATCAGCATTATATATCATTGTTTACAGAAATCAGCATTATATGTCATTGTTTACAAAAATCAACATTATATATCATTGTTTACAGAAATCAGCATTAAATATCATTGTTTACAGAAATCAACATTATATATCATTGTTTACAGAAATCAACATTATATATCATTGTTTACAGAAATCAGCATTAAATATCATTGTTTACAGAAATCAACATCATATATCATTGTTTACAGAAATCAGCATTATATATCATTGTTTACAGAAATCAGCATTGTGTTCAGTGATCAATTTTAAATATCATTGTGTTCAGCGATCAATTTTAAATATCATTGTGTTCAGGGGTCCAATTTAAATATCATTGTGTTCAGGGATCAAATTTAAATATTGTCTTCAGCAATCAATTTTAAATATCATTGTGTTCAGCGATCAACTTTGAATATCATTGTGTTCAGCAATCAACTTTAAATATCATTGTGTTCAGCTATCAACTTTAAATATCACTGTGTTCAGGGATCAGCATTAAATATCATTGTGTCAGCGATCAACTTTAAATATCATTGTGTCAGCGATCAACTTTAAATATCATTGTGTCAGCGATCAACTTTAAATATCATTGTGTCAGCAATCAACTTTAAATATCATTGTGTTCAGGGATCAACTTTAAATATCATTGTGTCAGCGATCAACTTTAAATATCATTGTGTCAGCGATCAGCATTAAATATCATTGTGTCAGCGATCAACTTTAAATATCATTGTGTCAGCGATCAACTTTAAATATCATTGTGTTCAGCAATCAACTTTAAATATCACTGTGTTCAGGGATCAACTTTTAATATCATGTTTAAATAATACATGTGTGTCTATTTGGCTATCCAGGTATACCTGTTACAACCTCACATTACATTTATGTGTGTCTGTTCTAGCTATCCAGGTATACATTGGTCTGTTCTAGGTATCCAGATATACAAAATACATGTGTGTCTGTTCTGGGTATCCAGGTATACAAAATACATGTGTGTCTGTTCTAGGTATCTAGGTATACAAAATACATGTGTGTCTGTTCTGGGTATCCAGGTATACAAAATACATGTGTGTCTGTTCTAGGTATCCAGGTATACAAAATACATGTGTGTCTGTTCTGGGTATCCAGGTATACAAAATACATGTGGTGTGTCTGTTCTGGGTATCCAGGTATACAAAATACATGTGGTGTGTCTGTTCTGGGTATCCAGGTATACAAAATACATGTGTGTCTGTTCTGGGTATCCAGGTATACAAAATACATGTGTGTCTGTTCTAAGTATCCAGGTATACAAAATACATGTGGTGTGTCTGTTCTGGGTATCCAGGTATACAAAATACATGTGTGTCTGTTCTGGGTATCCAGGTATACAAAATACATGTGGTGTGTCTGTTCTAGGTATCCAGGTATACAAAATACATGTGGTGTGTCTGTTCTGGGTATCCAGGTATACAAAACACATGTGTGTCTGTTCTAGGTATCTAGGTATACAAAATACATGTGTGTCTGTTCTAGGTATCCAGGTATACAAAATACATGTGTGTCTGTTCTAGGTATCCAGGTATACAAAACACATGTGTGTCTGTTCTAGGTATCTAGGTATACAAAATACATGTGTGTCTGTTCTAGGTATCCAGGTATACAAAATACATGTGTGTCTGTTCTAGGTATCCAGGTATACAAAATACATGTGTGTCTGTTCTGGGTATCCAGGTATACAAAATACATGTGGTGTGTCTGTTCTGGGTATCCAGGTATACAAAATACATGTGGTGTGTCTGTTCTGGGTATCCAGGTATACAAAATACATGTGGTGTGTCTGTTCTGGGTATCCAGGTATACAAAATACATGTGTGTCTGTTCTAGGTATCTAGGTATACAAAATACATGTGTGTCTGTTCTAGGTACCCAGGTATACAAAATACATGTGGTGTGTCTGTTCTGGGTATCCAGGTATACAAAATACATGTGGTGTGTCTGTTCTGGGTATCCAGGTATACAAAATACATGTGGTGTGTCTGTTCTAGGTATCTAGGTATACAAAATACATGTGTGTCTGTTCTAGGTATCTAGGTATACAAAATACATGTGTGTCTGTTCTAGGTACCCAGGTATACAAAATACATGTGGTGTGTCTGTTCTGGGTATCCAGGTATACAAAATACATGTGGTGTGTCTGTTCTGGGTATCCAGGTATACAAAATACATGTGGTGTGTCTGTTCTAGGTATCTAGGTATACAAAATACATGTGTGTCTGTTCTAGGTATCCAGGTATACAAAATACATGTGTGTCTGTTCTAGGTATCCAGGTATACAAAATACATGTGTGTCTGTTCTAGGTATCCAGGTATACAAAATACATGTGTGTCTGTTCTAGGTATCCAGGTATACAAAATACATTGGTCTGTTCTTGGTATCCACGTATACAAATACATGTGTGTCTGTTCTCCAGATCTACCACTCATGACCTCTTAATAGTGTGTTAGTGTGACACATTTTGCCAGACTATTTAACTGTTGATTTTTACATTTTACCTACATACAGGTGGTATCGGAGCATGTTGACCTGATGGGAGCCAGTGAAAACTTTGAGAGAACCATCAGTAATTTTGATTCCAACTTCTCACGACTTCTGTTGGAGCTTCTGGAGAAAATAATGGATTTCAGTTGTATCAGTGGCGAGTTCAAACTCTTCAACATCTTATACAGGTAACACTAGCATACCTGTATGTACAGGTAACACTAGCATGCATACCTGTATGTACAGGTAACACTAGCATACCTGTATGTACAGGTAACACATTCTATCAAACCTGCACATTCTGGTAGCACATACTATTATACCTGTATGTTCAGGTAACACTAGCATACCTGTATGTACAGGTAACACTAGCATGTATACCTGTATGTTCAGGTAACACTAGCATACCTGTCTGTACAGGTAACACATTCTTTCATACCAAAATGTTCAGGTAACACATATTATCATCATCAAAGTTTTTACCCTCTAAAGGCTGCCTTGGACTTAAACCACAAGAGAAAGAGCCCACAAAGTTTCTATGTCTTACAGTATCATATGTGTATGTATAGGTACCTGTATACAATGTAACTTTGTATGTAGATGTACACATATGTGTATGTATAGGTACCTGTATACAATGTAACTTTGTATGTAGATGTACACATATGTGTATGTATAGGTACCTGTATACAATGTAACTTTGTATGTAGATGTACACATATGTGTATGTATAGGTACCTGTATACAATGTAACTTTGTATGTAGATGTACACATATGTGTATGTATAGGTACCTGTATACAATGTAACTTTGTATGTAGATGTACACATATGTGTATGTATAGGTACCTGTATACATTGTAACTTTGTATGTAGATGTACACATATGTGTATGTATAGGTACCTGTATACATTGTAACTTTGTATGTAGATGTACACATATGTGTATGTATAGGTACCTGTATACAATGTAACTTTGTATGTAGATGTACACATATGTGTATGTATAGGTACCTGTATACAATGTAACTTTGTATGTAGATGTACACATATGTGTATGTATAGGTACCTGTATACAATGTAACTTTGTATGTAGATGTACACATATGTGTATGTATAGGTACCTGTATACATTGTAACTTTGTATGTAGATGTACACATATGTGTATGTATAGGTACCTGTATACAATGTAACTTTGTATGTAGATGTACACATATGTGTATGTATAGGTACCTGTATACATTGTAACTTTGTATGTAGATGTACACATATGTGTATGTATAGGTACCTGTATACAATGTAACTTTGTATGTAGATGTACACATATGTGTATGTACAGGTACCTGTATACATTGTAACTTTGTATGTAGATGTACACATATGTGTATGTACAGGTACCTGTATACAATGTAACTTTGTATGTATATGTACACATGTGTATGTACAGGTACCTGTATACAATGTAACTTTGTATGTAGATGTACACATATGTGTATGTATAGGTCCCTGTATACATTGTAACTTTGTATGTAGATGTACACATATGTGTATGTACAGGTACCTGTATACATTGTAACTTTGTATGTAGATGTACACATATGTGTATGTACAGGTACCTGTATACATTGTAACTTTGTATGTAGATGTACACATATGTGTATGTACAGGTACCTGTATACAATGTAACTTTGTATGTAGATGTACACATATGTGTATGTACAGGTGCCTGTATACAATGTAACTTTGCATGTATATGTACACATGTGTATGTACATGTACCTGTATTCAATAAACTTTGTATGTAGGTGTACACATATGTGTATGTACACGTACCTGTATACAATGTAACTTTATATGTAGATGTACACATATGTGTATGTACAGGTACCTGTATACAATGTAACTTTGTATGTAGATGTACACATATTGTAATAATATCATACACACTACCAATATCTATAACAATATTCAGAGGTGACACTGAGATATAGTTTACTGTTATACTGTGATACATTGGCTGGACAAGAGCTACCTCTTTAGTTAGTCTTCTACTTGGAGCCAGGGGGTCTCTTAGCTTTGTGTAGTGTCTGTTTGTCCTTCCTCTCTCTTGTCTGGGCTCTGTCTCACATTTCTTGTCAATGGAACTTTGTACTTGGTATATAGACTCAACATGGTGAGGCAGTATTTCATGTATTAAAGTAGGTCTCTGACCAACATGTTGACCTTTGACCTACATCAAAGAAAACATTTATCTGGGCTCATTCTTCTATACTGCTGGTCAATTGAACTTCATACCAGGGATATGGTTTACCTGGGTGAGGTGTATCATGTATCAAAAGTAAGTCACTCTGACCTATAATTTGACCTTTGACCATCATTGAAGAGTTTGTCTGGGATCTTCTTTCCTACACTACTGATCTCTGGAAATTCATATTTGGGGTATGAGTTTACTTGATGAGGTATATGTCTGTAGAGGACTGCAATTCACTGAATCGTCTTGTTCTATTACAGACTTGACTTTAATGGATTTTACACAGAGAAGTTAGAAGCCATGTCGGCAGAAAAGGCTATGCTGGAATCATCTACCCACAGTTCTGAGTCAGGTAAGGTGATGCTGGAGTCATCTACCCACAGTTCTGAGTCAGGTAAGGCCATGCTGGAGTCATCTACCCACAGTTCTGAGTCAGGTAAGGCCATGCTGGAGTCATCTACCCACAGTTCTGAGTCAGGTAAGGCCATGCTGGAGTTATCTACCCACAGTTCTGAGTCAGGTAAGGCCATGCTGGAATCATCTACCCACAGTTCTGAGTCAGGTAAGGCCATGCTGGAGTTATCTACCCACAGTTCTGAGTCAGGTAAGGCCATGCTGGAGTTATCTACCCACAGTTCTGAGTCAGGTAAGTTGACACACGAAGTACCCACCCAAGTTCTGTGTGGTTAAAGGCATGCTGAGGTGATTTACACTCAGTTTCAAGTCAGGTAAGTCCACACTCCAGTCAACTATTCACAGTTCTGAGTCGGGTAAGGCTAAGCTTGAGTCATCTACCTAGTTCTGAGTCTGATAAGGCCATGCTTGAGTCATTTACTTACAGTTCTAAGCAAATAAGAAATACTTCTAACCGATAAATTAGATTTGTTTAGATGTTAGATGTTAAGATAGTACTTACAAAATATCAAACAGATCTTCATCATCGTTGCTGATATAATAGTATGACATTGATCTTTGATTTGCAGGTTCAGGATCATGGCCGACCACATTCACGTCCCAACGCCCTGACTCTGCTCGCTATGTCCCAGGGATGCACCGACCAGGTGCAGTGAATGGTTCATCATGACCGGTCCGGTATGACCACCACAAACATCCGAGCTTTCTCTCAACAACACAGCATCCCCTTAATACCATAGCAATATGAGGATCTTTATTTCTTAGGTATTGGAACAGTGGGGGAAATAATTGCTTTTGTTGAAACTCTACCAGCCAGGGATGGCTTGTCTGTGTGGTATTGAGACTTTATGAGTCAGGTTCTGTTTACCTGTGTGGTGTTGTGATACCAAGTCAGCCACTGTTTACCTCAGTGAAGCAATTTGACTCTACAAGCGTAGTGCTATTAACTTCACTGTGTCTCTACAAGCCAGGTGCTGTTAACCCTAATGTGACATGTGTGATAGCGGCATTGTGATACTGGCAGGGGTTACTGAATAGCATGGTAACAAGATGTGTGACTTGATGCTTGGATCACAGAGATATACGACGTATCGTTTAGATTTGTGGTTAGGGTTGTCGTAATTATCCAGAAAAATATCTTCAGGCTTAGCTTTGTGTATTCTAATAAGCATGTAATGGTGTCAAATAGCTCTGATGATGAATAAATTATTGAAGCTAGTTTTGTGTTTCAGATTTTTATGACAATATCTGTCTTTATTTTAATTGCAAAATTATGGATGCAGACTGAAAGCCTAGAAAATCCACATCAAATAAATGTATAAAGGTATTAGGGGTGTAATGAGAAATCCATATTAAATAAATGTATAAAGGTATTAGGGGTGTAATGAGAAATCCATATTAAATAAATGTATAAAGGTATTAGGGGTGTAATGAGAAGAAAAAATCAAACATCAACAAAACATGAATATTGAAGTAGTCTTTTGTTAAACATGTCCATGATGTTGATATCATGTCTTTTGTTAACAATGTCCATGATGTTGATGTCACATCTTCTGTTAACAATGTCCATGATGTTGATGTCACATCTTCTGTTAACAATGTCCATGATGTTGATGTCACATCTTCTGTTAACAATGTCCATGATGTTGATGTCACGTCTTCTGTTAACAATGTCCATGATGTTGATGTCACATCTTCTGTTAACAATGTCCATGATGTTGATGTCATGTCTTTTGTTAAACATGTCCATGATGTTGATGTCACATCTTCTGTTAACAATGTCCATGATGTTGATGTCACATCTTCTGTTAACAATGTCCATGATGTTGATGTCACATCTTCTGTTAACAATGTCCATGATGTTGATGTCACATCTTCTGTTAACAATGTCCATGATGTTGATGTCACATCTTCTGTTAACAATGTCCATGATGTTGATGTCACATCTTCTGTTAACAATGTCCATGATGTTGATGTCACATCTTCTGTTAACAATGTCCATGATGTTGATATCACATCTTCTGTTAACAATGTCTATGATGTTGATGTCATGTTATAAGATGTTTAATCTATACTAAAAGTATCCAGTGTTGACACAGCTTCCCAAGAAGTTGAGTTTTATACAGTGATTGCAGTACATCTGAGTTATGTACATACGATTTAGTATTGAATATTGATGCAACAATTTCTGAAGTTAACTTGTTTCTTATGTACTTTCACTTTTGTCTACTTAAGTTTCCATTCTAATTACAGGTGTAACTTTATCACAAAACTTTCCTATAATTCTGTAGAATAAGAAATGTTTGTTTATACTTTCTGTCATGGTTTAAGCCTGAGACATTATTTCAAGGATAAAAATATTTGTAGATTCCACACAAGTGTACTCATAGTTATGTCATATAAAGTTGTATTCATCGTATTTTATTTTCACGGCTTGTCTATATCAGCAGCCATGAAAGTTACCAACATTTAAACACAATGAACATCTTCTATAGTAGAGAGACAAGAAATTGTACAAATAGAATTACAAAGATGATTATAAAGAAAAAACTTTTGGTGTAAAGAAAATATTTATTACTACAAATGGCAATGTAAACAAATAAAAAAAATTTAAAACGGTGTAAATAAATAAGACAAATATACAGTAGCACCTTTATCTCTGATGTGATATCCTCATTAAATGGCCTTTATGTAAGCTTTGGTCTACATCAGTATTACGATGGCCCACACACTCCTTGATATGCCTCTATTACAGTGTTTATACACTCACTTATGCTCTGGCACTGTTTTCAAAGTATATACACATATTTATACTAAAGTGCTGCATAATTTCTTTTCCATAGGACATAAACACATTTATATTAAAGCACTTTAATAAATGCTTTAATTCAATTTAGCTAGAAAGCTTTGCTTATTCAAATCTCATTCATGGAAAGATAATCTCTTAATGCATTTGATGCTATCAATAAAATACCTGGTCATAATTTTAAGTATCTCGTTAAATGAATTGCTTGTGGCACTTCAACAGGATCTGAGGATGTAAACTTGATTAACGAAGATAAAAGTGATTTAGATGGAAACTTGCTTTCGACCACGCCTCCTTTTATTCTTGCGTCCTTTCCTCCTTGACTTGCGATGCTTCCTCCTTTTCAGCTTTGCCTGTCTGGAATAATCCATTGCTTGGGGGTGTTTTTGATTTCTGGAAGATTCCACAGCTGGGGGATGTTGTTGATCATTGGAAGGTTCAACTTCCTCCACTGGTCTTTGGCCGCCATTTCTCTTGTCAGATTCCTTTGAAATTTGGGGATCATTGTATTGGTCAGATGTGGACACTTCTGACAAAACCTGGTCAGCAGATCCTTGGAGTTGGTCTTTGGATGTCTGTGGCTGGTCCTTGGATGTCTGTGGCTGGTCTGTGGATGCACCATGTGATGATACTGTCTCCATATCTCTGGTCAACTCATCATCATCATCATCATCATCATCATCATCATCATCATCATCATCATCATCATCATCATCATCATCACCATCATCATCAGCATCATCATCATCATCATCATCATCATCATCATCATCATCATCATCATCATCACCATTATCATCAGCATCATCATCTTCTTCATTGTTTCTACTAGTGTTTTCCTCAGTATTGATATTTCCATCCTCAATATCAGAAGTTTTATCCTCAGCATCAGTTTCTGTTTCTTCCTCAGAGCTATCCATACTATCATCATCATCATCATCATCATCATCATCATCATCATCATCATCATCATCATCATCATCATCATCATCATCATCATCATCATCATGGTTATCGTCATCTCTCTCCTCATCGCCACCCTCTACATCAGTCACCGTGGTCATTTCATCAGTGGCTGTTATGACTGGGAAGTTATCTGAGTTTTTCCTGATATTTGGAGACTGTTCCTCCAACCTTTCTAGTCCAGAATCCTGGGTGTCTTCATCAACATGACCCTTTGGTCTTTGGTCTTCATCTTCAGCTACTGGGGGAGGCCTGCAAAAAAATAACAAGAGATACTTTAGTAAGTGAAGGCAAGAAAAAAATAACTAAAATAACTAGCTGGTCTGTGATTTAATGAGCTTGTGTGAGACCCTATATTATCATTCTTGACTCTCTTAATTGCGGAAACATTACTTTAAAATGTAATTCAATTAAAATACCAATTAATCTTTCTATACAAAACTACATCCTGGTACAGTGCTAATGATATATAGCTTTCTATAACTTATCTCCATCTATCATATTTTGAAAGAACTGATAGCTAGTTTACAGCATATATTCACCAAATAGAGAGAGTGGTGCTGTTCGAATGAGAGGAAATTTTTATCAGCTGATGCTGGGGGTTATGAAGTGATAGCAAGGAGTGATTGGCAATAAGTGAGGATGTAAATGGTGGTTTTTTTATGATAGATCAGAGCATGTATATGGTGATATTGGTTTGCATATGGTGGTGGTCATTCATATATGGTGGTGTTAATTTGTATATGATGGTGATCGTTTGTATATGGTGGTGTTTGTTTGTATATGGTGGTGTTAATTTGTATATGGTGGTGTTTGTATATGATGGTGTTAATTTGTATATGGTGGTGTTTGTATATGATGGTGTTTGTATATGGTGGTGTTCGTTTGTATATGGTGGTGTTTGTATATAAAGGTGTTCATTTGTATATGGTGGTGTTAGTTTTATACGGTGGTGTTTGTTTGTGTATGGTGGTGTTAATTTGTATATGGTGGTGTTAGTTTTATACGGTGATGTTTGTTTGTGTATGGTGGTGTTAATTTGTATATGGTGGTGTTAATTTGTATATGGTGGTGTTTGTATATGGTGGTGTTCATTTGTATATGGTGGTGTTTGTTTGTATATGGTGGTGTTCGTTTGTATATGGTGGTGTTTGTATATAAAGGTGTTCATTTGTATATGGTGGTGTTAGTTTTATACGGTGGTGTTTGTTTGTATATGGTGGTGTTCGTTTGTATATGGTGGTGTTTGTATATAAAGGTGTTCATTTGTATATGGTGGTGTTCGTTTGTATATGGTGGTGTTTGTATATAAAGGTGTTCATTTGTATATGGTGGTGTTAGTTTTATACGGTGGTGTTTGTTTGTATATGGTGGTGTTCGTTTGTATATGGTGGTGTTTGTATATAAAGGTATTCATTTGTATATGGTGGTGTTAGTTTTATACGGTGGTGTTCGTTTGTATATGTTGGTGTTTGTATATAAAGGTGTTCATTTGTATATGGTGGTGTTAGTTTTATACGGTGGTGTTTGTTTGTATATGGTGGTGTTAATTTGTATATGGTGGTGTTTGTATATGGTGGTGTTCATTTGTATATGGTGGTGTTTGTACATGGTAGTGTTCATTTGTATATGGTGGTGTTTGTATATGATGGTGTTCATTTGTATATGGTGGTGTTTGTATATGGTGGTGTTCATTTGTATATGGTGGTGTTTGTATATAAAGGTGTTCATTTGTATATGGTGGTGTTAGTTTTATACGGTGGTGTTTGTTTGTATATGGTGGTGTTCGTTTGTATATGGTGGTGTTTGTATATAAAGGTATTCATTTGTATATGGTGGTGTTAGTTTTATACGGTGGTGTTCGTTTGTATATGTTGGTGTTTGTATATAAAGGTGTTCATTTGTATATGGTGGTGTTAGTTTTATACGGTGGTGTTTGTTTGTATATGGTGGTGTTAATTTGTATATGGTGGTGTTTGTATATGGTGGTGTTCATTTGTATATGGTGGTGTTAGTTTTATACGGTGGTGTTTGTTTGTATATGGTGGTGTTAATTTGTATATGGTGGTGTTTGTATATGGTGGTGTTCATTTGTATATGGTGGTGTTTGTACATGGTAGTGTTCATTTGTATATGGTGGTGTTTGTATATGATGGTGTTCATTTGTATATGGTGGTGTTTGTATATGGTGGTGTTCATTTGTATATGGTGGTGTTCGTTTGTATATGGTGTTCATTTGTATATGGTGGTGTTCATTTGTATATGGTGGTGTTTGTATATGGTGGTGTTCATTTGTATATAGTGGTGTTTGTACATGGTAGTGTTCATTTGTATATGGTGGTGTTTGTATATGATGGTGTTCATTTGTATATGGTGGTGTTCATTTGTATATGGTGGCGTTCATTTGTATATGGTGATGTTAATTTGTATATGGTGGTGTTTGTATATGGTGGTGTTCATTTGCATGTGGTGGTGTTCGTTTTTATATGGTGGTGTTTGTATATGATGGTGTTCGTTTGTATATGGTGGTGTTTGTATATGGTGGTGTTCATTTGTATATGGTGGTGTTCATTTGTATATGGTGTTCATTTGTATATGGTGGTGTTCATTTGTATATGGTGGTGTTCATTTGTATATGGTGGTGTTCGTTATGACAGATGTGGTACATAGGAAGTTGTATATCACCTTGAAAAAGTAAGCAATATGAGAAACTCCAGTAAGCAGTTTATGGAAGTTTGATAACGTGCATTTGTATTTTAGCTAAAAATAGACACAATGATGATGATGTGTGATGATGTATGGCTTTATAGGGATGAGAATATAAATCATTACCTTGTAACTTTAGCTCATTTTTCAAAATTAAAGATTATTTTCCAACTTTATAGAGTTCTGACCCCAGATCATGCGGAGTGGTTGTGTTATCCTGCGTGACGCATGCAGATTCAATCCATAAAGGTGAATGCTACTATCATGTCCTCTTTCAGGTACTTTGTCCATCTTATAATTAGGTTCCAAGAGTGTTTTGTTGACTATATTTTTGAAGTTGATATTTTTATCAATTTGCTTTCGATGATGAAACTGATTTGCTAGGTACATCTCAGTTGATGAGAAATTATCATCTAATGTGTAAAGTTTCTTTGCTTGCTGTTGGGCTCTTGTCACTAGATGTTGAAGTTTTAAAATTGTTTTCCTGTTTCGTGGACAAACTTTTTGGCGAGAATGAAGTAATGAATTGATGGAAACCAAATAAGATGTTATTGGCTTCAGGCTGTTCATCCAGCGACGCCCATTAACCGAACTGTAAATTTAAATTAGTTTTATTAACTGAAATAGTTTGCAGATAACTGTTGGAAACTATAATCAGGGCAACTGCTACCTATCTCAATACATAACATCTCTGACATTATATCTGGATACATACAATGAATAAATAATAAGCTTGGGTAAAGTAGTAAGTGTCTGTAGGCTTAATTCTGTTGTTAAGGATAAATTAGAGCTTTATTACGAGGTACTCAAGCTGACCTTAGTAACTGTATTTTTCCTGAAATAACCCAAACACATTACCTCTGGATTTGGAGGTGAAGATGTGGTTATAAAAGATATCACATTTGTTATGGAATTGTAATAGATGTGGGTGACCTTGTAACCAAACATGGATGCAATAAGTAGAGAAAAACCAGTTTCTAACAGATCACTAACCTGACCAGTCTCTGACAGATCACTAACCTGACCGGTTTCTGACAGATCAATAGCCTTGCCAGTTTCTGACAGATCACTAACCTGACCAGTTTCTTACAGATCACTAACCTGACCAGTTTCTTACAGATCACTAACCTGACCAGTTTCTGACAGATCACTAACCTTACCGGTTTCTGACAGATCACTAACCTGACCGGTTTCTGACAGATCACTAACCTGGCCAGTCTCTGACAGATCACTAACCTAACCAGTCTCTGACAGATCAATAACCTGACCAGTTTCTGACAGATCACTAAACTGACCAGTTTCTCACAGATCACTAACCTGACCAGTTTCTGACAGATCACTAACCTGACCAGTCTCTGACAGATCACTAACCTGACCAGTTTCTGACAGATCACTAACCTGGCCAGTTTCTGACAGATCACTAACCTGGCCAGTCTCTGACAGATCACTAAACTGACCAGTTTCTCACAGATCACTAACCTGACCAGTTTCTGACAGATCACTAACCTGACCAGTCTCTGACAGATCACTAACCTGACCGGTTTGACAGATCACTAACCTGCCCAGTTTCTGACAGATCACTAGCCTGACCAGCTTCTGACAGATATCTTACCTGACCAGTTTCTGACAGATCACTAACCTTGCCAGTTTCTGACAGATCACTAAACTGACCAGTTTCTGACAGATCACTAACCTGGCCAGTTTCTTACAGATCACTAACCTGGCCAGTTTCTGACAAATCACTAACCTTGCCAGTTTCTGACAGATCACTAACCTGATCAGTTTCTTACAGATCACTAACCTGATCAGTCTCTTACAAATCACTAACCTGACCAGTTTCTGACAGATCACTAACCTGACCAGTTTCTGACAGATCACTAACCTGACCAGTCTCTGACAGATCACTAACCTGACCAGTTTCTGACAGATCACTAACCTGACCAGTTTCTGACAGATCACTAACCTTACCGGTTTCTGACAGATCACTAACCTGACTGGTTTCTGACAGATCACTAACCTGACCAGTCTCCGACAGATCACTAACCTGACCAGTTTCTGACAGATCACTAACCTGACCAGTTTCTGACAGATCACTAACCTGACCAGTCTCTGACAGATCACTAACCTGACCAGTTTCTGACAGATCACTAACCTGACCAGTCTCTGACAAATCACTAACTTGACCAGTCTCTGACAGATCACTAACCTGACCAGTTTCTGACAGATCACTTACCTGACCAGTTTCTCACAGATCACTAACCTGACCAGATCACTAACCTTCTGACAGATCACTAACCTGACCAGTTTCTGACAGTTTCAGTCTCTGACAGATCACTAAACCAGTTTGATCACTAACCTGACCAGTTTCTGACAGATCACTAACCTGACCAGTCTCTGACAAATCACTAACCTGACCAGTCTCTGACAGATCACTAACCTGACCAGTTTCTGACAGATCACTTACCTGACCAGTTTCTCACAGATCACTAACCTGACCAGTTTCTCACAGATCACTAACCTCATACAGATAACTAACCTGACCAGTTTCTGACAGATAACTAACCTGGCCAGTTTCTTACAGATCACTAACCTGACTGACAGATCACTAACCTGACCGGTTTCTGACAGATCACTAACCTGACCAGTCTCCGACAGATCACTAACCTGACCAGTTTCTGACAGATCACTAACCTGACCAGTCTCTGACAAATCACTAACCTGACCAGTCTCTGACAGATCACTAACCTGACCAGTTTCTGACAGATCACTAACCTGACCAGTTTCTCACAGATCACTAACCTGACCAGATTCTGACAGATCACTAACCTGACCAGTTTCCGACAGATCACTAACCTGGCCAGTCTCCGACAGATCACTAACCTGACCAGTTTCTGACAGATAACTAACCTGGCCAGTTTCTTACAGATCACTAACCTGACCAGACAGATCACTAACCTGGCCAGACAGATCACTAACCTGACCAGATTCTGACAGATCACTAACCTGAGTTTCTGACAGATCACTAACCTGACCAGTCTCCGACAGATCACTAACCTGACCAGTTTCTGACAGATCACTAACCTGACCAGTTTCTGACAGATCACTAACCTGACCAGTTTCTGACAGATCACTAACCTGACCAGTTTCTGACAGATCACTTACCTGACCAGTTTCTCACAGATCACTAACCTGACCAGATTCTGACAGATCACTAACCTGACCAGTTTCCGACAGATCACTAACCTGGCCAGTCTCCGACAGATCACTAACCTGACCAGTTTCTGACAGATAACTAACCTGGCCAGTTTCTTACAGATCACTAACCTGACCAGTTTCCGACAGATCACTAACCTGGCCAGTTTCTGACAGATCACTAACCTTACCGGTTTCTGACAGATCACTAACCTGACCAGTTTCTGACAGATCACTAACCTGACCAGTTTCTGACAGATCACTAACCTGGCCAGTTTCTGACAGATCACTATCCTGGCTATCGACCATTAATTGGAGAATCATCTGATTTTATTTGTATGAATTAGTGTACAAGACGAATTCTTGCAATGTATACTGAAGCCATTTCATTGTTATCACAACAATTTTTTTTACGTCTAAAAGACATCTAAGAGTGCAGAAGAAAAAGAATCCTACCTTAGGACACTTTCCACACAGCACCTGCGATGGTACCTGCGACACCATCGCTTCTTTTTCCCCTTCATGGCCTTGGTGACCTTGCGTGTCCTCTGCTCACACCTGTCCCAGGTGTCCCCAGAGACCAGCCTTGCGCCATACACTTTACCCTGCTGGCAACATTCCAGCTCAACCTGTGCCCGCAACAACTTCTTCTCCAGCCCTGTATGTGGAACATTTACAGGTAAACTTAAAGTTACAGGTAAATCTACTTAAACCTCAGGTTACAGGTAGGTCTACACCAATAAACATAAGGTAAAGACACTTTTAAATCAGTCTCTTTTTGAAAGGGAAGAGTACTATTAACTTTCAGATCTCACCTTGGGTGGTTTGAATGAGTGACTCTGTTTGAGGTGTTGGTTCCATGTTGGTAGAATCTTCCATAGGAGGTTGCTTAAGTGGGGTGGTCTCTTCAGAAACAGGCTGATTCGACTGTTCAGCAATCCTGTATCTTGAAAGAACTGGTAGTTTTTCAGGCACCTTGTTAGATCGTGGTGCTAAAGTGGAGACTACACGAGGAACATCAGCTACCACATGCTTGCTTTCTTGTTCTAACTCATTGTGGTATGTCTTAAAGTGAACAAGCTGGAACAATATAAAACAATATGATCTGTTTTAAATAGAGTCTGGACATTTGTAGCAAATATTGTTAGGTTACTATATATATCCTTAACTTCGTCTGATATTCTTCAACAAGTACACCATGACTGAAGCACTGAATATCGTCTGATATTCTTTAATACGTACACCATGACTTAAGCACAATGATAGAGAATCATTACCTCTTCACTCAACCTGTTGGGGAAATCCTCTAAGTCATTAACAGGGTCAGACTCGTCAAAGCCATTTACACCTGTCACCATGGCAATGGCCCTGTCTATGTCACTCTGGAGAACAGGAACACCATCACCCTGGTGGCCCATTGCGAAACAATTGTAGCGCCGTTCACCTGTAATTGGGGAGGGTTTTATTCATTTGGACTCAAGGGACAAGCCCCATATAGATGGTAGTCATGGATTTGATGATAAAACCAGATAACAAAATGTATACTGTTAAGTAGCAAGAATAACAATAATAATTTCTTATCACTTTCATTTGAAAAAGATTTCATGCTTAAAACTGATGACGGAGCAACAAATCATTTGACTAAAAAATTAAATTACACATGTTTTTAATGAGAAAAAGATATTTTGACATTGGCGTGTTTGACAATCACAAAGCAAGCTAGAACATGTGGATTGGGATAGGCATGGCAGTAAGGACTTATGGCATTGTAACCAGCAGTGGTAACCATGCCGACACTAGAGACAAAACCTTACCTAGTCGCCAGCAACAGTTGTCTCGATGCTCGGTCATATATGCATCGCCACGAACAGTGAAGGGCACCTGTTGGGTATTAGCACACAACTGATCAATGCGATGACGACGAATATCTCCCAAACAGTCAGTCTTGGCAGTACCCTTCTGTAACAGATCACCCAACAGTAAATCACTTCAGTATCACAAAGATCTGTTTTAACCATTGCTTCAGAAATTCTGTGAAATTTCATCCAATGTTTCTCTTAGTGTTTAAAGCAAACATTCAATTGATTGGTCACGAATTTTACCTTCATTATTGGGTATTACCAGCATATATGTATTCTTGTATATAAAAGCTTTAACTTTACACACGGCAGATTTGATTCAGCCATGACCGGCTACTTTGGTAAATGTTTGATATTCCTTGAGCTCTATAATTACTTTATCTCTTTGACAACAGCAGTGCCTCACCTGAACACAACACTGTTGTATTTGATAGATTCGCTGACTTAGCGAGATCTGGAGGGCATCCCGCTCCAGGACAGTCATCTGGCTGGGGTTCATCTTTCTTCTCCTTAAGAAGTGGTCTTCATTGACTATCTGATCATTCGGCCTGCTAACTACTTGGCAGAGTAAGTCTTCACGCTCTGAGTGACTTATCTACAAATGGTGAAAATATGACCATGGTTCAAAAGTTTCTGTAGACCAGCTGATCAGACTACCATCAAAACAATGGGGAAATAATGTGTCACTGATGGAACATGGAGTAGGAATATTTACCCTGGATAGTATTGTAGACATGTGGCTTCGACAGACACGTTTGGTCAGGTACCCATCAATGACATTCTCGTTATCCAGGTAGTAGATGTTGTCGGCTGACTTAACACGAGCTCTGAAACCATTAAGTGAAAGTGTTACAGACAAATTCACAAATTCATCATCAGATTTTTATCTTTTTCTTTATGTGACTGAATGTGTTGAAGACACACACTGTGTAAAGATACAGTAACAATGTAGATAAGATAGATGTTATATACCTAAGAATGACACAGCCACAGGTCGGTGCAGTCCATTGGAATACAAAGGTGTGTTCAAACTCTCGTGTATTCTTGAGCACCATGTGATCACATCCTTCAGGCTGATAGTAGTGCTTTGACTGGATGCTGAAGTTGCCATGATGGCAAGCTCTGCCTTCTGATGTCACAGACAGCAATATGTCGCTAAATGCTTTACTAGGATCCTGGGCACGTACGTAGACTGAAAACAGATGTTATCTATCATTAGCACAAAACAAAAGACATCTCCACACAAATCCACTACTGTATCATACTGGTGGTTACATAGACTGAAAACTCATTCTTTTCCACATTCAACCTAAAGAATAGATTAAGCTTTGGAACGAATTGATTTTTGGATGATGACATGTGAAGATGAAATCAGGAAAATTCCTGCCAATGTGTGACCAGGTAAATGGCCTGTACTGTCACACCATCCTTGTGACCTCAAACAACACTGTGTGACCAGGTAACTGTTTGTCACACCATCCTTGTGACCTCAAACAACACTGTGTGACCAGGTAAATGGCCTGTACTGTCACACCATCCTTGTGACCTCAAACAACACTGTGTGACCAGGTAACTGTTTGTCACACCATCCTTGTGACCTCAAACAACACTGTGTGACCAGGTAAATGGCCTGTACTGTCACACCATCCTTGTGACCTCAAACAACACTGTGTGACCAGGTAAATGGCCTGTACTGTCACACCATCCTTGTGACCTCAAACAACACTTTGTGACCAGGTAAATGTCTCTCACATCATCCTTGTTACCTCAAACAACACTGTGTGACCAGATAAATGACTTGTGCTGTCACACCATCTTTGTTACCTCTAAAGACAGTTGTGACAAGATAAAAGGCCTGTACTTTCACACAGACCTTGTGACCTCAAACAACACTGTGTGACCAGGTAAAAGGCCTGTACTTTCACACAGACCTTGTGACCTCAAACAACACAGTGTGACCAGGTAAAAGGCCTGTACTTTCACACAGACCTTGTGACCTCTAGGGATGTTCTTTGACCAGATGAAAGTCCTGTAATGTCACACACTCAAAGTGACCTCTAGAAACAATATTTTTCTGTACTTACTTGTGTATGTGTGACCTGGTACATAACCACTTTGGGTCTGTTGTAAATCAAGTCGATATCTAGGCTTGGCGTCATGTATCACATTCAACTCTCTCAGGCCACCCGAGGGGAGTCCAGTGGAGGGACACTGTCCAGTCTGACCTGGGTCGTGAGAAGGTCGCGCATGTGTAAGCCCTGTAAAAATAAGGTTTAGTGGTAAATAGAAACATTCTCAATAGGAAACATTCATATGTTCAACAAAAATCCAGAAGTCCAGAGGGTCATCACATTTACTGGATTATGAATGAACCACTAAGCACCACGACAGTAACTGTATAATATTGCAAACAATTTTCAATATTCAAAGGGATATTAGATATATCAGAATATATCGTATTTTGGTATATTTATACGTAAAAATTGATGTTAAATTATCTTTTATAGAACAAATGTGTACCAAAGAGAGCATCCCCTTCATTAAAAGCAGGGACGCAATAAATCCCTCTAACGGTAGTAGAACATTACCACGTTTGTTAATGTCACTCTCCGGTTTCTTGAAACACCGATTTTTTTTCATATTCATATTCTTTGTTATCAAACATCTGATACTGTAACGTGCAGCCTAGCTTTGCACACGGTGGGTAAGTCTCTGATTCCTTGCAGAGATACTAGCTAACAAATGCCGATATATACATATAGCGTGGAACAGCAAACTCTACCTGAGTTAACAATAAAACTACGAACGAACTAGTATTCACATGGACTGCTGTCCCGACACAGACTGTTCTGACTAGCATGTGAGCGTGAGTGCAAGCTCGACACCCCGTGACTTCACCTAACCCTAGTTCCAACTACTGAACTAATCGCCGAGCAATACCACTTCGTCGGTCCTGACTAAGCACTAGGTTGTCCTACCAACTAAGTCAACCCTTGCTCGTGTTCCTAGCTCGGGTTCTAACCTATCCCTATAGCTAGCTACCTACAGTCAAAAGTCCAAGCTTTGGTGAGAACTAAACAGCTCTAGCACCAGCTTGACAAGCAGTTTTGGAAAAGCCACTATTTCAGACTTTCACCCACCACCTGTTACAAATGACTGTGTTACTTGCTTAGTTAGAAGTCTTTCGTCGTCTGTGTATCTCTGAAAGCTTCACCAACAGTCGGTATAACAGCGCTCGCAATCATTCAAAGTAATTTCTATTTACATGTATAATAAACTCTTTCATTAGGTGTGACAATTGTTGGTATTTAATTTACCATAAATGATGCATACTAAAATAGTACAAAATACCTTTCCATATCTTACTACATAATTATAAACATTTGTATTAATCGACAAAAACCATTAGATGAACAAATTAACCAATATATAATTAGCTAAAATCATATTCAAGGGACATAAATCTTATACTTCAATTTCCATTACGCAAGTCATATTCAAGGGACATAACTCTTATACTTCAATTTCCATTACAATACTGTCACGTACTTTCATGCGGGCAACACTTTATTTCGCTTTATTTCCAGAAAATCACGGGTAAATGAGAAAAAGAACCGGATTCACGCTTTCGGAGCCTTGCCTCACACTTGGGCGCGCTCCCTAAATATCGTCATTGTCCTGCTGGCAAAATTGATCGTCTCCCTTACCTGTACGGTCTCGCTGGGTCTTGGGAAGTCTAGTTCGGGTTTATTTTTAAAGGGCTAGCGCAACCCAACCGTTCAAATTGGTTTGAAATCCTTTGTCATTTGGAAAACAAACTGTATTGCCGTACATTGTCATGTGACAAATACCGCGATGTTATTGCATCAGTATTGCCCGTCTCTACTTGAAAGTACTGTTTCTGGCAAGGATGGTCATTTATTTTACCATCACTGTCATTACGTCAGACTTGTGGTCATGTGACAAAGTAAAACTTTGGCACTCGTAAAATGTAGGACAGAAATGAGGTTTTTCACGAGAATTGCTATCCTCCATTTGGGACCACCAGCCATCTTACATTTTTACTAACTAGAAGTGCTCAGCAGTATATTGACAATAGCTGTCAATAGTGGCTATCTGTGATCAGTAATTGGACCGAGTAACTAATAAACCAACATATTTTCAACTAAATATCAGTAATGGTGCCCCCGAGTAATTCTTTGTAGTGTAAAACAATTAAAAGTAAAAAAGATGTCTCTAGTTGACTTCACACCTGCGACCATTCGAACCAGAGATGTCTCTGTTCGCACAAGCTAGAATAATATTATATTTTCAAATTACATAAGAAACTTGCACAATCACATGTTCGAGATTAAATAGCTATTACGTAATCAATTGGAGTTGTTATACAAGGTGCAATGGATTTAACCTTGTGATATTTAAGTTTAAACAAAGTTACAAAACCAGCGAAAAAAGTTCACTATCTCTCTGCGACACCCGTTACCGAGCCCTACACATTGGCCTCCGCGTGTATTCAGCACCAGTGATGGTGTTTTCAGGACAAATGGTGTCACATGAGTAAGGCTTCTAAAGCTACCACCACCATAGGTCATACCTCAATATTTTTCCTAGTCGGATTATTTCGAGTTCAAATCTGATTTAAAAAAGTTTTAGGTTGCACAAAAGTGATCTTTTCAATGAGGAATACGGACGAGAAAGACTAAACGGTGTGATAGTTCAGGGCCATAAAGCGTGAAATGGAAACTTGTAAACGATATTCCTATCAGAAATCAAATCTCTTTACTCGACTGATATCTATTGTATGTCTTCATTGTGTATATGTGATGTGGATGATTTACACGCCCAAACAATGTACTATCGGTCAAAGGATGTTAACGGGACAAGTACTGTTCATCACTTACCTGGTACATGATCTACATATATACAATATATTGATAGGTTTGGAATGGGCTTGATATAAGTTGTAAAACTTGTGCCCAATCCCATTGCTACTTATATGCAATAAAATATGTGTAAACCAAAATACCTGATGCTTGACAAGACATAGATCGTGTAATACTCAACCTTACCGACTGTATCTAATCAGTATTAACAGAAAACCTTTATATGTTTGTTATCAAACTGAGTCCGAAAGAAGGTTTGTGATAGATAACATATATCTGCCACCTTTTACCGTCAGTTTCCTGTTTGCTGCTCAATATTAAATTAAAATTAAAAGAATTTTTTCTTCCATGTTTGTGTAGAGAAAATACAGAATATAGACTGAAGCAGAGCATTTATATTGATCAGTTCAATTCAGGTATATTGGCAAAATTACAATTCTGTGTGTAATTTGATGGCTAATATGAACAGCAAAGAAATAACGAATTAAAGTTGACAAATGTAGAAAAGATTTTTGACTAAATGATACGAAATCAAATGACGTAAATTGTTATTTTAGCGGCTAGTAAAGATAATGGTTTGGCGGTAAAAACCTTGCCGTTATCAACGTTCTTGTATTTTTACTAGTGTATATGTAAATTGTCTATTGTAACGAAATAAGTATGAGCTCCTGTAATTAACAGTTGTACAATTATTCACCCACGCGAACTGTCGGATAAACTAAAACTAGAGAGTTTCCACAAAATTGATTAGTTCTCGCAGTGAAGTACACAGATTTGGAAATTGCATGAAAAATGCCTATAAATCACAAGTTTGCAATGAAAGTTTTAATTAAAAATATGACTGACACAAATTACAAAATTGAAATATATAAAACATTTTTTTGCATTGTTAATCATAAAAATTAGAACGTAATCTTGAAAAACAAATATTTCCAACTACACTGTTACGTATACGTGAACAGGTGCGGGTTGAGGTACAGTCTGTTCTAATTACCTATGAGATATATATGGTTATCAAAGTGTAAGTAAACATTGAAATGTAAATATATATATATATTATATATGTTGACAGAATTGTAGGTATCACAGTGATGCTATATTTGTACAAATATGTGTGTCAAAAGCTGCGATAACTGGAAAAATGAAATGTGTCTGTATAACTGTTTAACTTCAACGTTAGTCCAAATTAGGAATTAGATATAAAAAGGATGAAAACGAGAATCTGGGTCATAGCTGTAAATATTACAATAAAAGCCGAATCTTTTAGAATAACACTACTCCAACAGACCCGTAAGTGACAACACAATCACCAAATAATGCCGTCACCTACCTAGCTTGGCCAGCTGTATCACAACAAGCAGTAAAATCCTTCCCAACATTGGAGGTGTGGCTCTCTCTTGCTCTTACGTCGTTCAAGGTGGATGGCGGTGAAGTACGCTTCCCCAGGGGGTACGCGGGCTTATATACCACAGGAGGTCACACCACGACGGATCGCGTGCAACACTCGTGTATGCACTGTAAAGCAAGTCGTCACATAAAACTGTTGGTATTTTTTATCTCAATTTTAGATCTAAATTTGGAAATGCATCATTTATTTTCAACATTTCCTTACTTTTTTGGCTGTTTCGAGTGCTTGTGCTTACATAAATGATTATCGTTATGGGTTGAAATCCCGTTTAAACTTTGAAAAAGTAATCGTCACTTATGATCATCTCGTGGAACCAGTGAACGTTATTAACAAGGTCGTCCTTTGTTCAATCCCCGTGCAGTGAAATCCCTCTAGAGACCAAGCCTTAATGGGTGGTCACGCTGTCCTGTAACCAGTCCTAGAGAGACCTGGGTGTATTCAGTAGAATATCCTGTTATTATTGTGTATTACAATGACCTGTCTTTATGACCAGTCTTGTTAACCACTGAGGTGTTTCTTTAGTACAGAAAGTGCTGTTATAGCAAATAACGCTTCTTTCCTTTTATTGAAAACCTAGCTTATCCCTATTTTGGAATCACAGATAAAGATCTTTCGTTTTGGAACCAGTCGGGGAACCCATATCCCTTTTGAAGACCCTGATGAAAAAGTTCGTTTTATATACATATGTATAATACCTTCACCAATCTAACGTCTATCTCAAGTCTCCGAAAACTCTCGATACATCTTAACAATACCATTAAGTACGTCAAATCTGGTGATAGACTCGCTACACCTAATACCGCCACTATTCGGCTGTAGAATCAGAATTAACACTTAACACAATGTACTGACTGACCTTACATCCTAGACTTGGGTATATCACTATAAAACACGGCCTGTATCTCGTTAACGATCACGAGTGAAGATTAAACTTTATGTATACAGAAAAGTTTTTCTCAGTTATTTCTACACGCGTGCTGCTAAACATTGTTTTCTGAGTGCACAAATTCAATTGAAAAGTTAAATGGGGTCCGAGATTCACCGAAACACGAAACATTTTTACAGGTAATCCCGCTTTGCCATGAAGACGTATTTAGCAGTGTGTAAATGTGCCCATTACAATGTGAAATTCTGTTGTTCTCGTGTACCACAATATGCTACCATCCATCATAAACGTGTTTTATAAAGTCACCGTCATTCATGCTTCTTTGGCTTAATCAACACCGGGCACCCGAGTTCAGTTGCTGACATAGTAGGATCGTGTTTTTCCTTTATCTATTATAACGCATTTTAACTGTAAATATGGTCCGTTTAAATGTGAGAGGGGTTCATCAGACACATGGAATACTATTGTACATGGGGTACTAGACATGTAGATAACGTCCGTAAGACGATGGATAATGTCTGTTACACAACTGACAGGTATCTACAAGTGAGAGTAGACACGAGAGGTTATAATGTCTGTTAGGCAAGTGACAGGTATCTACAAGTGAGAGTGGACACGAGAAGTTATAATGTCTGTTACACAACTGACAGGTATCTACAAGTGAGAGTAGACACGAGAAGTTATAATGTCCGTTACACAACTGACAGGTATCTACAAGTGAGAGTAGACACGAGAAGTTATAATGTCTGTTACACAACTGACAGGTATCTACAAGTGAGAGTAGACACGAGAGGTTATAATGTCTGTTAGGCAAGTGACAGGTATCTACAAGTGAGAGCGGACACGAGAAGTTATAATGTCTGTTACACAACTGACAGGTATCTACAAGTGAGAGTAGACACGAGAAGTTATAATGTCTGTTACACAACTGACAGGTATCTACAAGTGAGAGTAGACACGAGAAGTTATAATGTCTGTTACACAACTGACAGGTATCTACAAGTGAGAGTAGACACGAGAGGTTATAATGTCTGTTAGGCAAGTGACAGGTATCTACAAGTGAGAGTGGACACGAGAAGTTATAATGTCTGTTACACAACTGACAGGTATCTACAAGTGAGAGTAGACACGAGAAGTTATAATGTCTGTTACACAACTGACAGGTATCTACAAGTGAGAGTAGACACGAGAAGTTATAATGTCTGTTACACAACTGACAGGTATCTACAAGTGAGAGTAGACACGAGAGGTTATAATGTCTGTTAGGCAAGTGACAGGTATCTACAAGTGAGAGTGGACACGAGAAGTTATAATGTCTGTTACACAACTGACAGGTATCTACAAGTGAGAGTAGACACGAGAAGTTATAATGTCTGTTACACAACTGACAGGTATCTACAAGTGAGAGTAGACACGAGAAGTTATAATGTCTGTTACACAACTGACAGGTATCTACAAGTGAGAGTAGACACGAGAAGTTATAATGTCTGTTACACAACTGACAGGTATCTACAAGTGAGAGTAGACACGAGAAGTAATGATGTCTGTTAGACAACTGACAGGTATCTACAAGTGAGAGTAGACACGAGAGGTTATAATGTCTGTTAGGCAAGTGACAGGTATCTACAAGTGAGAGTAGACACGAGAAGTAATGATGTCTGTTAGACAACTGACAGGTATCTACAAGTGAGAGTAGACACGAGAAGTAATGATGTCTGTTAGACAACTGACAGGTATCTACAAGTGAGAGTAGACACGAGAAGTTATAATGTCTGTTACACAACTGACAGGTATCTACAAGTGAGAGTAGACACGAGAAGTTATAATGTCTGTTACACAACTGACAGGTATCTACAAGTGAGAGTAGACACGAGAAGTAATGATGTCTGTTAGACAACTGACAGGTATATACAAGTGAGAGTAGACACGAGAAGTTATAATGTCTGTTACACAACTGACAGGTATCTACAAGTGAGAGTAGACACGAGAAGTTATAATGTTTGTTACACAACTGACAGGTATCTACAAGTGAGAGTAGACACGAGAAGTTATGATGTCTGTTACACAACTGACAGGTATCTACAAGTGAGAGTGGACACGAGAAGTAATGATGTCTGTTAGACAACTGACAGGTATATACAAGTGAGAGTAGACACGAGAAGTTATAATGTCTGTTACACAACTGACAGGTATCTACGAGTGAGAGTAGACACGAGAAGTTATAATGTCTGTTACACAACTGACAGGTATCTACGAGTGAGAGTAGACACGAGAAGTTATAATGTCTGTTACACAACTGACAGGTATCTACAAGTGAGAATAGACACGAAAAATTATAATGTCTGTTACACAACTGACAGGTATCTACAAGTGAGAGTAGACACGAGAAGTAATGATGTCTGTTAGACAACTGACAGGTATCTACAAGTGAGAGTAGACACGAGAAGTTATAATGTCTGTTAGACAACTGACAGGTATCTACAAGTGAGAGTAGACACGTGAGGGTAATAATAATATTTAGTAAATTTGTCTTGTCGATTGTGTCTTCCAAAGTTGGAATTATTCGACTGTGTTGGACGTGGTGGTATTTCCAGTGGTGATACACGGGATTTCTGTCATAATTGGTCGTCAACTTGTCATGTGGCCTTAGTTCTTGTGTGACCCCGTCAACTGTAGACACCGTCGTCATGTGACCTTGGCTGTTGTATGACCCCGTCATATAACCTTTTATCCTTCAACCGGCAGTGCCTTTGTCGGAATACGCCTGTCAGATATATTTTTGCTGTATTCGGCAGTGGCGGAAAACAGCTGTATTTGCATGTGCGGTAATTCGACAGAATTACCATCTGAATTTACTTTAAAATTTGATTTGAAAATCTCTCATACCCGGAACGGCTGGAAAAACTAAATCTTCCGACACTTCAACACCGAAGGACCAGAGGAGATATGATTAACGTTTTTAGTAAACAATATATATGATAGTAGGGTAACAAGGAACGTTTTTGAAATGGACGATATAAGCAGAACTAGAGGTCATAACAAGAAAATATTCAAGAAACGATGTCGTCTTGATGTTAGAAAGCACTTTTTCAGTTACCGAGTTGTGGATTTGTGGAATAGTTTACCACAAACAGTAATCAATGTGGACTCTGTAATAAAATTTGAAATAGGGTTAGATGAACACTGGGAAAATATCCGTTTCTATACATGATTGTACATTAATTAACTAATATAAGCCATTACACAGGAATTACTTACTATGCAATATGTAATATTTGATATGGACATAGAGGCTTTCAGCCTGTGTCCATTATTTATGCTAATAAATGCTAATAAAATTACGTTTAATGATATAGATAACTGTTGAATTAAGTGATTTTATATGTTGGAATGAATAAGTTTATTTACGAAAAATCATAAAATTGCTGCTATATCCATTCAAATATGGAACATTTCCACGCGGAGCAATCATTATGGCATACGTCATCATGCAAACTTCAGCGTAACGTCAACGACATGTAAACAAAGTATGAACAACAAAACTACCGAAGTTTTGATTGTGTGATTTTCTATCAATATTGCTAGATAAACAGAGTGCATGGTCAGTGTCTTAAAATGTAAGTCGTATTTTGGCGAGGGTGAAGAAAGACAGAAGAGACGAGCATCTGGCGATCCACTACTGCCTTTCTGTCCCGAGCCAAAATACGGCTTATGTTTTAAGACACTGACATTGTACCTGTGTGTCCTTTGGTAATAACTGTGTGACGTTACATCGGTAGACATAAGAAAACATCGTTTCTCATTAACTGTTATAGATGTCCTTATGTGTAATTCTTTGAATTAAAGGAGAAGTACGTTACCTCAGTTTATTTTCTATGTTTTATTCTTATGATAACTGTTTTATTTTGTTCTAATTTATCAACCGTGCTAAACTTTCAGATTTTCACAAGGGAAGCAATTCGCATTTGGATATGCAATGACAAATTATTTCTCTGTTTACCTGGTTCATGAATCTATACATGATTCTGTACTATATTAAATCACATCGCACTAAGTAATGTGATAAGTTATTTAGTGCCTAATTTCCATGTATGTGAAATTGATGTTTGTTAAAGAAAACCTCCAAAATTGCTGAATTTCGAGGTCAAACTGGTGTATAATTTTTTGCAGTGATATTCATAAGCAACAGTTACCGCCCTTGGCAAATAGCTCTCTTTCAAAGGAGGGGAAAAGGAGAATCACAAAAATCCGAAGTCACGCTGAATTCAGAAGAAACCGGTGTTTGTATTAGCACTAAACATTGAATATGGTAAGAAATGTATTTCAGATTTCAGTTTTCGAACATTAAAATGGCAAAGAAATTGAAGCATGTTATGTTAAATAGTTTTCCTTGATACCGCTGCTCTCAGGACAAAGTTAATGGAGGATATTTGATGACAACGCTTACAAAATATATTGAAAAGAATAACATTGAATTAATTTTGTGTGCGAGCCCAGAATTGGATGATGCGGCCAGGACTTGATGCGATGTTAGCTGTATAGATGGTCGATTATTTCAAGGTCGGATAATTCGAAGTTCACTTTATTTTCATCACAATCATAAGTCTTCTACGAGTATCCGTGAAATTCAGTAATAGTAATGGCTTAATCTTTCTTTTTCAGTTCAGAAATCAGTATGACAATGATGTGACGGTGTGGAGCCCGCAGGTATGAGTAGAAAGATAAATGAATGATATTTGTCTTTTTTTTGGCCCTGTCACAGACACGTAGCCGGAAATCAATCGCTAAATGGGGATAGATTTATCTCCCCTTCCCCAGTGGTGGTCATTATAGTTGCCAACAAGTTAAAAGTATTTGATATCAAAGTAATTCTGCCAGAGATAAGTTAGGTGACTGTGACATTTTATGTATCTAGTATTGAATTTATAAGAATGTAAAATGATGTAATTTCTTACATTTTGACCCCAAAATTTTCAATGGGTCCACACAAAATCTGATGTCTCAAAGACGATATCACTGATTGGCAATAGAACAGTCCAATTTGCCACCCTCCATGCCACTTTTACATTCCTCATAGTTACACAAATCACATTTGTGTATTGATTGCAAATCAGTTTGGTCAACGGACAAAAATTAACATTCCTGGATTTTGAGAATAACAGTGAGCGAGGAAGTTCTCTCCGATAGACTTACATGTTCCTGCTGGTGACTTTCAAATACAAGTGGTAAATTGCAGCTTCCTCAGATTGGTTGATATGTATTTTGAGTGAATAGTTACTTTGAGTCTGATAAGAGGTAAAAAAAAATTACAGGAGCTTCCCATCTTGCACTGTGACAATTAATGGTTTTGAATTTCTAATTACATTGTTTGAAATGTATTGAAAGGATCTTTTAGTTCACATGTCGGCTCCCCTGTTCCATTGGTTGTTTTTTAGCTCACCATCATCAGATGATGGGCAATTCAAATCGCTCTGCATCCTTGGTTCATTGTCCATCCATAAACAATTTTTGTTATCCCTCTTTGTTGAATAGTACTGGATGGATATTTCTCAAATTGCATATATAGGTTCCCCTTGGCCCCTAGTTGTGCCTGGTTGATTTTGGGACTGATCAGAAAATATGAAATGGTCCACAAGCGACCATCTTTGATTTTGACTTCGAAAATTTGTTATCACTATTTCTTGAGAACTACTCTATAGATCTTTCCCAAATTTCATGTATAGGTTCCCTAGTTGTACCTGTTTGAGTTTGGGACTGATCAGAAAAACAAAATGGCTGACAGATAGCCATCTTGGATTTTGCCTAGTAAAGATTGTTATTGATATTTCTTAAGAAGTACTTAATGGATATCTCTCAAATTTCGTATGCATGTTCCCTTTTTGTCTTTCCTTGTGCTCGTTTGATTTTAGGACTGATCAGAAGAAAACAAATGGCTTTCAGGTAGCCATTTTGGATTTGGCATGTAAAGATTATCATTGCTATTTCTACAAAGGAGTGTTCAAATGTCTTATCATTATGAGCAGAGAAAAGAAGGGAAAAGATTGAACAATAGTTGGCACCCAGATCCCTCACTATTTCTGTTATATGCAATTGCTTTAAAGATAATTGCTTCAAAAGAGCATTTCATAAGATTTGAACATTTTACCAAATGATTCAATAAAATATTGATGAAGTAGAATGATAGTGGAAGTGATTAAAGTAGAACGTGATTTGGTATTAGAGTATTACACTGATTTGTTGTCAATGGTTCTTTAATTGATTTTTGACACAGGGTCGTATACATCAAATTGAATATGCCATGGAAGCTGTGAAGCAGGGATCAGCAACTGTAGGTCTCAAATCTAAAACACATGCCATTCTCGTGGCTTTAAAGGTAAGCTTCAAAACAGTTTCAAAGATGCACAATTAATTCATAATCAGTAGTTCTAAACACATTTTCTCAAGAAGTATGTAGTTGTACGCTGTGTTAATTTTCATTGACAAAAGACTTGATAATTTCAAAACTCATAAGAAGTGTCACTAATGACTGAAAATAAAATTGCCTTTTCCAGAGAGCTCCATCAGAGTTATCTGCCCATCAGAAAAAGATCATCCCTATAGATGACCATGTGGGTGTTTCTATAGCAGGACTAACAGCAGATGCCCGACTTCTTAGGTAAAGATAACCACATAGGCTTGATTCTGAAGTAAGATTCTATATAACCACAGAGGCTTGATTCTGAAGTAAGATTCTATATAACCACAGAGGCTTGATTCTATATAACCACAGAGGCTTGATTCTGAAGTAAGATTTTGTATAACCACATAGGCTTGATCCTGAAGTAAGATTCTATATAACCACAGAGGCTTGATTCTGAAGTAAGATTCTATTTAACCACAGAGGCTTGATTCTGAAGTAAGATTCTATATAACCACAGAGGCTTGATTCTAGTAAGATTCTATATAACCACAGAGGCTGAAGTAAGATTCTATATAACCACAGAGGCTTGATTCTGAAGTAAGATTCTATATAACCACAGAGGCTTGATTCTGAAGTAAGATTCTATATAACCACAGAGGCTTGATTCTGAAGAAGTATAGATTTTAAGATTCTATATAACCACTTGATTCAGGCTTGATTCTGAAGTAAGATTCTATATAACCACAGAGGCTTGATTCTGAAGTAAGATTCTATATAACCACAAGGCTTGATTCTGAAGTAAGATTCTATATAACCACAGAGGCTTGATTCTGAAGTAGAGATTAACCACAGAGGCTTGATTCTTGAAGTAAGATTCTATATAACCACAGAGGCTTGATTCTGAAGTAAGATTCTATATAACCACAGAGGCTTGATTCTGAAGTAAGATTCTATATAACCACAAGGCTTGATTCTGAAGTAAGATTATTAGATTCTATATAACCACAGAGGCTTGTAAGATTCTATATCTGAAGTAAGATTCTATATAACCACATAAGGCTTGATTCTGAAGTAAGATTCTATATAACCACAGAGGCTTGATTCTGAAGTAAGATTCTATATAACCACAGAGGCTTGATTCTGAAGTAAGATTCTATATAACCACAGAGGCTTGATTCTGAAGTAAGATTCTATATAACCACAGAGGCTTGATTCTGAAGTAAGATTCTATATAACCACAGAGGCTTGATTCTGAAGTAAGATTTTGTATAACCACATAGGCTTGATTCTGAAGTAAGATTCTATATAACCACAGAGGCTTGATTCTGAAGTAAGATTCTATATAACCACAGAGGCTTGATTCTGAAGTAAGATTTTGTATAACCACATAGGCTTGATTCTGAAGTAAGATTTTGTATAACCACATAGGCTTGATCCTGAAGTAAGATTCTATATAACCACAGAGGCTTGATTCTGAAGTAAGATTCTGTATAACCACAGAGGCTTGATTCTGAAGTAAGATTCTGTATAACCACATAGGCTTGGTTCTGAAGTAAGATTCTATATAACCACAGAGGCTTGATTCTGAAGTAAGATTCTATATAACCACAGAGGCTTGATTCTATATAACCACAGAGGCTTGAAGTAAGATTCTATATAACCACAGAGGCTTGATTCTGAAGTAAGATTCTATATAACCACAGAGGCTTGATTCTGAAGTAAGGCTTGATTCTGAAGTAAGATTTTGTATAACCACATAGGCTTGATTCTGAAGTAAGATTTTGTATAACCACATAGGCTTGGTTCTGAAGTAAGATTCTGAGGTAAGAACTCATGTGGTGACTGGCTAGATTCCAAGGTAATATCTTGTGTAGCTACTGTGGCTAAATGCCTAGGAAATACTGTATACAGCTACCATGGTTAAATTCTGAGGTAATAGTTATATCTGTCTATTGACCAATACTATAATGTATCATGTCATCCTTTGTTCATCTAGTTTTTCATGCTCCCCAAAGGGAGAGCATATAGTTGTCGCTTTGTCTGTCAGTCATAATTTTGTCTGGAGCATGACATAAAAGAGGTATCAACATAAAACTTCATAGGTAGATAGATCACAACAAGGAGAAGTGCAATGCACTAGAACCATCACTCTCTTTTGTATAATTTAGGAGTTATTGCCCTTTGTTATTTTTCAATATGAAACTTCATAGGTAGATAGATTACAATGAGTTAGAGGGCAGTGCACAAGAATCATAACTTTCTTATAGCCCTTTGTTATTTTCCATACTTATATTTTGTCCTAATCGAGGAACATCACCTGTCTTTGACATTCCTTGTGTACAGTACTGGTTTTATCTTCCAATCGACAAATGGCATAATTGATTATAACATCCTATTGATATTTTTATCATAGCTTTTAAAAATGATGTATCGATTGTCATAAAGAGTAGATGATTCACAATTGTTTGATTTCCTGTTTAGTGAGCCAGTCAGCTAAATTTGTGAATACTTCAGGTTGTCAGTGTGTTAAGCCGAACCCTTATTATTACAGTGTCTGAATTCTGTACAAAGTGTTTGTCTGATTGATATTTTTTCACATTTCTCAGAGCAGGAATGCAGGAATTGTTAAGTTCACCAAAAGTTCACCAAAGTACACTGAATGATTGATATGTATTAAAATAAAACTGAAGAAAAAGTTTGTTAATTGCCGACATAAATCCTGGTACATGGTGTGATGTTTTATTATGCTTTTATTTCTTTCAGTAATTTCATGAGATCTGAGTGCCTAAACTCCAGGTATGCCTATGACCAACCTCTGCCTATATCTCGTTTAGTGGGCTCCATCGGCTCAAGTATCCTTTTTATGGCAAGATACTCATATCTTTGTGTATTGACAGTCATTTGGATACTGGCTTATATCAGTATCAACAGACTTCACTTGTACCTGACTTCATTTAACATTTCAGCCACTCAACAGGTGATTAAAATATATAGAGATCAACTTGTTTTGCATCAAATAAATTTAATTTATGTTGTGGTTTTGTTTATTTTTGTACTGAAAAGATCCTCCTGTTTAGAATTTAACAATTAAATTGTCTACGAATGTTATGGATTATCAAGTTTGTTCCTTAACATCTGTCAGAGTCACAAATCCCTACCCAGAGGTATGGACGTCGGCCATTTGGTGTTGGTCTCTTAGTAGCTGGCTATGATGTAAGTTTTTTGAAGATGAAAAGTCTTTGTTAATTAATTAAAATAACAAAACAAAGTTCTACTCACTTGACCATGGGATTGCCTATTTATCACATAAACCTCATCACAAACATGACAACATTATAACACCCAAGTGTTACAGAAAGTCAATTAGATAACAAATTGTTTATGGACGATTACAACAGTAGATATTGGTTATGTGAGACTACAACTGAAGCTGTTTATTATGTAAGATTACAGCTCTAGCTGTTGGTTATGTTACAACATTATTTTTATTCTACAGTCTATGGGACCACATATTTACCAGACCTGTCCCTCGGCTAACTACTATGACTGTAAATGCATGGCTATCGGCGCCCGGTCCCAGTCTGCACGAACATACCTAGAGAAGTACATGGACAAGTTTGGGGAATGTAAGTTCTGTATGATATATTTAAGATTTTACTGATGCCGTCTTAGTTCTTATCAGAATCAACAATAAATAACGTACTCAAGAGTGGGTATGTTTATAAACAGACATTGTGAATTAAACCACATTTCTCCTTGTTGACTGCTTGTGCTGAGATTTTTGCTGATTTTGATGTCTTTTATGTCCTCAAAAACTTAAAATACTTGTGTGAGCCAAGTATATTTAGAGAATATTCAGTGGACTCTAGTTTATATTGGTTCTTATGATCAGGCACACTTGAGGAACTGGTGAAGCATGGTTTGCGAGCCCTGAGGGACACACTACCATCTGAAGTGGAGCTCACTACAAAGGTAAGCATGGTTTGTGAGCCCTGAAGGACACATTACCATCCGAAATGGAGTTTGCTACAAATGTGATTTTTTTGTTTTTCATTTAACAAAAAAGTTTTACTGTTTGTAGGCTTCTGTTTGATGACATTGTCTTATTAGCTCACCTGACCTGATGGGCCAAGTGAGTTAATGTCTTTGTGCAGCATTCTGTGTCTGTCCGGTGTCAAATTTTTCCTTTAACAGCTTCTCTATAACCCATGGACCAGATGTTTTGATATTTGCTTGGTCTGTTCCTAGGATAAAGCCAGACAAAGTTTGTGAAAAGAAATGACTTTACCATTTCCTGCATTGGCATGCTTGAGAGTACATTTGTATCACAGTCAAATATCAAGTTTCATGTTCAACTAGATACAGGGATATGTAATCTTTTTACTGAAGTTTGCAAGTTGCTATGAATACTGAATACTCTTGTTCTTACTGTCAGCATGTTTGTAGTGATAGGAAGAATCAGTTAACTATAGCATAGATATTATTTCTGAAGAAGCTCTTAGTGTCCAGGATAATAAAATGTACAATACACAGGAGATTTCTTAATGTGTGACAGTTCTATACAAGGTTCTTAGACACATGATTCTAAACAAGATTGTGTTTTATTTTCAGAACTGCTCTCTAGGAATTGTTGGAAAAGACATTGATTTCACAATCTATGATGATGATGCTGTAACCAACTATGTATCCTTTTATGTTTAAATCATCAAAATTTGTCATAGAAAGGAATTACTCTTTCTGGTATGTATTTTCAGTAAATATTATAGCTTAGATAACCTTTAATATGTGATTTGTGTGACACATAATTAGGAATGGGAGAAGTTATTGATAATAGTGGTGATGTCTTCGCTGGTGAAAACCTTAACTCTAAACAAGCTAGCCATGATAGAGGGTGAAGACAAGGACCGTGGATCCTCTGGTGAAGGCGAGCAGGCCGATGATGCTGCTGTAAGTTCCAATCTACACAAGTTAACACTTCAAGTTCATTGAACAACAATGTATGACAGATTAGGGTTCACCATATCCATCTCTGACCTTGTGAACAGGACCTGTCATATCTAACTCTGACAGCGTGAACAGGACGTGTCATATCTAACTCTGACAGTGTGAATAGGACCTGTCATATCTAACTCTGACAGTGTAAATAGGACCTGTCATATCTAACTCTGACAGTGTGAACAGGACCTGTCATATCTAACTCTGACAGTGTAAACAGGACCTGTCATATCTAACTCTGACAGTGTAAATAGGACCTGTCATATCTAACTCTGACAGTGTAAATAGGACCTGTCATATCTAACTCTGACAGTGTAAATAGGACCTGTCATATCTAACTCTGACAGCGTGAATAGGACCTGTCATAGCTAACTCTGACAGTGTAAATAGGACCTGTCATATCTAACTCTGACAGTGTAAATAGGACCTGTCATATCTAACTCTGACAGCGTGAATAGGACCTGTCATAGCTAACTCTGACAGTGTAAATAGGACCTGTCATATCTAACTCTGACAGTGTAAACAGGACCTGTCATATCTAACTCTGACAGCGTGAACAGGACCTGTCATATCTAACTCTGACAGTGTGAATAGGACCTGTCATAGCTAACTCTGACAGCGTGAACAGGACCTGTCATATCTAACTCTGACAGCGTGAATAGGACCTGTCATATCTAACTCTGACAGTGTGAACAGGACCTGTCATATCTAACTCTGACAGTGTAAATAGGACCTGTCATATCTAACTCTGACAGTGTAAATAGGACCTGTCATATCTAACTCTGACAGTGTAAATAGGACCTGTCATATCTAACTCTGACAGCGTGAACAGGACCTGTCATATCTAACTCTGACAGCGTGAACAGGACCTGTCATATCTAACTCTGACAGCGTGAACAAGACCTGTCATATCTAACTCTGACAGTGTGAACAGGACGGGTCATATCTAACTCTGACAGCGTGAATAGGACCTGTCATAGCTAACTCTGACAGTGTGAATAGGACCTGTCATATCTAACTCTGACAGTGTGAATAGGACCTGTCATAGCTAACTCTGACAGTGTGAATAGGACCTGTCATATCTAACTCTGACAGCGTGAACAGGACCTGTCATATCTAACTCTGACAGCGTGAACAGGACCTGTCATATCTAACTCTGACAGCGTGAATAGGACCTGTCATATCTAACTCTGACAGTGTGAACAGGACCTGTCATATCTAACTCTGACAGCGTGAATAGGACCTGTCATAGCTAACTCTGACAGTGTGAACAGGACCTGTCATATCTAACTCTGACAGTGTGAATAGGACCTGTCATATCTAACTCTGACAGTGTGAACAGGACCTGTCATATCTAACTCTGACAGTGTGAACAGGACCTGTCATATCTAACTCTGACAGTGTGAACAGGACCTGTCATATCTAACTCTGACAGCGTGAATAGGACCTGTCATATCTAACTCTGACAGCGTGAACAGGACCTGTCATATCTAACTCTGACAGCGTGAACAGGACCTGTCATATCTAACTCTGACAGCGTGAACAGGACCTGTCATATCTAACTCTGACAGTGTGAATAGGACCTGTCATATCTAACTCTGACAGTGTGAATAGGACGGGTCATATCTAACTCTGACAGTGTGAATAGGACCTGTCATATCTAACTCTGACATTGTGAACAGGATCTGTCATACCTAACTCTGACAGCGTGAACAGGACCTGTCATACCTAACTCTGACAGTGTAAACAGGACCTGTCATATCTAACTCTGACAGTGTGAACAGGACCTGTCATATCTAACTCTGACAGCGTGAACAGGACCTGTCATATCTAACTCTGACAGCGTGAACAGGACCTGTCATATCTAACTCTGACAGTGTGAATAGGACCTGTCATAGCTAACTCTGACAGCGTGAATAGGACGGGTCATAGCTAACTCTGACAGCGTGAATAGGACCTGTCATATCTAACTCTGACAGTGTGAATAGGACCTGTCATATCTAACTCTGACAGCGTGAACAGGACCTGTCATATCTAACTCTGACAGCGTGAACAGGACCTGTCATATCTAACTCTGACAGTGTGAACAGGACCTGTCATAGCTAACTCTGACAGTGTGAACAGGACCTGTCATATCTAACTCTGACAGTGTGAACAGGACCTGTCATATCTAACTCTGACAGTGTGAACAGGACCTGTCATATCTAACTCTGACAGCGTGAACAGGACCTGTCATATCTAACTCTGACAGCGTGAACAGGACCTGTCATATCTAACTCTGACAGCGTGAACAGGACCTGTCATATCTAACTCTGACAGTGTGAATAGGACCTGTCATATCTAACTCTGACAGCGTGAACAGGACCTGTCATATCTAACTCTGACAGCGTGAACAGGACCTGTCATATCTAACTCTGACAGCGTGAACAGGACCTGTCATATCTAACTCTGACAGTGTGAACAGGACGGGTCATATCTAACTCTGACAGTGTGAACAGGACCTGTCATATCTAACTCTGACAGCGTGAATAGGACCTGTCATATCTAACTCTGACAGCGTGAACAGGACCTGTCATATCTAACTCTGACAGCGTGAACAGGACCTGTCATATCTAACTCTGACAGCGTGAACAGGACCTGTCATATCTAACTCTGACAGCGTGAACAAGACCTGTCATATCTAACTCTGACAGCGTGAACAGGACCTGTCATATCTAACTCTGACAGCGTGAACAGGACCTGTCATATCTAACTCTGACAGCGTGAACAGGACCTGTCATAGCTAACTCTGACAGTGTGAACAGGACCTGTCATATCTAACTCTGACAGCGTGAACAGGACCTGTCATAGCTAACTCTGACAGTGTAAACAGGACCTGTCATATCTAACTCTGACAGTGTGAATAGGACCTGTCATATCTAACTCTGACAGCATGAACAGGACCTGTCATATCTAACTCTGACAGCGTGAACAGGACCTGTCATAGCTAACTCTGACAGTGTGAATAGGACCTGTCATATCTAACTCTGACAGCGTGAATAGGACCTGTCATATCTAACTCTGACAGCGTGAACAGGACCTGTCATATCTAACTCTGACAGTGTAAATAGGACCTGTCATATCTAACTCTGACAGTGTAAATAGGACCTGTCATAGCTAACTCTGACAGTGTGAATAGGACCTGTCATATCTAACTCTGACAGTGTGAATAGGACCTGTCATAGCTAACTCTGACAGTGTGAACAGGACCTGTCATATCTAACTCTGACAGTGTAAATAGGACCTGTCATATCTAACTCTGACAGTGTAAACAGGACCTGTCATATCTAACTCTGACAGTGTGAACAGGACCTGTCATAGCTAACTCTGACATTGTGAACAGGACCTGTCATATCTAACTCTGACAGCGTGAACAGGACCTGTCATATCTAACTCTGACAGCGTGAATAGGACCTGTCATATCTAACTCTGACAGCGTGAACAGGACCTGTCATATCTAACTCTGACAGCGTGAACAGGACCTGTCATATCTAACTCTGACAGTGTAAACAGGACGTGTCATATCTAACTCTGACAGTGTGAACAGGACCTGTCATATCTAACTCTGACAGCGTGAACAGGACCTGTCATAGCTAACTCTGACAGTGTGAACAGGACCTGTCATATCTAACTCTGACAGTGTGAATAGGACCTGTCATATCTAACTCTGACAGTGTGAATAGGACCTGTCATATCTAACTCTGACAGCGTGAACAGGACCTGTCATATCTAACTCTGACAGTGTAAACAGGACCTGTCATATCTAACTGACTGACACTCTCTGACAGGACCTGTCATATCTAACTCTGACAGTGTGAACAGGACCTGTCATATCTAACTCTGACAGTGTGAACAGGACCTGTCACACCTAACTCTGACATTGTGAACAGGACCTGTTTGATTTGTGGTGCAGATTTCAAGGAAAATAAGTTTAATATGTATGTGTTTCACCATTTATGGGAGCTCATTGATCTATCATGTGTCATCTCCATCTCCTATGGGATTTTGGTCAGCTGGATATATGTACTAAGCATGTATACAAGAATATCTTTAATGATTTGTGTTTCATGGCTTAAGATGAAAGTTCATCGTTAATATTTATGTAACAAACAATGGAACAAATTCCTTGCAGTATTTACTTCCTGAAGGCAGTTTCTAGTTTTCTTTGCTCATTTATTCAAAATATCAGTTGTTTGAGGACTCGTTGTTTGTATGACATGTTGGTGACTTTTTAAGGTTCGGAGGGTATATTGACGGAAAATAAAGAATTTTGGATAACTGTATATTTTCTTTAGTGACCCCTGTAAGTTTTCTGAATGTCTTATTTGAACTGTCTTTTACAGTCACCTATGGAGGTACAAGGAGAGGATGGACAGGCCGCACCTCCAGCAGACCCTGCCCCTGCTGCACCAGAGGGCGAGGAACAGCAGGCTATGGAACATTGACCAACCTTCTAGGCAACAGGAACTGTACAAACGTCATCTCATCGTCATCTGACACATTCACACATTCTTATTGTCATCTGACACAGGACTTCAGACATTTGTAAATATTCTACGGCCATTCTTCAGAGATTGATCAGCAAGTACTGGACCTATGATAACTAAGCTGAGGATGCGTTGCTGTAGCATGCTAAGTTTAGAGTATACAGACGAGGCTAGTGTGTCCTACAGGAACAGGGTTTAACTGGAATCTTTTAAGTGCTACAGGGAGCAGTGGATACATTAACGGTGTACGTGGCCTTGTAATACTGTACAGAACAGCCAGCGTACAAACCTCTACAGGACCTCATTTTCCTGAAGACAAAAGTAGTGCTATGTAAAAACCGTCACAGAGAGGGAAACATCTACAATGTTATATTTATTGATGAGAAATAAACATGTTTACACAATGGTGCTTATGTTCCCTTTTCATTAGTCTGAAACCTAACATTCTATGGAGTGAAGTGCAAGATCACTATTTTAAGTGACATTTTTGTAATAGACATATCAATCAAAACAGCAGTAGACTAATGGAAATAGTAATTGAAAAAAACACAAGGATATTTGTCATTATCAGAAAGATCTGATGTGTGGCTAAGGCTGAAGTATTTACCTCCTGGGAGGGCTACTTATTGTTAGAGAGATAGTAATATATGTAAGGGTTATAGTGATAAACCTGACAATGATAGTTATGTTTGGTGAAAAAGTCCTGGTCCTGAGGTTTGAGGGTAAAAGCAGAAAAAACCTAACTTGATTAAAAAAAAAAAAATAAAAACATATGTAACAAAATCAATAGGTTTATTTAAAATTAAAAGTTAGTCCCAGTAGCTTTTAGCAAGTATGCACAACTAAGAACACTGTCAAATTTCACTGAATAAGCCTGTTCACTCAGAGTTGTGATAGCGATACAGACTGTTCCGGGGTATGGCAGAATGAGACGAGATCATTGGTTCTCTACATAACAGTGTATATCTGAGTCACATTAAAATCAGGAACCTCATCAGTGTGTATAAATGAATCACATCTCTAGGTAAATTATAAACCATCATATATCTAGGTAAGTTATAAACCATTTTATATCTAGGTAAATTATAAACCATCATAAATATATCTAGGTAAATTATAAACCATCATATATCTAGGTAAATTATAAACCATCATATATCTAGGTAAATTATAAACCATCAGATATCTAGGTAAATATAAACCATCTTATATCTAGGTAAATTATAAACCATCATATATCTAGGTAAATTATAAACCATCATATATCTAGGTAAATTTTAAACTATCACATATCTATAGTAAAATTATATAATCACAACAGCTTTATTCACTGGTACACAAAAAGCAAAACCAGTCTGGTATTTGTTTCAAGGCACAAAGTGGTATGTGATATAGCTAAGATAACAATACTACATGTATCGCTGTAGATGCAATTAACACTGACTAATTTTGCTCATTAGCCAATAAAAAAAAGTTTAAGATGAAGGAAAATGGAATTGTTATATAAGTGACCTTATTACGTTGAATATCAGTTCCAGCTCTGAGGAGATTCTTCTGAAATGATATTCATGGTGTATCAAAATGGTCCACTGAATATTGATAGTTGTTGGTCCCTGCATCATGTATATGTCGTAAGAACACGGAAAAGGGAGATTTTCTTCAATTTCTGGGAAGACTTGCAGCTTCTGGTTGGAAGGTTTTCATCACATGCCAAATTAGAATCAGCATATCCTTTCACTTTTTAGTAGGAAGATATTCATTCATGGGTTATACACTCTTTCAGGTATTCATTATACTCTCTAAACAGAAGAAACTCATTAAATCCTAATTGCCATACAAGGTACAGGTAAAACAAGACCGAATCTTTGGAGCAAGAGAGAGAACTTTTAAGATAAATGTTGGTGTGATTTCTAGAAATAAGACCACAACACAGAGCTAACCAATAAAAAAATATGTAACAAAATCAATAGGTTTTTGGGTAAGACTTCTGAAACTATGAAATAAAATCCACTATGAAACAATATTGTGTTAATCACTGGAAATTATACCAGCAAATAACATGTTAATAACTCTACACTTCGTATTAAACAATACACTAATCATGCAGTATAACAATACACCCAACACCACAAACCTGTACATTTGGAATATTTAATGCTGTTGTAATCATTTAGCACCAGTAATGGTGAGATTTCAAGGCTAATAACCCTTTAAACCATGGACCCTGTCACTCCTCCTGGTCACATTACATCTACACTGACCTGGCATGTACAGTCAACAGCCTATATCAATAAGACTGACTTGTCTATAACCTTCACTTGTCTATAGGTAAGAATTAATTGTCTATATTCTACCTTTCTATGTAAGATTTGTCAGTCTATAGGTACAAGACTCACCTTTTGATATAGGTAAGAATTAACTGTCTATATTCTACCTTTCTATGTACAGTTTGTCAGTCTATAGGTACAAGACTCATCTTTTGATATAGGTAAGAGTCTACCAGTCTATGTAAGACTCACCTGTCTATATGTGTCAGTTTCACCTGTCTACATGTGTCAGTTTCACCTGTCTATATGTGTCAGTTTCACCTGTCTACATGTGTCAGTTTCACCTGTCTATATGTATCAGTTTCACCTGTCTATATGTGTAAGACTCCCCTGTCTATATGTGTCAGTTTCACTTGTCTACATGTGTCAGTTTCACCTGTCTATATGTGTAAGTTTCACCTGTCTATATGTGTAAGTTTCATCTGTCTATATGTGTAAGACTCACCTGTCTATATGTGTCAGTTTCACCTGTCTATATGTGTAAGTTTCACCTGTCTATATGTGTAAGTTTCACCTGTCTATATGTGTAAGACTCACCTGTCTATATGTGTCAGTTTCACCTGTCTATATGTGTAAGTTTCACCTGTCTATATGTGTAAGACTCACCTGTCTATATGTGTCAGTTTCACCTGTCTATGTGTAAGTTTTGTCCGTCTATATGAGTAAGATATACTTGTCTACGTGTGTAAGAATCATCTACAATTTTGGATAAAGGGACACAAGTCTGGTATTCTTATTAGTATGAATTCCCTAAAAAACATGTAAAAATCTTATCATTAATGTTATGTAAAACATATAGTAAAAAGCAAGTACAATATATAAAAGAATGTAACACAACTGATGAAACAGTTACAATATACAATAAAAAACAAAATAAATATATAAATGTCATTATAATAAGACATCCTAGTCAGTACAAACAAAATCACTTGTTTCCTGTTCTTCAGAAGGAGACAGTAAATCATTACCTAACTACATTATACCATTTCATGTTGTACATCTAAACACTGTAATTTTTGTTGTTTTCTTCTTGATACGCTTCATGGGGCATGAAAATGATCTAACTTCAAAATGAACACATTAGTAACAACCAATAGAATACTTTAAACAGTTACTTGGAAGGTCCTTTTTTTCTTAATAATTAATGCTGAATATCAAACAAAACATTTATATCTTACATAGCATAATCAACAAACAACAAATGTATACATAGAGCAACTGAAAGCATCGCCATGTCTAACCTCCAAGGTACAGCGGTATTAACAACCATGGAAAATAGCAGAAACTAACATCCAGGTAACAGCAGTATATTTTAACACCCAGGGAAAATAGCATTTACTATCACCCCAGGTGCAGCAGTATATACTTACACCCAGCCGGCAGTGGCATATACATACATCTAGGTGGTAGCAGTATATACTAACACTTAAGGGAAAAACATAAGCATATACAAACACAACGGTGTTCTGTTACATCCAAGGGTGGCAGCATAAATTAATACCCAGGGGACAGAAGTATATATCACCCAGGTGTTCTGTTACATCCAGGGGGTGGCAGCATAAACTAATACCCAGGGGACAGAAGTATATAACACCCAGATGTTCTGTTACATCCAGGGGGTGGCAGCATAAACTAATACCCAGGGGACAGAAGTATATAACACCCAGATGTTCCGTTACATCCAGGGGGTGGCAGCATAAACTAATACCCAGGGGACAGAAGTATATAACACCCAGATGTTCTGTTACATCCAGGGGGTGGCAGCATAAACTAATACCCACGGGACAGAAGTATATATCACCCAGATGTTCTGTTACATCCAGGGGGTGGCAGCATAAACTAATACCCAGGGGACAGAAGTATATATCACCCAGGGAAAAAAACATATACAACAACTTGGGGTGTAGTAACATCCAGGGTGCTGAAGTATATACTAACACCCAGGGGGCAGCACCATACACTCACACCAAGGGACAGCTGAATATACTAAGTCAAGGACAGCTGTGTATGCTTAAACCTAAGGTGGAGGCAGCATACTTTAACACCAAGGTTTTACAAATACATTTCACCACAGTGATATTGTCCTATAGCCAGGTCTATATAGGATCTGTGCTGTTAGACGCATCACAGTGGTATTGTCCTTCAGTCAGTACAATCCTCGTATACAGGATGTGTGCTGTAAGTCTCATCACACTATTCAATTCCAGCTTTCAAATTGATAAAGGGATTAGAAATTAAACTACATATATATTACAAAGATGAAAGACGTAATGATTTGCCATAAGGAAATCCAGCACCAAGGAGTACAGCCATATTGTTGTATCCCAATAACACTGCCTCACCATATCTGGAAAAGATCAATTACAATATCTCAAAAAAAATCCAATGTTTACAAAATATAACAAAAAGAAATATGCTTGGTCTTATCGCATGTCAGTGTACAGCTATGGGTGGTTACCTGTGGTGTGTAACTTGTCTGTGTACAGCTATGGGTGGTTACCTGTGGTGTGTAACTTGTCTGTGTACAGCTGTGGGTGGCTACCTGTGGTGTGTAACTTGTCCGTGTACACCTATGGGTGGTAACCTATGGTGTGTAACTTGTCTGTGTACAGCTATGGGTGGTTACCTGTGGTGTGTAACTTGTCTGTGTACAGCTATGGGTGGCTACCTGTGGTGTGTAACTTGTCTGAGTAGGGCTATGGGTGGTTACCTGTGGTGTGTAACTTGTCTGTGTACAGCTATGGGTGGTTACCTGTGGTGTGTAACTTGTCTGTGTACAGCTATGGGTGGTTACCTGTGGTGTTTCACTGGTCTGTGTACAGCTATAGATGATTATCTGTGGTGTGTTACCTGTGATGTTTTACCTGTCTGTGTACAGCTACAGATGACTATCTGTAATGTGTTACCTGTGATATTTTACCTGTCTGTGTACTACTATAGATGATTATCTGTTTTGTGTTACATGTGATATTTTACCTGTAGGATTTTACCTGTCTGTGTACAGCTATAGATGATTATTTGTAGTGTGTTACCTGTGATATTTTACCTGTCTGTGTACTACTATAGATGATTACCTGTAGTGTGTTACCTGTGATATTTTACCTGTCTGTGTACAGCTATGAGTGATTACCTTTGGCCTAATGACAACATCATCCTGCTAAGAGTTGTTATCAGATTCCTCACTTCTTCCCTTATTGTTGTCCCTGTCTGATTTCTCCTGAGACATCTGTAGGTTTTCCAGTTTCTTCAGGAGTGCATCACCAAATGATTTCCTGTACTTTGGACTATGATTATCCAACAAGGCATAGATAGTCTCAAAGTATTGGGAACTTGTGTTTTCATCCACCATGTTAAACTTATTACCCACAACCTAGCAGGAATAAATATAATAGACATATATATACCCATAAGGTCATAAAATACCAAACAGGTCTCCTATAACCTATACAAATGTCATGTACTAACATGGATATAAATTCCATAATTAATGTCATGCTCAATATCAAGTGGGGATAATAACTTTGATTCCAATGATTCATTTTCCTGCTTGGGATGTAGCAGAGGTCATTATTCATTTCAATGCCCCTGCTAGGATTTGAACCCTGGATCTCTGACTAACCAGTCATGCATCCAACCAATGAAGCTAAAGTGAAGTTCTCTCTAGCTGAATGGTATATTGTTGCTAGTATTTACCTCGGCCACATATTCCCCCTCCAGGAAATTACTTGCGCTATAATTTCCAGAGGTTGAGTGATGTTTGAGAAATTAAACCTAAGTGTTATTTCTGAGTTCCTACAAGGGCACTATTAACACTCAACTGATCGGGCTAAAGAGAAGATCACTCTTATCGAGAGGTATACATGCATTAGGGCTAGTTTTCACCAGTTTTATATTAATATGATACCAGGAACATCTCTGAAATTGATTTGTTCTTTGAAGTCACAATAAAAAAAAATCCATTCTATTTGCAATCATTAATTAAGCTGTTTCGGCTAGTGCAGAAAAAATAGGAGACAGCTAGACCATCATTTACTTGTGCAAAAAAACATATATATACTTATTTTTTCCAATGGAAGATAGATCTCATTGCTAAGGACAAGGCAGATTATAGAGAAAATGGGAAAAAGTTTAGCCATCACACCTCTTTCTTCCATATTCAATACAACCCTGACAACAGTGAAGTATTTGTGGTGTATTTGTTGCGATATAAGTCACTATAATTAAAAATATATGCGATGAAATGTCAGAAAACTTTTCAAGACAATCTGTGGTCTGTCAAAGAAATGTGTAAAATTTCCTCTGATAAAGGGATTCTTTTCTCAAGAAGACTTGTGCTGCTTTGAAAACACTGAGTGAGGGCATGTCTCAAGTATTCAACATCTAATCACTTAACGGCTCTGAAAAATCCTTTTTGATAGATATTTCACTTACTTTTGTCCATCGTTTTGAGTTAGAAGCTTTATGCATAACTCAAATCATGGTAGGCTTTACATGATCAGGAGTTTACAGTTCACAGTATTTTAACAAAGAGCTTAGAAGGCATATAAAGTAGACGATTGTCCTGGTCAGCTGAAAGGCTGAATTACAAAGTACTATAATATGTGTTATAGAATTATCTGTTGCTGAACTTAGTCTGTTTCATCTACTTTCGTTTTCAAAGGTAAACACGTCTGGTAACTAAATTAGTTGGCAGTGCTTATGAATGTATAAACAATTCACCATACTTCAAACTGGATTACTTGTTCCTTGATATATATACCAAAAGTTTCAAGACAACATCAACAAGAGTTCCTCAATATTAGTCAGATCTAAAAATAGATCTACAGCATGACAGTTTTTGACAGATGATAATTACCCTGAAGCCTTGGTCAGTGAGTTCCACGCTGAATTCCTGTTCCTCTTGTGTCCTCAGGTTTAAGTGAATCACTTTGTCGCCATTTGGAAGATCTTTCGCGATTTCGACGAAATCGACAGCGAATGCGACCTCTTTAGCAACTTCCTGTGCCTCTATTCGGAGAGTAAAGTTTTCTTCCTCCTCGACGTCCACCATCGTGCGGAAGTAAGACGCAAGTGCCGGAAGTCAACAAGGGGAGTCACCCATCAAAGGCCAAGGCAGCATGTTTTTCCGGGTTAAAAAAAAACCTGAAGCTGATCAGGGACGTATAATAGATGCATTGTACATGAACGTCCCTGACTAAGCTGATTGGGCGGACTGTGATTATCGATGAAACTCAATGATAAAGATACACACTTTATGGTATCTGCACATTTTACATTAATAAAAAACGAACGCGAGAGTATTTCGTGGCGAATAAATTAGCGCGTAGATAAAACAGGGAGCGCAAAGAAAAAGAAAATCCCGACAACGCATTCAAAAGTGTGATGGAGATGCTTGCAGACAATGGTCATGTTTTGGCAATTAAAAGCAAAAGGGAAAAATAAATACTAACACGCTGCTTCATACATTGTTTAGCATATTCATTAGTACTGAATCAGAGACGTCTCTGTACTGAATGTAATGGAAAGGCACAGGAAGCTGTCATGTGAGGTTATACAATTAAACATGTGTATGTATCAAAACGCAATAGGATTTCTATGTATTATCACTTGTGATTGGTTTTAAAATATCAAATTTTTTAAGTGTCTACTTAGTTTAAAATAAAAATGTTGTTCCCCGCCCCGTCTCCCCTCTATCCTGTTATAAAGTAAAAAGAGACATATCAAGTAAATTGTTTTCCATGAAATTGTTAAAAATCATGTAAAACATAAACTAAAAGAACCATTTGTCTAATGTCTGCGTCTTCCATATTGTCAATAATAATGTAGTGCTGGACAACCTAAAGATATCCATTGGTTTGGCCTTAAAAAATATACAGATACGTGTAACCTAGAGTTACCTCCCTTCTGTTTAAAACGGCCAACATGGCAGCCAGTGGAATACTCCCTACCACTCAGCAGAGGTACGTGAATGGTGTTCCACTGTCCACGGCTCGTAAAACGCTCAGGATGAAAGAAAAGTACGTTATTTTGTTGGTGTTTGTCACATTCGGGTCTGTTTGTTTTGGAGCTATTTTCTTCCTGCCCGATCTTCGGGAGCGAGTAAATGTTAGCGAGATGAGAAAACACATCAAGAACGTGGATACGATTCTTTTACCAAAACCCGGTGAGGGTGGCAACGATTTGTCACCCGGGAAAGGGAAGATCCTGCGTCACGACAACAATGGTGTAGATGCTCATAAGATAGACGACAAAGAACGATTACGTAAACAAATGGAAATACAATGGGAACAAGAAAAAATGGCAGAAGCAGTAGCAAAGAGGCTGAATATGTCCAAGGATGACACCAAAAAAGTACAAGATGAGATTCAGGGCGAGAAGGACAAGATCCTACAGAAAAAGAAGGAGGTAGAGGAACAAAAGAGGGAAGAAGAAAAGGAAAAATTAATGGAGGTTCAGAAGGACCATGAGGGAGGCTTAGGAGGACAGGGTGGAGAGCCCAAAGATTCACAGGCATCCGAGAGAAGGGCAGAAATCCGAAAGGTCAGTATTTAGAGACTGATAATTATAATTATTGTTAGTACTGAACAAATGATTTACTGTATATAAAAATGAGAAGAGGGCAGAAATCTGACAGTTCAGTATTCAGAGACTAATAATTGTAAACAAGTTGTTAGTACTTTAGCACTTAGCTAATGGTTTACTGTGAATATATAGAAGAGGGCAAAATCTGACAGGTCAGTAGTCAGAGACTGATAATTATAAACACTTAGTACATAGCTAGTAATGTACACATTAGAGAGGAGGGCAGAACTATGACATGTCAGTAGTCAGTGACTGATAATTATAAACACTGTTAGTACAAAGCTAGTAATGTACACATCAGAAAGGAGGGCAGAACTATGACATGTCAGTAGTCAGTGACTGATAATTATAAACACTGTTAGTACAAAGCTAGTAATGTACACATTAGAGAGGAGGGCAGAACTATGACATGTCAGTAGTCAGTGACTGATAATTATAAACACTGTTAGTACAAAGCTAGTAATGTACACATCAGAAAGGAGGGCAGAACTATGACATGTCAGTAGTCAGTGACTGATAATTATAATTACTGTTAGTACGTTTAGTACTCAGCTAATGTTTTACTGTGAACATATAGGAGAAGAGGGCAGAAATCTGACAGGTCAGTAGTCAGAGACTGATAATCATAATTACTGTTAATACATAGCTAATGATTAACTGTATATATCAGAGAGAAGAGCAGAAATCTCATGTAAGTATAAATATATATAAATAGAAAACAATGAATTTTTAATAGTAAATAATACTGTGAAGTACAATGAAGTAGAAAAAATAGGAATATTTAGATTGTAGATTTCCCCTTGAAAGTTCACATTTGAGGAGGCAAGTTAATATTAGTCTCGAACAAGTGGAACTCTATCAGGTTTAATCACCAGGGACAAGCACTCTCCAAAAAATAATTACACCCCAGATTATTGTAGACTCAGAACATTGGACATATTACTGGAAATAAGATGAAACGCAGGTATACTGTTAATATCAGACTTACAGAATCACTAGACCAAACTTTAAATGATAAGATGCAGATGCACCTGCTAACTTTTGTTATCAATAGTTCAGCATGACGCTGCTGCAGGATCAGAACATTCCTGTCTGGTTTATAAATGTAGTCACATGTACGGTGACGGACATAAAAAATATGTCAGAATATCACCATTAAATATCACAGGTCAGATGTGTCTAATTGGTTTCTCTCCTAATTATATTTATTTATTCAAATTCATTAAATTTCTATGACATTTCTCTGTTGATATGTATTCAGGTGATGATTAAGGACATTTTTTTACTGTCCATCAACCAATGTCTTGTCAGATATCTTCAAGGTCAAACAGTACAAATGACAAGAGATAAGCGACTGATAATGATAGAAGTAACAACGTGGTGGTGGATGTCACAAAAAAATGTAGTCTAGGACAATGTGCTCTAAATAAATGTTTTATACAGACACAAAATGTTTTTATAAGACACTGTGTTCTTAACATATGTTTTATTCAGAAGTTATGACCTAGTGGTGAATGTCACACAAAATGTAGTTATAGGACATTCTAAATCTATGTTTTTAGGTTACCTAAGACAAAGTCTTATGGTGACCTTTTACAATCACCTTCATCTAACGCATCTGTAAACATTTAACATTTTCGACTTCTTCTCAAAAACAGCTGATCCAGTTTCAATGAGATTTCGTAGAAACCTTCCCTGGCCTAAGATGATCCAAAATTGTGAGTTATACAGTCCCCATCCCTCTCAGATTTAAAATATCAATGTCCAGATTGTGAATTTCATGACCCAAGGGTCTCACATTTCCCCATGGGGAGGGGGTAAGATTTACTATAGTTTATATTGGAAAACTAGATTTTTGAGCATAATTTGTTTAATTTCCATTGAAAATATTTCAAACTTGGTAAGAATTATGAGTGAAGGATGACAGCTTGAGGGTATGCCCATATTATAAATTTTATAGAAAAATTGCATTTTTTTAGCATAAGGTTGGTTATTTCCCACTAGAAATAACTTTATAAGAATTATCAGTATAGGATGACAGTTTTGATGGTATGCATGTTTTGACACTGGCTTACTATATTCAGTGTCATATTTTCTTTTTTATGACACTTGAACCATTATATGAAATATTGCTTATCTCAGGTGACTGTCAAGGTCAATAGGCCTCTCGTATGCGGAAGTTAAAGAGCTGATGATGAATGTCACACAAAGTATAATTCTAGGCTGTGACATGCTGGGATGAAGGCTGGGAGGAAAGGCTACCAAGTTTATTCAAATGAATGACCTCAACCCACTTTCAAGGTCACAGGGGTCAAATATGTTAAAATATACAAACACAAGTGTAGCATAAGGTTGGTTATTTCCCACTAGAAATAACTTTATAAGAATTATCAGTCAAATGTTTTGACACTGGCTTACTATATTAGGTCATATTTTCTTTTTATGAATAAACAGATGTATTTTAACAGAAGTTAAGAGCTGGTGGTGAATGTCACACAAAGTATAATTTTAGGACACAGTGTCCTAAACAGATGTATTTTAACAGAAGTTAAGAGCTGGTGATGAATGTCACACAAAATACTAGGACACTGTGTTCATAGCTTTAATAGTACTATTTCAGTATTTCTGCTGTAAATATGTTATGTGTTACAAATAGAATGATAGCCTTAAATCAGTGATATATCTTGTTTACCATACAGTTACATATTTTCACAAAGGTTCAGTTATCTTGTTGTTTATGTTAGCTATAAGCTTGAGTTTAAATGTTTGGAGATAAAGCACTTAGCAGGTTTCAATCTCACATTTATTTGATGTCTTGATCATGTTTAAAATATCAGAATTTGTTATAGAGATATCTGATATAGGTCCGTCCCAGTCAGGTTCTGAACAAAATTTTCCATTGGACACTCTCTAAATATTTTACAAGAAACGTGTATATACATGATACAGCTTTTAACTGCATGCCAGATACTTTTTCATTAGTAGTCCTAGTCAGCTGACATTTCATTTCTGTGATAAAATAACACTGAAATCTTACTGTATCACAGCAAGAACTAGAAGGATTGAGAAGGAAGGAGGGAGGGGTTACTTGCGTGAATCCTGGCTTGATCATGTTGTTTATATTAACTAGTCCTTTTAAGATTTTCCAAGGACCTGGAAGGGAATGTCCATATCAGAAACAGACATGTGTTATGAATTGTTGTGAATAAAAAATTGAAAGAAAATAAAAGGAAAAAAAATATATGCAGCTGTTACTGCCCTGTTGGAAATATTTGTCTTCAATGTCAAGTGTGTTTTTATTAATTTGATGTGCCTGTGAATAGCAATATATATATACAATCTGTGTCTGTATGTGTTTAATAACCTTTTTAGCAAGCTAATTGATGTGTGTGTGACTAAATATTCCTGAAGTGTCTGTCTATATGAGATATCCCTATGTAGAAAATATCTCACTGTGTGCATGATATTCATGTGTAACAAAATCTCTTTTAGTATTTAAATATATGTACAAAAATAAAGTTGAAGAACATGTGTAGATATTTTTGTTACAAAATATCTGTGAGCAAGATATCCCTGTACTGCACATGAGTATGTGTATATTTGTGAGAGGATGTGTACATGTGTGAGAGGATGTGTGTATGTGTGAGATATCCCTGTGTACCTTAGAAGTATGTGTATATGTGTGAGAGGATGTGTATAGGTGCAAGAGGATTTGTGTATGTGTGAGAGGATGTGTATATGTGTGAGAGGATGTGTGTATGTGTGAGATGATGTGTATATGTATGAGAGGATTTGTGTATGTGTGAGATGATGTGTATATGTGTGAGAGAATGTGTATATGTGTGAGAGGATGTGTATATGTGTCAGAGGATGTGTATATGTGTGAGAGGATTTGTGTATGTGTGAGATGATGTGTATATGTGTGAGAGGATGTGTATGTGTGAGAGGATGTGTATATGTGTGAGAGGATGTTTAAGTGTGAGAGGATTTGTGTATGTGTGAGATGATGTGTATATGTGTGAGAGAATGTGTATATGTGTGAGATGATGTGTATATGTGTGAGAGAATGTGTATATGTGTGAGATGATGTGTATATGTGTGAGAGGATGTGTATATGTATGAGAGGATTTGTGTATGTGTGAGATGATGTGTATATGTGTGAGAGAATGTGTATAGGTGCAAGAGGATTTGTGTATGTGTGAGAGGATGTGTATATGTGTGAGAGGATGTGTGTATGTGTGAGATGATGTGTATATGTGTGAGAGGATTTGTGTATGTGTGAGATGATGTGTATATGTGTGAGAGAATGTGTATATGTGTGAGAGGATGTGTATATGTGTGAGAGGATGTGTATATGTGTGAGAGGATTTGTGTATGTGTGAGATGATGTGTATATGTGTGAGAGGATGTGTATGTGTGAGAGGATGTGTATATGTGTGAGAGGATTTGTGTATGTGTGAGATGATGTGTATAAGTGTGAGAGGATTTGTGTATGTGTGAGATGATGTGTATATGTGTGAGAGAATGTGTATATGTGTGAGATGATGTGTATATGTGTGAGAGAATGTGTATATGTGTGAGATGATGTGTATATGTGTGAGAGGATGTGTATATGTGTGAGATGATGTGTATATGTGTGAGAGGATGTGTGTATGTGTGAGAGGATGTGTATATGTGTGAGAGGATTTGTGTATGTGTGAGAGGATTTGTGTATGTGTGAGATGATATGTATATGTGTGAGAGGATGTGTATGTGTGAGATGATGTGTATAAGTGTGAGAGGATTTGTGTATGTTTGAGAGGATGTGTATATGTGTGAGAGAATGTGTATATGTGTGAGATGATGTGTATATGTGTGAGAGGATGTGTGTATGTGTGAGAGGATGTGTATATGTGAGAGGATTTGTGTATGTGTGAGATGATGTGTATATGTGTGAGAGGATGTGTATGTGTGAGAGGATATGTATATGTGTGAGGGTATACCAAAGTATCATATCATATACTTTATTGGTCCTTTCCTATATATGGTCAATATTAGGGTCAAAATATGTTAAAGCAATACCATGTTAAGCCTTTTGTTTTATAAAGATTTCTTTATTACATATATATATATATCAAATGTATAACTTTTTAAACAGTTGGTTTTCACAGAAATATGTAAATAAAGAGGTTAATTAACAATTATTAAAATGGAAATCCTTATCTGTTGATGAGCTGTCTGGATATGTAAATTTTTTTTTTACTAAATTTTACTAACTGTGTGACTGTCATTTCATTGACAACGGAAATTGACTATGAATAACGGGATAGCATAAAAATAGAAACGTATAAAATACGAACAATCAGTAACAAAATGCTTTTATATAGTGATATCCTTCAATGGCCATTCTAAAACTACAACCTATTATCTTCGTTTTGATTTCACACATAAATGCATTAATGCAAAAAAAATAACCATGGTGACTCTAGAATATGACAAAGAGGGAACACGATGATCTATGTCACTGTTTTACCTTGTGTTCCTGTTTTACCTGTATTGTACTGTAGCATTGTGGTGTTTTTAGAATATAACAAAGAGGGAACACGATGATCTATGTCGCTGTTTTACCTTGTGTTCCTGTTTTACCTGTATTGTGCTGTAGCATTGTAGTTATTTTAAGACAATGGGAACATGATGATCTATGTCACTGTTTTACCTTGTGTTCCTGTTTTACCTGTATTGTACTGTAGCATTGTGGTTATTTTAAGACAATGGGAACATGATGATCTATGTCACTGTTTTACCTTGTGTTCCTGTTTTACCTGTATTGTGCTGTAGCATTGTAGTTATTTTAAGACAATGGGAACATGATGGTCTATGTCACTGTTTTACCTTGTGTTCCTGTTTTACCTGTATTGTACTGTAGCATTGTGGTTATTTTAAGACAATGGGAACATGATGATCTATGTCACTGTTTTACCTTGTGTTCCTGTTTTACCTGTATTGTACTGTAGCATTGTAGTGATTTTAGAATATGACAAAGAGGGAACAAGATGATCTATGTCGCTGTTTCATTGTAAGTCTCAGGTTGTCAAAGGAAATAGTTAGTAATAAATTAAAACTTAGCTTTCTTGATTCTAGATGATGCTCCATGCCTGGAACAATTATGAGAAGCATTCTTGGGGTGCTAATGAACTCCGCCCGATTTCAAAACGTGGCCATAGTGCCAGTATCTTTGGAACACTGAGTCTTGGAGCGACTATTGTTGATGCTGCGGATACCTTATATATCATGGGTCTGGAAGATGAATACAAAAAGGCAAGGGACTGGATAGCGACTTCACTGTCATTTGAAGGGGTAAGTACAACTTAACACTACTTCACTATTATGTAGGGGCAGTATAACTAAACACTACCTCACTGTTGTGTGGGGGCTGTATAACTAAATACTACCTCACTGTTGTGTGGGGTCTGTATAACTAAATACTTCCTCACTGTTGTGTGGGGGGCTGTATAACTAAACACTACCTCACTGTTGTGTGGGGGCTGTATAACTAAATACTACCTCACTGTTGTGTGGGGGCAGTATAACTAAACACTACCTCACTGTTGTGTAGGGGCTGTATTACTAAATACTACCTCACTGTTGTGTGGGGTTTGTATAACTAAATACTTCCTCACTGTTGTGTGGGGGGCTGTATAACTAAACACTACCTCACTGTTGTGTGGTGGCTGTATAACTAAATACTACCTCACTGTTGTGTGGGGGCAGTATAACTAAACACTACCTCACTGTTGTGTGGGGGCTGTATAACTAAACACTACCTCACTGTTGTGTGGGGGCTGTATAACTAAATACTACCTCACTGTTGTGTAGGGGCTGTATAACTAAATACTACCTCACTGTTGTGTAGGGTCTATATAGATTAACACTACCTTACTGTTTTGTGGGGGCAGTATAACTAAACACTACCTCACTGTTGTGTGGGGGCTGTATAACTAAATACTTCCTCACTGTTGTGTGGGGGCTGTATAACTAAACACTACCTCACTGTTGTGTGGGGGCAGTATAACTAAACACTACCTCACTGTTGTGTGGGGGCTGTATAACTAAACACTACCTCACTGTTGTGTGGGGGCTGTATAACTAAACACTAACTCACTGTAGTGTGGGGGCAGTATAACTAAACACTACCTCACTGTTGTGTGGGGGCTGTATAACTAAACACTACCTCACTGTTGTGTGGGGGCTGTATAACTAAACACTACCTCACTGTTGTGTGGGGGCTGTATAACTAAACACTACCTCACTGTTGTGTGGGGGCTGTATAACTAAACACTACCTCACTGTTGTGTAGGGTCTGTATAACTAAACACTACCTCACTGTTGTGTGGGGGCTGTATAACTAAACACTACCTCACTGTTGTGTGGGGGCTGTATAACTAAACACTACCTCACTGTTGTGTGGGGGCTGTATAACTAAACACTACCTCACTGTTGTGTATGGGCTGTATAACTAAACACTACCTCACTGTTGTGTATGGGCTGTATAACTAAACACTACCTCACTGTTGTGTGGGGGCTGTATAACTAAACACTACCTCACTGTTGTGTGGGGGCTGTATAACTAAACACTACCTCACTGTTGTGTGGGGGCTGTATAACTAAACACTACCTCACTGTTGTGTGGGGGCTGTATAACTAAACACTACCTCACTGTTGTGTGGGGGCAGTATAACTAAACACTACCTCACTGTTGTGTGGGGGCTGTATAACTAAACACTACCTCACTGTTGTGTGGGGGCTGTATAACTAAACACTACCTCACTGTTGTGTGGGGGGCTGTATAACTAAACACTACCTCACTGTTGTGTGGGGGGCTGTATAACTAAACACTACCTCACTGTTGTGTGGGGGCTGTATAACTAAACACTACCTCACTGTTGTGTGGGGGCTGTATAACTAAACACTACCTCACTGTTGTGTGGGGGCTGTATAACTAAACACTACCTCACTGTTGTGTGGGGGCTGTATAACTAAACACTACCTCACTGTTGTGTGGGGGCTGTATAACTAAACACTACCTCACTGTTGTGTGGGGGCTAAACACTACCTGTAAACACTACCTCACTAAACACTACCTCACTGTTGTGTGGGGGCTGTATAACTAAACACTACCTCACTGTTGTGTGGGCAGTATAACTAAACACTACCTCACTGTTGTGCTGTATAAGTAAACACTACCTCACTGTTGTGTGGGGGCTGTATAACTAAACACTACCTCACTGTTGTGTGAGGGCTGTATAACTAAACACTACCTCACTGTTGTGAGGGGGCTGTATAACTAAACACTACCTCACTGTTGTGTGGGGTCTATATAGATTAACACTACCTCACTGTTGTGTGGGGACTGTATAACTAAATACTACTTCACTGTTGTGTGGGGGCTGTATAACTAAACACTACCTCACTGTTGTGTGGGGGCTGTATAACTAAACACTACCTCACTGTTGTGTGGGGGCTGTATAACTAAACACTACCTCACTGTTGTGTGGGGGCTGTATAACTAAACACTACCTCACTGTTGTGTGGGGGCTGTATAACTAAACACTACCTCACTGTTGTGTGGGGGCTGTATAACTAAATACTACCTCACTGTTGTGTGGGGGCTGTATAACTAAACACTACCTCACTGTTGTGTGGGGGCTGTATAACTAAATACTACCTCACTGTTGTGAGGGGGCTGTATAACTAAATACTACCTCACTGTTGTGTGGGGGCTGTATAACTAAACACTACCTCACTGTTGTGTGGGGGCTGTATAACTAAACACTACCTCACTGTTGTGTGGGGGCTGTATAACTAAACACCACCTCACTGTTGTGTGGGGCCTCTAAAACTAAACACTACCTCACTGTTGTGTGGGGGCTGTATAACTAAACACTACCTCACTGTTGTGTGGGGGCTGTAATAACTAAACACTACCTCACTGTTGTGTGGGGGCTGTATAACTAAACACTACCTCACTGTTGTGTGGGGGCTGTATAACTAAACACTACCTCACTGTTGTGTGGGGGCTGTATAACTAAACACTACCTCACTGTTGTGTGGGGGCTGTATAACTAAACACTACCTCACTGTTGTGTGGGGGTATAACTAAACACTACCTCACTGTTGTGTGGGGGCAGTATAACTAAACACTACCTCACTGTTGTGTGGGGGCTGTATAACTAAACACTACCTCCCTGTTGTGTAGGGTCTATATAGATTAACACTACCTTACTGTTTTGTGGGGGCTTTATAACTAAACACTACCTCACTGTTGTGTGGGGGCTGTATAAGTAAACACTACCTCACTGTTGTGTAGGGGCAGTATAACTAAACACTACCTCACTGTTGTGTGAGGGCTGTATAACTAAACACTACCTCAACACTGTATAACTAAACACTCACTGTTGTGTGGGGGCTGTATAACTAAACACTACCTCACTGTTGTGTGGGGGCTGTATAACTAAACACTACCTCACTGTTGTGTGGGGGCTGTATAACTAAACACAACCTCACTGTTGTGTGGGGGCAGTATAACTAAATACTACCTCACTGTTGTGTGGGGGCTGTATAACTAAACACTACCTCACTGTTGTGTGAGGGCTGTATAACTAAACACTACCTCACTGTTGTGAAGGGGCTGTATAACTAAACACTACCTCACTGTTGTGTGGGGGCTGTATAACTAAACACTACCTCACTGTTGTGTGGGGTCTATATAGATTAACACTACCTCACTGTTGTGTGGGGGCTGTATAACTAAACACTACCTCACTGTTGTGTGGGGGCTGTATAACTAAATACTACCTCACTGTTGTGTGGGGGCTGTATAACTAAACACTACCTCACTGTTGTGTGGGGGGCTGTATAACTAAACACTACCTCACTGTTGTGTGGGGGCTGTATAACTGTATAACTAAATACTACCTCACTGTTGTGTGGGGGCTGTATAACTAAACACTACCTCACTGTTGTGTGGGGGCTGTATAACTAAACACTACCTCACTGTTGTGTAGGGGCTGTATAACTAAACACTACCTCACTGTTGTGTGGGGGCTGTATAACTAAATACTACCTCACTGTTGTGTGGGGGCTGTATAACTAAACACTACCTCACTGTTGTGTGGGGGCTGTATAACTAAACACTACCTCACTGTTGTGTGGGGGCTGTATAACTAAATACTACCTCACTGTTGTGTGGGGGCTGTATAACTAAATACTACCTCACTGTTGTGTGGGGGCTGTATAACTAAATACTACCTTACTGTTGTGTGGGGACTGTATAACTAAATACTTCCTCACTGTTGTGTGGGGACTGTATAACTAAATACTACCTCACTGTTGTGTGGGGGCTGTATAACTAAATACTACCTCACTGTTGTGTGGGGGCTGTATAACTAAACACTACCTCACTGTTGTGTGGGGGCTGTATAACTAAATACTACCTCACTGTTGTGTGGGGGCTGTATAACTAAACACTACCTCACTGTTGTGTGGGGGCTGTATAACTAAACACTACCTCACTGTTGTGTGGGGGCTGTATAACTAAACACTACCTCACTGTTGTGTGGGGGCTGTATAACTAAATACTTCCTCACTGTTGTGTGGGGGCTGTATAACTAAACACTACCTCACTGTTGTGTGGGGGCTGTATAACTAAATACTTCCTCACTGTTGTGTGGGGGCTGTATAACTAAATACTACCTCACTGTTGTGTGGGGGCTGTATAACTAAATACTACCTCACTGTTGTGTGGGGGCTGTATAACTAAATACTACCTCACTGTTGTGTGGGGGCTGTATAACTAAACACTACCTCACTGTTGTGTGGGGGCAGTATAACTAAATACTACATTGTTATAAAGGGTTTTAACATCAGTATTTGCCTAAAGGAATTAGAACATATTTGATAGAGCTGACATTGTTGATGGGAGTTGGTTTTTGTTTGTTTATTGACAATAGATGTAATTGCTTTGTACTAAGGTTTATGGTTCATGTGTCGCCTTTTGAACATTGTCTTATTTGGTCAGTGATGTGGAGGGAGTTGATGACCGTAACTTAATCATGACTGATGTGTGTTAGGCAGATATGTTTATCTGTTGTCTCGTACTCCCATCCCTGGCAATATTGTGGGACATTGCAATCCAACGTAATATTGATTCATCCCTAGATTATTATACTGTTTATATAGAATTCTAGCTTTTACATCTCCCTGGGACTGAGGATGTATAGGGCTGGTACTACTCCCTGGGACTGAGGATGTATAGGGCTGGTACTACTCCCTGGGACTGAGGATGTATAGGGCTGGTACTACTCCCTGGGACTGAGGATGTATAGGGCTGGTACTACTCCCTGGGACAGAGGATGTATAGGGCTGGTACTACTCCCTGGTACTGAGGGTGTATATGGCTGGTACTACTCCCTGGTACTGAGGATGTATAGGGCTGGTACTACTCCCTGGGACTGAGGATGTATAGGGCTGGTACTACTCCCTGGGACTGAGGATATATATGGCTGGTACTACTCCCTGGGACTGAGGACTGAGGATGTATAGGGCTGGTACTACTCCCTGGTACTGAGGGTGTATAGGGCTGGTACTACTCCCTGGGACTGAGGATGTATAGGGCTGGTACTACTCCCTGGGACTGAGGATGTATAGGGCTGGTACTACTCCCTGGTACTGAGGATGTATAGGGCTGGTACTACTCCCTGGGACTGAGGATGTATAGGGTTGGTACTACTCCCTGGGGCTGAGGACTGAGGATGTAGAGGGCTGGTACTACTCCCTGGGACTGAGGGTGTATAGGGCTGGTACTACTCCCTGGGACTGAGGATGTATAGGGCTGGTACTACTCCCTGGGACTGAGGATGTATAGGGCTGGTACTACTCCCCCGGACTGAGGATTTATTTGGCCAATAACTTCATGTCATCTATAGGGGAACTTGCGGAAAATTTGAAGTTTTAAAAAAAATTGTAATAGTTATACCCTATATTATATAGCACTGTCATAAATTCTTGTGGAAATGTGTCAATCTAATTTGATTGTTATTCTGACTAATGATTGTTTATTTTCTTTGTAGGCAAGTGAGCTGTCAGTATTTGAGACCAACATCAGATTTGTAGGTGGACTGTTGTCACTGTATGGGTTGACTGGAGACCAGGTAAAGTAATATAGAAATATGGACTGATTTACTCACCAAGAGCATATTATAATTAACACATTATACTAAAAGGATACACAGATATCAAATCTGTCATTGACAATCTCTTCTTGTTGTTACAGATGTACAAGACTAAAGCTAAAACTATTGCAGATAAGCTATTACCAGCCTTCAAGACGGCAACCGGAATACCTCAATCTATGGTCAACACTAAAACGTAAGTAAATCCTGTAGACAGACCTCACTCTGTGGTTAACACTGAAACATTAGTAAATCATGTAGACAGACCTTAGTCTGTAGTTAACACTGAAACATCAGTAAATCATATAGACAGACCTCAGTCTGTGGTTAACACTGAAACATCAGTAAATCCTGTAGACAGACCTCAGTCTGTGGTTAACACTGAAACATTAGTAAATCATGTAGACAGACCTCAGTCTGTGGTTAACACTGAAACATCAGTAAATCCTGTAGACAGACCTCAGTCTGTGGTTAACACTGAAACATCAGTAAATCCTGTAGACAGACCTCAGTCTGTGGTTAACACTGAAACATCAGTAAATCCTGTAGACAGACCTCAGTCTGTGGTTAACACTGAAACATCAGTAAATCCTGTAGACAGACCTCAGTCTGTGGTTAACACTGAAACATCAGTAAATCCTGTAGACAGACCTCAGTCTGTGGTTAACACTGAAACATCAGTAAATCATGTAGACAGACCTCAGTTAGTGGTTATATGTATGGTTTAGATTCTATCAGTATGTTACCATGGTTTTGTGTATGGTTTAGATTCTATCAGTATGTTACCATGGTTATATGTATGGTTTAGATTCTATCAGTATGTTACCATGGTTTTCTATATGGTTTAGATTCTATCAGAATGTTACCATGGTTTTGTGTATGGTTTAGATTCTATCACTATGTTACCATGGTTTTCTATATGGTTTAGATTCTATCAGTATGTTACCATGGTTTTGTGCATGATTTAGATTCTATCAGAATGTTGCCATGGTTTTGTGCATGGTTTAGATTCTATCAGAATGTTGCCATGGTTTTGTGTATGGTTTACATTCTATCAGTATGTTACCATGGTTTTGTGTATGGTTTACATTCTATCAGTATGTTACCATGGTTTTGTGTTTGGTTTAAATGATACCAGTAGGGTTTGTACTGTTCTGTCCTGATAAATGATCGCAAAGGGAAAGCTGTAGCAAATTAAAGCACAACAGAAGAGTCCAGGATTGGATTCAGAAAAAGTAATGGGATATAATATGATTTAAGTCTTTGTATAATGTACATATTTATAGCGAGCTGAGTGATTGATGTTGTTCATGTCAGTATAATGTCAAAAACAGAAACATAAACCATTGAATCATTACATCGGTATATGGATATTGGCCTTGTAAACAAACACAACCAATAAAAAATATCACACAAGTTTGATCAGTATAATGTCCATTTGCTTACTGATGTATGCTGAAAGGAAAAGAACATACAGAGGCAGACACAGAGAAAAAACAAATAATATCAGCTACATACAATGTAAAATGATTGCCTTGCCAAGGGATGATAAGAGCGTTTTACTGGTAAGAAAACAAATCTTTGGTGCTATAATCTTTTAGTGCATTAGGGCTGCTGTTTTATCTGGTGTGACAGAACAGCCTTATAGACAATTGGTACTACACACAAAACGTTTTCCTAGAACTATGTAAATGTTGATCAACCAAACAGGTGATTAACTATCAGATCTAGATATCCTACATCGAGATAATAGCCATGAAAAGAAATCAATTTTTAAACCTATGACTGATCCATTCATTGTAAATGGATAATTCTGGGCCCAGCTCCATACAATGGTGTTTGAAATCGGTATATTGAGGAAGATAGATAAATCATTACCGAAGAATCAGACTGTATGCTGCCATTATATTTACAAAGAAAAATTAGAGAGTTAATGCATTTTACTTTTAAGTTAGAATAGGAATCTTGTTCAGTGTTTTGTAACAGAAGGCTAGATTTTGTAATGTCTACTATTATCTGTCTTTTGTCCAAACCATGGTTTCTGAGTGTAGAATGCCTCCCAGAGTTCCTTAATGGTACGGAAAGAAGTATACTATTAAGTTAATTGATTAATGCCACTCATAGATTTCTAATGGATGGTTACATGAAGGATGATTATCCATTTACAATATTGATTTTTTGAGTCTTGCAATCTGTAGCATCTATAGTGTCTGAATCACAGACTTAAGTCTGAGTAACAATCACAGACTTATATCTGAGTAACAATTACAGACAGGTGTCTGAGTAACAATCACAGACTTATATCTGAGTAACAATCACAGACTTATATCTGAGTAACAATCACAGACAGGTGTCTGAGTAACAATCACAGACTTATATCTGAGTAACAATCACAGACTTGTGTCTGAGTAACAATCATAGACTTGTGTCTGAGTAACAATCATAGACTTATATCTGAGTAACAATCACAGACTTATGTCTGAGTAACAATCACAGACTTATATCTAGACTTGTGTTTGAGTAACAATTATAGACTTATATATCTGAGTAACAATCACAGACAGGTGTCTGAGTAACAATCACAGAATTATATCTGAGTAACAATCAGAGACTTGTGTCTGAGTAACAATCATAGACTTGTGTCTGAGTAACAATCATAGACTTGTGTCTGAGTAACAATCACAGACAGGTGTCTGAGTAACAATCACAGACTTGTGTCTGAGTAACAATCACAGACTTCTATCTGAGTAACAATCACAGACTTATATCTGAGTAACAATCACAGACCTATATCTGAGTAACAATCACAGAGTTATGTCTTAGTAACAATCATAGACTTGTGTCTAAGTAACAATTAATCGCAGACAGGTGTTTTAGTACAGATCAATCACAAGCAGGTGTTTTAGTACAGATCAATCACAGACAGGTGTTTTATAGTACAGATCAATCACAGGCAGGTGTTTTAGTACAGATCAATCACAGACAGGTGTTTTATAGTACAGATCAATCACAGACAGATGTTTTATTACAGATCAATCACAGACAGGTGTTTTATAGTACAGATCAATCACAGGCAGATGTTTTAGTACAGATCAATCACAGACAGATGTTTTATAGTACAGATCAATCACAAACAGGTGTTTTAGTACAGATCAATCACAGACAGGTGTTTTATAGTACAGATCAATCACAGACAGGTGTTTTATAGTACAGATCAATCACAGACAGGTGTTTTATAGTACAGATCAATCACAGACAGGTGTTTTATAGTACAGATCAATCACAGACAGGTGTTTTATAGTACAGATCAATCACAGACAGGTGTTTTATAGTACAGATCAATCACAGACAGGTGTTTTATAGTACAGATCAATCACAGACAGGTGTTTTATAGTACAGATCAATCACAGACAGGTGTTTTATAGTACAGATCAATCACAAACAGGTGTTTTAGTACAGATCAATCACAGACAGGTGTTTTATAGTACAGATCAATCACAAACAGGTGTTTTATAGTACAGATCAATCACAGACAGGTGTTTTATAGTACAGATCAATCACAGACAGGTGTTTTATAGTACAGATCAATCACAAGCAGGTGTTTTAGTACAGATCAATCACAGGCAGGTGTTTTATAGTACAGATCAATAACAGACAGGTGTTTTAGTACAGATCAATCACAAGCAGGTGTTTTAGTACAGATCAATCACAGACAGGTGTTTTATAGTACAGATCAATCACAGACAGGTGTTTTAGTACAGATCAATCACAGACAGGTGTTTTATAGTACAGATCAATCACAGACAGGTGTTTTATAGTACAGATCAATCACAGACAGGTGTTTTATAGTACAGATCAATCACAGACAGGTGTTTTATAGTACAGATCAATCACAAACAGGTGTTTTATAGTACAGATCAATCACAGACAGGTGTTTTAGTACAGATCAATCACAGACAGGTGTTTTAGTACAGATCAATCACAGACAAGTGTTTTATAGTACAGATCAATCACAGACAGGTGTTTTATAGTACAGATCAATCACAAACAGGTGTTTTATAGTACAGATCAATCACAGACAGGTGTTTTATAGTACAGATCAATCACAGACAGGTGTTTTATAGTACAGATCAATCACAGACAGATGTTTTATAGTACAGATCAATCACAAGCAGGTGTTTTAGTACAGATCAATCACAGACAGGTGTTTTAGTACAGATCAATCACAAGCAGGTGTTTTAGTACAGATCAATCACAGACAGGTGTTTTATAGTACAGATCAATCACAGACAGGTGTTTTATAGTACAGATCAATCACAGGCAGGTGTTTTATAGTACAGATCAATCACAAACAGGTGTTTTATAGTATAGATCAATCACAGGCAGGTGTTTTAGTACAGATCAATCACAAGCAGGTGTTTTAGTACAGATCAATCACAGACAGGTGTTTTAGTACAGATCAATCACAGACAAGTGTTTTATAGTACAGATCAATCACAGACAGGTGTTTTAGTACAGATCAATCACAAACAGGTGTTTTATAGTACAGATCAATCACAGGCAGATGTTTTAGTACAGATCAATCACAAGCAGGTGTTTTAGTACAGATCAATCACAAGCAGGTGTTTTAGTACAGATCAATCACAAGCAGGTGTTTTAGTACAGATCAATCACAGACAGGTGTTTTATAGTACAGATCAATCACAGACAGGTGTTTTATAGTACAGATCAATCACAGACAGGTGTTTTATAGTACAGATCAATCACAGACAGGTGTTTTATAGTACAGATCAATCACAGACAGGTGTTTTATAGTACAGATCAATCACAGACAGGTGTTTTATAGTACAGATCAATAACAGACAGGTGTTTTATAGTACAGATCAATCACAGACAGGTGTTTTATAGTACAGATCAATCACAGACAGGTGTTTTATAGTACAGATCAAACAATCTTTACATGAATTTTGTGTTAGTGTTAAAGATTGGTTCTAGACTATACTTTGTCACTTCTAGAAGAAACTTTTAAAATCAGGCTGAACAGAATATGTATAAAAATCAGGCTGAACAGAATATGTATAAAAATCAGGCTGAACAGAATATGTACAGTCTTTGTTGACCATATATACTGTCATACATGTATCCTTTGCTTTAGAGCCAAGGAATGTTGTCTTGCAATTCATTTTAGACAAAGATTTAATGTCAAATATTAGCTCGTCTATCTGAAGGATGAACATAGAAAGAGCTTACGTTGTGGTTTGTCATTTGGCATCCAACTGACATTGACATCTGTTTTTTTTAGCCAGCCTTGTCTGAAGGCTTGGATTTTGTACTTATTCAGCAGAAGCATTCTTATGTGAAAAGGAGTAATTTTTGTATAGATAATTTGTCTTGGACCTGTGGAGCAGGGGGAGCAGGCCCGAAAGGGAAAATAGAGCAAATGCTTTCTAGGATTCTGTCTCAATTTAGTCAGAGGAATCCTTGGGTGAAGAAGGAATCAATTTTTGATAAATGATTGCTGTCATTCCCTTGGATTGAGAGGGCCAGTGTTCAATAGGGGATATATACCTTATGTTGTAGATATAGCAGTAAATTGTCCAATTTGGTAGGGAAAGGGACCAAAGAAGAGTCCTTTCCTTAGTTTGGATAAAACAAACCAGATGAGAGATACAGGCCCTATGTGCCTCTTGTCTTTTGACAACTTCTCAATTACAAGGAAGTCAAAGACCTTTGTCTGTGGTGCATTGTCCATCTGTCTGCAAACAAATGTTGTTATTTGTCGATATGTACAGGATGGATCCTTTTTGATCTCTAGTTTTGCCCTTTTGATTTTGGGACTGATCAGAAAAATAAAACTGCACAAAGGCAGCCATCTTAGATTTTAACAATGAAAATTTGTTATTGATATTTTTTGCGAATTACTGAAGGAATATTTCTCAAATTCTGTAAGTGGGTTTCCCTTAGTCTCCAGTTATGTCCTTTTGATTTGGGGACAGGTCAGAAAAAAAAGGAACTGACATGAAGCCATCTTGGAGTTAGTTAACATAAATTGCTATTGTTTATTCTTGAAACGTATGGAAAAATATTTCTCAAACATGATGTGTAAGTTTGCTATGGTCTCAAGTTGTGCCCATTGTGCTCAAGAAAGCTAAATTGCAGGCCAAAGAACATCTTCAATAGATGTGTTTTTTGTTGTTGCTGTTTTTCAGAAAGCTTTTTAGATCTTGCTTAGATTTCATGTGTAGGATTCCACAGTTATCAAATGATAAAGAGGGGAAAGAACAGGAATGTTGAGAAAGTATCAGATGTGTAAAGAACCATTAAAGAGTGTTCTATGGTGGGTGTCCACTGTGATCTCTGGTGTGTTCTTACCCTTAAAAATCTAGGTAACAGTTTTTTAAGAAATCCTATTGCTTTTTAATTGACGTTCTGGTGCATTTTCTTTCAAAGGGACTTTTGAAAAGCTTTGAATATAACACTTTCCTTTTTATTTGTTTGTAGAAATATAGAAATTCCTAAATAATTTGAAAATTTGAAGGTGTAGTTGTTGAAATTGGCACTTCACATTTTCCAGTGTCATGTTTATTTTCATTCTTTTTTTTTTTTTTTGTTAATATATGGCTAACATAGATTTTTGTGCCAGTTGTCCAAAGTACACATAATTCTTTTAAATAGTAGGTTTTGACTAGTCTATTAAAAAGAATCTGACAGAGAGCTGATCAATTATGTAGTCTTGGGTCTGGTATCAAGCCAGATCAATCATGTTGTCTTGGGTTTGGTTGCTATGATGAATGGGTTGAGAGGACGTTTCAGTGAAAGCCACTATAAAATTACACTTGGAATTCTATACCTTATCATCAGATATCATTTAATCCATATTCTGTAGAGTTTCTGTTTTACTGCTAATGGAATAACAGACTTATCTACCATAGTCTATCACTTCAGAGGCTGAAATCAGACAAGTCATACATCCAAAGTTTTCAAGTCATCATTAGCATGAAGTATATTGTATTCATGTGACTGTCTTTTTTCAGGAAATGTTTAATGTTTTAACAGAATGCCCCATTGTAAATAATTTTTATCTAGTCAGGAGAGCAGTCATCCCATTGTAAATGTTTTCTATGTTGATAGGGAAGCAATTATCTGGTTGTAAATATTTTCTATGTTGATTGGTACTCAATAAAAGTAAATATTTCTGATGTTGACAGGAGCAGCTGTTGTCTCATTGTAAATATTTCTGATGTTGACAGGAGCAGCTGTTGTCTCATTGTAAATATTTCTGATGTTGACAGGAGCAGCTGTTGTCTCATTGTAAATATTTCTGATGTTGACAGGAGCAGCTGTTGTCTCATTGTAAATATTTCTGATGTTGACAGGAGCAGCAGTTGTCTGTGTGTTAATTTTTTTGTGATGTTGACAGAAGCAGCTGTTGTCTCATTGTAAATATTTATGATGTTGACAGGAGCAGCTGTTGTCTCATTGTAAATATTTCTGATGTTGACAGGAGCAGCTGTTGTCTCATTGTAAATATTTCTGATGTTGACAGGAGCAGCAGTTGTCTCATTGTAAATATTTCTGATGTTGACAGGAGCAGCAGTTGTCTCATTGTAAATATTTCTGATGTTGACAGGAGCAGCAGTTGTCTGGTTGTAAATTTTTTGTGATGTTGACAGAAGCAACAGTTGTCTCATTGTAAATATTTCTGATGTTGACAGGGGGAGCAGTCGTAATTGGGGCTGGGCTTCTGGAGGCTGTTCTATCCTAGCAGAGTTCGGATCTTTCCATCTGGAGTTTGCCTATTTATCGGAGATCACTGGAGACCCTTTGTATCTAGAGAAGGTAAGCTGTTCATTTATATATGTCGTTACACTACTTTTGTGAAACAGCTGCTAAAACTTAACTGAAATTACAATGTGTCCATTACCTGCTGGTATTGCAATTTCTTTTATATTGCTTGTGGTCTAGACATTTTTAAGATATCACTAACATTTTCTTTGAGTCATCTCGTATTGTTGGGTACAGTACAAAAATTTTCACAACAGAGGCAAATTTTTGGTTGTTCAACTTGTGTTGGCAGTGGGTTGTGGAGGTGGGAGATTACAGATACCTTTTTACACATCATTGTCCCAAATCTGTAGGCCGTCCTTTACACAGGGTGATTACCTTTTTACATGTCATATCTCAAATTTGAAGGTCAACTTTTGCTGGGAGGCTGAGTAGTCTCTTATCTATTATTGTCTCAGCTGAGGTCTATACATGTTTCATAACCTGAGCTTTCATCAACATTAACATCAGCTAAGTGAATGAAATAACAAGACACACCAAATGTTTCATCAAACTTTAAGCTTCTAAATATTCTTAAAATGTTATAAGTTTCAAGGCATGACTGGCTGGAGGCCACCTGTATCAAACCAGGACTGACCACTGTCTGATAGCTGTCTCAGCTATAACTGGTAGGTGGCTGTCTCAAGTTATAACTGGTAGGTAGCTATCTCAAGCTATAACTGGTAGGTGGCTGTCTCAAGCTATAACTGGTAGGTGGCTGTCTCAAGCTAAAACTGGCTGGTGGCTGTCTCAGCTATAGCTGGTAGGTGGCTATCTCAAGCTATAACTGGTAGGTGGCTGTCTCAAGTTATAACTGGTAGGTGGCTGTCTCAAGTTATAACTGGTAGGTGGCTGTCTCAAGCTAAAACTGGCTGGTGGCTGTCTAAAGCTATAACTGGTAGGTGGCTGTCTAAAGCTATAACTGGTAGGTGGCTGTCTCATGCTATAACAGGCTAGTAGCTGTCTCAAGCTAAAACTGGCTGGTGGCTGTCTTCAGCTAAACCTGGCTGGTGGCTGTCTTAAGCTAAAACTGGCTGGTGGCTGTCTAAAGCTATAACTGGTAGGTGGCTGTCTCAAGTTATAACTGGTAGGTGACTGTCTCATGCTATAACAGGCTAGTGGCTGTCTCAAACTGTAACTGGTTGGTGGCTGTCTAAAGCAATAACTGGCAGGTAGATCTCTGAACCCCAAGAGACTGGGTTCCTAACTTTGCAAGCAATTAGCAGGTCTTTGACCACAAAAAGCTGATGGATGTCCTTATCCAGACCTTAACATAACACTCTCTCATTGTAACTACACTTCAAACATAACACTCTCTCATTGTAACTACACCTCAAACATAACACTCTCTCATTGTAACTACACTTCAAACATAACACTCTCTCATTGTAACTACACCTCAAACATAACACTCTCTCATTGTAACTACACCTCAAACATAACACTCTCTCATTGTAACTACACCTCAAACATAACACTCTCTCATTGTAACTACACCTCAAACATAACACTCTATCATTGTAACTACAGCTCAAACATAACACTCTCTCATTGTAACTACAGGTCATGAAGATTCGTGAGACACTGAATTCTCTAGAGAAACCAAATGGACTCTATCCAAATTACCTGAATCCCCGGACTGGCCGCTGGGGACAACGTGAGTACACAATCCATTAGTATGATAAAATGGCACACTTTTGTTTGTTGAATCAGTTTTGTATATCAATCAATATTTTTCATTTTCAGGCAATACAAGTTATTTTACAAAATATCAAAATTTTGAACAACCTACCTGAACAAATTATCTCAGCACCTACAATAATTCCTTAAAAAACAGATTAGAGAAGCATTGGAAAGATCAAGAACTGTTATGGAACAACAATGCCGAAGTTGTATAGGAATTGGAACTGAGGTGACAATGTGTTATTGATTTATATACTGTATTGTTTGTATATCTAAGACCAGTTTAGAGGATCATAGTTGGTCTTGTACTGGTAATAAAACTTCACTAAAACTTCACTTTACAGACCCTAGTGTTATTTTGAGTATCTAAACATTGTGTTTTATTGATAGAAAAAATGCATTTTTTTATCAGTAGAATATTCTTTCTTAACCAGTTAAATCGATAGATACCCAATCTCAGATTAGAACATTCTTAACATATAACAGTAGAATTAAAGGTTTCCCAATGTTAAACCATAACGTTTATGTAAGTATAACAACTTTCATCTTGTAGAAGAGTTGTAGCCTATTTTGATCACTTCTTTCTCTGAAAAAACTATCTTATTTCCAGAGCACACATCTATTGGAGCCCTGGGGGACAGTTTCTATGAGTATTTACTGAAGGCGTGGTTACTTTCTGGTAAGAAGGACACCCAGGCACGTGAGATGTACGATGCAGCTATCAAGGTGAGTAGGATCAAAAGTATTTGGTCTTTCAAGAAAATATCCCAAACCTTCTCTGAAATAAATTGGCTTGTAAATGAAGATTGAAAATATGTCTCTTACTAAGCCTGTCTCATGTAAATACCTGCTGGGCTTTCATCTTGTTTCTTATTCAAAATATTTAGTTTGGTAAAAATTATGTATGCTCTTAAATTGTAGGTCTCATCTCTAAATTCTTTAAGCCATCAAATGATTGCTTAGATTGGTGTGTTGCACTGCTATCAGGCCTAAGTACTCAATAAATTTTCAAGTTGCTGATCCACTTCTAGTGTTTAAAATCAATAGGCTTAATTTCATGGCTGCTATAAAGTCTGAACTGTAACTGTTGAATTTCATGACCTATGACCCTTTTTAACTCACCTCTTTGAAGAAGATGTCATTGCGTTGCGTTGGCATTGATTTTCAAATGTTAGTATAGTACATCATTGTACTTGGTATAGGGGTTCCTCCTGTGGAGTTTAATTAATCTTTCTTGGAGTCAGACAAAGGAATTTTGAAGGGGGAACCTGCTGATTGATGTAGTTTGGACTACATATCTGTAATAGTTCAGTAATTATCAGTGAAATACAATATGGACAGGTAGCTTGGCAGACTCCATTGATAAAGTACACAATATCAATAAACTATATATCTGTCTCAGTTGTTATCAACAATTCCAGGGGCAGCTCTGATATTCTGTAACAGCTCATGTTACTATGGTTACATTCGAGGGGGAGGGGGGCAAGTATTTAAATCTGTATCATCCTTTCAATATGGTGGAGGAGGAAATTATATATTTATGGCCCTCTAGGACTGAAGAAGATAACAAACGACAGAAATTAAAATGGAAAACAATGGGTTGTTATGTTCATTGATTACCTGTATATGAAGCATTACTAGAGCTCTTTGTCCCATTTTCACAGGCTATTGATGAGAAGTTGGTAAGGCAATCCCCTGGAGGTCTACGATATGTGGCCGAGTTTAAGTCTGGCAGAGTTGAAAACAAGATGGATCACTTAGCCTGCTTCAGTGGTAAATCCTTATACTGTAATATACATTACAATTTTTACTGCTGTTACATGTTGTGTAAAGTTACAAAGTTCATACACTTACCACAGTATATTACTAGCAAGAATATCTCATAATATTTGTACAGACCTTCCTTATATCATCCAAGACCCACCATACACACCTATATATAGACAGACCCTAACACTTACCTATGTTACCCTCCATACACACCTGTATATAGACCCTAACACTTATCTATGTTACCCTCCATACACACCTGTATATAGACAGACCCTAACACTTATCTATGTTACCCTCCATACACACCTGTATATAGACAGACCCTAACACTTATCTATGTTACCCTCCATACACACCTGTATATAGACCCTAACACTTATCTATGTTACCCTCCATACACACCTGTATATAGACCCTAACACTTATCTATGTTACCCTCCATACACACCTGTATATAGACCCTAACACTTATCTATGATCTTTAGTCTGTTTCTTTCAAATGTTATTTTTGTTAGTAAAAGTAATATCTTGTTTTATAGGAGGGATGTTTGCCCTTGGAGCTGAGGGCTCTGACAACAAGGAGAAATATCTGAAGCTTGGAGCTGATATTACTAACACATGTCATGAGTCTTATGACCGCTCAGGTAAATACAACACACTTGTGGGTCTGGGCGTAACTTGTCACAGTGCTGGTTGTAACTAATGAGTCACCAAACACTATTGGGTCTATCTTGTAAAAATGTGCACCACACACTTCTAGCTGTAACTGGTGAATAGGTGTGCCACAGTGTTGGGTAGGTCTGTAAAGAAGATGTGGCACACTCCTGTTGTATCTGATGAGGTTTGCCACACATTCCTGTGTTATTTGATGAGTAAGTGTGCCACACATTCCTGTGTTATTTGATGAGTAAGTGTGCCACACATTCCTGTGTTATTTGATGAGTAAGTGTGCCACACATTCCTGTGGTATTTGATGAGTAAGTGTGCCACACATTCCTGTGGTATTTGATGTGTAAGTGTGCCACACATTCCTGTGTTATTTGATGAGTAAGTGTGCCACACATTCCTGTGTTATTTGATGAGTAAGTGTGCCACACATTCCTGTGTAATTTGATGAGTAAGTGTGCCACACATTTCTGTGGTATTTGATGTGTAAGTGTGCCACACATTCCTGTGGTATTTGATGAGTAAGTGTGCCACTCACTCTTAGTGTATCTAGTGAGTAGGTGTATCACCCTTGGACATCTTAATGAGTGAATCTGTAAACCCATGCTACTTTAAAGGTGAAACACAAAAGAGAAACATTTGAATTATTACTGTTAAAGTAACTTGACCTTTTGTTGTTTACGACAGCCACCAAACTCGGTCCAGAGGCCTTCCGTTTTGATGGTAACACAGAAGCTAAATCTATTCGCCAGAATGAAAAGTACTATATTCTGCGTCCGGAGGTCATAGAGGGCTACTTCTACCTGTGGAGAATCACCAAAGAGCAGAAATACAGGGACTGGGCTTGGGAGGCTGCTCAGGTAGGGAAATTTCTGGGAGATTGTGTAATGGCTGAGGTAGGGAAAAGTCTTGGAGAATGAGACATGGCTGAAGTAGGGAAATGTCTGGGATAATGAGAGGGGGCTGAGGGAGGGAAATGTCTGGGAGAATGAGAGGGGGCTGAGGGAGGGAAATGTCTGGGAGAATGAAGGTTGACCCTGTTTAGGGTAAGAAATGTGTTAGGGAGTGGGAGACTATTCAGGGTGGGAAATGTGTTAGGGAGTGGGAGACTATTCAGGATGGGAAATGTGTTAGGGAGTGGGAGACTATTCAGGGTGGGAAATGTGTTAGGGAGTGGGAGACTATTCAGGGTGGGAAATGTGTTAGGGAGTGGGAGACTATTCAGGGTAAGAAATGTGTTAGGGAGTGGGAGACTATTCAGGGTAAGAAATGTGTTAGGGAATGGGAGACTATTCAGGGTAAGAAATGTGTTAGGTAGTGGGAGACTATTCAGGGTAGGAAATGTGTTAGGGAGTGGGGGACTATTCAGGGTGGGAAATGTGTTAGGAGGTGGGCACTATTCAGGGTAGGAAATGTATTAGGGAGTGGGAGACTGCTCAGGGTAGGAAATGTGTTAGGGAGTGGGAGACTATTCAGGGAAAGAAATGTGTTAGGGAATGGGAGACTATTCAGGGTAGGAAATGTGTTAGGGAGTGGGAGACTATTCAGGGTAAGAAATGTGTTAGGGAGTGGGAGACTATTCAGGGTAGAATGTGTTAGGGAGTGGGAAATGTGTTATTCAGGGAAAGAAATGTGTTAGGGAATGGGAGACTATTCAGGGTAGGAAATGTGTTAGGGAGTGGGAGACTATTCAGGGAAAGAAATGTGTTAGGGAATGGGAGACTATTCAGGGTAGGAAATGTGTTAGGGAGTGGGAGACTATTCAGGGAAAGAAATGTGTTAGGGAATGGGAGACTATTCAGGGTGGGAAATGTGTTAGGAAGTGGGAGACTATTCACGATGGGAAATGTGTTAGGGAGTGGGAGATTATTCAGGGTGGGAAATGTGTTAAGGAGTGGGAGACTATTCAGGGTAAGAAATGTGTTAGGGAGTGGGAGACTATACAGGGTGGGAAATGTGTTAGGGAGTGGGAGACTATTCAGGGTGGGAAATGTGTTAGGAAGTGGGAGACTATTCAGGGTAAGAAATGTGTTAGGGAGTGGGAGACTATTCAGGGTAAGAAATGTGTTAGGGAGTGGGAGACTATTCAGGGTAGGAAATGTGTTAGGGAGTGGGAGACTATTCAGGGTAAGAAAAGTGTTAGGAAGTGGGAGACTATTCAGGGTAGGAAATGTGTTAGGGATTGGGAGACTATTCAGGGAGTGGGAGACTATTCAGGGTAAGAAATGTGTTAGGGAGTGGGAGACTATTCAGGGTAAGAAATGTCTTGAAGCTTACTGTGTGTATTGACACCTTATTGCTTATGTTTTTGTAGGCTTTAAATAAGCACTGTCGAGTAGAAGGTGGTTTCTCTGGTCTTCGTGATGTGTACCAGGAGAAACCGTCACTGGATGATGTGCAACAGAGCTTCTTCCTAGCAGAGACACTGAAATATCTGTATCTGATATTTTCCGAAGATGACCTCATACCCTTGGACAAATGGGTGTTCAACACTGAAGCTCACCCCTTCCCTGTTAAAGCATAGGAAACAGGTGTGACATATTTTACCTAATGCTGTAAACTGTAGATAGGAGAAAATGTTTATCTAAACAGATGGTATGACATATTGCATAGTTAACTGGTGTGTCAAATAGCATACCTTAACAAGTGTGATAATTAGCATACCTGAATAGGTGTGACAAATAGCATACCTGGACAAGTGTGATAATTAGCATACCTGAACAGGTGTGACAAATAACATACCTGAACAAGTGTGATAATTAGCATACCTGAATAGGTGTGACAAATAACATACCTGGACAAGTGTGATAATTAGCATACCTGAATAGGTGTGACAAATAGCATACCTGAACAAGTGTGATAATTAGCATACCTGAACAGGTGTGACAAATAGCATACCTGAACAAGTGTGATAATTAGCATACCTGAACAGGTGTGACAAATAGCATACCTGAACAAGTGTGATAATTAGCATACCTGAACAGGTTTGACAAATAGCATACCTGAACAGGTGTGACAAATTGCATACCTGAACAGGTGCACTAAATGATGTACCTAAAAAGATAGACAAATAGCATACCTGAACAGGTGTGACAAATGGCATACCCAAACAGGTGCAACAAATGATGTACCTGAAAAGGTGTGACAAATGATGTTCCTTACGGTGTGTGACATATGACATATCTAAACAGGTGTGACAATAGTATAATGTAATCAAAGGTATATTTGAACAGATGTGACACATGTTGCATACCTGAATAGATATGACACATGTGTCATACCTGAACAGATGTGACTCATGTCATACCTGAACAGATGTGACTCATGTCATACCTGATTAGAGTTGAAGCACAGACATGATACATGTGGCATGATATACCTGTGTGGTGTAACACTTTACAAATGCACCTTAACAAATGTAATACATGTCATACCTTAGCAGGTGAGACACAATGTATGATGCTTCACTTGTGATAAATGACAGTATGAGTGATGAGAGATTAAGTATCTTCTATCTGGTTGTATACCAGAGTGAGCTTGAGTGTCTGTTACCTGGTGCTGTGCCAGAGTAAGCTTGAGGAGTGTCTGTTACCTGGTTTTGTACCAGAATGAGCTTGAGTGTCTGTTACCTGGTTGTGTACCAGGGTTAGCTTGAGTGTCTGTTACCTGGTTGTGTACCAGGGTTAGCTTGAGTGTCTGTTACCTGGTTTTGTACCAGAATGAGCTTGAGTGTCTGTTACCTGGTTGTGTACCAGAATGAGCTTGAGTGTCTGTTACCTGGTGCTGTGCCAGAGTAAGCTTGAGGAGTGTCTGTTACCTGGTGCTGTACCAGAGTGAGCTTTACTGTCTATTACCTGGTGCTGTACCAGAGTGAGCTTGAGGAGTATCTGTTACCTTCGCTGTACCAGAGTAAGCTTGAGGAGTGTCTGTTACCTGGTGCTGTGCCAGAGTGAGCTTTGCTGTCTGTTACCTGGTGCTGTGCCAGAGTGAGCTTGAGGAGTGTCTGTTACCTGGTGCTGTGCCAGAGTAAGCTTGAGGAGTGCCTGTTAAATATTGCTGTGCCAGAGTGAGCTTGAGGAGTGTCTGTAACCTGGTGCTGTGCCAGAGTAAGCTTGAGGAGTGCCTGTTAAATATTGCTGTGCCAGAGTGAGCTTGAGGAGTGTCTGTAACCTGGTGCTCTGCCAGAGTGAGCTTGAGGAGTGTATGTTACCTGGTGCTGTGCCAGAGTGAGCTTTGCTGTCTGTTACCTGGTGCTGTGCCAGAGTGAGCTTGAGGAGTGTCTGTTACCTGGTGCTGTGCCAGAGTAAGCTTGAGGAGTGCCTGTTAAATATTGCTGTGCCAGAGTGAGCTTGAGGAGTGTATGTAACCTGGTGCTCTGCCAGAGTGAGCTTGAGGAGTGTATGTTACCTGGTGCTGTATCAGAGTGAGCTTTACTGTTTGTTACCAGGTTGTGTACCTGGATGAGTTTGAGTGCATTTTATGTTGCTCAGTCTGGGTTGAGCATGAGATCTTACCTGGTACCGTATTACACCTGTGGTGTCTGGTAATTAGTACAGTCCCAGGATAAGCTGTGTCAGCAATGCATAATGGCACTGATTCTTGAAAACAGTGCATGATCGATTGTACTTGTTTAAAACATTTGTATTATCATAATAATGTTTAAAAGATATTATTAAAAAAGTGTTTAAAACACAGTTTAAATTCAGAAGTTTGTGTGGTGTTGTTTACCTCACACATGTATGTAAAGTGTGTTGTAGGATTTGTACATCTTATGACAGGCAGATTCTGTTAATTTTTAGAATGTGTTGTATTTGAAGTGATTATGATATATGAGGAAAAATGTTTTATTGTTGTTATTCATACAATTTTTATTATCATCTTGTTTTTATATTATATCAGTCAGGAGTTACAACGTGTAACATTAACATCCCACCACTGATGTATTAAAAACTTCTATCTTCATAAGACTTCTGATTACACCTGTTCAGCAGAACCTTCTATTTGGGGCCGAGGTTCAGTTGGGATGTATTAAATGAACTGTGCTTTATTTTTTTTGTCAAAGACAACCAATATTTGTTGGGTTATTTTGATAATTCCATTTGTTCCTGTTGATGTAATTATAGATTTTCTATCCTAGATGATGATGATTTTGATGTTTTATATTAATGTGTGTCAGATTTGTTTACCTTACTTATCAATCAGATCCAGAGGAATATTGTTTGGACACTATTTATAGCCAATTATATCAACCTTGTTTCTTAAATGTAAGTACTAGTTTGTTTGTTTGTTTGTTTTTTTTTGTCAGTTTCTGGTAAGCTTTGCAGTTTTATCAGTCTCATGCCTAGTTTGTAATGTATATTCATATTCAATCACAGAATTCTTTTTCATGGACAATCTAGACCATTCATATGTTTTGATGTTTACTTCTGAAAAAGTGACTTATGAAATATCAGCAGGTTCATCAAAAAAGCTACACCCAGCATTAGCATTCTGACAGTGTTTCATGCAAAGAAACTGAGACATTGCTGGAAACCTTCTATCTGATCAGAAAGTTTGCAGACATTGTGTTCATTACCATCTAGTCAGTCTGTTAGTGTGTTCCAAATCTAGTAACCTACCTAGCTATAGGACCAGTCTGTCAGGTGTGTCCTAACCATGGTGTCCTAATTAGGACCAGTCTGTCAGGTGTGTCCTAACCATGGTGTCCTAATTAGGACCAGTCTGTCAGGTGTGTGCTAACCCTGATTATCTAATTAGGGTCAGACTGTCAGGTGTGTCCTAACCCTGATTATCTAATTAGGGTCAGTCTGTCAGGTGTGTCCTAACCCTGATTATCTAATTAGGGTCAGTCTGTCAGGTGTGTCCTAACCCTGATTATCTAATTAGGGTCAGTCTGTCAGGTGTGTCCTAACCCTGATTATCTAATTAGGGTCAGTCTGTCAGGTGTGTCCTAACCCTGATTATCTAATTAGGGGTCAGTCTGTCAGGTGTGTCCAAACTGTGGTTACCTGATTAGGGCCAGTCTTTCAGATGTGTTCTCACCTTGGTTATCTTACTATTCCTGTTCAGTCAGGTGTGTCCAAACTTTACCTAAACCTGGTCTATCAGATGTGCAATAACTCTGATTACCTAACTAGGGACAATTTCACCAGGAGCCCTAACTGCATCATAAGGACCCCGCACAGACACGTTTTTAACTCAGGTTACCTTACCATTACTTGTCTTTGCATCCATTAATTACCAACTATACACCAGTGTCTTTATATTGATATGATATTTCCAAGATGTGAAGTCGAGAGAGAGCGAGAGAGAGAGAGAAGGGGGATATCTTCAGAAGTCTGGTGTCACAGTTAGAAAATAATAGTGTGGGGCATCAAGTGGAGAGAAAGGGGACTATGAAAACTAGAAAATGATAATAAATTGGGGCACCAAATGGGGAGGAAGGGGACAAGGAAAACTAGAAAATGATAATAAATTGGGGCACCAAATGGGTAGGAAGGGGACTAGGGATACTAGAAAATGATAATAAATTGGGGCACCAAATGGGGAGGAAGGGGACTAGGGTCACTAGAAAATGATAATAAATTGGGGCACCAAATGGGGAGGAAGGGGACTAGGGTCACTTGAAAATGATAATTAATTGGGGCACCAAATGGGGAGAAAGGGGACTAGGGTCACTAGAACATGATAATAAATTGGGACACCAAATGGGTAGAAAGGGGACTACGAGTAGCAGAAAATAATAACGAAAATATTTTGATAGTGAGAAAGGGGCTTGGAGCAAGGTATATCAGGGATAGTAGCTTTTGTAATCATGGTCAGAGCAGTAGATAGCTCGTGGAGTTTGGAATGGAGGGTTTGATGGAGCAGACAGCTAGTAGGGAGGGGGAGTCATTGTTTGCTAGGGCAGATGAGAGGTGGGGGGTGGAGGGGAGAGAGGAGGGCGTGATTTAGGGAAGGACAGTCTGGAAGTGTTGGTCTTTGATTCTGCTGGACAGAATACATTGAAAAACAGATTTGGTGTGTAGATAATCTAAAATATAAGCTAGCAGAGTCATTAAGTACAGGTTTATACACAAAGAAAAGAAGATACCGAGTGTGTAGGGAGTCTGAACTATGAGCTGGTATGAATTATTGATTACTGTGATGATGATTGTGTCACAGTATGTCTTGTACATAATGTGTAATCTTACTCCTAACTTATCTATCATCACCGTCATTCAGATTATTTAAAGGAATATGGAATACAAAGTAGATTAGTTTTCTTTTTTTGAAGATAATTGAAGTTATTTTAAATGTGATTGTAATAGTAGCTGAAAGGTGTACTAGTAAAGGGAGATAACTTTATAATAAGCACACTGATGCCAATTGTCCTATTTGAGAAACATAACTTAATAATGATATAATCTACGGAAGATGTCTTAATTGAGAGAGATATCTATGACAGGTGCCCTCATCAAGGGAGATAACTTGATTATAAAATTAGCTTATACAGATGTCCTAGTTGAGAAAGATAATTCTGTAATAAACTCAGCTATGACTGGTGTCCTGGTTGTGGGAGATAATTATAAACTCAGCTATGACAGGTGTCCTGGTTGAGGGAGATAATTATAAACTCAGCTATGACAGTTGTCCTGGTTGAGGGAGATAATTATAAACTCAGCTATGACAGGTGTCCTGGTTGAGGGAGATAATTATAAACTCAGCTATGACAGTTGTCCTGGTTGAGGGAGATAATTATAAACTCAGCTATGACAGGTGTCCTGGTTGAGGGAGATAATTATAAACTCAGCTATGACAGGTGTCCTGGTTGAGGGAGATAATTATAAACTCAGCTATGACAGGTGTCCTGGTTGAGGAAGATAACTTAATTATAAACTCAGCTATGACAGGTGTCCTGGTTGAGGGAGATAACTTAATTATAAACTCAGCTATGACAGATATCCTGGTTGAGGGAGATAACTTAATTATAAACTCAGCTATGACAGATATCCTGGTTGAGGGAGATAACTTAATTATAAACTCAGCTATGACAGGTGTCCTGGTTGAGGAAGATAACTTAATTATAAACTCAGCTATGACAGGTGTCCTGGTTGAGGGAGATAACTTAATTATAAACTCAGCTATGACAGGTGTCCTAGTTGAGGGAGATAATTATAAACTCAGCTATGACATTTGTCCTGGTTGAGGGAGATAATTATAAACTCAGCTATGACAGGTATCCTGGTTGAGGGAGAAAACTTAATTATAAACTCAGCTATGACTGGTGTCCTGGTTGAGGGAGATAACTTAATTATAAACTCAGCTATGACAGATATCCTGGTTGAGGGAGATAACTTAATTATAAACTCAGCTATGACAGGTGTCCTAGTTGAGGGAGATAAATATAAACTCAGCTATGACAGTTGTCCTGGTTGAGGGAGATAATTATAAACTCAGCTATGACAGGTGTCCTAGTTGAGGGAGATAACTTAATCATAAATTGAGCCATGACAGGTGTCCTAGTTGAAGGAGACTCAGCTACTTCTGGCATTTACAATAATGTATTTTGTCTCATGTTTCATTAAGCAGCAGTGCAATTGGTTGAGGCCAGAGATGAATATTTAAGTTAACTTGTAAATATCAGATTTTTATTAATGTGCTGTAATTATATTTAATTGATTGTACAAACAGTTTTGACCATCTGTTTGGTTGTGTGTATGAAAGTCTATACATTGTGTATATGTTCAGGGTATATGTTATATACTGTTCATTTTCATGTTCCATAATAAATCCATCTCATTTGTCAAACTGAAAATGTCTTGTTTTTGTTCAATGAAACATGTTATAGTGACGTGTTAAAGTGACATGTTATAGTGACAAGTTATAGTGACAAGTTATAGTGACATGTTATAGTGACATAGTGACAATAAATCCATCTCATTTGTCAAACTGAAAATGTCTTGTTTTTGTTCAATGAAACATGTTATAGTGACGTGTTAAAGTGACGTGTTATAGTGACAAGTTATAGTGACATGTTATAGTGACATAGTGACAAGTTATAGTGACATGTTATTGTGACATGTTATAGTGACAAGTTATAGTGACATGTTATAGTGACATAGTGACATGTTATAGTGACATAGTGACATGTTATAGTGACATGTTATAGTGACAAGTTATAGTGACAAGTTAAAGTGACATGTTATAGTGACAAGTTATAGTGACATGTTATAGTGACATGTTATAGTGACAAGTTATAGTGACATAGTGACATGTTATAGTGACATAGTGACAAGTTATAGTGACATGTTATAGTGACATGTTATAGTGACAAGTTATAGTGACATGTTATAGTGACATAGTGACAAGTTATAGTGACATGTTATTGTGACATGTTATAGTGACAAGTTATAGTGACATGTTATAGTGACATGTTATAGTGACAAGTTATAGTGACATAGTGACATGTTATAGTGACATAGTGACATGTTATAGTGACATGTTATAGTGACAAGTTATAGTGACAAGTTAAAGTGACATGTTATAGTGACAAGTTATAGTGACATGTTATAGTGACATGTTATAGTGACAAGTTATAGTGACATAGTGACATGTTATAGTGACATAGTGACAAGTTATAGTGACATGTTATAGTGACATGTTATAGTGACAAGTTATAGTGACATGTTATAGTGACATAGTGACAAGTTATAGTGACATGTTATAGTGACTTGTTATAGTGACATGTTATAGTGACAAGTTATAGTGACATGTTATAGTGACATAGTGACATGTTATAGTGACATAGTGACAAGTTATAGTGACATGTTATAGTGACATAGTGACAAGTTATAATGACATGTTATAGTGACATGTTATAGTGACAAATTATAGTGACATGTTATAGTGACATGTTATAGTGACAAGTTATAGTGACAAGTTAAAGTGACATGTTATAGTGACATGTTATAGTGACATAGTGACAAGTTATAGTGACATGTTATAGTGACTTGTTATAGTGACAAGTTATAGTGACATGGTATAGTTACTGTGACTGACCACTCAGTGATAGAGTTACTGTGATTGACCACTCAGTGATAGAGTTACTGTGATTGACCACTCAGTGATAGATAGAGTTACTGTGATTGACCACTCAGTGATAGAGTTACTGTGATTGACCACTCAGTGACAGTTACTGTGACTGACCACTCAGTGATAGAGTTACTGTGATTGACCACTCAGTGATAGAGTTACTGTGATTGACCACTCAGTGATAGTTACTGTGATTGACCACTCAGTGATAGATAGAGTTACTGTGACTAACCACTCAGTGATAGAGTTACTGTGATTGACCACTCAGTGATAGAGTTACTGTGATTGACCACTCAGTGATAGAGTTACTGTGATTGACCACTCAGTGAAAGAGTTACTGTGACTGACCACTCAGTGATAGAGTTATTGTGATTGACCACTCAGTGATAGAGTTACTGTGATTGACCACTCAGTGATAGTTACTGTGATTGACCACTCAGTGATAGAGTTACTTTTTGTACCATCTTGTTGTGCTTGGTGTATTTAAGGATTAATATAAAACAATGTGTTATTTATTAACATGAGTTTTATTAAGCTACAACTAGCCGACAACAAAGCTTTCATCCAAGGAGAGTGGTTCATATTCATACAGCGGTTTATAATGACCTTCTCCAAGAGTGAAGTAGGATTCACTTGTATAATCCCAACAAATGGATTCTCCAACTGACTCGTGTATGTATGGAAGTTCATACGGGGTCTTTGTGACGGCTGCCAAGTAGTCACCATCTGGCACGTTCCAGTAATAAATGTGCCTTTTGGCCTTAATGAGGAGACGTTTGCCATCTGGTGAAATATCGGCTGCTGTTGGGTCGTGGTGTGTAGTACGGATAGGAAGGAAGGTTGTACTGGCCACGTGGGTAGGTACTGCTTGGCCCCACACATTGGGAAGTTTCACAAACATACCCCGACCACTCAGCACGTTTGACACGATGTATACATTAGCTTCAGGGTCAACCATCAGTGCCTGTGACTCTTCTTCTGACCACCTACAAAATATATTGAAGACATGTCTATAAACAGACAATACACTCGTAACATTGTGAATCTTATCATAAGGAACTACTTTGACTCGTTTGATATCTGCTAGAATCAGTAACATTCTGAAGTATTAGATTCTAGTTTTACGTCTCTGTCTAACGTCATATTGCTACAGACATACACAGGTCTGTACAGTCGATATGTCAGGGAGGCTACTGGCTACCTACTCCAATCTCTGTGTGTGTCTAACGTCATATTGCTACAGACATACACAGGTCTGTACAGTCGATATGTCAGGGAGGCTACTGGCTACCTACTCCAATCTCTGTGTGTGTCTAACGTCATATTGCTACAGACGTACACAGGTCTGTACAGTCGATATGTCAGGGAGGCTACTGGCTACCTACTCCATTCTCTGTGTGTGTCTAACGTCATATTGCTACAGACGTACACAGGTCTGTACAGTCGATATGTCAGGGAGGCTACTGGCTACCTTCTCCAATCTCTGTGTGTGTCTAACGTCATATTGCCACAGACATACACAGGTCTGTACAGCCGATACGTCAGGAAGGCTACTGGATACCTTCTCCAATCTCTGTGTATGTCTAACGTCATATAGCCACAGACATATACAGGTCTGTACAGTCAATATGTCAGGGAGGCTGCTGGATACCTACTCGAATTTGAGTGTGCTATTAACGGTGAGTGTCTGGTCAGTCAAACTGTCTGGTTCCTGGACGCGGTAGATGATGTTGGCCTCGTCATCGTTGGCGGAGGAGAAGCCTGTATCAGCAATGTAGATACAGAAGACATGTTCCCCTTTTGCACATGGTCCCACAGCCACATCCTCCCAGTCGTGGTTAGTAGCACCACTGCCTATAGTAAGCGTTGCCACAAGCGAAGCATCACTCGCGTTGATAGCATAGATAGTTGGCCCATCACCATGGTCATTGTGAGTGTATAGGATCCCCTCGTGAATACGACTGGCTGCAAGACCTGACGCTTCGTCAATGATTGGTGTGGCAATGTACCCTTTCACTAGACCATTGCCAAAGTGGGGAACTGTCGATGAGAAAAAATGCAAGTGAAATACTATGCCGTTAATCAAAATAAAACATATTAAACTATCGACGTAGCCCCTAGATACAAGGGTTCAATAAGACCTAGCCCCTAGATACAAGGGTTCAATAAACCGTAGCCCCTAGATACAAGGGTTCAATAAACCGTAGCCCCTAGATTCAAGGGTTCAATAAGACCTAGCCCCTAGATACAGTTCAAGGGCTTAATAAGCCGTAGCCCCTAGATACAGTTCAAGGGTTCAATAAGACCTAGCCCCTAGATACAGTTCAAGGGTTCAATAAGACCTAGCCCCTAGATACAGTTCAAGGGTTCAATAAGACCTAGCCCCTAGATACAGTTCAAAGGTTCAATAAGACCTAGCCCCTAGATACAGTTCAAGGGTTCAATAAGACCTAGCCCCTAGATACAAGGGTTCAATAAGACCTAGCCCCTAGATACAAGGGTTCAATAAGACCTAGCCCCTAGATACAGTTCAAGGGTTCAATAAGACCTAGCCCCTAGATACAGTTCAAGGGTTCAATAAGACCTAGCCCCTAGATTCAAGGGTTCAATAAGACCTAGCCCCTAGATACAGTTCAAGGGTTCAATAAGACCTAGCCCCTAGATTCAAGGGTTCAATAAGACCTAGCCCCTAGATACAGTTCAAGGGTTCAATAAGACCTAGCCCCTAGATACAGTTCAAGGGTTCAATAAGCCATAGCCCGTAGATACAGTTCAAGGGTTCAATAAGACCTAGCCCCTAGATACAGTTCAAGGGCTTAATAAGCCGTAGCCCCTAGATACAGTTCAAGGGTTCAATAAGACCTAGCCCCTAGATACAGTTCAAGGGTTCAATAAGACCTAGCCCCTAGATACAGTTCAAGGGTTCAATAAGACCTAGCCCCTAGATACAGTTCAAGGGTTCAATAAGACCTAGCCCCTAGATTCAAGGGTTCAATAAGACCTAGCCCCTAGATACAGTTCAAGGGTTCAATAAGACCTAGCCCCTAGATACAGTCAAGGGTTCAATAAGACCTAGCCCCTAGATACAAGGGTTCAATAAGACCTAGCCCCTAGATACAAGGGTTCAATAAGACCTAGCCCCTAGATACAGTTCAAGGGTTCAATAAGACCTAGCCCCTAGATACAGTTCAAGGATTCAATAAGACCTAGCCCCTAGATACAGTCAAGGGTTCAATAAGACCTAGCCCCTAGATACAAGGGTTCAATAAGACCTAGCCCCTAGATACAAGGGTTCAATAAGACCTAGCCCCTAGATACAAGGGTTCAATAAGACCTAGCCCCTAGATACAAGGGTTCAATAAACCGTAGCCCCTAGATACAGTCAAGGGTTCAATAAGCCGTAGCCCCTAGATACAGTTCAAAGGTTCAATAAGACCTAGCCCCTAGATTCAAGGGTTCAATAAGACCTAGCCCCTAGATACAGTTCAAGGGTTCAATAAGACCTAGCCCCTAGATACAGTTCAAGGGTTCAATAAGACCTAGCCCCTAGATACAGTCAAGGGTTCAATAAGACCTAGCCCCTAGATACAGTTCAAGGGTTCAATAAGACCTAGCCCCTAGATACAGTTCAAGGGTTCAATAAGACCTAGCCCCTAGATACAGTTCAAGGGTTCAATAAGACCTAGCCCCTAGATACAAGGGTTCAATAAGACCTAGCCCCTAGATACAAGGGTTCAATAAGACCTAGCCCCTAGATACAAGGGTTCAATAAGACCTAGCCCCTAGATACAGTTCAAGGGTTCAATAAGACCTAGCCCCTAGATACAGTTCAAGGGTTCAATAAGACCTAGCCCCTAGATTCAAGGGTTCAATAAGACCTAGCCCCTAGATACAGTTCAAAGGTTCAATAAGACCTAGCCCCTAGATACAGTTCAAGGGTTCAATAAGACCTAGCCCCTAGATACAGTTCAAGGGTTCAATAAGACCGTAGCCCCTAGATACAGTTCAAGGGTTCAATAAGACCTAGCCCCTAGATACAGTTCAAGGGTTCAATAAGACCTAGCCCCTAGATACAGTTCATGGTTTCAATAATAACTAGACCCTAGATACAGTTCAAGGGTTCAATAAGACCTAGCCCCTAGATACAGTCAAGGGTTCAATAAGACCTAGCCCCTAGATACAGTTCAAGGGTTCAATAAGACCTAGCCCCTAGATACAGTTCAAGGGTTCAATAAGACCTAGCCCCTAGATACAAGGGTTCAATAAGACCTAGCCCCTAGATACAAGGGTTCAATAAGACCTAGCCCCTAGATACAGTTCAAGGGTTCAATAAGACCTAGCCCCTAGATACAGTTCAAGGGTTCAATAAGACCTAGCCCCTAGATACAGTTCAAGGGTTCAATAAGACCTAGCCCCTAGATACAGTTCAAGGGTTCAATAAGACCTAGCCCCTAGATACAGTTCAAGGGTTCAATAAGACCTAGCCCCTAGATACAGTTCAAGGGTTCAATAAGACCTAGCCCCTAGATACAGTTCAAGGGTTCAATAAGACCTAGCCCCTAGATACAGTTCAAGGGTTCAATAAGACCTAGCCCCTAGATACAAGGGTTCAATAAGACCTAGCCCCTAGATACAGTTCAAGGGTTCAATAAGACCTAGCCCCTAGATACAGTTCAAGGGTTCAATAAGACCTAGCCCCTAGATACAGTTCAAGGGTTCAATAAGACCTAGCCCCTAGATACAGTTCAAGGGTTCAATAAGACCTAGCCCCTAGATACAGTTCAAGGGTTCAATAAGACCTAGCCCCTAGATACAGTTCAAGGGTTCAATAAGACCTAGCCCCTAGATACAGTTCAAGGGTTCAATAAGACCTAGCCCCTAGATACAGTTCAAGGGTTCAATAAGACCTAGCCCCTAGATACAGTTCAAGGGTTCAATAAGACCTAGCCCCTAGATACAGTCAAGGGTTCAATAAGCCGTAGCCCATAGATACAGTTCAAGGGTTCAATAAGACCTAGCCCCTAGATACAAGGGTTCAATAAGACCTAGCCCCTAGATACAGCCCCTTCAAGGGTTCAATAAACCTAGCCCCTAGATACAGTTCAAGGGTTCAATAAGACCTAGCCCCTAGATACAGTTCAAGGGTTCAATAAGACCTAGCCCCTAGATACAAGGGTTCAATAAATCGTAGCCCCTAGATACAGTTCAGGGTTTTAATAAGCCGTAGCCCCTAGATACAGTTCAAGGATTCAATAAGACCTAGCCCCTAGATACAGTCAAGGATTCAATAAGCCGTAGCCTCTAGATACAGTCAAGGATTCAATAAGACCTAGCCCCTAGATACAGTTCAAGGGTTCAATAAGACCTAGCCCCTAGATACAGTTCAAGGGTTCAATAAGACCTAGCCCCTAGATACAGTCAAGAGTTCAATAAGACCTAGCCCCTAGATACAGTTCAAGGGTTCAATAAGCCGTAGCCTCTAGATACAGTCAAGGATTCAATAAGACCTAGCCCCTAGATACAGTCAAGGATTCAATAAGCCGTAGCCTCTAGATACAGTTCAAGGGTTCAATAAGACCTAGCCCCTAGATACAGTTCAAGGATTCAATAAGACGTAGCCTCTAGATACAGTCAAGGATTCAATAAGACCTAGCCCCTAGATACAGTTCAAGGATTCAATAAGACCTAGCCCCTAGATACAGTTCAAGGGTTCAATAAGACCTAGCCCCTAGATACAGTCAAGAGTTCAATAAGACCTAGCCCCTAGATACAGTTCAAGGATTCAATAAGCCGTAGCCTCTAGATACAGTTCAAGGGTTCAATAAGACCTAGCCCCTAGATACAGTTCAAGGGTTCAATAAGACCTAGCCCCTAGATACAGTCAAGGATTCAATAAGCCGTAGCCTCTAGATACAGTCAAGGGTTCAATAAGACCTAGCCCCTAGATACAACGGTTCAATAAACCGTAGCCCCTAGATACAGTCAAGGGTTCAATAAGACCTAGCCCCTAGATACAGTCAAGGGTTCAATAAGACCTAGCCCCTAGATACAGTTCAAGGGTTCAATAAAACCTAGCCCCTAGATACAGTTCAAGGGTTCAATAAAACCTAGCCCCTAGATACAGTTCAAGGGTTCAATAAGACCTAGCCCCTAGATACAGTCAAGGATTCAATAAGACCTAGCCCCTAGATACAGTCAAGAGTTCAATAAGACCTAGCCCCTAGATACAGTCAAGGATTCAATAAGACCTAGCCCCTAGATACAAGGGTTCAATAAATCGTAGCCCCTAGATACAGTTCAGGGTTTTAATAAGCCGTAGCCCCTAGATACAGTCAAGGATTCAATAAGACCTAGCCCCTAGATACAGTCAAGAGTTCAATAAGACCTAGCCCCTAGATACAGTCAAGGATTCAATAAGCCGTAGCCTCTAGATACAGTTCAAGGGTTCAATAAGACCTAGCCCCTAGATACAGTTCAAGGGTTCAATAAGACCTAGCCCCTAGATACAGTTCAAGGATTCAATAAGACCTAGCCCCTAGATACAGTTCAAGGATTCAATAAGACCTAGCCCCTAGATACAGTTCAAGGATTCAATAAGACCTAGCCCCTAGATACAGTTCAAGGGTTCAATAAGACCTAGCCCCTAGATACAGTTCAAGGGTTCAATAAGACCTAGCCCCTAGATACAGTTCAAGGGTTCAATAAGACCTAGCCCCTAGATACAGTTCAAGGGTTCAATAAGACCTAGCCCCTAGATACAGTTCAAGGGTTCAATAAGACCTAGCCCCTAGATACAGTTCGAGGATTCAATAAGACCTAGCCCCTAGATACAGTTCAAGGATTCAATAAGACCTAGCCCCTAGATACAGTTCAAGGATTCAATAAGACCTAGCCCCTAGATACAGTTCAAGGGTTCAATAAGACCTAGCCCCTAGATACAGTTCAAGGGTTCAATAAGACCTAGCCCCTAGATACAGTTCAAGGGTTCAATAAGCATACGATTGATGGAGAGAAAGTCAACTCTCTTGGATCACCTAAAATAGACATGCTGTGGGAATGGATGAAACATTCAGTAGTTCTAGGAAGAGGAAGAACATCGATAAAGAGATGGCTGAAAACCTTGGAACATGTTTACCAAATATGGAAGTGTCAGATAAAGTCAAGAAGGTACTTCTTGAATTTATAGATTAAATATGTGTAGTAGTTGACAAGATGGGTTTTTATTCGATACCTTAATACAGGATGAGAAAGTCACCTTTCATGTGTCTACAAATCTTAGATACAGATCTAATATAAGTAATATAAGTTGGAAAAACTTGCTTCGCAATTGTTGTAAAATAAATAAAGACTATTACAAATCTTATCAAACGTCACGTCTTGATAACAGCCAGCAGAGGAACACGACATGAACGGCCTTTTTCTATACATTGTTACCTTGCAAACGAAATACTCGAGTGCTGCGAATTGTGTCATTTGTGCCTCTCCACCTGGTATTCCATACATGTATCAACTGTATATATATTTGTTGGAAGACTATTTGTGCCTTCTGACTTGGTGCTCTACACCTGTACAATCTATATAGGTTTGTGCAGCAATCTGTACTGCTTTGTGCATCAACCTGTACGGCTTAGTGCAGCAACCTGTACGGGTTTGTGCATCAACCTGTACGGATTTGTGCATCAACCTGTACGGGTTTGTGCATCAATCTGTACAGATTTGTGCATCAACCTTTGCGGGTTTGTGCAGCAACCTTTGTGGGTTTCGCTTCTGCTCTATAAAATTATGATATTCCCTGGAAACCGCTAACATCGTCGACTGAATTCTGCATCAACTGTTTAACACGTGCTTGTTCTGTTATCACACATGTTGGTTGTGGACACAAGAGAACCATGAGGAAGACGGGCGGTCAATCAGTGTAAATTTGGGTCGTGTTGATATTAGTCTACTTTTAATTATCACGTGTAAGAAAATATATGATTAACTCGTCTTCAGAAACAAAGTTTACAGGAACGGAATAAAAGCAGTCGGTCGTGTCGTTATATACAGGAATATCAGTTATTTTTACAGCTGCCAATAGACGAGGGATGACAAAAGACAGATTGACGACAAACAGAGGAAACCATGTTTTCCTAAATAGGAAATACACTGAACACGATGACAAGAACAGTATTAACCCTAACGATTAGTTGTGGTAGAGTATTATCTCTTTTACAAATCATTAAACGTTCTTGCAGTGTTCAAAGATTGTCACAAGAAGACGACGTAGACATATTTGTGTTTGTCTTGACGCCAAGAACGTTCTTGGTTGTTCTTGAACACAGGAGAGTGCTCTTGTAACCAAAACAACCCGGATAGTTAATTACTATGGCCCAGATATATATTTACGGGTGACATGTTCGTGTTCCCGACGTGTTCCTGGTGGTAGGACGATAAAGAAACTAGTTTTGAGTTGTTCTCAATCTCATTAAAACCGGATAATTATGAAATACGACTATTGACATACGGTATGTGATGATGAATATCAGATTGAGTTATTCTCGAGCCAACAGGAACATGTCACGCGAAGATACTCTCATCGACATTGGCGAACGTTGTGTCTGATGTGTGTGGCAGTGTGTGTCTATAGAAAGCCAGTACGAGCTTTCTGAGCCTTCTATAGGACTAGACAATGGAATCAATGGACGTAACATATACTCGGGATTCGGGATCGACAAAAAAATACAGAAATCATCGTCTGGACGTTAGAGACATGATAAATCGTAGCGAGTATGGGCGTTTTAACGCCATGTTAGACAAATCTCCAGGGATCACATGTGAAGCTATAGCAACCATTGATTTTAGACGAAATATTCTTTATGTAGGCGAAATTAAGTTATAAAAGGTGACATTTTTGATTGTGTGAATTAAATAAAGGGGCGACAGGAGTCAAACTCGGTCTCGAATGGTTATGCGAAATATCCAATTCGGCGTTGTACACAATGAAAAAAAGAAGAAATACCAGTTGATTATCAATTCGAACATGTTCTTTATCGAAGGAAAAAACGACTTTCATCCGTCTCAATATCTAACTGGAAAATATTTGATATAATTCGAAGGCCTGGGAGAGAGAAAATGATACAGGGCTTTATTAGAAGGTGTCTGGATGTATTCGCTTACAAGACCGAAATCGCAACAACACATTTTCAAATCAATACTATCCGTGAGTAGAGAGAGAGCCGTGAGTAGAGACAGACAGAGAGAGAGAGAGAGAGAGAGAGAGAGAGAGAGAGAGAGAGAGAGAGACAGAGAGAGAGAGAGAGAGAGAGAGAGAGACAGACAGACAGACAGACAGACAGACAGAGAGAGAGAGAGAGAGAGAGGGAGGGGGGGAGGGAGGAACACGGCAATAAATTTACCAGTTCTAATACCATATTTTCCCCAAAATCAAACTTAACATAAAATAGATATGGCTGATTGCCGTACTTACTAGAATCCTACATCGATACAAATGACCACACATCAGCCTGGACCGACCGAATGGACTTTGGCTGTAGTTTAACCTACAAGTAAAGGATGCCTTACCTTGGGCTTGAGCCACCACACAAATGGCAAGAACCAGAAGAAGCTGTACTGCCATGTCGTCACCTGTCGTTTGTCTGGTGGAGTGTCCGTTGGTGCCGGTCACGATATAGTAAGACAATACATGTCACAGGTCAAGGTCAGCAAAGATAAGGCGTCATATGTGTCATGCATGCAGGCGTATTTTTTTTATTGACTCGAATGAATTCAGGTAAAGGCCACAAGAACAGCGGATAGATTTACCGGCGATATGACAAAGGTTGTCAGGAGACGCTGGTCATCGTCTCGTCTGATTATGTCAGTATTCTTCACAGGTCATTTTGCCGGTTCAGCACTCACTTATGACCATCCGCCTATATTTTTAAATGACAAAAACATACCGACTTAAAAGTTTATATAAGACTAATTCCCATTGGCGTCAAAGAATGTCAATAAACAAATCAAAGATACATTTATAATCTTGTATGTACTCGGTTACATTTGGTGAGCTTCTGACTATCATTGAATCCTGGGAATAACCATAAACATTCGAGAAGGTTTACAAGATGTCCATACAAACTATTTAACTGGAGCTGTTGTTGTGTTCTGTGTACACGAATCTCGACCACAGCTGCAGCGTCATCAGACCACAAGTGTCTCCACACGACACGCACGTGGTAAATGTATGCAGACAATGGGCTATAGAATAGATGCATTTCAAGGTCCCAGCTTCAGTGTCCCTCTGTTAACATATACCGTACAAAACACACTGTTTTTGACATTGTATAGTAGCTTCCCCAGGACTGGACGGATCCGGAAATGACCTTTTCTGGTATCGCTAGTGATTCTCTAAATTCTATTTCCACCAAAAAGTTGTCATGTGGTAATATTCCTCCAAGGTCAGGGTCAATTATTGACATAAATATTCACATTGACAATCCTTTTCCTTTTATGTGTTCATGGACACGTCGTCCTTATGCTGAGATTCTGATTATGATATAGAAAACCAGCGATATCAAAACTTCTGGAGATGTTTTCATGAAGGATAGAACTGCACCGATGGTTGTGTACTTATCTACTTTAGAGATAATTTTACAATGTAAGATTAAGTGAAGAATTGGTCTTGAGTCTGATGACTTCGAACCTATATGGGTTGAAAAACATATACATGTGCTGACCTTTGACCTATACTGACTCATTATTGGGCCGAACTCAAAATTAACCCTAAAGATGTTAATTTGCAAATAAATCTTGGTATTTGATACAGATCATATCTAATCCTAATTATAAGGGATTTTAACCAAAGTACTGAGTGTAAAATACTCTCAAGATTAATGTACCTAAATTCCTGTAGTAACTACTGCCCTGTTCACCCTGATTTGAACCTTCAAAAATAGACTTTTAAGAAAACTGTATGATTTCCACAACCTTAAAGACGGGTTTCCGGCAACGTTAATTTCTCATACAGGTTGGTATAATGACTTTTTCGTCCTTCGAGACAACTTACCTATATATTGTTTTATACCATTAAAATTGGTTCCCTTTGTTTTACATTTAATTCAAATTAATCGATGACGCATTTGCCTAATTAACTAATGACGTCACTGAATTACTACACTATAAACGCCGATTTTTGCAAAACAGATCACAAACAATCATTCTAAGGAAATAAAAAAAAAGTGCGAACCATTAACTAAATATGAAAATACTTAAATAGTAAGTATACCACCGATATTATTGATCTGTAAGCATTTTGTGAGAAAACCGCCATTGTTTTGTGTACAAATGACATTTTGAACGCCTTTCACACTTTTTGTACTACAGCGGATATTGGAGACCGACCTGTTACACTCGAAACCTAAACGTACACGTGTTACTTTCCTGGCGTGTAAAAACACCTAGCACGTATACAAGTTATGCCGACATGGCCTTGAATGGCTTTATCTGTCAATTACAATTAGGACATTAGATATAATATACTACATGGCCGATAGTTACTAACAATACGTTATCAATCCCTCATACCCCAATATCATCAATTGAACTTGTGATATAACTTCCTACATTTTCTACCGAGACGGAGACTTTAAACACCTAATACAGTACCGTTCTCACAATCAGAAGTAGATGTGTAGGTGGAAGTTGTAAAGTTGTCTATAGGAGAGATATTAAAACCAAGAAATCTGCTAGAAGTACAAGACTTTCCCAGCGCAAATGGTTGTTTTATGTCTTTACCGATGATAAAGAGATTGGTATGTGTTTTAAGAATTACCAGAAAAGAAAGCCACAACCTGGAGGTCAAAACTTTGGTGTTGATAATGATACGTGGCGAAACAACCCACTATTATCCACAGGGTCTGTTTTATGGACAGTCTTCCCACGCAAAATGTGCACTAAGTATGAAGAGTTTCAATCAAATCTCGGCCATATTGCCCAAGCGCGCAAAACACCAACCCTTCAATAAACATATCATGTAAACAGTGTTCAACTCTTTACGATGCGTCAATTCCCAGTATATCGAAAACATTTTTTATTCCATATTAAAAGCTTTAGAAATAACCATTGTTCCTTGGACGTGAACATCTTACCCGAGAAAATATTCTGAAGTACGACACTGTGTTCCAAGAAACATTTCTTTGTCAGTGGGAGACGTCATACTTGACGGTACATGTATCGTCATTCTTGAGACTTCTGATCACAAGCTCAAGAGAAACTCCTATTAAGTAAAAAACGTTCACGAGCGTAGCCCTGCCTGATGGTTACATTCTGGACACAGTAGGACCTTTTTTCATGGAAGCGATAATGATGCAAAGATTACAAAAGCTGTAATGGATAACCTCTCCTGGCTGATGACAACGTCATTGTTGATCGAGGCTTTAGAGATGTTTTGCCAGATTTTGAATCGAGCGGTTTGACAGCAAATATGCCGTCTTATCGAAAACCTGTGCAGACTCAACATAATGACCTAAAACGTAACCTTGATTGATCTATAACTGAATCCAGATGGGTAGTGGCTATTTCCTAGATGCCACCGAGACACTCGTTATAATAGTTACAGCATGTTTCAATGGGACCTGAGGACCTATATATGTTAGAACACAATATTGAGTGTTCACGACAACTTACCTCTGCGTATGAAAATAAAGCGGAATACCTTCGGACAATACATCTGGCACATACCTAATATCACTGGCAGCTGGCTACGTAAGTGAGCAACTCTGTAATGATGGTGACCACCAGATCTGGATCAGTCGGTACTCACGAGACATTGTACGATGTCAGATCCACTCGAGGCATAGGAGCAGTGTAAAATACAGTGTTTGGATCCAGCATGGCAGCTCCAACGCCGTGAATCCCAAAAAGGATCATTATTGCCAGTGTCCTACTTAACATAAAACCATGGGGTATGTGTCTCCATAGCCAATATCATGCACTATTGAGGATACCACAGGGATGTGGAAACTAGCAAGCCTTTGCATCCAAATGTCAAAAGGTTTAAAACAAACCTAAAGTAACAAGGTATTGGGTATGGTCGATTTGTCAATTAGAATTACGTTACTGTACGATGAAGACCAACAAAGACTTATCAGTTATGAATCAGACACTCTTTTGAAATGAATGGTGATTTAAACTACATTCCGTACGTTAAACAGGATATGTTAGTGACTACTTCACATCTGTATATGCAACTAAAATTAATGCTGATTATTTACAATATACCTCTCCTAGACCCAGATATCATTTCTCAACAACTGATATAGCCCAATAGGATGTTACTGATCACCCATTATTCTGGATACTAACAAACCTGCCGGTAATGACATCATTCCTTCCAAGATCATCAAAGCAGTAATACAACCTCATGTGACACTTTAACATTTATAATGAATCTATGTTCACAGTACTGCCTACTTCCTGGACAAATGCTAATAGAATACCTGTATACAAAGGGAAGGGTGAAAAATTGACCCATACCTGTATACAGAGGGAAGGGTGAAAAATTGACCCATACCTGTCTACAGAGGGAAGGGTAAAAAATGACCCATACCTGTATACAGAGGGAAGGGTAAAAGATTGACCCATACCTGTATACAGATGGAAGGGTGAAAAATTGACCCATACCTGTATACAGATGGAAGGGTGAAAAATTGACCGATACCTGTCTACAGAGGGAAGGGTAAAAAATTGACCCATACCTGTATACAGAGGGAAGGGTAAAAGATTGACCCATACCTGTCTACAGAGGGAAGGGTTAAAAATTGACCCATACCTGTATACAGAGGGAAGGGTTAAAAATTGACCCATACCTGTCTACAAAGGGAAGGGTGAAAAATTGACCCATACCTGTCTACAGAGGGAAGGGTGAAAAATTGACCGATACCTGTCTACAGAGGGAAGGGTAAAAAAATGACCCATACCTGTATACAGAGGGAAGGGTAAAAAATTGACCCATACCTGTATACAGAGGGAAGGGTGAAAAATTGACCGATACCTGTCTACAGAGGGAAGGGTAAAAAATTGACCGATACCTGTCTACAGAGGGAAGGGTAAAAGATTGACCCATACCTGGGTACAGAGGGAAGGGTTAAAAATTGACCCATACCTGTATACAGAGGGAAGGGTTAAAAATTGACCCATACCTGTATACAGAGGGAAGGGTAAGATATTGACCCATCCAACTATAGACCAATCTCTGTTACTCCTACTTTCAGAAGGAGTTTTTATTTTTTAAAAAAAGTGGTTTTAAATAAATGTTTATCTCTAGGGTTATCGCCTCTAAATACCTTACATGATCTGATTGGTGGAGACCGACAACAAGCTGCTGATACTCTGAATAATGACCTGAGAACATTTCTATTTGAATAATGAAAATGGGAAATCAGTTTTAATCTTGATGAGATTGAACCCCTTCTTTCAACATCTTGGTTATTAAAAAATGTAGGAGTGTAGAGTACAGGTCGCCTTACTTGCCTCTGCTAGTGGGAATATCCCTTTAGTCGAGCGGTAGCGTGTCCGGCGAAACACCAAAGGGTCACTAGTTCGAACTCCAACGGTGGCAGAGTGGTTTCTCCTTCCTATTACAGTTGTATACACATTGGGTTTTATTTCAACAGTTACGCTAACTGGTCTAATCATGTAAAACATATTTATGAAAAGGCTTGCCAAAGAATAAAGATATTTAGAATGATTAAATATATAATTGACAGAGAGTTGCTGGAGTTAATCAGTACTATATTCATTTCTTCCATTTTGCAAACAGTTTCAACCAATTGTATTGAATAGTAGAGTGTTGCAACCTACAGTCGACCTAAATGGTGGTAATACACAAGTTAAACATATTTCATACTTAGAACTAGGTCTTCTTACACTTACCTCGTCATCTGCATCAAAATATTAATTTCTAAAGAAGTTTAGCAATAGATGTCCCGCTTATGTTTAGGATTCAATGTCATCTTGTACAATGATAAGAGTTCAATGTCCTCTTCATCATGATACACTTTTTGATGTTCAACTAGCAAGAACTCCTCTACATATCACCACGTCCTTCCTCAAAATTATGTCTAAATGGAGTAATCGTTTATAAATGGATTGATAACTTGTTACTTTAACCCAATGCACGTGTTGAACACCCGTGCGCTGTTGTTTTTAAAAACTAATGGAGTCAAGAAATTAAATACTTTATGTCAGCTAAGAAATTCTGCTTGTTTGAACGCAGATTTATTGAACTCCCACTGAATGAAAGGCCTTGCCTGTATTGAGGTCACTCGGTCAAAGATGGTTCTCACTTCTTTCTTAAGTGACCTAAAGATAAGAACAGGCACAGGAAATGTTGGTGTCAGTTTAGGTCGAAGATGTAGCAATCTAAAGTAAGGCAAGTGATTTCTGCAAAATGGACATAATCGCTGGAAGGGCAGTGATTCAATATTTGCATAAGAAAAGCCTAGCACATAAGGATATTCATATTGATATGGTAACAACGCTAGGGAATGATGCCCCATCATATGCTACAGTGAAAAGGTGGGTGGTGGAATTCCACCATGGCAAGCAGAGCCTTGGGTATGAAGCCAGTCCTAGAGAGTCTGTCACTGTTGTAACCCCAGAAATGGTAAATAAAGTCCATGATATTGTTATGACTGACAGGCGAGATACAGAGGGATAGAAGGATATGTAGTCAGTACAGTGGGGATTTCACGGGAAAGAATACATTCTATTCCTACGGAAGATCTTGAAATAAATAAGCTATCAGCCCGTTTGGTACCAAGACTTCTGATAGTTGATAAGGAGCACACCAGATTGTCTTGTTCAAGTGCTAATCTCAACCTTCTAAAGGCAGATCCTGCTAACTTTCTGCAAAGGTTTGTGACTATAGATGAAACGTTGGTCCGTCATTTCAACCCAGAGGCCAAACAACAGACTAAACAATAGAGGCACCCTGGTCCACCATTGCCAAAGAAGACAAAGACTGTATCATTAGCTGGAAAGGTTATGGCCTCAGATTTCTGGGATGCTTATAGTATACTGATGGAAGATTATAAGCAAAAGGGACAAACAATCAATGACACATATTATGCATCACTTCTCAGGCAGTTAAGAGAAAATACTAAACTAAAGCGCCGCGGAAAACTCGGTAAAAGTATGTTGTTCCACCAGGACAATGCCCTTATTCACAAGTCTGCCATTGCCGTGGCTGCCATTAACATCCGCCTTATCTCGATCTCCATCAGACATTCATCTATTTCCAAAATTGCAAACGGCCATTTTCGGTGCCCACTTTCAGTCAAACGATGACGTCATTCATGCAGTGGAAGACTTTCTGAACGGTCAAGAAAAGGACTTCTTTAAAAGTGGTATTGAGGCCCTTAAACACCTCTGCAAAAGTGTTTAGATACTGACGGGAATTGTGTTAAATATGAGGCTCACAACTTATCAATCAGACCTCGTATCTCAAATACTTCTTCACCATTCAAAATATCTTTCATTTAATGCATTCCCTATTTGACCGACGTGTACATCGAGCTTAGTTTAAACAACAGTTTATGCAATATATAATAACATTATATGTTTATAATAGTAAGACCATGACTATTCTAGTCTGTTCACCAGTTCCTTTGTATGTAAGACCATGACTATTCTAGTCTGTTCACCAGTTCCTTTGTATGTAAGACCATGACTATTCTAGTCTGTTCACCAGTTCCTTTGTATGTAAGACCATGACTATTCTAGTCTGTTCACCAGTTCCTTTGTATGTAAGACCATGACTATTCTAGTCTGTTCACCAGTTCCTTTGTATGTAAGACCATGACTATTCTAGTCTGTTCACCAGTTCCTTTGTATGTAAGACCATGACTATTCTAGTCTGTTCACCAGTTCCTTTGTATGTAAGAACATGACTATTCTAGTCTGTTCACCAGTTCCTTTGTATGTAAGACCATGACTATTCTAGTCTGTTCACCAGTTCCTTTGTATGTAAGACCATGACTATTCTAGTCTGTTCACCAGTTCCTTTGTATATAAGACCACGACAAAAATATTCTGAAATGAAAATGAAAAGGAGCTAAACAATTTTCGAGCCATTAAAATGAAAGACACGCGAGGATAACGCCATCTAATATTTAAAGGCAGTAGCCTAGAGTGGCATGTAATCTTCTTGTCGTGCTATCATAATTTATTTCTACAATTGTTTCTAATTAACACGCCTTGTCATGATATCCTGTTAAGACGGCTAATTCAGTCAACTTGCGATAATAATCACGATCAATTTATCTTTAAGTCACCTTAAATATCATGACAACACGATTTTTGTCGCGATATTGATTTGAAGTGTATTTCTCTTGAAATAGATTGATGTGATATTTGAGGGGTCTCGGAATTTTGGATTTCAAGAAAAGAAATGACAGTTAGTGGCTGTAGCCAGTGTAAGGTCAGCATCCTGTGGCTAAAACCCTTCCATGATACGTCATTTATCAAGGTATCCTGTATAACGTGTCTCTGTTTTTAGAGAAAGTAAAGTTTTCACCCATCTCAGTTCCGAGCAATATCGCTGCAAAAAGTCGTTATGTCATGGCATTTAAAACAACTACAAGATCAATTTATTACGAAAATTATCATAACTTAATAAGATGTCTTAACACAATATTATCATGTTAAGTCATGTTATTATGACGATCTGTCGCAATAACTCACCGTGACAAGATGACAAGTAGATGGCAGTTACATGCAAATCATTTTGTACTGAATAGTGATGGCACCATACAGCTTGTACAACCTTCCAGTGATACTTAAGAGCGAAGTATATTCACCAAGTCCAGGACAGGGACAAGAACAAATGAAGAATTGGTAGGATAACGGCTGGTTGCTATTGTACCATTATGTGATCTCGGTAGGGTTTTGGCTGGTTGCTGTGATACCATTGTATGATCTCGGTAGGATTTTGGCTGGTTGCTATGATACCATTGTGTAATCTCGGTAGGATTTTGGCTGGTTGCTATGATACCATTATGTGATCTCTGTAGGTTTTTGGCTGGTTGCTATGATATCATTGTATGATCTCGGTAGGGTTTTGGCTGGTTGCTATGATACCATTGTGTGATCTCGGTAGGGGTTTTGGCTGGTTGCTATGACACCATTATGTTATCTTGGTAAGGTTTTGGCTGGTTGCTATGATACCAATGGGGGATGATGGTATTGCATTGGCAGGTAGGTTGCTATGGTGTCATTTGGTACTGCTGATAGAGTAGTTCCAGGCAGACAGTCGATTTTTTCTGACAAAACAGAACACTACCGAGGTCACTACACACAGCTTAACGTGTATAAAAGAATAAAGGGCAAATGGCCTTGTTAAAATTGTAAAATCACAATGCAATTAAGGAAAAAGCTATTTCATGTAATGATTAAATCTTCAGAAACTTCAAGATTAAAATGCTAAAGTATCAAAGGCCAATAACTCCTTCAAAATATGTTGAATCTAACATCTGTGTAGGAAAACAGGGTTTCATATCATTACTATAAAACTCAAAAAAGGTTTGAAACAAAACACTAAAAACTGAGAAAGATCTGTGGACAAGAAACTCCCTGTGAAATCAAACTGATTTTCTTGTCATGATTATTAAGCCTACTTCTAAATTTGTAAGAAACTGGTTGAAAGCTGTGGGAAGAGATCTGTGGAAAAATAAAAGTTAAGTACGGACAGACAACGTCATACCATGATATGGGTGTATAAAAATAACAAAAAAAACTAAGTAGGTAATCTTTATTGTTATCACTAACACATTCAATATACATTTTGTGTTTGCATGAATTATGAAGAAAACCCCAGTATGTAGATCTAGGATAGTAGTTTCGTATATAATGTTACATGGGCACCCAATAGAAAAGCACTCTTTAAAACAGGCAACTATTTTAAAATCTACTTTTGCTGAAACAATAAAGTATAACATAAATTCATGGTTTGTTTGTATGGTGTACCTAATACTTTGTTAACCTCCTTTTAAAACTGGTTTAGGAGTTTTTCAAGAATAATGCAAGCAAACAGTATAAACAAAAAGCCTTTGTAACTTTGAACTTTCACCTACGACCTTAAAAATTAAGACTAACACAGGGTTGACTGAAAATCTATCTAAATCTGTTGAGTTGCCAAGCATGTTTTTTTTGCTGACAAGACTAAATTCTTCTTAATTTTCTGTGACCTTTGACCTTATTACTTAACTTTTTTTGTGAGGTCAGATTAAAATCAGTTAAGTAGTTTCCTACATTCTTGCAGACCAGACAATATTAGAGACATATAGGGCTGTGTGATCTTGACCTTTGATTTATGACCTTAATACTTATCTTCATCCTAAAACTTAACACATGAAACAATGGTGCAATATCTAAATGGGTTTAGCTATTTTTCCAGAATTTTGTAGACAAGGTGTGCGTGAATGGACCATATAACATATGGTATAGATTAAGGTCATGGCCTTGACCTTTGATCTTGATACCTACTTATGATCTGTAGTTTGGTGGCAGGAACAATTGTGTAAAGTTTCATCAAAATCACTTCAGTGTTTTTTCCAGACAAGATGTTCTTGAACAGACACACCACATAACACACCTGTATCAACATATGATAGCAGTACATTATACCTGGTTTTCTCCAGTATATATGATAGCAGTACATTATACCTGGTTTTCTCCAGGATTTATTCACGTGTTACATTAAGGGACCAGTTCTCTACATTTCTGTCCCTGCTGCTCCTGTTGCTGTATGTTATAATTCTCTGTATGTTACTTTCCTATCTTGTTCTTTTCTGTACAAACTACAAGCCATCATCATGATAGGGTCATGACCTTGACCCTACAGCAGCGACAAACGCTCCTCCTTGACCACTGCCATCTTTGACCAGAATGATTTTCACCTGAAACAGATAAATAAGATCATCAATCATGATCCTAAAGATTTATTCTACCATCATTGTTGATAGACACAGACTTTACTTAATCATCCATTTCTCACCTGAATCTAACTTTGTTTAAACGTTTACCTTTGTTTCTGGCACAACTTTTTCCAGTAGCTCCATCATGTAACCATGGAAACGAGGATGGTGTTCGTACACTGAGCCATCAATCCCTATGGTGACTTCAGGGAGATCAATATGGTTCAACAAAACAGCACATGCTGAAACAGGATGAAGGACAAATCAGGTAGGATTCATCTATATTGTGTAGTAAAGTTCACTATCCAAAGATCCTAACCATGTAACAGATGTTAGCATTGAACTAAATCTGTATGAGATTATTCTTCTATTCATGTATGTTCTTGTGATCTGTAGACAAAATGTATGCACCCTGAATACCTGTAGACACAATGTATGATCTCTGATTACCTGTAGATATAATGTATGATATCTGATTTACTGTAGAAACAATATATGCTTCCTGATTATCTGTAGACACAATGTATGCTCAGTGCTTATCTGTAGACACAATGTATGCTCCCTGAATATCTGTAGACACAATGTATGCTCCCTGAATACCTGTAGACACAATGTATGCTCCCTGATTACCTGTAGACACAATGTATGTTCCCTGCTTATCTGTAGAAATAATGTATGCTCCCTGATTATCTGTAGACACAATTCATGCTCCTTGATTATCTGTAGACACAATGCATGATCCCTGATCACTTGTAGATACAATATATGCTTTCTGATTACTTGAACTGCAAATGTATACTCCTCTAAATGTAATTACCTGCCGATACAATGTATGCTCCACGCTGAGACACAAGGCCACAGACCTCTTGGACCAATGCTATATCCTCTACATCTGCTGTCAGGTCCAGACTCTGTAGCACCCCAATGGTGTGGCTGGTCTCTTCTGGACCATCACTGTAAATTTAAGAAGGAAATGACCGTAAGAATGATTTCTTTATCATTTGTTTGTTATTAAAAATTAACAATGCAAGAATGATGACGTCAGACTTCTAAAATATATTTTTCTGTAACATGCACAATATCAAGAACATTTTCTTTCTTTTCTTTTTTTTTCAGTGATCGTTCAATAAAGAGTTAAGGACCTGGACTGTCATTTGAACAAGTTTTCACACACAAAATACCATTTTCATTAAAATAACTGACTAAACACTGACTATTAGTCAAAAGTTATACGTGCATTTTATTCTTTGATGCTAAGGGTTTTATTTCTTCATTAGTAGATAAAAAAATTATGATAATAGCCTTTTTTGTCCATTAGTCCACCTGTCTTACTTCTCATATCCCAAGTTCTACAGGACCAAAATCAACCACACCTTAGCCATTCCTTCTTCCCAGAAAATGTTTGTTGAGGATTAATTTTCATGTTGTGAGGTCAAAGGTTAAGGTCATTGTTAAACTACAAAAAAAATACGCTTTTGTATTTAACTCTGGATTTATCCATTGCTTTTTCAAATTAAGTTTTTATTGTCAGTATTACTGTTTATAGAAAAACACCCATCATTTACAGTTTCCTCCAACTTGTCATACCTCTCCACCTCTGTAACATAGGAGGTCGGCCAACTGCCTTTGTTCATTAGCTTGGTTGATCCTTCACCTTTAAACAGGAGGCCCTCATTGGTCAGTTTCACCAACACTAAACGGACAAGTTCTCCCAGGTAGAATCCTCCAAATAGTTTCTCAAATCTGTAAAGTTACATTTTTCTCTGAATTACTACAAAACTGACACTCTTTATCAATGTATAAAATCACACAGAGACAGAGTGAACCTGTGTAATGTATAAAATCACACAGAGACAGAGTGAACCTGTCTCATGTATAAAATCACACAGAGACAGAGTGAACCTGTCTCATGTATAAAATCACACAGAGACAGAGTGAACCTGTCTCATGTATAAAATCACACAGAGACAGAGTGAACCTGTCTGATGTATAAAATCACACAGAGACAGAGTGAACCTGTCTCATGTATAAAATCACACAGAGACAGAGTGAACCTGTATGATGTATAAAATCACAGAGACAGAGTGAACCTGTGTGATGTATAAAATCACACAGAGACAGCGTGAAACTGTCTCATATATAAAATCACACAGAGACAGAGTGAACCTGTCTCATGTATAAAATCACACAGAGACAGAGTGAACCTGTCTCATGTATAAAATCACACAGAGACAGAGTGAACCTGTCTCATGTATAAAATCACACAGAGACAGAGTGAACCTGTCTCATGTATAAAATCACACAGAGACAGAGTGAACCTGTGTAATGTATAAAATCACACAGAGACAGAGTGAATCTGTCTCATGTATAAAATCACACAGAGACAGAGTGAACCTGTCTCATGTATAAAATCACACAGAGACAGAGTGAACCTGTCTGATGTATAAAATCACACAGAGACAGAGTGAACCTGTCTCATGTATAAAATCACACAGAGACAGAGTGAACCTGTCTCATGTATAAAATCACACAGAGACAGAGTGAACCTGTCTCATGTATAAAATCACACAGAGACAGAGTGAACCTGTCTCATGTATAAAATCACACAGAGACAGAGTGAACCTGTCTCATGTATAAAATCACACAGAGACAGAGTGAACCTGTGTAATGTATAAAATCACACAGAGACAGAGTGAACCTGTCTCATGTATAAAATCACACAGAGACAGAGTGAACCTGTGTAATGTATAAAATCACACAGAGACAGAGTGAACCTGTCTGATGTATAAAATCACACAGAGACAGAGTGAACCTGTCTCATGTATAAAATCACACAGAGACAGAGTGAACCTGTGTAATGTATAAAATCACACAGAGACAGAGTGAACCTGTGTAATGTATAAAATCACACAGAGACAGAGTGAACCTGTCTCATGTATAAAATCACACAGAGACAGAGTGAACCTGTCTCATGTATAAAATCACACAGAGACAGAGTGAACCTGTCTCATGTATAAAATCACACAGAGACAGAGTGAACCTGTCTCATGTATAAAATCACACAGAGACAGAGTGAACCTATCTGATGTATAAAATCACACAGAGACAGAGTGAACCTGTGTTATATGTAAGGTTTTAGTATTTTTCCTTCAGTGTATAAAGTGAGAGGATGGCTTAGTGATGGTGGAGACTTGTTTTATCTAACATCCACTGGGACATTTTGGTAAGAACAGAAAGAATATCAGTGTATATTTATGATATATATCCTGTGATGTCGTTTCAAGTGGATCAAACCCTGAAGACTGGAGCATAACAAATAACAAGGAAAAAGATGTTTAACGGTAAATCATTCCATATTAATCTGCTCCATTCCACATGTTATTGTTACATGTATAAAGTACCTAAACTCTAATGAGTGTCACACCCTGGATGTTTAAGTGAAAAACCATAGGTGTTCTTTCCAGAATATAAAACTCAGTAATTTCCAGTTGCAGGGTATCGTTACATGACAAACGTCTGCGTTCTGGTGACGTATTCCAGATTAGCAAAGATTAAGGCTTATTTACCAGGTGAGACCTACAACCTCACTATTATACTAACGTGTAGGAGTTGACGTGGTTAGAGTTCTGGTCAAGTTCCTTGTCAAAGTCTGTCTTGAAGAAATCTAGGCAGCCATTATCACCAAAGGCTCCCCATTCACAATTCACCAGAATCTACGTAGAATTCAACAGTGTCAAAGAAAATAATAATTAAAAAATAAAAAATACAAAACATAAAAATTAACATAAAATATTTCTGTTTGATAAGCATAGGAAGATCTCACAAACAGATCTTAATACAAATTTTATTTGATTTCTGACACAGTGACAACATAAAATATCACTTCCCTAATTTCACTACAAACCTGATCTGATGTTTTCTCAGCAGCTTCCAGTTTGTTGAAGTTTTTGGCTTGTTCAACAAAACATGCATTGGATCCAGAGCCTTCGGAACAGGAAACCATTGTCAGAGGGAAAAAAAGTCACAAAGTATAAACAAAATGCAATTTTTAAACCAACACTGTTGAGATTAGGAGAGAAATAATACAGCCTTCACCACTGTGTAATAAAGTGTTACTGTCCTTTGTAAATGTGTGAGGTTTAATCAGAATCCTGTAAGGAATGAAGCTACTAGAGCCCTGACAATGATTTTCTAAAAATAGTAAGTGACCATGACCTTGACCCAACAACCCTGCAATGTTTTAAAAGTGTGTAAAATTGATGAAAATCGCTCAAGGAGTGAAGATGCTAGAGTACTGACAATGATATTCTAAAAAAAAGAGGATGACTTTGACCTTGACTTCACAATCCTCAACCTCAAACTTGGCAAGATATTAGGGTCGTTTTTAAGTGTGGTTTGATCAAAATTCACCAGAAATATAGTCACTTGATTACTGGAAAATATATTCTGAGAATAGTAAGGGTGACCTTGACCTCAACAATCCTAAAAATCACACATATACATTATAACTTGACACTTAATAAGTGTGTGAAATTTGATGAGAATCCATCAAGGAATGAAGCTGCCAGAGTCCTGATGATTTTCTAAAAATAGTATCAGTGACTTTGACCTTGACCCAACAAGCCTGAAACTAGTCCTAGATATTTTGATCTTTGATAAGTGTGTAAAGTTTGACAGGACTAATAAGGTGTTCCAGAAAGCTAAGCTTCTTCTGCTTCCTCATTAATGATCCTGGTTTAAGTAGCTAGTGGCCGAATAGTTAATGCTGTGTTCTAAATATCAGAACAAGAAAATCTCTCAGCACCTCAAGGCTAAGTGTAAGGTTTTAACACCTTCTGAAATCCAGCCACATATCATGACATCAGGAATGACAAACAGACAGATGACTGATGGTTCACTATTAGAAAGTTTCACTCTGTAGCCAAGTGAACTGGTAAGTAATACAACTCTGATTTACAGACAAACTAATGTTAAAGCTGCTCCAGCGTTGTAAAGGTATGTTATATAAATACCAATGATGAGGCCGATACGACAGCTCTTATCCAGATAGCTGCCAGCCATTAATGTTCCCGTTGTGTCACTGATCCTGGCCACAACATCAACAGGTACAGACAGGCCCTGTCAACAGTATACAGTGGAATATACAGGCCCTGTCAACAGTATATAATACAGTGGAATATACAGGTCCTGTCAACAGTATATAATACAGTGGAATATACAGGCCCTGTCAACAGTATAAAATACAGTGGAATATACAGGCCCTGTCAACAGTATATAAAACAGTGGAATATACAGGCCCTGTCAACAGTATTTAAAACAGTGGAATATACAGGCCCTGTCAACAGTATTTAAAACAGTGGAATATACAGGCCCTGTCAACAGTATATAATACAGTGGAATACACAGGCCCTGTCAACAGTATATAATACAGTGGAATATACAGGCCCTGTCAACAGTATATAATACAGTGGAATGTACAGGCCCTGTCAACAGTATATAATACAGTGGAATACACAGGCCCTGCCAACAGTAAATAATACAGTGGAATATACAGGCCCTGTCAACAGTATATAATACAGTGGAATATACAGGCCCTGTCAACAGTATATAAAACAGTGGAATATACAGGCCCTGTCAACAGTAAATAATACAGTGGAATATACAGGCCCTGTCAACAGTATATAAAACAGTGGAATATACAGGCTCTGTCAACAGTATATAATACAGTGGAATATACAAGCCCTGTCAACAGTATAAAATACAGTGGAATATACAGGCTCTGTCAACAGTATATAAAACAGTGGAATATACAGGCTCTGTCAACAGTATATAAAACAGTGGAATATACAGGCTCTGTCAACAGTATATAATACAGTGGAATATACAGGCCCTGTCAACAGTATTTAATACAGTGGAATACACAGGCCCTGTCAACAGTAAATAATACAGTGAAATATACAGGCCTTGCCAACAGTATATAATACAGTGGAATATACAGGCTCTGTCAACAGTATATAATACAGTGGAATACACAGGCCCTGTCAACAGTATATAATACAGTGATATGTACAGGCCCTGCCAACAGTATTTAATACAGTGGAATACACAGGCCCTGTCAACAGTATATAATACAGTGGAATACACAGGCTAAATATGCCATAAAATTATGATAGTACAGATAGGCTCTGTAATACACTTACCCCCTTTCTCTGTATAGCAGCCCCTAACATGCCTACAGGATCCTCCCCAAAGCCTGTGGTACACTTACCCCCTTTCTCTGTATGGCAGCCTCTAACATGCCTACAGGATCCTCCCCAGGGCCTGTGGTACACTAACCCCTCTCCTCTGTATGGCAGCCTCTAACATGCCTACAGGATCCTCCCCAGGGCCTGTGGTACACTTACCCCCCTCCTCTGTATGGCGGCCTCTAACATGCCTACAGGATCCTCCCCAGGGCCTGTGGTACACTTGAAACTCTTGGTCCATGTGATCAGGACACTATGTTTGAGACTCTTCTGTACAGATGGGAAGGAAAACGTGAAACCTACAATGAACAGATTACTGTCCATCAATTTTTGTTATTGACAATAATAAAATAACCAACAAAAGTGTTTTAAAAAACTGTAATTGCATGCTGAGCACAATTCCATTTTTTGTAATGCTCTTTATAAAGACATGAATCTTATATGATATATTTTCCTCCTCACAGATTCTTTTTGGTTTCCGTACTATAATGACTTACCCAAAGGAATGGCATTGTCTGAACACATTTTTTCTTCTTTGATAAATTTCTCAATACTATCAGCAATGTGGTCAAAAGCCTGAAATATTGGAGCATTTAAATATTCTAAGGACATCATCAAATAAAAATAGAAATGAAAATTGAAAACTATCAACTTTATGGAATAACATTATCACAATGTGGAAAAGTAAGGTACAGTAATTCTGTATGTATGAGAATTTATCAAGGGAGATAACCCACTGCAAGTTGGTCAAGTTGTGACAGATTTTGAAAGAGGTTCAAATGAAGGTCTGAGGATAAATCATCATGTGGGTCAATAACTGGAAAATTTATAATGGGGAGATAACTCACTCAGGTGTTATGGATACAAATTTGCTGTGGGAGTTTGAAATATATAGGCTGACAACATATATATTTAGGGATCTAAAAAGAAAAGCAATGGTTTTATTAAAGGGAGATAACTCATTCTGTTAGAAACTCACCCCATCAGCTGGTCCCACGAGGAGTTCCTTTGGTAAGTTGTAATACTTTGTAGTGGTTTTGGCCTCACCCTTTTCGAAAGTAACTCTCACCACACGGAAATTGGTACTACCTAGATCCAGTCCTAGATATTCACCTTCCTCTATAAGAAAATGTGTGCACTATGTATGTCTCTTTTTGGTCGGTAAATCAATTCCATGAGTTACTACTCCCAATTTCTGACATTTTACATACATGTATATAACATGCAGACTTACCATCTCCCTTGAGGAGCCCTTGGACATAGGTACACTCCCAGAAAAAATCAGATCGTTTCCTGTCCTCCTCTTGTTGACTGTTGGCAAAGTCTATCTGTTGTTCCATCACCTCCATGATCCTGTGGACATCGCCATCACTCAAAACTAGATTCTCCAACACAGCAATCACCTATGGTGGAAATATAGTCAGTATATTGATCATCCATTGCTGCTCCTAGAGTAGGGGACATCTAACCATACAATTCAAAATCTGAATCGGAGAGACATAAACTACCATGGGTAGGGGTCTTCAAACCATACATCTCAAATCTTAATCTGAGAGACAAACTGCCTAGGATAGGGGGTCTTCAAACCATACACCTCAGATCTTAATCTGAGAGACAAACTGCCTAGGATAGGGGTTCTTCAAACCATACACCTCAGATCTGAATCTGAGAGACACAAACTACCTAGGATAGGGGGTCTTCAAACCATACACCTCAGATCTGAATCTGAGAGACACAAACTACCTAGGATAAGGGGTCTTCAAACCATACACCTCAGATCTGAATCTGAGAGACACAAACTGCCTAGGATAGGGGGTCTTCAAACCATACACCTCAAATCTTAATATGAGAGACACAAACTGCCTAGGATAGGAGGTCTCCAAACCATACACCTCAGATCTGAATCTGAGAGACACAAACTGCCTAGGATAGGAGGTCTCCAAACCATACACCTCAGATCTGAATCTGAGAGACACAAACTGCCTAGGATAGGGGGTCTTCAAACCATACACCTCAGATCTGAATCTGAGAGACATAAACTGCCTAGAATAGGGGGTCTTCAAACCATACACCTCAAATCTGAATCTGAGAGACACAAACTGCCTAGGATAGGGGGTCTTCAAACCATACACCTCAGATCTGAATCTGAGAGACACAAACTGCCTAGGATAGGGGGTCTTCAAACCATACACCTCAAATCTTAATCTGAGAGACACAAACTGCCTAGGATAGGGGGTCTTCAAACCATACACCTCAGATCTGAATCTGAGAGACATAAACTACCTAGGATAGGAGGTCTTCAAACCATACACCTCAAATCTGAATCTGAGAGACACAAACTGCCTAGGATAGGGGGTCATCAAACCATACACCTCAGATCTGAATCTGAGAGACACAAACTGCCTAGGATAGGGGGTCATCAAACCATATACCTCAGATCTGAATCTGAGAGACACAAACTGCCTAGGATAGGGGGTCTTCAAACCATACACCTCAAATCTTAATCTGAGAGACACAAACTGCCTAGGATAGGGGGTCTTCAAACCATACACCTCAAATCTGAATCGGAGAGACACAAACTGCCATGGGTAGGGGTCATCAAACCATACACCTCAGATCTGAATCTGAGAGACACAAACTGCCTAGGATAGGGGGTCTTCAAACCATACACCTCAGATCTTAATCTGAGAGACATAAACTGCCTAGGATAGGGGGTCTTCAAACCATACACCTCAAATCTTAATCTGAGAGACACAAACTGCCTAGGATAGGGGGTCTTCAAACCATACACCTCAAATCTGAATCTGAGAGACACAAACTGCCTAGGATAGGGGGTCTTCAAACCATACACCTCAGATCTTAATCTGAGAGACACAAACTGCCTAGGATAGGGGGTCTTCAAACCATACACCTCAGATCTGAATCTGAGAGACATAAACTGCCTAGGATAGGAGGTCTTCAAACCATACACCTCAGATCTGAATCTGAGAGACACAAACTGCCTAGGATAGGGGGTCTTCAAACCATACATCTCAAATCTGAATCTGAGAGACACAAACTGCCTAGGATAGAGGGTCTTCAAACCATACACCTCAGATCTTAATCTGAGAGACACAAACTGCCTAGGATAGGGGGTCTTCAAACCATACACCTCAAATCTGAATCGGAGAGACACAAACTGCCATGGGTAGGGGTCTTCAAACCATACACCTCAAATCTTAATCTGAGAGACACAAACTGCCTAGGATAGGGGGTCTTCAAACCATACACCTCAAATCTGAATCTGAGAGACACAAACTGCCTAGGATAGGGGGTCTTCAAACCATACATCTCAAATCTTAATCTGAGAGACAAACTGCCTAGGATAGGGGGTCATCAAACCATACACCTCAGATCTGAATCTGTGAGACACAAACTGCCTAGGATAGGAGGTCTTCAAACCATACACCTCAAATCTGAATCTGAGAGACACAAACTGCCTAGGATAGGGGGTCTTCAAACCATACACCTCAAATCTGAATCTGAGAGACACAAACTGCCTAGGATAGGAGGTCTCCAAACCATACACCTCAGATCTGAATCTGAGAGACACAAACTACCTAGGGTAGGGGGTCTTCAAACCATACACCTCAGATCTGAATCTGAGAGACAAACTGTCTAGGATAGGGGTTCATTGAACCATACACTGGAAATCTCAATCAGAGCTTGCAAAGCCACATATATTCTATGAACTATGGTCTCATGGTTTGTTAGGGGAGATCTTTTGTCACAAATTATCATAAGTATATACATCATATAGCCACAGAGAGGTCCGATGTATCTTTTCTCTTCAGGGAAACTTACTTTTTTCCTCTTGTCATCCGATATTATTCTCTCTATCCTTGTCTTTTTTGACATAGGTTCCATGGTGTGGATCTTCTTGTTACTGTGTCACAGGGAACCTTAGAACTCCAGACAGACGTCTCTTTCTAGTTAACTCTGTTGAGAATCCACTACACATGTATTATGAAGTTGATATCATTTGCTTATATGTCTCCTACAGTATCATGCAGAAACAAAAATACCGTATTTATCCTGCAATAAGCCCAGGGGGATCCCACATATATGTGTCTACTAATATTTACAGTTGAGTTTAGGTAACAAAGAGTGATTATAACTGAAAATTTAGTTTATGTGAATTCATTTCATTTCAAAATACTTCACAGTTAATCATGTTACTAGTGATACTGCAGTTTTTACCTGGGGCAGAATATGTGTAAGGCTGCACTGGTCCTTCAATGTGTGGCTGATAACCCACAAATGTGATACATGTATGACACAGAGACTTGACATTCTCCAACTCCCTAATTATATACATGTATAAATAAAATTAAAACTTCATCCTTTGTAATTGATAATTATCAAAGATACTGACCTGTTTATCGTTCAGTACATAGGACGGCAGATCCTACAGACAAACTATCAGTCTCTTATCTACACATATTTCTCAAGCTAAGTCCCTGTCCACTTATCTTCTACTAGCTCTTTCAAGGAAAAAACCAGAGGTGTTCTCTTATAACTGCCTGTCCCTAGTTGTTTCAAGGAAAGCGTCAGAGGTGTACTGAGTGGATAATGTGTCTATACATTTATAGTGGAAAGTGAAAACAGTCATCCTACATTATGTACAATTTGCTCTAGTTATCAAGATTTTTGTAATGAGATGCCTAAAATGATTGAATATACAAGCAGCATATGTTTTGACTGTCCACCATTAAAATGATGATATACTGACAATAATAATCTCCATGATGAGGTGTACAACATTCTTCTATCACCTGTCATTTTACATCAGTGGGGGAAGCAGAGGATCCTATCAGACAGGCACACTGTCACATGGTCTTGCAGAAATGTTAAGACTACTCTGCAATGTGATACAGATAGAGCCATATGTGGTACTATACACACTATTCCTGGAAGTTGAACACCAGAATAAGAGAAAAGACTGCAGTTCAACCTGTCACAGTCAGTCATGGGTAAAATACTACAACAAAGACCCAGAGAATCCTTTCTTCTATCCTGTTGACTGATGAAGGTGAAGAAGCTACCCTGTCCTGGAGGTGATGCTTAGGCTGGGCCTGTTTATATAGTCTGTGCATCTCCAGAAAACTCATTCCAAGGGAGGAAGATTGTAAGGAATACCACTAGAAGACTTTTAAGTACTATAAGCTGATTACCAGGAGCAGGGAGTCTGGTTATTCCCAGTGGACGATAGCTGCAGAATGTTCCTTGCAATGTCATCATGGTTGAAATATAACAAGAGCTGTTTCAGAACAGCATAACTCACCTATTGATGTATATGAAAAACGATGATCATCTACAAACATATTTGTTTTTTTAAAACATATCAATTTGAATATTCTCAGCAGTTAATGAAGTCTACATCTCCAAATTATCCTTATACCAAATAAGTACACATCTATGTTAATTATGTTGTATTTAAGCTATCTCCCTACTTCAAACAACATGTCAAAATTCCACCTTCTTTGTTAAAATATTTCACCATTTCCATAATCAATGAATCACAGAGTCCAAAACTATCCTCAGACCAAATTCCATTTTCCTAGTACAAAAACTGAATGATATACTAGTATCTTTTCGAAACCTGCTGCAAAACTTTAACAAATAAAAAGTTTACATCCATAAATATGTCCAAATTCTACTTTTTGGAGAAAAATAATTCTACATGTCCTTATAAAATTAATCACACGACCTAGAATGACCCTCCTACAAAATCCTGGCTCCCTAGAGTATATAGTTCATGATATGCTAGAACAACTTTGAAGTCCTAGGACCAACACAAAAGATTCTGTCATCTCCAATAGATCCTGTGGCAAAATGCCACTTTTGTTAAGTCAATGTCTGGATCCATCATCATGTTTCTAAGTCAATAACCACGGGATCCATCATCATGTATCTAACTCAATAACGTCTGGATCCATCATCATGTTTCTAAGTCAATAACGACGGGATCCATTATCATGTATCTAACTCAATAACGACTGGATCCATCATCATGTATCTAACTCAATAACGACGGGATCCATCATCATGTATCTAACTCAATAACGACAGGATCCATCATCATGTATCTATCTCAATAACGACGGGATCCATCATCATGTTTCTAAGTCAATAACGACGGGATCCATCATCATGTTTCTAAGTCAATAATGACGGGATCCATCATCATGTATCTAACTCAATAATGACGAGATCCATCATCATGTATCTAACTCAATAACGACTTGTTCAATCATCATGTATCTATCTCAATAACCACGGGATCCATCATCATGTATCTAACTCAATAATGACGGGATCCATCATCATGTATCTATCTCAATAATGACGGGATCCATCATCATGTATCTAACTCAATAATGACGGGATCCATCATCATGTATCTAACTCAATAACAACTGGATCCATCATCAGGTATCTAACTCAATAATGACGGGATCCATCATCATGTATCTAACTCAATAACAACTGGATCCATCATCAGGTATCTAACTCAATAACGACTGGATCCATCATCATGTATTTTACTCAATAACGACTGGATCCATCATTGAATACCAACAGTAATTCCATCAGGATAGAATCGTGTGAAAGGTTTAAGGATGGCTGTTTATGGTACTAAAGATGGTTCTGGGTTACTGACTCAAAGAAGACAGGAAACTGAAGTATAAGTCTATAATTTTATTATGTAAAGAATATCAATAATGATCACAAGCATCCAGTTCACAAAGGAACAGCTACCTAAATACAACATATCATTTAATGTCTTATCTTGTATTCTTGAAGACTGAGAAATTCTGCCTCCATTAATCTCACTCAATTGAGGATAAAAATGAAAATAAAAATTGTTATGGCATATAATTTCCAAGACATGTATACCTGAATTCTATATATATATATAATTTCCAAGACATGTATACCTGAATTCTAGATATATCTATAAACAAGTAAGTAGATACTACATATTGCTCAATTCTTCCATCACCATTCTACATTTTAAGAAAGTTACAATATTGGTGCTGTAGGCCACACATTACTAGTCTTTATCCCTGAGTCTATGTTACTAGCTCTCTGTGCCTATGTTACTTGTTCCTTGTGTCTATGTTACTAGTTCTCTGTGTCTATGTTACTAGTTCTCTGTGTCTATGTTATCAGTTCTCTGTGTCTATGTTACTTGATCTGTTTCTACATTACTAGTTCTCTGTGTCTATGTTACTAGTTCTCTGTGTAGATACTACATATTGCTCAATTCTTCCATCACCATTCTACATTTTAAGAAAGTTACAATATTGGTGCTGTAGGCCACACATTACTAGTCTTTATCCCTGAGTCTATGTTACTAGTTCTCTGTGCCTATGTTACTTGTTCCTTGTGTCTATGTTACTAGTTCTCTGTGTCTATGTTACTAGTTCTCTGTGTCTATGTTATCAGTTCTCTGTGTCTATGTTACTTGATCTGTTTCTACATTACTAGTTCTCTGTGTCTATGTTACTAGTTCTCTGTGTCTACGTTACTAGTTCTGTTTCTACATTACTAGTTCTCTGTGTCTATGTTACAAGATCTGTGTCTATGTTACTAGTAATCTGTGTCTACATTACTAGTTCTCTGTTTCTACGTTACTAGTTCTCTGTGTCTACGTTACTAGTTCTGTTTCTACATTACTAGTTCTCTGTGTCTATGTTAATAGATCTGTGTCTATGTTACTAGTAATCTGTGTCTACATTACCAGTTCTCTGTACGTTACTAGTTCTCTGTGTCTACGTTACTAGTTCTGTTTCTACATTACTAGTTCTCTGTGTCTATGTTACAAGATCTGTGTCTATGTTACTAGTTCTCTGTGTCTACGTTACTAGTTCTGTTTCTACATTACTAGTTCTCTGTTCTCTGTGTGTCTAGTAATCTGTGTTACATTAGTTCTCTGTTTCTAGTTCTCTGTGTCTACGTTACTAGTTCTGTTTCTACATTACTAGTTCTCTGTGTCTATGTTAATAGATCTGTGTCTATGTTACTAGTAATCTGTGTCTACATTACTAGTTCTCTGTTTCTACGTTACTAGTTCTCTGTGTCTACGTTACTAGTTCTGTTTCTACATTACTAGTTCTCTGTGTCTATGTTACAAGATCTGTGTCTATGTTACTAGTTCTCTGTGTCTACGTTACTAGTTCTGTTTCTACATTACTAGTTCTCTGTGTCTATGTTACAAGATCTGTGTCTATGTTACTAGTTCTCTGTGTCTACGTTACTAGTTCTGTTTCTACATTACTAGTTCTGTGTCTATGTTAATAGATCTGTGTCTATGTTACTAGTAATCTGTGTCTACATTACTAGTTCTCTGTGTCTATGTTACTAGTTCTCTGTGTCTATGTTACTAGTTCTCTGTGTCTAAGTTACTAGTTCTGTGTCTATGTTACTAGTTCTCTGTGTCTATGTTACTAGTTCTCTGTTTCTATGCTACTAGTTCTCTGTATCTATGTTACTAGTTCTCTGTTTCTACGTTACTAGTTCTCTGTGTCTACGTTACTAGTTCTGTTTCTACATTACTAGTTCTCTGTGTCTATGTTACAAGATCTGTGTCTATGTTACTAGTTCTCTGTGTCTACGTTACTAGTTCTGTTTCTACATTACTAGTTCTCTGTGTCTATGTTACAAGATCTGTGTCTATGTTACTAGTTCTCTGTGTCTACGTTACTAGTTCTGTTTCTACATTACTAGTTCTCTGTGTCTATGTTAATAGATCTGTGTCTATGTTACTAGTAATCTGTGTCTACATTACTAGTTCTCTGTGTCTATGTTACTAGTTCTCTGTGTCTATGTTACTAGTTCTCTGTGTCTAAGTTACTAGTTCTGTGTCTATGTTACTAGTTCTCTGTGTCTATGTTACTAGTTCTCTGTTTCTATGCTACTAGTTCTCTGTATCTATGTTACTAGTTCTGTGTCTATGTTACTAGTTCTGTGTCTACATTACTAGTTATCTGTGTCTATGTTACTAGATCTGTGTCTATGTTACTAGTTCTCTGTGCCTACGTTTCTAGTTCTCTGTGTCTATGTTACTAGTTCTCTGTGTCTATATTACTAGTTCTGTGTCTGTTATCAGTTCTCTGTGTCTGTTATCAGTTCTCTGTGTCTATGTTACTAGTTCTGTGTCAGTGTTACTAGTTCTGTGTCTGTGTTACTAAATCTGTGTGTTACTAGTTCTGTGTGTCTATGTTACTAGTTATGTGTTTGTGTTACTAGATCTGTGTGTTACTAGTTCTGTGTGTCTATGTTACTAGTTCTGTGTCTGTGTTACTAGTTTTTTAATCTGTATGTCTTTTGTCGTTTTATGTCTAAGACAGTGATAATTTTGATCTATGTTGTAATTTTTTCTATATAAATCAAAATCTATCATCACATGACAAGGTCATGACCTTGACCCTACAGCAGCTACAAACGCTCCTCCTTGACCACTGCCATCCTTGACCAGAATGATTTTCACCTGAAACAGACAATTGTAAAGGTCATCTATCATGACATAAAAAGTACAGCCTGACATGATTTCAAAACTGGACTTTGACAGCCTGACATGATTTCAAAACAGGACTTTGACAGCCTGACATGATTTCAAAACAGGACTTTGACATCCTGACATGATTTCACAACAGGGCTACACCAACCTGACATGATTTCACAACAGGGCTACACCAACCTGACATGATTTCACAACAGGAGTACACCAACCTGACATGATTTCACAACAGGAGTACACCAACCTGACATGATTTCACAACAGGGCTACACCAACCTGACATGATTTCACAACAGGAGTACACCAACCTGACATGATTTCACAACAGGACTATGAGAGCCTGACATGATTTCACAACAGGACTTTGACAGTCTGACATGATTTCACAACAGGACTATGAGAGCCAGACATGATTTCACAACAGGACTTTGACAGTCTGACATGATTTCACAACAGGACTTTGACAGCCTGACATGATTTCACAACAGGAGTACACCAACCTGACATGATTTCACAACAGGACTTTGACAGCCTGACATGATTTCACACCAGGACTTTGACAGTCTGACATGATTTCACAACAGGACTTTGACAGTCTGACATGATTTCACAACAGGACTATGAGAGCCTGACATGATTTCACAACAGGATTTTGACAGTCTGACATGATTTCACAACAGGACTATGAGAGCCTGACATGATTTCACAACAGGACTTTGACAGTCTGACATGATTTCACATCAGGACTTTGACAGCCTGACATGATTTCACAACAGGAGTATGACAGCCTGACATGATTTCACAACAGGACTTTGACAGCCTGACATGATTTCACAACAGGACTATGAGAGCCTGACATGATTTCACAACAGGACTTTGACAGTCTGACATGATTTCACAACAGGACTATGAGAGCCTGACATGATTTCACAACAGGACTATGAGAGCCTGACATGATTTCACATCAGGACTTTGACAGCCTGACATGATTTCACAACAGGACTATGAGAGCCTGACATGATTTCACAACAGGACTTTGACAGCCTGACATGATTTCACAACAGGAGTATGACAGCCTGACATGATTTCACAACAGGAGTATGACAGCCTGACATGATTTCACAACAGGACTATGAGAGCCTGACATGGTTATGACAATAAAAACTTCCCCACCAACATACTATTGATAATGAATACCAGGTCATCTTTGTGACATCAGCAGTGATGCCTATGATTACCCTCAACTTAAATGTCTTCACAACAATATTAAACTTTTGTTAATGGATACTGTGTCACCTGAATCTAACTTTGTTCAAACTTTTACCTTTGTTCCTGGCACAAGTTTTTCCAGCAGCTCCATCATGTAACCATGGAAACGAGGATGGTGTTCGTACACAGAGCCATCAATCCCTATGGTGACTTCAGGGAGATCAATATGGTTCAACAGAACAGCACATGCTGAAACAGAATGAAGGACAAATCTGGTAGGATTCCTCTATATTGTATAACTGTCACCCCAATATTTCCCCTTCTGACCCACACAGATACTTATCATAAACTATCAAGTGAAACTCGCCATTTTGTCAATGGAGGTTACGATAAATCAATTTAAATACACTGATATTTCTAAAATTTAACTTTTTTTCCATAGATACATAAAATGGCAATGATCTATGTCTTAACCGAACATCTTTGTGTTAGATACAATGACAAGTTCAGTAATACCCACAGACACAAATGATTCAGGCTGATTCAGTAATACCTCAGATTACCTACAGCCACAATGTAGTCTCCCTGATTACCTACAGCCATAATGTAGTCTCCCTGATTACCTACAGAAACAATGTAATCTCCCTGATTACCTACAGAAACAATGTAATCTCCCTGATTACCTGTAGACACAATGTAGTTTCCCTGATTACCTGTAGAAACAATGTAAGCTGTCAGATTACCTACAGCCACAATGTAGTCTCCCTGATTACCTGTAGACATAATGTAATCTCCCTGATAACCTGTAGACACAATGTAGTCTCCCTGATAACCTGTAGACACAATGTAATCTCCCTGATTACCTGTAGACACAATGTAAGCTCCCTGATTACCTGTAGACACAATGTTATCTCCCTGATTACCTGTAGACACAATGTAAGCTACCTGATTACCTGTAGACACAATGTAGTCTCCCTGATTACCTACAGCCACAATGTAATCTCCCTGATTACCTGTAGACACAATGTTATCTCCCTGATTACCTGTAGACACAATGTATGCTCCCTGATTACCTGTAGACACAATGCTATCTCCCTGATTACCTGTAGACACAATGTAAGCTACCTGATTACCTGTAGACACAATGTAGTCTCCCTGATTACCTACAGCCACAATGTAGTCTCCCTGATTACCTGTAGACACAATGTAAGCTCCCTAATTACCTGTAGACACAATGTAAGCTCCCTGATTACCTGTAGACACAATGTAGTCTCCCTGATTACCTACAGCCACAATGTAATTTCCCTGATTACCTGTAGACACAATGTTATCTCCCTGATTACCTGTAGACACAATGTATGCTCCCTGATTACCTGTAGACACAATGTAGTCTCCCTGATTACCTACAGCCACAATGTAATCTCCCTGATTACCTGTAGACACAATGTTATCTCCCTGATTACCTGTAGACACAATGTAATCTCCCTGATTACCTGTAGACACAATGTAATCTCCCTGATTACCTGTAGACACAATGTAAGTTCCCTGATTACCTACAGAAACAATGTTATCTCCCTGATTACCTACAGCCACAATGTATGCTCCCTGATTATCTGTAGATACAATGTAATCTCCCTGATTACCTGTAGACACAATGTAAGCTCCCTGATTACCTGTAGACACAATGTTATCTCTCTGATTACCTACAGCCACAACGTATGCTCCCTGATTACCTGTAGACACAATGTAAGCTCCCTGATTACCTGTAGACACAATGTAAGCTCCCTGATTACCTACAGCCATAATGTAGTCTCCCTGATTACCTGTAAACACAATGTAAGCTCCCTGATTACCTGTAAACACAATGTTATCTCCCTGATTACCTGTAGACACAATGTAAGCTCCCTGATTACCTGTAGACACAATGTAGTCTCCCTGATTACCTACAGCCACAATGTAATCTCCCTGATTACCTACAGCCACAATGTATGCTCCCTGATTAAATGTAGATAAAATGTATGCTCCCTGATTACCTGTAGACACAATGTAAGCTCCCTGATTACCTGTAGACACAATGTAAGCTCTCAGATTACCTACAGCCACAATGTAGTCTCCCTGATTACCTGTAGACATAATGTAATCTCCCGGATTACCTGTAGACACAATGTAGTCTCCTCTGATTACCTGTAGACACAATGTAAGCTCCCTGATTACCTGTAGACACAATGTAGTCTCCCTGATTACCTACAGCCACAATGTAATCTCCCTGATTACCTACAGCCACAATGTATGCTCCCTGATTAACTGTAGATACAATGTATGCTCCCTGATTACCTGTAGACACAATGTAAGCTCCCTGATTACCTGTAGACACAATGTAAGCTCTCAGATTACCTACAGCCACAATGTAGTCTCCCTGATTACCTGTAGACATAATGTAATCTCCCGGATTACCTGACACAATGTAGACACAATGTCTCCTCTGATTACCTGTAGACACAATGTAAGCTCCCTGATTACCTGTAGACACAATGTAGTCTCCCTGATTACCTACAGCCACAATGTAATCTCCCTGATTACCTACAGCCACAATGTATGCTCCCTGATTAACTGTAGATACAATGTATGCTCCCTGATTACCTGTAGACACAATGTAAGCTCCCTGATTACCTGTAGACACAATGTAAGCTCTCAGATTACCTACAGCCACAATGTAGTCTCCTTGATTACCTGTAGACATAATGTAATCTCCTGGATTACCTGTAGACACAATGTAGTCTCCTCTGATTACCTGTAGACACAATGTAAGCTCCCTGATTACCTGTAGACACAATGTAAGCTCCCTGATTACCTACAGACATAATGTAGTCTCTCTGATTACCTGTAGACACAATGTAATCTCCCTGATTACCTGAAGACACAATCTAGTTTACCTGATTACTTGAACGTTAAATGTACACTTGTTTTTACCTGCTGATACAACATATGCTCCACGTTGAGACACAAGGCCACATACAGCCTGAACAAGGGCTATATCCTCTGTATCTGCTGTCAGGTCCAGACTCTGTAGCACCCCAGTGGTGTGGCTGGTCTCCTCTGGACCATCACTGCAAAAATTAATAAGGACCTATATCCTTTAACCTTCTTCTTTGATGGAGGTCAAAGGGCAACATGTAGGTCAGAGTACTTACATTTGATAAACACCACACCACCTTACCAACCATACAAACATTGTATAACCTTGTATTTATATGTGGAATTTTAAGACTTTTTAATTAACATTTCTCTATAATGATCTTATTAATGATATCAGGACACTTTTACAGGGAGAATCACATCATTACCACATCTTACCTCTCCACCTCTGTAACATAGGAGGTTGGCAAACTTCCCATCTCCATGAGTTTGGTTGACCCTTCACCTTTAAACAGTAGGCCCTCATTGGTCAGTTTCACCAACACTAAACGGACAAGTTCACCCAGGTAGCATCCACTAAACATTTTCTCGAATCTGCAAATTTATCAGTTTCCCTTTATTACTTCACAAAGCTGGCATGTATCAGGGAATGAAATTAAAACGGTTTTACATGGTTTATAACAAAACTGTTTCAAATCATCCAAACCAGTGCCTGGAGAATAAAGCTTTCAAATAAATAACAAGAGGCTTAGCAGTCTTGATGGTCACCTAAGATAAGCGATGTTGAAGATATCTAAGGTTAAAGGATAGTTATCCAGGGTCATGAGACAGAAATTGTGACAGTGAATATAGTAAGCCAGTGTCAATACCTGCATACCATCAAAACTGTCATCCTATACTGATAACTCTTATAGAGTTATTTCCAGTGGGAAATGTTATGCTCAAAAATGCCATTTTTCTATGAAAATTACAGAAGAGTCTAAAAAAAAATATTTGTCCCCAGGAAAAAACGTGAGACTCATTTTGCTTCCATTCATGAAGAGTACTTGATATCAGGGTCTTGAGAAGAAGATTTTTAGAAATTTGTGTCAATTTGACCCCTTTTGGCCCCGCCCATCAGCCCCTGGTGGTCAGTCAGGATCAAAATGGGCATACCATCAAGCCTGCATCCTTCACTCATAATTCTTACTCAGTTTGAAATATTTCCAATGGAAATCATGTTAAAAAATCTAATTTTCATATATGAACTATAGTAAACTTTACCCTCTCCCCATGGGGAAACATGAGACCCTGGGGCCATGAAATTCACAATTTTGGTAAAGCACCTTAAGATGCTTCCATTCATGAAAAGTATTTGATTCTACCACATCTAGGTCTTGAGAACAAGATTTAAGTCAATTTGACCCCTTTTGGCCCATGCCCTCAGGCTCCTGGGGGTTGTGACTTTTTGATTCACAATTTTGGATCTCAGACCAGGGAAGGTTTCTCCAAAATTCATTGAAATCAGATCAGGGGTTTTTGAGAAAAAGTTGAAAGTGTTAAAATGTTTACGGACGCACGACACCGGATGAAGGGTATTAGAATAGGTCACCATAAGACTTTGTCTCAGGTAACCTAAAACTTAGTTAACCTTGCTACTACACCAGACAAACCTAACAACTCAGTTAACCTTGCTACTCCACCAGACAAAAGTGACATGGGACATAACTTACGTGAAGGAGTTGACGTGGTTAGAAGTTCTGTCCACTTCCTTGTCAAAGTCTGTCTTGAAGAAATCTAGGCAGCCATTATCCCCAAAGGCTCCCCATTCAGTATTCACCACAATCTAAACAAAAATATGATGCATAATCAGTGTCAAATGAAATTAAATAGGTCATCATAAGTACTGTCAGATACAAATAGATCCACCAACAAGTAACAAAATGCAAACAGATCTCCATTCACCAACAACCATCCTCTTGTGATAACTGTTTTCTAGAAATGTAAAATGTCCATATCACTACTAACCTGGTTGGATGTTTTCACTCCATCTTCAAATTTCTTGAAGTTTTTGGCTTGTTCAACAAAACATGCATTGGATCCAGAACCTGAAAATGTACCAGAAATACAAGCTTATGTTTGGAAATGATACAATACCAAGTATAAACAAAGACATAGTCATCAAGATCCCCCTCCCATGTTCATTTGTAAAATATATGCATTTAAAGTGAGTAACATGGAAAACTGGAAAAGATATCAGCCAATCAGGTTACACCAGCCTCATTAAATATGCACAGAAATTGCCAATAATTCAACTTCAACAAGAGATTAAGGTAACAAGTCTACCAACCAAGCCTCATCATAATTCATTTGTTCCTACAAAAGATAACACGTGGAAAGCATTCAGTTAGAGTGTCACAAAATATCAGCCAATCAGGTCACAGCAGCCTCATAAAATATGGAATTTACAAAAGCTGACTAACACAGCAGATCCTATTTTACATAAAATCTGTTCTGTTTTGTTGATATCTAGACAAATCTGCATTAAATTGGCATATTTCATTGTCAACTAGCTGTTTTATGAGTGAACAAATGCACAGCAGACATGTACAGTAATGTTACAAAATGTATCCTTTTTATCTTTTGTTTCAGCAGTGCCCAAATGTACAATGGACAATAAGGGACCATGTAAAAACCACATATAAGATATGAAAATAATCAATCTGATACTTCTCAAGATAGAGTGATAAAGATATAGTGATCAAATTAGTTTTTTTTGGCAGTCTGATGAGCATTTTTTTTTCAAGCAATCCCGCAAAGAAGAATCCACAACTTGGGACTAAGGGAAATCTACAGATGAAATTTGAGCATGATCCATACCAAACTTTTAAAAAAAGTGTTAAAATCCATGATTGCCACCTGATGGCAATTTTGTGTTTCCAATCAGTCCCAAAAGGCATTGCAGTGCAAGGGATTATGGGAAACCCTGATATACAAATGTGAGAATAGTCTCATTTGTATTTCTCTAGTAATAACAAACTATTTTACTGTCAAAATCCATGATAGCTGTCTGTCAGTTATTTTTTTATCTGATCAGTCCTAAAATAGAACAATTAGGGTCCAATGAGAACCTATCCTTATGTTTGAATATGAACCAACTTACAAAATAATTAATCAAAAAGGTTTTCAATGTCCTCTCAAGTACACCAGTCCCAGTGTGTATTTACAGAATAGACAAACTAATGTTAAAGCTGCTCCAGCCTGATATAAGTATGTTATATAAATACCAATGATGAGGCCGATACGACAGCTCTTATCCAGATAGCTGCCAGCCATTAATGTTCCCGTCGTGTCACTGATCCTGGCCACAACATCAACAGGTACAGACAGGCCCTGTCAACAGTATACAGTGGAATATACAGGCCCTGTCAACAGTATATAGTAGAACATACAGGCCCTGTCAACAGTATATAATACAGTGGAATATACAGGCCCTGTCAACAGTATATAATACAGTGGAATATACAGGCCCTGTCAACCGTATATAATACAGTAGAATATACAGGCCCTGTCATAAGTATATTATACAGTGGAATATACAGGCCCTGTCATAAGTATATAATACAGTGGAATATAAAGGCCCTGTCAACAGTATATAATACTGTAGAACATACAGGCCCTGTCATAAGTATATAATACACTGGAATATACAGGCCCTGTCATAAGTATATAATACAGTGGAATGTACAGGCCCTGTCAACAGTATATAATACAGTGGAATATGCAGGCCCTGTCAACAGTATAAAATACAGTGGAATATACAGCCCCTGTCAACAGTATATAATACAGTGGAATATACAGGCCCTGTCAACCGTATATAATACAGTAGAATATACAGGCCCTGTCATAAGTATATTATACAGTGGAATATACAGGCCCTGTCAACAGTATATAATACAGTGGAATATGCAGGCCCTGTCAACAGTATATAATACAGTGGAATATACAGGCCCTGTCAACAGTATATAATACAGTGGAATATACAGGCCCTGTCAACCGTATATAATACAGTAGAATATACAGGCCCTGTCATAAGTATATTATACAGTGGAATATACAGGCCCTGTCATAAGTATATAATACAGTGGAATATAAAGGCCCTGTCAACAGTATATAATACTGTAGAACATACAGGCCCTGTCATAAGTATATAATACACTGGAATATACAGGCCCTGTCATAAGTATATAATACAGTGGAATGTACAGGCCCTGTCAACAGTATATAATACAGTGGAATATGCAGGCCCTGTCAACAGTATAAAATACAGTGGAATATACAGCCCCTGTCAACAGTATTTAATACAGTGGAATATACAGGCCCTGTCAACAGTATATAATACAGTGGAATATACAGGCCCTGTCAACAGAATGTAATACAGTGGAATATACAAGCCCTGTCAACAGTATATAATAAAGTGAAATATACAGGCCCTGTCATAAGTATCAAGTAAGCACAGGCCCTGTCAAGGCTACATTATACAAAAGTATACACAAAAGTGTACATTAGTACTCACTGTAGGTCCAGTCAATAGTCTGCAATACAGTAAGATAGTCTGGGAAACTTTAGTCTTAATATTTTGTGCTATGGCCATGAAAAAACATTAATATTTGGCAATTTATATTTGCAATTGGTGACAAACCTTGACTTATCTCTACATGGCAGCCTCTGATATGTCTACAGGGTCCTCCTTAAGTGCCTATGCTACCCTCACTTCTTCTCTTCTCTATGACATTCTCTAAACATACCTACACGATCCTCCTTAAGATCTGTGGTACACTTACCCCCCTCCTCTGTATGGCAGCCTCTAACATGCCTACAGGATCCTCCCCAGGGTATGTGGTACACTTACCCCCCTCCTCTGTATGGCAGCCTCTAACATGCCTACAGGATCCTCCCCAGGGCCTGTGGTACACTTACCCCCCTCCTCTGTATGGCAGCCTCTAACATGCCTACAGGATTCTCCCCAGGGTATGTGGTACACTTACCCCCTCCTCTGTATGGCAGCCTCTAACATGCCTACAGGATCCTCCCCAAGTCCTGTGGTACACTTACCCCACTCCTCTGTATGGCAGCCTCTAACATGCCTACAGGATCCTCCCCAGGGTATGTGGTACACTTACCCCCTCCTCTGTATGGCAGCCTCTAACATGTCTACAGGATCCTCCCCAGGGCCTGTGGTACACTTACCCCTCTCCTCTGTATGGCAGCCTCTAACATGTCTACAGGATCCTCCCCAAGTCCTGTGGTACACTTGAAACTCTTGGTCCATGTGATAAGGACACTGTGCTTGAGGCTTTTCTGGATGGAAGGGAAGGAAAATGTGAATCCTGCAAAATAAAGATACAAATTGTATTTATAAAACAATTTTTGTTTGGATTTACTACTGACAATGTATAGGACAAAAGCCATTTCTTTCTGTAAACAAGAAATCCAAGCATGGTTTGGATTATCTAGTGAATACTTCCAAATAAATGTCAATTTAACCTATGCATACATGGATCTAAAGAAGTCACTGATTAAAAGTATTTTATAAATGTTCAAATCCAAAATGACCTCCTCGCTATCCATCATTTTTTCTAAATTAAGTCACAAAACTGAAGAAGCAAATCTCATTAACATGGGGAACCTACAGATGATATCTGGGACCTTGACTTAAGCACAATAAGATTTCCCATTGTGTGGAGTTTGATCAAAGTCCTAAAACATAAGTAGCAGTGCACTTTAGTACAAGTGTAACGGTCCTCCATAAATGTGTGTAGTTTGATGAAAATCTCTCAAGGAATCAAGCAGCTAATAGTAACCTTGATCTTGACCCTCAAGACTTGAAATTGAAGTTTTTTTTAAAGGTTTGAGATTTTATCAAAATCCCTCCAGGAATGAAACTGGTGCCCTACAAGGATAAAATATTATATATATATATATATATATATAACTTTCAAGATGTTGCCTAAGATTAATTAATTAAGCTTTTAAACCAGCCTGAAAATCCAACTTGAGCAGAAATACACCAAGAGACATCTACATCTTATATAAGAAAATGATCTGATGTATTCAGAAAAATACCAATAACACATTTTGTCAAAATCCAAGATGGCCTATCAGCCATATTGTCTTCCTCATCAGATACAAAGCTAGGCACCAAGACGACCATAAAACATGAAATTTGAGAATGATCCCTCAAAAAAAAAACAAAAATTATCTTCCATGAAAAACACAATCAACATGGACACCAGTGTGTTTTACTGATCAGTCCTAGAATCAAACATGATCAACATGGACACCAGTGTGTTTAACTGATCAGTCCTAGAATCAAACATGATCAACATGGACACCAGTGTGTTTAACTGATCAGTCCTAGAATCAAACATGATCAACATGGACACCAGTTTGTTTAACTGATCAGTCCTAGAATCAAACATGATCAACATGGACACCAGTGTGTTTAACTGATCAGTTTAACTGATCAGTCCTAGAATCAAACATGATCAACATGGACACCAGTGTGTTTTTACTGATCAGTCCTAGAATCAAACATGATCAACATGGACACCAGTTTGTTTTTACTGATCAGTCCTAGAATCAAACATGATCAACATGGACACCAGTTTGTTTAACTGATCAGTCCTAGAATCAAACATGATCAACATGGACACCAGTGTGTTTAACTGATCAGTCCTAGAATCAAACATGATCAACATGGACACCAGTTTGTTTAACTGATCAGTCCTAGAATCAAACATGATCAACATGGACACCAGTGTGTTTAACTGATCAGTCCTAGAATCAAACATGATCAACATGGACACCAGTGTGTTTAACTGATCAGTCCTAGAATCAAACATGATCAACATGGACACCAGTGTGTTTAACTGATCAGTCCTAGAATCAAACATGATCAACATGGACACCAGTGTGTTTAACTGATCAGTCCTAGAATCAAACACAATCAACATGTGTGTTTAGAATCAAACTGATGGACATCAGTCCTAGAATCAAACATGATCAACATGGACACCAGTTTGTTTTTACTGATCAGTCCTAGAATCAAACATGATCAACATGGACACCAGTGTGTTTAACTGATCAGTCCTAGAATCAAACATGATCAACATGGACACCAGTCCTAGAATCAAACATGATCAACATGGACACCTGTGTGTTTAACTGATCAGTCCTAGAATCAAACATGATCAACATGGACACCAGTGTGTTTAACTGATCAGTCCTAGAATCAAACATGATCAACATGGACACCAGTGTGTTTTTACTGATCAGTCCTAGAATCAAACATGATCAACATGGACACCAGTGTGTTTAACTGATCAGTCCTAGAATCAAACATGATCAACATGGACACCAGTGTGTTTAACTGATCAGTCCTAGAATCAAACATGATCAACATGGACACCAGTGTGTTTAACTGATCAGTCCTAGAATCAAACACAATCAACATGGACACCAGTGTGTTTAACTGATCAGTCCTAGAATCAAACATGATCAACATGGACACCAGTGTGTTTTTACTGATCAGTCCTAGAATCAAACATGATCAACATGGACACCAGTGTGTTTAACTGATCAGTCCTAGAATCAAACATGATCAACATGGACACCAGTGTGTTTAACTGATCAGTCCTAGAATCAAACATGATCAACATGGACACCAGTGTGTTTAACTGATCAGTCCTAGAATCAAACATGATCAACATGGACACCAGTGTGTTTTTACTGATCAGTCCTAGAATCAAACATGATCAACATGGACACCAGTGTGTTTAACTGATCAGTCCTAGAATCAAACATGATCAACATGGACACCAGTGTGTTTAACTGATCAGTCCTAGAATCAAACATGATCAACATGGACACCAGTGTGTTTGGACAACTGATCAGTCCTAGAATCAAACATGATCAACATGGACACCAGTGTGTTTAACTGATCAGTCCTAGAATCAAACATGATCAACATGGACACCAGTGTGTTTTTAATGATAAGTCATAGAATCAAACATGTTCAACATGGACACCAGTGTGTTTAACTGATCAGTCCTAGAATCAAACATGATCAACATGGACACCAGTGTGTTTAACTGATCAGTCCTAGAATCAAACATGATCAACATGTGTGTTTAACTGATCAGTCCTAGAATCAAACATGATCAACATGGACACCAGTTTGTTTAACTGATCAGTCCTAGAATCAAACATGATCAACATGGACACCAGTGTGTTTAACTGATAAGTCCTAGAATCAAACATGATCAACATGGACACCAGTTTGTTTTTACTGATCAGTCCTAGAATCAAACATGATCAACATGGACACCAGTGTGTGTAGTTCAAACATGATCAACATACTGATCAGTCCTAGAATCAAACATGATCAACATGGACACCAGTGTGTTTAACTGATCAGTCCTAGAATCAAACATGATCAACATGGACACCAGTGTGTTTAACTGATCAGTCCTAGAATCAAACATGATCAACATGGACACCAGTGTGTTTAACTGATCAGTCCTAGAATCAAACATGATCAACATGGACACCAGTGTGTTTAACTGATCAGTCCTAGAATCAAACATGATCAACATGGACACCAGTGTGTTTAACTGATCAGTCCTAGAATCAAACATGATCAACATGGACACCAGTGTGTTTAACTGATCAGTCCTAGAATCAAACATGATCAACATGGACACCAGTGTGTTTTTACTGATCAGTCCTAGAATCAAACATGATCAACATGGACACCAGTGTGTTTAACTGATCAGTCCTAGAATCAAACATGATCAACATGGACACCAGTGTGTTGTGTCCTAGAATCAAACATGATCAACATGGACACCAGTGTGTTTTTACTGATCAGTCCTAGAATCAAACATGATCAACATGGACACCAGTGTGTTTAACTGATCAGTCCTAGAATCAAACATGATCAACATGGACACCAGTGTGTTTTTACTGATCCAAACATGATAGTGTGTTTAACTGATCAGTCCTAGAATCAAACATGATCAACATGGACACCAGTGTGTGTTTACTGATCAGTCCTAGAATCAAACATCAAACACATGATCAACATGGACACCAGTGTGTTTAACTGATCAGTCCTAGAATCAAACATGATCAACATGGACACCAGTGTGTTTAACTGATCAGTCCTAGAATCAAACATGATCAACATGGACACCAGTGTGTTTAACTGATCAGTCCTAGAATCAAACATGATCAACATGGACACCAGTGTGTTTAACTGATCAGTCCTAGAATCAAACATGATCAACATGGACACCAGTGTGTGTGTTGATCAACATGGACACCAGTGTGTTTAACTGATCAGTCCTAGAATCAAACATGATCAACATGGACACCAGTGTGTTAACTGAAGTCCTAGAATCAAACATGATCAACATGGACACCAGTGTGTTTAACTGATCAGTCCTAGAAGTGTGTTTAACTGATCAGTCCTCACATGATCAACATGGACACCAGTGTGTTTAACTGATCAGTCCTAGAATCAAACATGATCAACATGGACACCAGTGTGTTTAACTGATCAGTCCTAGAATCAAACATGATCAACATGGACACCAGTGTGTTTTTACTGATCAGTCCTAGAATCAAACATGATCAACATGGACACCAGTTTGTTTTTACTGATCAGTCCTAGAATCAAACACAATCAACATGGACACCAGTTTGTTTTTACTGATCAGTCCTAGAATCAAACATGATCAACATGGACACCAGTGTGTTTTTACTGATCAGTCCTAGAATCAAACATGATCAACATGGACACCAGTGTGTTTAACTGATCAGTCCTAGAATCAAACATGATCAACATGGACACCAGTGTGTTTTTACTGATCAGTCCTAGAATCAAACATGATCAACATGGACACCAGTGTGTTTTTACTGATCAGTCCTAGAATCAAACACGATCAACATGGACACCAGTGTGTTTTTACTGATCAGTCCTAGAATCAAACATGATCAACATGGACACCAGTGTGTTTAACTGATCAGTCCTAGAATCAAACACGATCAACATGGACACCAGTTTGTTTAACTGATCAGTCCTAGAATCAAACACAATCAACATGGACACCAGTTTGTTTTTACTGATTAGTCCTAGAATCAAACATGATCAACATGGACACCAGTGTGTTTAACTGATCAGTCCTAGAATCAAACACAATCAACATGGACACCAGTTTGTTTTTACTGATTAGTCCTAGAATCAAACATGATCAACATGGACACCAGTTTGTTTAACTGATCAGTCCTAGAATCAAACATAATCAACATATGAAATTCTGAGAAAGATCAATACAGTCCTTCTCAAAAATAGCAATTTCAAAATTTAATGGTCAAATTTTTTTTGATAATCTGATCAATCCTATGAAACATTTAAGAATAATCATGACAGATAAGACAGGAGGACAACATCTTTATACTTGTATGTACTGAAATGTCTTCACTACTGTATTCCCCCTAAAAGACATAATCAAATGTGCACAGTGACTTACCAAGTGGAATGGCAGTGTCTGAAGACATCTTTTCTTCATTAATGAACTTCTCAATACTATTAGCAATGTGGTCAAAAACCTGAAATTTAGATATCATCATTGTTAGAAAGAAAAAAAATTCCAAAAATTTGGACGTGCTATAATCTCACCACAATCAATTATATCAGAATGAGTCTAACACCTTGAATTTGATGTATAATGATGTTTTGGAGTTCTCACACTGATGACACAGTCGAGCGTTCTGCAACTTGGCAGTAGCTTATCTCTGGGTCTATAAAGGGAGATAACTCACAGTCATTGATCTGTGACAGTAAGGCCACTTTTGTGTAACCTAGTGGAAACAGTTCAGCCAACCCAGACTTATCACATAATAAGTAAACACACATGTACCAGATGTTGGCACTGACATATGTTAAAGATCAAAATGCACAGAATTTCCTGTCAAGCATAAAACAATGAATGAAAAATAAAATATCATCCAGTAAAACTGGACCCTGCTTTAGGCTGAAATTCTGAAAACTAATGATATTCAGCAAAGTTATGGACAGGTTCGACTGGACATGCCAAATATTCTGCAGTCAAGACTCGATCCCTATATGTACCAAGCGATTTTTTTGCATGTTCAGCCAGTCCAAACATTTCAAATGCTCACTGGAAGCAACCTAAGATAGAGTAAACCTCTAATTAGTTCTAATTGGTGGCTAGTCTACACACATGATTTTCTCAATAGTTTTCAGTCCAGTAATAGGGCGAACTCTTTCTAGTTTGTTTCAGTTACAGCTTGAATTGTTTGAACATATTGCTAGACAGCACATATTACTATCAATTAAGGCATTGGCATAGCAATAATCACTCCATGTGGTCACTATTCATATGGACATTAAACCCTGTGGGTAGCAGACTGTATAGGACCATCATAAGCAATAGATAGCATCAGATTATACACATATATGTCACTTAATCAGCATTGATGTGTAGTGTGGCGTCTTTAACATCTTGCTGTAATATCATGAATGTGCCAGTTGCCCAGCTTCAGGCCCCAACTCTGTATTGCAAGCTAGGCCATCAGTAAATATATACAGACCACATGATGTCACCACACGTTCTGTCAATGAACAACATTGTTTCACTTCACATTTTGATTGGATAATCACGTCAAGACTATCTCAATAACTAACATCATATTAACTCTCGATCCACACTCTGCATAACAATATGTCAACACCAACTGCTGCCAATACGCAAGCAGAAATGTGCTTTTTCCAGGCTGGTTTCTTCAGCACAGTATTAAAATTTATGAAGATCATTTCTAGTTGATTAAGCTGTATTGCAATCAGTAAGAGTTTCAAAATGTAATAAACTTATATTTTTATATTTGTGATGCATGAATATATATATATATCAAAAAGATAAAATCAACGTGGTAGTTTGCAAATATATATATATTATATAACCCTTCACTATGTAAACTTATCACTGTAAAAAGGAGTTAACTCACAAGTAATGTGGATCTATATAAAAGAGATACACCAGTAAGTTTATTTTTAACAGGGGAGATAACTCCTTTTGATTGTAACTCACCCCTTCAGCTGGGCCGGACAGGAGTTCCTGTGAAAGGTTGTAGTACTTGGTGGTTGTTTCAGCCTTACCCTCATTGAAAGTAACTCTCACCACTCGAAAATTAGTACCGCCTAAATCCAGTCCTAGATAGTCTCCTTTCTCTATAACAAAACAGGATCTACATTGTGTTACAAATATCCACATTTGTCATGGAGACTTGTCATTTAATTCAACGTAGTGAGTCTCTCTCACCTCTATAACCAGAAATACATATTTGTAAACAGAAACATATTCCTTCTATAGAAAAAAATATTACAAACACAAGCATTACGCATAAGTGCTTTCATCCCTAATCTTCAATCTAGAGGTCACAGTCAGAACTAGTCATTATATAGTATGTGTGACTTCATTTGAAAGGAAGGCAATATAATCATCATTTCGGAACACTTCAATATTTTACAGCTGAATTCCTACATACCATCTCCCTTGAGGAGCCCTTGGACATATGTAAACTCCCAGAATAGATCCGATCGTTTCCTGTCCTCCTCTTGTTGACTGTTGGCAAAGTCTATCTGTTGTTCCATCACCTCCATGATCCTGTGGACATCGCCATCACTCAAAACTAGATTCTCCAACACAGCAATCACCTATGGAAACATCAACAAGTTTAAATATATTTTGAGAAGTCGTCTATCTTTGTTACAGCATTAGAAAAACTGTATTTGCTTTTGTAAACATTCGTTTCCTTTAATAAATAAAGAATACCGTTAACTGAGTTGTGACACAATCAGTTGTTGTGAACTGACTAGCTTGTGGACTTTCTGTATACAGTATATGTGAGGGCTATTTTCTGTGTAGTGGAGGCCATTTAATGTTATTCTCAGGCCTTCATCTCAGTAAGATTCAGTAGAGGACAGAAAGAATGAAACTACAATCACACTGCCTACAGTATAAAATGACAATCTGACTTAATACACTTTTGTCATCCATCGCCAGATACAGCGACCTCACCCAAGAAAGATATAAAGCAAAAAATATTGCTGATCTAGATTTTGTATCAGTCTTATAAAATGGTACTTTCACAAATATTTACAAAAGTATAAAATGTACATGATAAAATAAATCAACATTTCTTTCATCTTATAAAAGACAAATGAAAATTGATGAAAGTAATCATGAATTTTTCATCTATTTTTGCTGAAATTTTGGTAATATGTAAAATTCTTCAGACTTCTTTCCTTAATCTCATGTAAGATTCTAGATCTGATGGATGTGTTGTTAATAAACATTGTATAAAAATCTCTTTCTTACTACAGGACTTACTTTATCCCTCTTGTCGTTGGACGTTATTCCCTCTATCCTTGCCTTCTTTGTCAGAGGTTCCATGGTAGCTGCAACATAGACCTAATTGTAACTCCCTATATCACTGTAACACATGGATAATGGATAGAACAACGAACTCCAGAAACACCGCCCAGCCAAAGTAACATCAGAGTAAAGCAATCATTTTTTTTTAAAAGAATTTTTTTATAATTGCATATTTCCTGAAACATGCTCATAAAGAGGTTACTTGATAATTAGATCAACAGTCTGGATTTGCACATTTTTGCATCATAAATGATAAAGCATGTGAACAAAACACTGTCACCTCTGAAAAAAATGGCTTCCTACCTGAATAAGTTGCTCCAATGTTGGTGATTAATGTCACTTATTTTGTAATTCTGAAATGATGTAGAGTTATCAAATAACATTTACCACATCCATAACAACCTGCATATGAAATTTGAGAAAGATCCATCCAGTACTTTCCCAGAAATAGCGGTAACAAACTTTTACTTTCAATTTTACTCCAAGATGGCCGCCTGTCAGCCATCTTGATTTCAAATCAGTCCAAAACAAGTATAATGCACAACTAGGGACCAAGGCAAACCAATACCTATGAAATATCAGAAGTATCCATCCAGTACTTCCTCAGAAATAGCGGTAACAAACTTTTACTTTCAAACACCAAGATGGCTGCCTGTCAGCCATCTTGAATTTGAATCAGTCCAAAAAAGGCACAATGCACAACTAGGGACCAAGGGGAACCTGCATATGAAATTTGAGAAAGATCCATCCAGTACTTTCCAAGAAATAGCGGCAACAAACTTTTACTTTAACAAACTTTTATTTCTTTCCAAAAAGGTACAATGCATAACTAGGGACCAAGGGGATCCTGCGCCTGTACTTTCCAAGAAATAGCAGCAAGATGGCTGCCTGTCGGCAATTGAATTTGAATCAGTCCAAAAAAGGTACAATGCACAACTAGGGACCAAGGGGAACCTGCATATGAAATTTGAGAAAGATCCATCCAGTACTTTCCCAGAAATAGCGGTAACAAACTTTTACTTTCAAACTCCAAGATGGCCGCCTGTCAGGCATCTTGAATTTGAATCAGTCCAAAAAAGGTACAATGCACAACGAGGGACCAAGGGGAACCTGCATATGAAATTTGAGAAAGATCCATCCAGTACTTACCCAGAAATAGCGGTAACAAACTTTTACTTCCAAAATCCAAGATGGCCGCCTGTCAGTCATCTTGAATTTGAATCAGTCCAAAAAAGGTACAATGCATAACTAGGGACCAAGGGGAACCTGCATATGAAATTTGTGAAAGATCTAATCCAGTACTTTCCCAGAAATAGCGGTAACAAACTTTTACTTTCAAACACCAAGATGGCCGCCTGTCAGCCATCTTGATTTCTTATCAGTCCAAATAAAGTACAATGCACAACTAGGGACCAAGGGGAACCTGCATATGAAATTTGAGAAAGATCCATCCAGTACTTTCCCAGAAATAGCGGTAACAAGAATTGTTTACGGACGGACGGACCAAGGACCACGGACCACGGACCACGGACCACGGACGCAGGGCGATTTGAATACCCCACCATCTGATGATGGTGGGCTAAAAACTACTGTCACTGTCATTTCAGCTCACCATTACAAGTTTTTGTCAACAAAATGAACTGCTTGTTTTCAAAACTATTACATGACCTCATCAGTGCTAAATGTGAGAGGGGTTTCTTAAACCAAAGAAGTGGTCAAGCTGGAAAATGGAAAGCAACTGTGAATATCGGGATAGAAACATAAGTGTATGAAACAATCCCTCTAACTCAGGAATTATCTACCACACAAATAATGTTTTACCTGGATATCCCTTTAACTCAGGAATTATCTACCACACAAATAATGTTTTTACCTGGATGTCCATTTAACTCAGGAATTATCTACCACACATATAATGTTTTACCTGGATATCCCTTTAACTCAGGAATTATCTACCACACAAATAATGTTTTACCTGGATATCCCTTTAACTCAGGAATTATCTACCACACAAATAATGTTTTACCTGGACATCCCTTTAACTCAGGAATTATCTACCACACAAATAATGTTTTACCTGGATGTTTCTTAAACTCATGAAATATCTACCACACAGATAATGTTTTACCTGGATATCCCATTAACTCAAGAAATATCTACCACACATATAATGTTTTACCTGGATGTTCCTTTAACTCATGAAATATCTGCCACACAAATAATGTTTTACCTGGATGTTTCTTAAACTCATGAAATATCTACCACACAGATAATGTTTTACCTGGATATCCCATTAACTCATGAAATATCTATCACACATATAATGTTTTACCTGGATGTTCCTTTAACTCATGAAATATCTGCTACACATATAATACACAATCTAGTCCTACTTATCATGATGTTGATATCGGTTATGGAATGATTATATAAGGAAAAAAAGAAATGATTAAGACAGTCCATACACATATACAAACACACAAACTGCTACCAAAAAAAATCCCCTCAAATTCAGCTTTCATAACATAAAGAAGATCCACAAAGCATCATTGATCAGGATTATGTTTGATCAATAAAGTCACAGATGTTATAAAGTATAGTGCGGAGGTTAGTTATGGGTGTATTTATCAATATATAGATATACTTACTGTTATATACAGATTTAGTTACCAAGATATAGATATACTTACTGTTATATATAGATTTAGTTACCAAGATATAGATATACTTACCTACATATATAGATCTAGTTACCAAGGTATAGATATCCTTACATATATAGATCTAGTTACCATATATAGATCTAGTTACCAAGGTATAGATATCCTTACATATATAGATCTAGTTACTTTCATATATAGATCTAGTTACCAAGATATAGATATACTACCTACATATATAGATCTAGTTACCAAGGTATAGATATCCTTACATATATAGATCTAGTTACCAAGGTACAGATATCCTTACATATATAGATCTAGTTACCAAGGTATAGATATACTTACATATATCTAGTTACTTTCATATATAGATCTAGTTACCAAGATATAGATATACTTACATATATAGATCTAGTTACCAAGGTATAGATATCCTTACATATATAGATCTAGTTACCAAGGTATAGATATCCTTACATATATAGATCTAGTTACTTTCATATATAGATCTAGTTACCAAGGTAAGATATAGTTACTTTCATATATACTTACCTATATATATATAGATCTAGTTACCAAGGTATAGATATCCTTACATATATAGATCTTGTTACTTTCATATATAGATCTAGTTACCAAGATATAGATATACTTACCTACATATATAGATCTAGTTACCAAGGTATAGATATCCTTACATATATAGATCTAGTTACCAAGGTACAGATATCCTTACATATATAGATCTAGTTACTTTCATATATAGATTTATAGATATAGATATACTTACCTTTATATATAGATCTAGTTACCAAGGTATAGATATATTACATTCATAGATCTAGTTACCATGGTATAGATATACTTATATATATAGATCTAGTTACCAAGGTATAGATAACTTACATATATAGATCTAGTTACTTTCATATATATATACCAAGATATAGATATACTTACATATATAGATCTAGTTACCAAGGTATAAATACTTACCTTTATATATAGATCTAGTTTACACAAATGTAGATATAATCACCTATACATAGATATCGTTAAAAATATATAGATATAATTACATTTATATATATATCCAGATAATGATATATTTACCTATATATAGATATATTTAACTATAAATAGATATACTTATCCTAATATAAATATACCTATCCTTATATAGATATAATTGCTGAAGAGATGAAAACAACAAAGTGGGTGAGGGGTTATATATAAAAGATGAAAACAACAAAGTGGGTGGGGTTTTATATATAAAAGATGAAAACAACAAAGTGGGTGGGGGTTTATATATAAAAGATGAAAACAACAAAGTGGGCGGAGGTTTATATATAAAAGATGAAAACAACAATGTGGGTGAAGATTTATATATAAAAGATGAAAACAACAAAGTGGGTGGAGGATTATATATAAAAGATGAAAACAACAAGTGGGTGAAGGTTTATATATAAAAGATGAAAACAACAATGTGGGTGAAGGTTTATATATAAAAGATGAAAACAACAATGTGGGTGGAGGTTTATATATAAAAGATGAAAACAACAATGTGGGTGAAGATTTATATATAAAAGATGAAAACAACAAAGTGGGTGGAGGTTTATATATAAAAGATGAAAACAAGTGGGTGGAGGTTTATATATAAAAGATGAAAACAACAAAATGGGTGGAGGATTATATATTAAAGATGAAAACAATAAAGTTGGTGGAGGTTTATATATAAAAGATGAAAACAAGAAAGTGGGTGGAGGTTTATATATAAAAGATGAAAACAATGTGGGTGAAGGTTTATATATAAAAGATGAAAACAACAATGTGGGTGAAGGTTTATATATAAAAGATGAAAACAACAATGTGGGTGAAGGTTTATATATAAAAGATGAAAACAACAAAGTGGGTGGAGGTTTATATATAAAAGATGAAAACAATGTGGGTGAAGGTTTATATATAAAAGATGAAAACAAAGTGGGTGGAGGTTTATATATAAAAGATGAAAACAAGTGGGTGGAGGTTTATATATAAAAGATGAAAACAACAATGTGGGTGAAGGTTTATATATAAAAGATGAAAACAAAGTGAGTGAAGGTTTATATATAAAAGATAAAAACAACAAAGTGGGTGGAGGATTATATATAAAAGATGAAAACAAGAAAGTGGGTGGAAGTGTATATATAAAAGATGAAAACAAGAAAGTGGGTGGAGGATTATATATAAAAGATGAAAACAAGAAAGTGGGTGGAGGTTTATATATAAAAGATGAAAACAAGTGGGTGGAGGTTTATATATAAAAGATGAAAACAACAAGTCTGATAGAGGTTTATATAATAAGATGAAAGAATAAATTGGTTGGAAGTTATATATAAAAGATGAAACAACAGTGTTTTCCTGCTACAGAGGTACTTTCCTTGTAATATATGTTCTATAACATATGTATGACTTGGTGGGAAAAGTGCCTATTATAGGGTGTGGAGCAGTGGTTCAGGGTAGGACAGTGAGGCACAGAATGTGGTGCAGGTGGCATATGTGATGCAAGGTCAAACAGCAGTGATAGATCCAGAGTAGAGGGGATCCACCCCCAATTCTAATATGGAGGAATTGTTCTTTCTCATTAAGAGCTATTTGCCCCTCCCCCTCCCTCTCATCCCACTGCACTCCCATTAAATCAATCCTTTCCTCAACTTCTGGATCTCTTACTGCATAGGGCGAGATAGAGAATGACAGTTTGGTAAATATACAATGTTTTGAAGCAAACCTGATATGTTACAGTGGATAAAGTCTGTGTAGCAACAGGCAATTAGGTGATTTGTGCTTGTTCAACTCGTCTATTTCTAAAGGATTTTGTGATGTAATACAGTGGAAATCTTCATTGTGTCCCTTGGGAGAAATATAGGGATTGAAAGAAAAATGGAAAATTATAAGGAACAGGTTGGTGGAATAAGGTAAATTGAGAATTATCATGCAGTGATGGTGTAAAGCTTGTATTATATCAGAATGACATAATTCTGAATACTTATCTTCGTGTGATTTCGCTGTGCAATACTAGTTCGTTAGGCTCTCGTTTTCTAGCTTGAGTAAGGTCATCTTTGGGTAGTTCCATTGGCAGAGTTTTGGCAGTGTCTAGCTATACCAGGTAGGTATTCATTTCAGCAGTATCTGGATGTAGTATCAGGTTGATAGTCACTATGGCAGATTCTAGTTGTATTAGATAGTAATCGTGACTCATTTCGGCAGCGTCTAGCTGTACCGGGTTGATCGTCATTTCAACAGCGTCTTGCTGTACTGGGTTAGTAGTTATTTCAGCAGCGTCTTTAGGAACATGCAAATGCAAAAGTTCACATGTTGAAACCAGATCTCCTTGGCCTTTGAACTCTAGTTCCACTTGGTCTGTGGACTTTAGGTCCCCTTGGTCTGTGGACTTTAGATCCCCTTAGTCTTTGAACCCTTGGTCCCCTTGGTCTGTGAACTCTAAATCCCCTTGGTCTATGGACTCTAGATCTCTTTGGTCTGGTGCAAAGGTTATTGTATGTCTCATTTCCATTTCTCCAATATGACATTTTTCATGCAGTCTGGAAGATTTTGAAGATGTCATGTTTGTAGCTTGTAGGGCCCTACTGTTGTGTTTGTTAACACAAACATGACATTTACGATTCATGTTGTAACATCATAATATCTATGATAATGTCGCAACATCACAGAATGTTGATCAGCATGCCAACAATGTGTGAAATCTGGTCTGAATAATTGACATAAAAACAAGGTGTACGTTAACATAAAGCCCATGTGTATGTTGACATAAGAAGCAGGTGTATGTTGACATAAAGCCCATGTGTATGTTGACATAAGAAGCAGGTGTATGTTGACATAAAGCCCATGTGTATGTTGACATAAGAAGCAGGTGTATGTTGACATAAATAGCAGGTGTATGTTGACATAAAAACCATGTGTATGTTGACATAAAAACCAGGTGTACGTTGACATATGTAGAGGTGATATAAATAGTCTTGTCTATTTTTGGTGCAAAGTGGTTTGTCCACGAGGATCTCTCATAAGTACTTCATCCACTTACATTTTTTACTGTGTGCAGTGGTTTGTTAACCTGCATATCCCATGATAATTATTTCACCTACATGTATCTCTTATTGAGTACAGTAGTTCATCCATGTGCATGTCCGTTTGTAGTGGTGTAAGTATGCATAAATCATAACACTGAACAATGATTCCTGTCTGTATGGAGTTAGATGAGTATCCAGTCCTATTTCGATTGTTTTTTCTTGGTATTGGACTCAAGATTAAGGAGGCTCTCATAGGGTAGGATGTTCTATGACATTAGCGAGTGTGACTAGAGATTAAAATGGAGTGCTGCCAGACTCTATTTTCCATTGCCAGGTACATTCTTGGATAAGGAATCTGAATTAAAGTTTGGTTGTTCAAAAGTATTGTTGTTTACATTATATGTGCTGATGAATAATTTGCTTCTTGTGAATGACTAGGTTGATGAGATTATGAAAACCAGGCATGGTCTGAATGGTAATTCAGCCATGACCAGGCATGGTCTGAATGGTAATTCAGCCATGACCAGGCTCTTTATTTGAGTACTGCTGTTTCTGGTAGGCGAGTGTGGGAAGATGTCTCATATGATAGCCAGGCCATAATGATGTTCTGTTCTATTCTGTTACTTTTATAAGGTAGTGTTGCAGTAAAATGTGAGTGTTTGAAACAAGGTGGGTGGTGGGATAGATAATGTTTTTGGGTTTTGTGAATAGATTTATTTTTCTTTTTTCTGCAAGTGTAAATGTATAAGTGACAAGGGAGGAGACCTGTTTGCAAGATTATTACATAGTCTTTCACACCCTTTTTCAGAGACCAACACCAATGATTTCCTTCAATGAAAAGAACAAACTTCATCCTTGAAGGGATTCCTAATGGTTACCATGGACACGACTACAGTGTTCATCCATTTACTTCACCATGAAGTTCTCTACACGAACAATAGAACTATTAAAACCCGTCCTAAACTTTTACAGCTTGACATTTATCTACATACACTACCGCCAGAGAAGGGGAAGCAGCCAGGGTAAGTGGCACCTTCATTTGTGAAATTCTTTGTAGTGGATCTAGAGTACAAAATATGACAGGACACAGACTTTTTCGTATGAAAAAACAAATGACTCCAAATACAAATTTTCTACAACCACAGCAATGGATTTTCCCATAGGGGATGAGCTGCATGACTGTTCAGTGGGTCTAATGTGTCTGGTGATACAAATGTTTTAACAGGTGCAAGAAATTTATGAATTTAAAGTAAAGGTAGTTTATATGCTGGTTACCAGTAATGGTAGATTTTTGTGATCCAATTCACTTTTGGTGTGTGCTGTACTGTTGAAGAAGCGGCTGCTAGTTCGCATTTGCTTTCCTGATGGAGTCTGTGTTCTTCAACATGACTAACAGTCTTCTTTTCCGGTTTATCACAATGTTGCTGAAGTTTGCGTAGAGCTGTTTGTTTAGCTGAGCCAAGTTGCTGGTTATTCATCGTCTTTATTTTGATGTAGGAAGTTTAAAAAGGCCTAGTTGGCCTATGGTTAGGTGTGTAGTACTTCCAGTGTCCACCAGAAGGAAACAGGGAAATTTGTCTGAAAATAACCTCCAGGTCAGAGTGTACCTTTCCACAACATCCTTTAATCTAGGAGAAAAGCTTAGCATTTCTAGAACAGATACTTTGTTCTTGTTTGAATGAATAAAAAGATTAGTTGAAGACAAAGTCACTGAGTACAGAGATAATATTTTATTGTCAGCTAGGTTAGTATAAAAGATTACAATTTCTAATGGTTAAAATTTCAGTGGTCAAAAGTATAAGGATGTACTTTTCAAAGAGGTCATGAAATAGACCATGATTTCAGTCTATTTTACATTTCAGGATATCTATCATTATTCTTATCTTTTTAAAATTCTTACCACATCCTCAAGGGAAAAAACAAACAGTTTATCTAACTTTTACACAGCAAGGCTTCAGTCCATTTTTGCCATTATCAGAACTTTCATTGTTGCCATGTTCTCCTTCAATGGTCTCTGCAGCTTCTCACAGATATGGGCGTATGCCTTTTATATTCTGGACTGGTAAGTGAGGAGTTCTTAACTGTGGCACACACGTCTGTTGTATGTGGCAAGTGTAAAGAAATCATGTCCTTACTTGCCGTTAGATTTCTATCAACTTCCTCTATGTTCTCTGTTGAACAGGAAGAGTTATTTCCCTTTATGGACTGGCTTTCCTGCCATAACCTTCAAACAGATTAACACATTCCAATGTAGTATAATGATATCATGTTATCTATTATTGCCTTCAGTACTATATATTTATGATGAGATATCTTAACAGAGGCCATTGTTAGTATAGATAATATACAGGTATAACTTTGTCCAAGACTTAATTAGTAATAAGTATTGTTAGTATAGATAAATGTTAAGAACACTACTTGTTGGCAAAAGCAAAAGATGTAAGGTGTGGTGATCTAGAACTACCCACATATTACTGGGTATAGTGCAGGTAGAAGTCATCTGTTGAAATAAAGCCTTAAAGTTAAAAGTGTTTCCATTTGTGATGTGTTGCAGCATGTAAATGGTATATTCCTGATACAGTCCTCAAAACACTTATACTGATGTCATTTAAACATTAGCACTAATGTCATTTAAACATTACTACTGATGTCATTTAAACATTAGCACTAATGCCATTTAATTAAACATAAGTACTGATGTCATTTAAAAATAAGTACTGGTGTCATTTAAACATTAGCACTAATGTCATTTAATTAAACATAAGTACTGATGTCATTTAAAAATAAGTACTGGTGTCATTTAAACATTACTACTGATGTCATTTAATTAAACATTTGTACTGATGTCATTTAAACATTAGTACTGATGTCATTTAAACATTAGTACTGATGTCTTTTAAACATTAGTACTGATGTCTTTTAAACATTAGTACTGATGTCATTTAAACATTAGTACTGAACTCATTTAAACATTAGTACTGAACTCATTTAAACATTAGTACTGATGTCTTTTAAACATAAGTACTGATGTTATTTAAACATAAGTACTGATGTCATTTAAACATTTGTACTGATGTCATTTAAACATTAGTACTGAACTCATCTAAACATTAGTACTGATGTCTTTTAAACATAAGTACTGATGTCATTTAAAAATAAGTACTGATGTCATTTAAACATTTGTACTGATGTCATTTAATTAAACATTTGTACTGATGTTATTTAAACATTAGTACTGAACTCATTTAAACATTAGTACTGATGTCTTTTAAACATTAGTACTGATGTCATTTAAACATTTGTACTGATGTCATTTAAACATTAGTACTAATGTCGTTTAATTAAACATGAGTAATGATGTCATTTAAACATGAATACATATGTCCTATCTTCCATGCATTTGCTGGCAAACCTGAAATGTTCTGTTGTGATGCAGTAGGGTCTGACCGTTAACATTCATGTTTCACGCTTGCGTTCAAGGATGTTTTTTTGTTGATGGATTTCAGACACTTTTTCATAGACGATCAAGACTTGCATACACAAATAATTTCCCTTGAAATATTCTGGTCAATATCTCCAAGAAAACTTATTTCCAAACATTTTCCACGTCAACAAACAAACAAGGAGATCATCTCATTTCTGAGGCATTTTTAAGTGAAAATACTTCACAAAAACCAATGTTATGTTTAATGCAAAAAAGTTTGCATATTTATTGAGAGAATTCACATGGTCCATAACATTTTGATGAAGTAACATGATTTTGGCATTGAAGTATTAATGAGATCAACATGAAGGAAGTACCTGCTTAGTCAACATACTCTCAACAGGTATCAAATATAAAATGTATACAAATATCTTCATATTACACTCAATTTTCGGTTCTTCCACACCCAATGCAAAGTCTTCCATATAAACACAAAATATGTATTGCCATTGTTTTGAGAATAACTGTATTTAACTTATTGTTTGAAGAGGTTGCAGCTGGTGCCAGGAAGGCATATACAAGTGATGATAGCATCCATATATATCCCCCTTATTGGTTGTACTAATTAGTAACAAACACTTCACATGTTCATCAGCCAACAGATATATAACAGATCATTCAACTGGCATAAAACATTTGTAACCACTCGCTTCATTGGCTGAATGGATTAACATGTAACCAATCATTCCATAGGTTGTGTCAGTGGACTGATTGGTCCTCGACATGTATGTCTGGGCTCTTTTATATTATGTCACAGGGTTATCAATCAAACAGCCATGGAGAGCATGATTGGACAGTGATCACTACCCATGATGCTCTGTTGGATAATGCTGTCACACAGATCACTCTTCAAGCGTTCCGAGAGGACAAAGTAATCAAGTCGCCTGAAAAATCCAAATACAACACTTTTAGAATTTTATACTGCATGCAACCATACCATATAATAATTACAAAACTATTTATTTTTATATATTTCTACATTTCAAGTCCTAGTCAGATCAAGTTATATCTTATTGTCTAGATGTTGACAGACTTTCTTAAGAACCCTAAAGTGGAAACTCACCATCCCACATTCTTTGCACGTGCATTCATCATATAAGTCCAGAAAGAGAAACAGTCGCGGGCGTTTGGGTATAACTCTCTAAATGAGTCCACAAATCCTTCCCCAAGTAGATTTGTAAACTGTTCCCTCTCTGCCTCTGTGAACCCAGCTGTCTTTTTGTTTGTTTTTGGGTTCTTCAGATCTGGTGATAGAGACAGTGAAGGTAACATCCATTGTTTATCTCTCCTAGCCTGTTTCATTTACCAAAGTCATGAAAATTGGATGAATTATGTAAAAAAAGATCAAAATACAACATTTTTTGTGCAAAAATGCTTCATGTATATAATGAATTAGCTCCAAATGTCAATCCTAACCTCATTTTAAAACTGATGCCAAATATTCTTGTGAAAATAATTTTATATATTTCTGAAACAATCAATGAACAGTCAAACAAAAGGAAGTTTTATGTTTTTCATTCTTAATTCAAACAGATTCCTCTCTCCTTTGTACTAATATATGGGCGAGTAAGAGAACGTGTGTGACAATGTGTCATCTGTATCATATTTTGTCAATGTACACATCTTAACTTTCGTTTTATGTTGAGAGGAGTTAGACAGATACATATACTGTATTACCTGCAGGTGTATGTGCAACATTTAGATCGCCACATAAAATCACCGGTTTCTTGGCATCTAATTTCTTGAGGTACTCCTGAAAGTCTGTATCCCATTCCTTAGTTCTGTAGTCCAACCTCACCAGGCCTTTTCCAGAGTTAGGCACATCTGAAACACGTTATCTTCATAAATTAATCTTACTATTTTAAGGAACCTTAGTTTTACTCATAATTTTTACATGATGGTCTACATTTTCAAATTCCCATTGCAAAACCAGTTGCTCAAACACTGAGGATGAAAATGTTTGTTCAATGTAAAGTAAACATTGGAGATATAAACCTGACCACCAATGACATGCTGAAACATAATTTCTACTAAACCTGACTGGCCCTACCTATAGTCTTGGCTAAAGAATTTTGAGAATTTTCAAGGCGGGACCATTAAACTTATAATTCATTCTTACTTTCTTTGTAAAAAATACCAGCATTTAAAATAAAGATGTTTGACTGACCTACCATACTTTTTTCTGGCATGTTAGCAGAAATACATGTATTTCTTTTGACCTCTTGATTAAAATAAGATACTCCAATTTTCTCCACATACATGTACTAAGTATTAAGACTGTGGTAATTGGTATGTGTACTTACACGAGGTGACCAGAAAGAACTTGTCAAACTCAGCAGTAATAGTGCGACCCTCATTGTCATGTTTCTCGATACCTGAAAATATCAATATTTGGGACACTCTATTTATTCAAGCACCTGTACCAACATTCCCTGTAAAAGCCTATTTATTTCAAAAAGCCTTAGCGAAGCAATAAAACCTGTTCAGAGCGAACACTATCTAAGTCACAGTGATTTTCTATTTTGGACTAGACAATATTCGAAGTATGAAGTAATCTGAAATTTTTCATAAAGAATTGGTATTAACAGTTGATTGATGATGATGTAAAGACAATGCAGAAAAATTGGTGCTGTCTCGTTACTAGGAACACATAGTAGCCAAATCTGTTATGTATTTGACTGTTTTGTCAGGTTTTAACTTTATTTTGGAGTTTTGTTTAACACTTTTTGGAAAACAATGCTGTTTCTTACATCATATCACAGGTATATTTAACCACACACAAAAATTTGCGTCACATGCAACAATGGAGACAAAATCTACTTTGGAACCACAATTTGAAGACTGAAGAATGGTGCAGAGAGTTACAGATCCATACCCATGACTTCTTACTTACTATGCCTTGTGTTAGACAGGTTGGTTTGTCACACTAACTTACTATGCCTTGTGTTAGACAGGTTGGTTTGTCAGACTAACTTACTATGCCTTGTGTTAGACAGCCTTGTGTTGGTTTGTCAGACTAACTTACTATGCCTTGTGTTAGACAGGTTGGTTTGTCAGACTAACTTACTATGCCTTGTGTTAGACAGGTTGGTTTGTCAGACTAACTTACTATGCCTTGTGTTAGACAGGTTGGTTTGTCAGACTAACTTACTATGCCTTGTGTTAGACAGGTTGGTTTGTCACACTAACTTACTATGCCTTGTGTTAGACAGGTTGGTTTGTCAGACTAACTTACTATGCCTTGTGTTAGACAGGTTGGTTTGTCACACTAACTTACTATGCCTTGTGTTAGACAGGTTGGTTTGTCAGACTAACTTACTATGCCTTGTGTTAGACAGGTTGGTTTGTCAGACTAACTTACTATGCCTTGTGTTAGACAGGTTGGTTTGTCAGACTAACTTAATATGCCTTGTGTTAGACAGGTTGGTTTGTCAGACTAACTTACTATGCCTTGTGTTAGACAGGTTGGTTTGTCAGACTAACTTACTATGCCTTGTGTTAGACAGGTTGGTTTGTCAGACTAACTTACTATGCCTTGTGTTAGACAGGTTGGTTTGTCAGACTAACTTACTATGCCTTGTGTTAGACAGGTTGGTTTGTCAGACTAACTTACTATGTCTTGTGTTAGACAGGTTGGTTTGTCACACAAACTTACTATGCCTTGTGTTAGACAGGTTGGTTTGTCACACTAACTTACTATGCCTTGTGTTAGACAGGTTGGTTTGTCAGACTAACTTACTATGCCTTGTGTTAGACAGGTTGGTTTGTCACACTAACTTACTATGCCTTGTGTTAGACAGGTTGGTTTGTCAGACTTACATACTATGCCTTGTGTTAGATGGGTTGGTTTGTCAGACTAACTTACCTATGCCTTGTGTTAGATGGGTTGGTTTGTCAGACTAACTTACCTATGCCATTTGTTACAGTGATGGGTTTTGTTTTTGTGTACATGCCAGTCCCAGCATAGCCCTCAGTGTCTGCTGATGACCAGTAGGAATGATAACCCTCAACCTCGGATTCCTTAGGAAGTTTAGCTTGGGAACATTTTGTCTCTTGGACACACAGTATATCAGGATTGTGTGTCTTAAGGTAGCTCAGACCATCCCCCTGTTCGACAAAACATTACGGTCGATTCTGATTATAACACATTCAGGTGGATTATAGTAACAATGCATTCAGGTGGATCATATTAACAACACATTGAAATAGATTTTGATAACAACACAGGTTTATCTGTCATATTATTCTATACAGTTTAATCTAATTTGAAATTGTTCTAAATAGGTTAACCTCATGTGATATTGTTCTAAATACCGTATTTTCCAGATTAAAAGCCGCACACTTTCTCCTCATGAGTTGGGCATGCAGCCTATATACCAGTATGGTTTATTTGCCCTCCGTTGTCCGTTATATCAACGCACTTTGGACTCAATGTGATGGTTACCACTTCGTAAGAACTGTCTTCCGTTATCTGCTACTGGTATATCGAATACAACTATAGCGGTCATCATATCGTAAGAAAGGGTGCAGCTTATATACTGGTGTGGCTTATAATATGGTAGGTTAACCTTTATCCATGTTATTTTTATGTGAAACTGTAGTATTCAGTTAAACTTTGTGTGATTTTTTAGCTACTCAGGTGAACTCTCAGCAAAATAAGGAAAGCGTAATCTATCAGTAATATAGTGTTAGTCTGTCATGTGACAATCAAACTGGCTGAATGCTCTACCTTCATCCAGGCACGCAGCCCATTAACATTCCAGGAGGTGATTTTCAGTGTGGCCTTCCGTCCATCAGCTGTTTCTTTATCTGGGTTGAATGCTGTTGGGAAACTGGTGTCTGTGCCCTCTGGCAGGGATTCCACACTATCCTCCTTCTTTGGTTTGGAGGTCTTTGCACCACCATTCTATATCATTCGACAAATGAAAATCATATTTTGAAGCCTGACCCATTTTTAGTACGAGAGATAATATATTCCTGTATCTGGCGAAATATTCTGCAGTCAGTAAGAAGGAACTGGTGTACAAACTACAAGCATTTAAAATAAAACTGAGATATACCATTCCTGAGTTTCTTTGGCTGTTTATTCTTTGAATTTTAAATCCTGAAGAAGCCAACTGTTCGGGCGAAACTGGTAGACATTTCACACTAATTAAAAATCAATTTATCCCGAACCTGTTGCGATTGACTTATATACTTTCTTTGTATTTTAATCTAATTCATTCTATCTGCCTTAGACAATATCAGTCTATTATGTCTCGATAATGATAAAATAGGGACATCATGAGGAGAATGATTATTTAACAACTTAACTGTTAGGTACACATTATGTAACTTTGTACCTACATTTCTTAAGTAAATGATGGCACTGAGAGAAATATTCAATTGTAGTTGAAAAAGAGTAGGAACAAGTTTGTCCTAACTTGATCTAAAGCTTAATGTGTCTATTCAGCAAGCAGCATACCTTCAATGTAAGGAAATATTCTATAAACCATTGTTTAAGGTAGTGTTTGAGTTTTATTAGTGATTCCCTCTATGTATGGAATTCTGATGTTCTCTACTCTACAGTCACATTCTTATGGTAGTGAAGTCTTTAGATGATACACCAATGAAACATAAATACATACCGAAGCACCAGCTTCTTCAACTTTGACCTGTTTTGCTTCTGGTTCCTGTAAACAAAGTCACATTAATTGACTTTTTTTAGATTCTTTATTAGCCAGGAGCCTTACGGCTCATAGGCACAACAGTAATACATTTACATATAAATATATAATAATATATAATACATGCATGTAGCTTACGCTCACACACACCACCTCACACACCATCCCTCACACACACCACCTCACATACTCACATCCTCACACACACACACGCTGACATATTGGGAGAGTTGAACACATAACATACATATATATAGCTGTATACATGATCCTAGCAAAAAGAGTTGGCATTATTAGAGATTTTCACGTTTTTTGGTAGCATAAAACAAATATTTTCCCAAATTACAAAGTTCCTTTACATTGTTTACACTCAAAAGTTTGATTAATTTGAAAACACTTGGACGTCTGTGGTAAAACCTTTCTATATATTTTCTCCTTAATTCCTCATAAAAAGGGCATTTTAAAATAAAATGGAATTCATCTTCAATATCTTCTCCATTACATCTGATGCACACTCTATTTCTTCTTCCAATATTTCTACGACGCCCAGTTTCTATATTAAGATTATGTGCAGATAGTCTAAACTTTGTGATTAAACGTGTGTATTTCGTTTCAATTGGTTTACATAAATCATATTGCAAATTAAAGTTATCAGTAAGATATTGGTACAAATATCCTTTAGAAGAGTCTTTAATTCTACTTAAAATTTCTTGTTTATTTACATCTAATAACCTCTGTTTTATTCTATTATACGCAGCACCAGCAGGAAGATCATTTTCAAATAAATACTCAAGGCCTAATATTGACAACTCTTGTTTTGTATTACTCATCCATACATCATTTTCACTCACACATTCGTCATAACATGCTTTCAAGATGCAGTTATCGGAACTCTTTATTTTCAACCAATATTTAAAAATTCTTAATTTTCTAGTTACTAATAAAGGTAATCTCCCTAGTTCATTATAAACTAAATCAATGTTTGTACTTTTTCTTACCCCTAGAATTTTCTTACAGAATGTCAAATGTACTTTTTGTATATCATAAGCCTTATGGAAACCCCATATTTCTGCTCCGTAACAAAGAATACTACTAATATATGTATCAAAAACAGAAGATAATGTTTCTGGATTTAAAGAGTAATCTCGTAATGAGGACATTAATGAATACAATTGATTCCAATATAGTGGTAAACAACCTAATGAATAAGCTAGAAGTGTCTGTGAGAATGGTTTTGACAACAAATGTGCTAAGGTTGACAGTAAGCATACTTAAATGACAAATAAGATTTAGAAAATAAGAAAATTTCTGACAAGTTTCAGCTAAATCTCTGAGTTCAAACTTTGTTTTGGAAAAATTGCACACAATTAGAGTCAGAATAACAGCATTTTTCCACTTTAAAACTGGGCAAAAAAGCACTTAATTTCAAAATACATATATAATGTGGCAAAATGGCTCAATCTTCTCTGCTACATCAAAGTCTGCAGGATGCCAAAAAATAACAACACTTGGTCAGCACCATCTCAGGATCATTTCATCTGAATCCCAGTGGTTGAATTTGAGAAGAAACTTAAAATAGCTTTGTTCAGGAAAACAATGATTGTGCAATCATGACACAAAATGGCCATCTCTGCTGCAAAGTCAGAGCTAGGTAGAGACCGAAAAATAACTTTGTATTCCACTCAGCCCCTCAAGGGAGTGCGACTCCTGAGAGTGCTATTAATGATTTTAATTTTTTATGGGATGTCACATGTGGCACAGACAATGACCTGCCTTTATGCATATGTCTGTTTTATGAACTTGTGGTGCAGCATTACTTGTACAATCAAATTTAATGTATTTACAATAAAGTCACATTATCACAATTAAACAGGTCTAGTAATTCAAGTTGTGAAATATCTGACTCACCTCATTAGCCGATGACGCTTTATTTGACTGTAAAAAATGAAAGTAATAATAAGAAAGTAATATATTAACTTCACACGCAATTGATAGAACTTGAAGCGATCAAAGAGATGAATTTTAAATATGATCACAAATCTATTGTAAATAGCGGTGTTTAGAACTATACAACTGAAATAAGTCCGTGACGTGATACAATAACATTAAAATAATTCCGACCGCGGCGTCAAACAATTACTGATAAAGTGCTGTGTAGCATTATGAATATCAACAGAGGTACTAAACTGTAGCTGTAGGCATACATATATAACGTTAAAAATCCTACCTTGCGTTTAGCTGGCATTTTCTTCACATACACGGGATAAACTGCAGACGTGAAGATTTTTCTGAGCACGCTAGATTGATGCAAGAACGAGACGATATTCAGATGAAATGTTGAGCACGCCAGATCGAAGCGACGACAAAATACTGCTGATTCTTTTGTTGTTTTATACCGTTACAAGCGTCAGGACAACATTTTCCCGCGCTTTGTCATTGACGGCACATCAGTTTAACCCGTTACCTGCCGATGAGGTCATCTTTCAATTGGGCCTGCGAAGCCCCTCTGACCTTAGTCTTTCGGGCGTAAGAACATCAACAAAGATAATTTCAAATACATATTTACCTACGATTTTCGTGACAGCTGGTGACAACAGCAAGTTCTTCTGTTAACCCAAGAATTGTTTTTGAAAGTTTCTCAAACGTTTGAAATAAATGAAAATACCCGAAAGGCTACGAAGTAATATTTTTCGAAAGTTCTCGAGACTGTACGTATGTGGTATACTATTCGGGGCACCTGCCGGAAGCCAGTCACTAGCTTGGATACATGACGCTTTCGTAATTTCATTTCTTATGATTTTTTTTAACCATGATACTGTGACAACACGAAACATTTCCAATTATAGAGAATATGCACTGGAGAATTAAAACCTATATATAGTAGCTTGAGTGCACTGAATGAGTTGTCATCGCTTGAAAGAACAGGAAAATAATGTTTACCTAGGTGTACTACACGGGTTTGTGAGACCTTGATAACCGCTGAACAGCTATTGCGTGACTGCCATAGCGCTAATTAATCTAACACGCCGCGCTGACTTTCTCAGAGAAAGTGGAAGCTACGGGGCAGTAAAGCAACAGCGGTCTGGATACTCCATTAATTATGTAAACGGACAGGAATTAATTTTGTGAGGGTGCCGAAGTGCAGTAGTCACCTCCACGGAATACTTGGATGACCATTAGTGTTTTGATGAAACTCTTAGAATTAACTTATCTTATCCTGACTTGAATAACTTTCTCTTCATATTGTATTAATCAATCAAGTTCTGAAGAAAAAAATAAGCCAATTTCACGCTATCAATGTGATGTTGATTATCAAATGTAAATCATCGGGACCCTCAATAAAACCATATACATATCTCCAACACATCTACAAAAGTCCTGACTGGCCAGCTAAATGCCAGTCTAATGGAGAGTGGTTTGTTAGTCACAACTATGGACTACTTTGAGGATGACCTGTATGACATCCTTGTGAAGGGGAAACGCAAGTCGCTAAAGGAGTATCTAGATAGAGGTCTGGATGTGAACCATGCCTTCCGCAGCACTGACCGTCCCGACCGTCTCGGTAAAACCCTTATAGAGGTAGGGGTCCAGGAACAGCAGAAAGGGGTTGTTGAAGAGCTCATAAGTAATAAAGCAAATGCCAATCTAAAATATGTGGTGGATGTTAACAACTATGCATATACATTGAGGGAATATAAAAAGAATGATTGTTTAAAGCTTACAGGCATGTATACATGTATCGTCAAAAACCAGGTAGAGATGATCAAGTTATTGGTTCAGGGTGGATACAATGTTAACAACCACGATGACCGTGGCTGTACATGTCTATGGCATGCTGTTGATTTGAATAATTATGAAATGGCAAAGGCCATTCTGATGTCCAAAGATTGTGATGTGAATGTGATGGACACTGCTCTTCTCCGCCCTCTACATATAGCTGCTATGCATGGTAACCACAAAATTATGTCACTGTTGATCAGACGGGGTGCTCGTATTGATGCTGTCCAACTACGAGGATGGACAGCTTTGAATCTGTCCTGTCGCACTGGATGTGTACCCACCACCCGAATGTTGCTGTTGAATGGTGCTGACCCAAATCATACCGCTTATAATGAACATACACCACTTTCCATGGCTCTACAATTTTGTGAGGTATGTACGGAAATCTTATAAAATTATACTAATTCAGATAATGTTACTTGTTTACTTCATTTCTTTTTAAATGTGTGGATTTTCCTTCTTTTTTTGCGAAATTTTCATGAAATTTTTCTTATCTATGTCCTTCATTATTTATTGTGATCAATTAAATTTTATAGATACCATCCAATAACACATATCAGGAAACTGTTTTCTCCTTGGTTATATCAAACTAATAGTATAAATATGGTATTTCTTGTATAAAGATTCATCTGCTGTGACGAAGAAGGTAATAATATATAGGTGTTACAGACAGATTGTCAATTATTTAAGTTTCTTGGTGTGTGTTGGCTCTGAAGCTATAAAATGCAACACACCACACAATTAGCAGCAGGTTCTGAGACCTGGTTTACAGCCTGTATGTTGATACATAATTGAGAAGGAGTTGATAAGATTTTATGGTGTTTGTTATGTTTATCATCATTACTACAATTTTCAGGACCGACAAATTCCAGAGTTGCTGCTGGAAGCAGGAGCAGAAGTAACACTATGTTTGATGAAGAAGTGCAAAGAAGAAAAAATGGCAAATTTGTTACTGAACCCTGACCTCTTTGACATAATGAAGTTCATGTCAGAGACACCAAGAACTCTCAGGACTTTGAGTTGTCTTAGAATTAGGAAATCTCTGATCCACTCTTCATCAGATCTCCACATCATAAAAAAAGTGGAGGGCTTGCCTCTTCCCAAGCTTATCAAGGAATACCTATTAATGGCTCACTTATAAAGTAATTGTAACCATATTTCCTACACAGGAAGAAACTACTGATGTCTTTGGTAACATACTGTCATAACTATGAATATTGATCAAAACCAAATCAGAAATACCTACTTAAGCATGATAACCATAGTATGGATAGTGTTGATATCTCAGTGCTGGCCACCTGTGGTGTCATGGTAACCGCAGTATAGCTGATGTTGATATCTCAGTGCTGGCCACCTATGGTGTCATGGTAACCGCAGTATAGCTGATGTTGATATCTCAGTGCTGGCCACCTGTGGTGTCATGGTAACCACAGTTTAGCTGATGTTGAAATCTCAGTGCTGGCCACCTGTGGTGTCATGGTAACTGCAGTATAGCTGATGTTGATATCTCAGTGCTGGCCACCTGTGGTGTCATGGTAACCACAGTTTAGCTGATGTTGATATCTCAGTGCTGGCCACCTGTGGTGTCATGGTAACTGCAGTATAGCTCATGTAGATATCTTACTGATGGCCCCCTGTGGTGTCATGGTAATGGAGTGCAGTTAATGTTGATATTTAACTGATGGTCCCCTGTGGTGTCATGGTAATGGAGTGCAGTTAATGTTGATATTTAACTGATGGTCCCCTGTGGTGTCATGGTAATGGAGTGCAGTTAATGTTGATATTTAACTGATGGTCCCCTGTGGTGTCATGGTAATGGAGTGCAGTTAATTTTGATATTTAACTGATGGTCCCCTGTGGTGTCATGGTAATGGAGTGCAGTTAATGTTGATATCTTACTGATGGCCCCCTGTGGTGTCATGGTAACAACAGTATAACTGATGTTGATATCTTACTGATGGCCCCTTGTGGTGCCATGGTAACCACAGTATAGCTGATGATGATCTCTTACTGATGGCCCCCTGTGGTGCCATGGTAACTACAGTATAGCTGATGGTGATCTCTTACTGATGGCCCCCTTTGGTGTCATGGTAACCACAGTATAGCTGATGTTGATATCTTACTGATGGTCCCATTTGGTGTCATGCATGGTAACCATAATGCACCTGACCTTGTGATATTATCAGGAAAACTTCAATGTCTCAATAGGTAGAACCTACAGAAATATCCCCAAATCTTCACTGGTGCTTTGTTATGCAATGTGACAAGTCAACATTAATGTATAATGTCTAGAACTCTCCTTAACTGCATGTGTGACGGAAATGGATTTTTTGAGAGTTGCATCCCCTTATGAGAATGAAGTATTTCTTTATTCATCATATAAAACATAAGTAAAATGTTGATGTAGGATGATATTTTGTCAATAATGTACAGTATATATTGTATTTGTATATTTATCATGAATGACAATGTAAAATTATTCCACATTGTAAATGCTGTGGTTTAATTTTATACTAATCTATATGGACCATACTTATCTCCAATGTGTTCATGAATATTTTAGTGGAATGTAAAAAAATATATTGTCTTATACATTTCAAACATTTCTATTGATTTTGCTGTAATAGTGTTTTAGTTGTTAACAGTTACTTTGGAATATTTAGTTTGTAAACATTATTATGTTTGGTAAATTTCACCTCCAGCGTTTAGAGTGTATTCAATTCATGGATAATTAAAACACATATTCATACCTGGGCAGAAGCAAAGGAATGGATCAATACTTAAAAGTTTGGTGGTTTGTAGTGAAAATTTTACTGCTACGTGTATAATATTTACCTCAGGTATATAGTGCTCACTCACCTTAACAGTTATTGATCTGTAGCCAACAATCAGTAACCTGTTAACTGTATTAGGTGTGACAACACTTCAGGATATGGGGAAATTATGGTATTGTATGATTAATAGTTCCATACTAAAGTCTCATATAAAATAATTTAAATGAATTTGTTCTGAATATAGAATTCACAATTTCAAGTAAATTCCAATCCACAATGGATTAAACAGTACCAATTTGCGAGTTTTATGGGAAAACTTACCTGAATGAACTGACACTACTTTATGGGAAAATACTATAATTCCTATCAAAACAAATTGCCCTGTAGGGAAATTAATGTATGATTAAGGTAACAACTGCCAGATTTAGATGTCAGATTAGCAATCAGATATAAAAGTTCCAGTTGTACCCTATAAACATGGATATTGTGCCCCCTATGCACCCCCCTCCACTTCATTCTATCAACATTTTATTGTATCACTCACAAAATGGCATCCCCTTCCCTCTGTATTTTGTCAAGGTTACAAACACTCATTATCTTTTCATTGTCAAAAAGCTAAACTTCTTTGTGTGTTTATATATATACTTTGATAATGATACAGGGAATATGAAACACAACTACTTGAATTTGTGTGTTTATTTATGCAAATGTGCTGTGGTACTGGATTTGGTATTCTTCATCTGAACTGACATTCTTTTGTCATAAATCCTCTATGTAATGGTTTGACTTCAATAAAAATATTTTTTTTAAACATGTGTTTTTTGTTTGTTGCACTCATTTCCAGGGAAACATATATCTGCCTCATAAAAATGAAGAGCAAGGAAACCCATGGATGGGAATTGGAACATTTCAGCTATAGTATAAACACTTGATCATCAGATGGAAACCCAAATTCCCAACATGTTTAGATACACCAGACCCAAAGATGGAAACAAAAATTCTAACTTGATTTCATAACATTACCTTGTTACAGTTGGTCATTATCATTTAGAAGTAGAAGTAGAACACTAAGCAATGGCAAAATATGAAACCAGAAAACAAAGAGCGGAACAAAAGATGCCGATGTCATATATTATATATGATTGAAACATATGAACTATACATGTCGATAAGCCATCAAAAGGAAATAGCACTACAATTTATTTTAATACATTGCAAACAATTAATGTCTTAAATTATCAAAATGTCTGAAAAAGCACAATTTCATCTCAATATAACCTATCAGGTTTCAAACAAGTTGGCTGACAGCTAAGGGAGACCATCTATAATTAAGATCAACAAGAGCATCGCAAACGATACTTCCATCTTACTCAGCAGAGTTTAAGGATGCAAATCACCTGTATTTTACTAAATGCACAAACTTTAGCTTTTTTCTTTTTCAGTTTATTTAATTTGTTTCTAATTGCTGTAACTTTTAACTTTCTGAAAATCGCAACTAGTCATGAACGATTGAAGAGATTTTGACAAAATTTGGTCTTTCTTGGATGAAGGGAATCCATCTTGTATAAACATTAGGCCTCGGCCCCCTTTGAGGGCTTTAGGGACAGGGCCCAATTGAGAAAATAGAATGTATTATTAAAAATCAACTTCTTCTGTAGGAATGAATGGAAATTGCCCAGATTTAGCGTGAAGCATTCTTGGTTGAATGGGAATTGCAGGCTCATTTCCCGAAAACACCAACTTGTAAGGAAGGTGTTTATATAGGGAATCCTTTGAAGCTAAAGTTATAGTCTGTTTCAACTAAGAATGTCAACTTATTTTGTGACTAGGATACTTACATATCAATAATGAAATAGATAAAGTTTCTATTTGTCTTAATTAATTGTAAAACAATATTTAGCATATAAAAGTATTATAAGATAGATATTAAATATTAATATTTAATATTATTATTCCTTATATAATGATTATCATGTAAGATTATATTTAATCAATAAATCAAATTCATTAAGTCACATTGATATACTGGTGTCAGCAATTAAATTGAATTGGAAACTCTATCCAAGATGGAGAAGCTCGGATGCTGAATCAGCATAGGTCATCAGGTTGATCGTCGCGGTCTGATAATGGTCCTTCAAGGTGGCCAGGCGTCTGTCAATGTTGGCGGTTTTCTTCTTCCAAGGTTGAATGGTGCCTCCTGCATCTCTCTGAATCCGGCTGATGTCATTCATATTCTGTATGTCCTTAAGCACCTGGATGATGGTGTAGATGTTGGGGTGGGCATACAGTACCTTCTTCAGTTTCCCTTGACAAGCTTCAAGATGCTTGGTAGTCCAGGGTTCCTCTGTTGAGAAGTGGTTACAAGTTGTTCGATCTCCCTCTATCCATTGCTCTGTGATGTAATCTGTGAATGACACAGGATGTAGGATGTCAGCATCATCAGCTTCCTCATGGGTTTGTAACCAGATCTCCTCAATGCGGTTTAAGGGGGCGAGTGGCAGAACAGCAGCTTGGCGTACAAGTATTTTGACGTCATCGTTGTCACGTTACAGTGCCTGGAGTCTGGTTAACTGGACCTTTTGCCAAATGCACTGGGTGTAGTGGAAAAAAACATCCTTTAATGGTGATACCTTTAATTACACTTCAGATCGCATTGTGTGTGACTACCTCAAAATCGACGAAGGCTGTAGTTGGTCGGAATGGAATCTGGAAGTGTATCATGTGATCCTGTAGTAACGTGAAGAAATAGTTGAAGATAACCTGGCTCTTTCCATATACAACTGGGGTCATGATGCCTTCAATCTGTAGAGGGATGCTGTGAATCCGGTGAAACATAGGTGGACAGGTGTAGAATGTGCCATCACAGAAGAATGTGTCAGATGCTGCAAGTTCACCCTGGTTCTCTGATGTAGCAAAGAGGAGAAATGCTTGCAGCGAGCACAGTAGAGAGACAATTTGGCTGTATAGAATGTTGGCAGTCACTGGACCATTCCAGTACAAGATTAACTAACATACTTGATAAAAGTTATGATAATTTACACTAAACTGAAAAAGTACAAGATTAACTAATATATAAGACAAAAGTTATGTAATAAATCAAGCAATGAGAAATTGATGCTTCAAAGTGCAGAATGAAATATGATAATTCTCCAAAATGTACTAGGCTTTTATACATTTCCCATTGAACAGCTTGGGATTGGAATAGTTGTAACAAATATATTTAATTCCTTTATTTTATAGTTATTAACAGTTTCCTGAACAGTTATCAGAACTTGATTATCTTATTTGCCTGTATAAGTTACCTGTAGAACAATTCTATAACTCACTATCATCAAAACATGTAAACATGTTTTCATAGACAGAGTGGCTGTTCAGGGAAGACCCAGAATTGCATTAGGCTTTGGCCCCCTGGGGCAGGAGCGGATGTCCCAATAGCGGAAATAGAGTGAATTCTTTAAAATCTGACTCCTCCTGCAGATATTAATGGATATTGCCCAAATTTGGTCTGAAGCTTTCTTGGGTAAAGAGGAATCCATCTTGCATAAAGATAGAGCCTATACCCCCTGGGGTGGGAAGGGAGGGGCCCAATAAAGGAAGTAGAGTAAATAATTCAAAAACTCTACTCCTTCTTTCGGAATGAATGGACATTGCCCAAATTTGGTCTGAAGGATTCACATATACATATGGTATCGGTCCCCTTTGGGGGCTTAAAGGCAGGACTCAATAGAGGAAATAGAGTAAAGTTTTCAAAATTCTACTTTTCCTGTAGAAATGAATGGATATTGCCTAAATTTGGTCTGAAGCACTCTTGGGTGAAAGAAATCAGTTGTGTATAAACAGTGGATATCAGTGCTGAATAACAAGGCTGGTGTAGTATAATACAGTGAAATCCATGTAGATAAAATGAAGCTTTATACTTCATGTTTATGGTAGAGTATGTATTTTGACTTGATTTTGATGGCATTATCATCAATTAACTTTTATTCACCGATTCTTTTTTTCTAATTGCCCTGATTTAATTCAATCATATAAAACACAACTAACAAAAAACATGTCTGGGGTGGGGAAATTCAGGACGGGGCACTATGCTTCACAATAGGGAAACTATATCAGAATTTGTCTGTATTATTTGAGATTGTTTATTAAATGGCAGATTAGCTTAATTAGCCATGTGAGTGATGCAGGCCACTTGGACCTCTTGCTCTTACTATGCGCAAGTTTACAGTACTATGCTGTGTCAACAGTGTGTATAGTTAAAATATTCCTGTGCGATTCTAATTGACTCTGGATCAACTCTTAAACATATCTTTCTTTTCTAATACAAGCATTTTGCAGTTAGGGTGATGAAACGGTCAACATACACACTTGAAATCAAAGTTTTAAGCAATGGCTGAGGATTACTTTGAAAGCTTGAAAATAGTTACTCGTAGGCCAGCAGCGCGCATCCACTTTTTAAATATGTATATAAAGCAATCAATTTGTTTAAGAAAAAATAAAATCGTGTCTTATTACGTCCTCAGATGTAAAAAGCGTCCTTATACTTTCACTTTCTCATAATAGTTTAACATCTACTCCTCTCCCAATCAGTAACTTGTTCCCTGAGTACCTTTGCAGACGATTTTTTTACCATTGACGACAGAAAATAACGAATTCTCCCCTCGCGCCAAACAAACTCTCGTGTGATCTCGTGTAGTCTAGTCCACATGTGAAGAACGGAAGAAAACATTCTGACGGACGCAAACATTTCTTCGAAATGCAGAAGTGTCCGTCTTGCCCAAAGTGTCAGTCATTTTATTCCACTAAAGGTGATAACAGACATTATAAGCATTATTAATGGAAAACCCTTACTTACCAAAAGTGTTGCTATCGCATCAGTAGCCGGAGTATGACAAAATCAGCATCATCATGTCATAATAAAACCAAGATATGACACCTGTTATAGGCTCTTGATGTCAACATATGTGTAAACTACAGATTTGTATCCGACTGTGATAATTTTTTTAATAATTATTAAAATGGGAATTCGATTACATCCATTCCACTGTAACGATTTTTTTTTTATTTAACGATGAAAAGCTCAGGTTTAGCCACTTAAGAAAAATCATGTATAGCTTAATGCAAACTGAAGTTTATCCTAAAGGTAACCCGATTTTCTTCATTGAAGTACGGTTATTCGCCAAAAGTTATATGGTATTGGTATAACTGAGCACATTATGAAATTATCCCTAAACCTCATCATAATGGCTCATAGACTTTCTGTAAAGAAAAACAGATGTGCTAACAGTTAAAGTGAAATGCATTAGATACAATCTATGGAAATCCCAATAATTCAAATTTAACACAGATTAAAGTGATGACATCAGGGAGTCAGATCTTTTGATACAAATTAAAGGTCATTGGCAACAATATTTTTCAGATCTCTATATGAGGGCTGATTGAGAAGTTGTGAGCCTCGTATTATTTTTCAACATAATCCCTTTCAGTATCTATACACTTTTGCCAGCAATCTTTAAGGGCCTCAATGCCACTTTTATAGAAGTCCTTTTCATGACCATTCAGAAAGTCCACCACTGCATGTATGCTGTCATCATCTGACCAAAGTGGGTATCAGAAAAGGCCTTCTTCAATTTTGGAAATAGATGAAAATCAGATGGAGTGAGATCAGGCAAATTAGGGGTATGCTCAATCAATTCAAAGCCACAATTATGTGAGTCATTCCAATGGCAGACTTGTGAAAAAGAGTCCTGGTGATTACCATCAGCAGCCTAGAAAACTGAGGGTATAACCTTTCCAGCTGATGGAACAGTCTTTGCCTTCTTTGGTGGGGGTGAACCTAGGTGCTTCCATTGTTTAGGCTGTTGTTTGGCCTCTGGGCATAGTCACTAACCTCTGCAGAAAGTTAGCAGAATCTGCCTCTAAAAGGTTCAGATTAGCACACAACAGAGTCCACCTGGTGTGCTTCTGATCAGCTGTTGGAAGTCTTGGTACACAATGGGCTGAAAGCTTTCTCATTGAAAGATCTTCTGTAAGAATGGAATGTACTCTTTCCTGTGAAATACCAACTGTACTGGCTATAGATCTCTCTGTAACTCGCCTGTCAGCCATAACAATATCATGGACTTTATTGACCATTTCTGGGGTTGCAACAGTGCCAGGCCTTCCAGGATGGTCATCATCGCCAAGGCTCTGCTTGCCACACTTAACTTTTCACCATAGCATATGAAGGGGCATCATTCCCTAGTGTTCCTACCATATCAGTATGGATATCCTTTGGTGCTAGACTTTTCTTATACAAATATTGAAACACTGCTCTCTCAATGATTTATTTCTTTGCAAAAGTTACTTGCCTTGTTTACTTTAGAGCGCTACCTCTTCCACATAAACTGACCAGATGACATCAGTCTTCAGTCACATAGCCTTAAATAGTCCGTACTTATTTCTTCAGCGGTAAAATTTACACCACAAATTGGCCTGAAGAAGCCTATGTCTTATGGCAAAACTGGTACATGTAAGTAATAAAGATACTACGTTCATCATCCTGAGCTTTTTGCGATTGACTATTACCTTTCAGTTGACTATTGTATGCAACTTATATTTGCATGTTTATTGTCCTACATATAGAAGTTTATTATGTTGTACAGTTTGTGTGCATGTGTTACTGTGTAATTTGTATTCTTCCGCTGAAAGTAATGTCCTGCTGTGTTTTTCTTTGTGTTTTGAGCATGTCTTTCTTTCTGTATTTCTTTCATAGAATAGAGTGGTAGTAGGCACAGGGATTTCAAGATATATTAGCTTTGTTTTTTGAGAATTGTATAGGTACAGTTTAAAAAAACTTGAAGCTCTCTAGAGGTAATTTATGAGTAAATGTGTATAACAAGTTATAAACTTTGAAATTTATGTAAGTTATAAACAAAAGGCCAATGAAATCTCCCTGCACAGTAAAATTATTGAAGCAAAGCAGGAGAGTTATACACTGTGTATTTGCTGACAAGCACAAAAGTAGTCACAGAATGCACAAATTTAAATAAACTGTAAACTGAAATAGCAATGTATTCATGTAACACAGTATTTGGCAGCAAAACAAAGAAAAGTGAAATATATAATAAAATAGCACAAAATAGCATATTTTGGGATAAAGATAGTGAGTTTGGTTATCATTGTCAAAATGTGAGTCATTATTTCATTCCTTTATGTGTTATATGTCTTGCTGCCTTATACAGGTAAATTCACGGTCCAATTAACTAACTAGTGTCCTCTCATGACCACTAATCCCCTGTGACCGACAGGTTCTAGGGAGGGGTAGGTGTGTGCTAAGGTAGCCCAGGGCATTTGGAATTTAACAGAGATGAAATGTGTTAGGAACATGGGATGTAACGAGCACTTTGTAATTGGATGAAAACGATTTTCATTTTTAAAACAAAATCTGAACAAAGGGAAAAGACAGTATCCATCACTGAAGCGAGTATAAGATGAAAACTGAAAAACAAACAAAATTATATGGGATGTTATTGTCTTCAGCTACAGGAAAATTTCACTTATATGTAAATAAAGATGTGCAGGAAACAAATGAAATAACTTTAATTCACCATTCACAAAGTTGCTGTATGCCTATTTTGTTTACAGACGTTAGCCAAGTCGTGATACAATTCATCCCCTGGATCATCATTATTATCTTTTAGCTACTTAGAACTGTTATAGTCTAATAACAAACTTTACTATTTTGTCATTTTATAGTGCTGTACATGCTTATGCTATCAAATATAGCCAATTAGATCAACAGAACCTTCATAAACACTACTAATGAATATGTGTCTGGTGCTGGAATTGACATCACAAATGATCAACAAAGGAGAATCCTTGGTTTCCAAAAGGAATATTTTACTATCCTTGGGTGTTTACAGAAATAGTACTACCTGTACATCATGCAATACACTGATCACGTTCTTAAGACATTATCTAAAGATTTTTCACAAATAATTGACTTTTTATTTTTTGTTGTCTGCAAATCTTTCCTCAGTATCCCTGATAGTTAATTATAATGACTATCATGATTTGTAAATTATGTCACATTCTTTGAGAACCATATACTTAGACTTGAACACAGTGCTGAAAATAGCAACCCTTCAGTCTCTGGTCAGACACTCAACTTCTACGTTATTCCTTCCTTCACAAAGTCTTTGACCTCGAAGACAACAACAACCCAGGTTCGATATCTCCAAGGAAGCATCTCAATCTCCTAAAGCTTCTACCCTTGGAGTGGTCAATGGCACTTAATCTGAAATAGGAATGAGTAATGAAATACATCTTCCTCCTGGCAGGGCTCAAAATAATAACCCTTCAGTCTCTAGCTGAACACTCTACCACTCAACTAAAGGCAAATTCCCACTAGCTGAGGCTAGAAAGGCGGCCTGTACACTCAACTTCTGCAATAGGAAACTGATGTTGTTGTAATTAAAATGAGAAATTTCAGCACATTAGATGCGCTGCTTGAATTAATATTATGTAGTTTCCAATATATGAAAGTTTACCAACGAATGCATCTTTTTGTGGACAAGGTTTGCCATAGTAAAATAATAGTATGTTTTTATATTATTACAGACAGAAACTTTCAAATTTTATCAAATATTGGGTGCATGGTTGATCTATATAAAAGCAGTTCATATTAACAAATTTCTAATGTGGCAGGTGCAGTTACAATTCTTCATTAAATTTTCTTTTTTTTTCCTTGAAAAAGAGGTCTTGGAAATAATGAAGAAATTAAAAGTATAGAATATGAAAAAATGAACATGTCTTAACATGGTGAATGTCAGGTAAACATGTAGAACAAGTTGAACCTAGAATTATTAATTATATTTATCAATCTCCTACAAATCTGTCTAGAAAATAATTTTGTTTGTAACTTGTTTTGGTATTTATTGCTATGTTGCCTTATATGTGTTATCCTACGGTACGTGTTACAGATGGCCGATCATACCACAAACATCCCCTCTTGTTGGACTGTGGCCACACCTTCTGTGAGGGTTGTCTCCAGGCATTGGCCAAAGAAGACAAGACTGTTGTCAAATGTCCAGTAGAGTCATGCCAGGTAAGTTGTGCCCAATCATGTCATGTTGGGTTGAGTTTCAGATTATGGTAAAAAAAATTAGGTTGTAAATTTTTAGACTGACTCTTCTACATTAGCTGCTTGTCTCGATCTCTACCTACAACGAAACCAACATGGACAGCTTTCTATCAAGCTGTATGATAAGCGTGATGATTTTAATTTCCCTACTGTGAATTTTCCGTTTCTGGATAGAAATATCCCTGCATCTCCAACCTATGGTATTTACACAGTTGATTCAGTAGTCAAGGGCCTATTCTTATTATCACGATTTTCATGCAAGAAGTTGTCAACTGACACTCTTGTAACACTAGGTTCAAAAGATGCAGATTGATGAAAATTATGGGAAAGTTTTATGGTCACCATAGTGATCTCATGGAGAAATATCTTAATTCTTTGTGCAACATAAAGCAAACATATTTGATGCATGTAAATTTGCCTATGGTTACATTGTTGTATATCTTGTTTTCATTTGAGTGACATTACTTCCTTGGATTGACAAAGGTTTTACATGGCGCGTGTTGTTGAGCAGAAGACGCTTACTCTTCTGGAACACCTGGTCTTATTCCTTCTTTTGTTCATATTTTGCCTTAGTTTTATGGAATTTGAGTTTGAGTTTTGATTGTGTTGTCATGTTATTATTTTCTTTTTAGGCCTTATCAAATAGCTTTTGAGAAGGAATATAACGATACCAAACAATTGAAAACTTAAAATAGTATATGGTTATATTATATGTAGATAATTATCTGTATTACTTGATGCAATTGAATACTAGCATTTGAATTTGAAATGTACGATTGCAAAGCCAGGACACAGGTAATTGAGCCTTACCTAATGGAAGTTAAGTACTTTTGATAGGAAAACAGGTTCTCCATTTTCTTTTGCCATGAAAACAGGGAAGAAATATTTTCAATGTTGCTTTTTATTTGTTGAGCATGTCTCCAATTCTGAAATAAACAGAATGGGTTTCAAATAGTGGGGTACAGGGGACATACCATGTTCCCTGTAGTTAGTGCTTGGGATACTTGAAAATATTGCCTGCTAACATTTTCTGATGAGTGCTGTTTTTAGTCATACTGGAAAGGAGGCAGAGGAATGTGTGTGTACTGTAATGTCATAACATTTGATATATCATTGAGGCAGGAATCTCTGTCCCCAGTGGTAGACAAAAATAACCAAAAAATTAGCATGTGCTGGGTTTATAGCTGGCATTATTTCTAGGATGGATTAATTGTTATAAAAACAAAATGAAATAAAATGATGGGCAGCACTAGTATCCACACTTAGATATCATTTAATTGACTGTTCTCTTTAGGTGCTGACACCTGTTCCAGGAGATGTGAAAGACTTATGGCCTGACCTGTATACTGTTGGACTTGTAGTGTACAACCAACGCACATTATTGGACAGGTAAATGGAGCTAACATAATGGTCATCACATTTAACATCAGGATTGAGAGGACCTCACAGCTAGAACATATATAATTCAGCATGTAAACTACAGCATTTACTGAGGGATATTTCATAGGAAGGTCTCCTTAAGATTTAACATGGTGAAGTGAAGTCAGAACTAAAACATCATTCCATTTCATTTTTGTGCCCTGTAAAGGTGAAGATTGGGGAATATATCTACAGGACTATCTCTTCCGGTCATGAATCAATGTTATGGATCTGGCAATTTCTTTTCTTTGGGTACTTTGATCACAGTTAAAAACATATATAAGAAAACCTTTCATGTTAATTAGAGATGCAGTTTACAAAAGTAAATGATGACTTTCATAGGAATTATGATGAGTTGATATTCCATTACAGAGAACTCAGTAAGATAACACACTCACAGATGGTACAGAATTTGAAAAAGAAAGACACTGACAGACAAGAAAACCAAGGTACCATGTTTTTGATACTCTGTATACAGTCATGTCTCTGCCTTGGTAGTTGACTGATAAAATTATCAGATATATGAAAATTATTTCATTTTTTTAATTATGGGTCTCGCACACTTCCCCATCTAGCCTTTGACTTTTGATCACTTTGGATTGTCCTCATTTACCTCCTAAGCTTCAAAATCGTTAGTATCACTGCCGAGTCCTAGAAGGACTAAACACAATTTTTATGTATTATGATTCATTGATTGGCTCTACAGTATCTAAATCTATATTTGTATTTAAAGTTGCTATTCACTCGTGAGTCCTCTGTATGTAATACCTGTCCATAAGGACCACAGTTGAATTTGTATATAAAGGCCACATTCTGCTCCTTTGACTAAATGGCCTTTATTGACAGGTCTGACTGTACCTGTTGGTGGTTATTTTTCAAATCCTATTAATTGTCTGCTGTGAGCATGTTTTGTTGATCAAGACTGTAATTCAGGTGCAGTATTTTCTGACAATGAAATTTTTCTTAATTGTAAATATTTGTTCATCTTTATACAAGTTGTGATCAGATAAATGGTCTGTTTTCAGATAAATACTGCAGAGAGTGTATGCAGAAACCAGCCACTTGTCGATGTGAGAAATGTGATTTCATCATGTGTATGCAATGTTTTGATAAGGTAAAGCAAATTATTTTAATAAAACTGTGTTTTACTTGATAGATGATAGCAGATGTGGAGTCTTTCATCCTGTTTGGCAACTTTATCTGCCGTTTGGCTTGTCAGGAGAGAATTAATACTTGTTGAAATAGGTCTGTGATACCATAATCGTAAACACTGTTACTTGTGGTCATTTTGATGCTAAATCAAAGTTATGTGTTAATCATCCCTGCATTTGATAAATATAAAGTACATTAAAGACACATAACAAATAATCCACTGTTGGCAAGAATCTGTTTTACTCAACATCTTTGTGTTTGTCATTGTAGATTCATTCAGTGTCCAACATGCTAAAGCAACATCAACCTGTCCCACTTTCTGCTGACCCCAAGTAAGTCTTCCTATATCTTGGATGTCTTCCTATATCACAGATTAGTCTTCCTGTATCACAGATAAGGCCTCCTATATCACATGTAAGTTTCCCTATATCACAGGTAAGTCTCCCTATATCACAGGTAGGTCTACCTATATCACAGGTAAGTCTTCCTATATCATAGATAAGTCTCCCTATATCATAATAGTTAAGTCTCCCTATATCATAGATAAGTCTCCCTATATTACAGGTAGGTCTCCCTATATCACAGGTAAGTCTCCTTATATTACAGGTAGGTCTCCCTATATTACAGGTAGGTCTCCCTATATCACAGGCAAGTCTTCCTATATCACAACTTGATTTCCCAAAGTCACAGACAATTCTCTTTTAATCACAGGTAATCTTCTTATATCACATATTAACTTCCTATATCACAAATTAATCTTTCTATATCACAAATTCATCTTTCTGTATCAGAGATAAAGCATGTTGGTAACTCTAAAGGAAAGCTTGGCCACTATACCAAATATAACAGGAAAGAATTTGCTCCTCTAACAAATTAAAAGTACTGACTGTAATAATGGTGAGATAAAGTATATGTACTTTCACAGATATAACCATAAAATTTGTAGTATAAATGAATGTATTGATGTTCACTTTTCAATTGAAGTGGAATGTGTAGTTTCCTCATCTTCCATATTGTATATTTGATATCTGAGTCATTTTTGCAGTAATGTGGAAGGACCAATGTGTAAACAGCACCTGGACAGGTCCATTGAGTACTACTGCGAGGATGACTGTATGCCTATCTGTTCTCGCTGTGTAATCGTGGGTGACCACAAAGGACATTCCATCACATCCATGGAGGAGAAAGTGAGTCCTTGGTCTGGAACGACAAGAATTCTACTTTGATATTTTAGATTTTATATGCATATGATTCCTGATGTATAATCATTTAATAGATGTAAAGAGACGATTATGTTCTTGCCATCAGGACTGAAGCTTATATCTTATAAACAGTAGAGATACTCACCATGTAACCACATATTTTCTTGCTTGACAATTAGAAAAGAGATCAAGTATAGCATTAGCAGGCTCAAAACTTAAGGAAATTACTACCAAAACTAAAACACGAAACGAAGGAAAAGTTCAAGCACTGAAACATTGATGTCATCTAGATTGAGCATGAAGGAAAAGTATTACTGAAGTTGAAATGCAGGAGCATTAATTTTATCTAGATCTGGCATGAAGGGATATTTAAATCAAAGTTAAAAATGGAGACATTGATCTCAAGTAAATCTGACATCATTTTTATTATAAATATTTGTCGTTCACATTTACTAACAAATTGTATAAGTAATACAGGTCCTTAGGTTAATATTTTGATATAATGTAGCTGACAAAAGAGATTCTACTATGATGTAGAATGATGTCTTCAATAAAACATTGGTGGAACTTTTTCAGAATAAAGCAATATTTGCTGATATGGAGCCAGCTCTTCATACAGGAACCAAAGTGTTGAAGAAACTACGAAAGGCAGAACACGTAAGTAGATCAGGAATACTGGGATTATACATGGTTTGTAGCATTGTCTTAAACACGAAATATTCATGTATGAATTTTAATACCAAGTAAAATATGCATTTTATGGAAAATGCAGAGTATTTATTACTGTGTGAAGTTATTATTCATTATTGATAATAAGGCTGGTTATTGCAAACAGTTTTCTTATTGTAATATATCGCAGTATTCCAAGGGATGTTGCAATCTATCTGGAAATATCATGTTTAGAATATTGAAAAAAAATGTGTAGGACATGTGTACATAAGAGAGCACTTGCTAAGTATAACGCAATGATGTACCGAAAACTGTAGAATTTTAGAAGTTATATAATACCACACAAGTATAAGAACACACCACAAAAGTTTAATTTGAGTTTCAGTTAAATTTCACTGTAAAATTATCCAATGTTTGGCGGATAAATCCCCTAAAAAGTTGTGGAAAGCTGCTGCAATATTATTGCATTTAAAATGAAAATTGTATTGTAATGATATCAATTGACAAATATTGCTATAGACATATTGTGATATATAGTCACTTGCTAAGTATTGTTACATATTGTCACTAGACAATATTGAGATATATTATTACTAGACAGATATTGCAATATATTGACTATTTCAGTAATATTTCCCTCCCCTATCTGATTGATATATTGAATGTTTGCCTCTATAGTCGGGTGACACAGATTTAGTCGGTAATTTTAATAGTGGAGTCAGTGAAGTTTATTTTGCTTATTATATGGCCGAGTGATCATAATACTTTTCTCTGTCATGATTATAATTTTTGCCAAACTATATAGAAATTGCACAGTATACATGGAGATTGAATCCTGGTACAGTTCTGTATCTCTTTTTATGTGTGGATTTTGCAATAGTCTGTATGTGACACTGCTCTTTCTTGGAAAAACAGATGATAGGGACGCTGGTACCAGATATGAAGATGGAGACCACTAGTGTGATAGAGGAAATACGAAGCCACTTTCAGTTTCTGCATGGCATGCTGCAGGCAAGGTAACGCTACAAACTTGATGTAGATCAATACACTTTAACTTTGAATCTACTTAAGTACTGTATAACTAATGATATTACAAATGACAAGACACCTTTTCGTACGGATTTAGATTGTGATACAGTAGAGCCCAACAATGAATTAAACGACATCATACATCTTTTTTATCCTTCCAGGACTTGTTAGTGATGCTAAGGGCCTAAATTTTGAAGCCTAGGAGGCAAATGTGGAATACCCAAAGTAATCAAAAGTAAAGTCATAATACACTAGTGTATGGGACTGGATAAAATGACACTTACCACAGCAGTAAAGTCATAATACACTAGTGTATGGGACTGAATGAAATGACACTTACCACAGCAGTAAAGACATAATACACTAGTGTATGGGACTGGATAAAATGACACTTACCACAGCAGTAAAGTCATAATACACTAGTGTATGGGACTGGATAAAATGACACCACAGCAGTAAAGTCATAATACACTAGTGTATGGGACTGGATAAAATGACACCACAGCAGTAAAGTCATAATACACTAGTGTATGGGACTGGATAAAATGACACCACAGCAGTAAAGTCATAATACACTAGTGTATGGGACTGGATAAAATGACACCACAACAGTAAAGTCATAATACACTAGTGTATGGGACTGGATAAAATGACACTTACCACAGCAGTAAAGACATAATACACTAGTGTATGGGACTGGATAAAATGACACCACAGTCATAATACACAGTAAAGTCATAATACACTAGTGTATGGGACTGGATAAAATGACACCACAGCAGTAAAGTCATAATACACTAGTGTATGGGACTGGATAAAATGACACCACAGCAGTAAAGTCATAATACACTAGTGTATGGGACTGGATAAAATGACACCACAGCAGTAAAGTCATAATACACTATGGGACTGGATAAAATGACACCACAGCAGTAAAGTCATAATACACTAGCGTATGGGACTGGATAAAATGACACCACAGCAGTAAAGTCATAATACACTAGTGTATGGGACTGGATAAAATGACACTTACCACAGCAGTAAAGTCATAATACACTAGTGTATGGGACTGGATAAAATGACACCACAGCAGTAAAGTCATAATACACTAGTGTATGGGACTGGATAAAATGACACCACAGCAGTAAAGTCATAATACACTAGTGTATGGGACTGGATAAAATGACACCACAGCAGTAAAGTCATAATACACTAGTGTATGGGACTGGATAAAATGACACTTACCACAGCAGTAAAGTCATAATACACTAGTGTATGGGACTGGATAAAATGACACTTACCACAGCAGTAAAGTCATAATACACTAGTGTATGGGACTGGATAAAATGACACCACAGCAGTAAAGTCATAATACACTAGTGTATGGGACTGGATAAAATGACACTTACCACAGCAGTAAAGTCATAATACACTAGTGTATGGGACTGGATAAAATGACACCACAGCAGTAAAGTCATAATACACTAGTGTATGGGACTGGATAAAATGACACTTACCACAGCAGTAAAGTCATAATACACTAGTGTATGGGACTGGATAAAGTGACACCACAGCAGTAAAGTCATAATACACTTGTGTATGGGACTGGATAAAATGACACCACAGCAGTAAAGTCATAATACACTAGTGTATGGGACTGAATGAAATGACACCACAGCAGTAAAGTCATAATACACTAGTGTATGGGAATGGATAAAATGACACTTACCACAGCAGTAAAGTCATAATACACTAGTGTATGGGAATGGATAAAATGACACTTACCACAGCAGTAAAGTCATAATACACTAGTGTATGGGACTGGATAAAATGACACTTACCACAGCAGTAAAGACATAATACACTAGTGTATGGGACTGGATAAAATGACACTTACCACAGCAGTAAAGTCATAATACACTAGTGTATGGGACTGGATAAAATGACACTTACCACAGCAGTAAAGTCATAATACACTAGTGTATGGGACTGGATAAAATGACACCACAGCAGTAAAGTCATAATACACTAGTGTATGGGACTGGATAAAATGACACCACAGCAGTAAAGTCATAATACACTAGTGTATGGGACTGGATAAAATGACACTTACCACAGCAGTAAAGTCATAATACACTAGTGTATGGGACTGGATAAAATGACACTTACCACAGCAGTAAAGTCATAATACACTAGTGTATGGGACTGGATAAAATGACACTTACCACAGCAGTAAAGTCATAATACACTAGTGTATGGGACTGAATGAAATGACACCACAGCAGTAAAGTCATAATACACTAGTGTATGGGACTGAATGAAATGACACCACAGCAGTAAAGTCATAATACACTAGTGTATGGGACTGGATAAAATGACACTTACCACAGCAGTAAAGTCATAATACACTAGTGTATGGGACTGGATAAAATGACACCACAGCAGTAAAGTCATAATACACTAGTGTATGGGACTGGATAAAATGACACCACAGCAGTAAAGTCATAATACACTAGTGTATGGGACTGGATAAAATGACACCACAGCAGTAAAGACATAATACACTAGTGTATGGGACTGGATAAAATGACACTTACCACAGCAGTAAAGTCATAATACACTAGTGTATGGGACTGAATGAAATGACACCACAGCAGTAAAGTCATAATACACTAGTGTATGGGACTGAATGAAATGACACCACAGCAGTAAAGTCATAATACACTAGTGTATGGGACTGGATAAAATGACACTTACCACAGCAGTAAAGTCATAATACACTAGTGTATGGGACTGGATAAAATGACACCACAGCAGTAAAGTCATAATACACTAGTGTATGGGACTGAATGAAATGAAATAACATTAATCACAGAAGTAGTGTTCTGTAAATAAAGGTAGATCCCTTAGTTATATATGATACTATTTAAATTGATTCTGTTTTATTACAGAGAAAAACAATTAATAGATGACGTGTTCACAGTATATAGGGGAGGTATTGAGCCTTTAGCCACACTGGTGAGTATTATTTGTGTTGGTGTAGATGTACAGTAAGCTCCGAGCCTTTTGCCACTGGGTGTGAATTGGGATAAGCTTGTTAATGACTGTACTGGTGATGTGTGGGTGTGGATGTAGGATAAGCTTGGTGTCATTGACTGTACTGGTGATGTGTGTGGGTGTGGATGTAGGATAAGCTTGGTGTCATTGACTGTACTGGTGATGTGTGTGGGTGTGGATGTAGGATAAGCTTGATGTCATTGACTGCACTTGTGATGTGTGGGTGTGAATGAAGGATGAGCTGTGTGTCATTTACCGTACTGTTGGAATGTTTGGTAGAGCAATAACTAAGTATATTGAGATATATTTACATTGTCATTTTTTAGCCCACCATCTATTCAAATAGATGGTGGGTTATTCAAATCGCCCTGCGTCCATGGTCCGTCGTCCGTCCGTCCGTAAACAATTATTGTTACCTCTATTTCTGGAAAAGTACTGGATGGATCTTTCTCAAATTTCATATGCAGTTTCCCCTTAGTCCCTAGTTGTGCATTGTACCTTTTTTGGACTGATTCGAATTCAAGATGGCCGACAGGTGGCCATCTTGGATTTTGGATGTAAAAGTTTGTTACCGCTATTTCTTGGAAAGCACTGGATGGATCTTTCTCAAATTTCATATGCAGGTTTCCCCTAGTCCCTAGTTGTGCATTGTACCTTTTTTGGACTGATTCGAATTCAAGATGGCTGACAGGTGGCCATCTTGGATTTTGGATGTAAAAGTTTGTTACCGCTATTTCTTGGAAAGTCCTGGATGGATCTTTCTCAAATTTCATATGCAGGTTTCCCCTAGTCCCTAGTTGTGCATTGTACCTTTTTGGACTGATTCAAATTCAAGATGGCCGACAGGTGGCCATCTTGGATTTTGGAAGTAAAAGTTTGTTACTGCTATTTCTTGTAAAGTACTGGATGGATCTTTCTCAAATTTCATATGCAGTTTCCCCTTGGTCGCTAGTTGTGCATTGTACCTTTATTTGGACTGATTCCAATTCAAGATGGCAGACAGGTGGCCATCTTGGATTTTGAATGTAAAAGTTTGTTACTGCTATTTCTGGGAAAGTACTGGATGGATTTCTCAAATTTCATATGCAGGTTCCCTTTGGTTCCAAGTTGTGCATTATACCTTTTTGGACTGATCCGAAATCAAGATGGGTGACAGGCAGCCATCTTGGATTTTTAGAGTAAAATCTTGTTACTGCTATATCTGAGGAAGTACTGGATGGATCCTTCTGATATTTCATAGATATTGGTTTCCCTTGGTCCCTAGTTGTGCATTGTAACTTTTTTGGACTGATTTGAAATCAAGGTGGCCCACAGGCAGCCGTCTTGGATGTCGACTGTAATACAGCACAAGCATATTGTCCATTATCCACCTGTAACTGACTGCTATCTAATAATACTTTGGGATCTTTTTCAAATGATATTTGCTAATAGGTGCTTAATAAAAATATCTTGTGCCATCATTGAGTACATTCAATGAAGACCAGTTCATGAACATTTACAACACCTGTAGCACACAAAAAAAAAAAATAAACAAATCTTCAAGAACTGAAAACAGATCCTCAAATGGTGGGCGCTAAGATCCCTCTGGGATCTCTTGTTTAAATAAATGATTATTAAAATCTATTGTCATTATCTCATATTGATCAGTGATTTTAGGAATTTTGAAATGTAATGTATCAGATGGTTGATTACAGAAAGACCAGATGAATGAAGATATAAGAAAGTTAGAAATTTCCATAAAAGGTGAGTTGGTGTTATCATTGACTCCAGGAATTTGATCAAATATATCAATTACAAATCTGCGCATTCATGTGTTAAAATTGAATTCATATTAGTTGCTGTGATTCAAAGCATTCCTCTCGAGACATTCATGATATTTGATGTGATAATGTCTTTGTCCTTTGTTTTCAGCGGCCCAGAGGATATTGAATAACAATAATGAAGTGATTCTCAATGCTGACGACATTTTGTCTCAGTTACAAGGAGCCAAGGACCTGCCCTGTATTGTACATAAAAAAAAGGAGAAATCCACCACCAAGATCAGGTAACACTCTATTGTGTACTGTACATAAGGATGAGAAATCTGTGTTGGGTAATATTTTCATATTTCACACAAGAAAGAAACCCACTTCCAAGGACAAGTAACACTCTATTGTGTACTGTACATAAGGATGAGAAATCTACCTATGTTGGGTAATATTCTCCCCCTTATTTGAGTTCATGTTTACCTTGATGTTAGATTGGATAAAACAAATATACATGAAACAACCATCACAACAAACTGAGGGCTATTTTCTACACAGGCTATATAGATAGGCTACATAGAATTCCTTTGGCTTTATTTGAATCAGGATTGTCTTTGCCTACAATAATTGTCATCAATTTTACTCCCAATCATGATTAATTAACTTATATTTTTTATTTCAAAGGTTTGAACCGGGATTGTCTCTGCCTACTGCAATTGTCAGTTACGGTGGTATAGATGGTTCAGTGCCCATCATGTAAGTCATAATATTACTAACATCTTTTTAGCCCACCATATGCTAATGGTGGGCTATTCAATCGTCCTACGTCTGTGGTCCATGGTCTGTCATCCCTCTATAAATAATTTTTCTTCTATTTCTTAATATTACTAACACCTTTTTAGCCCACCATATGCTAATGGTGGGCTATTCAATCGCCCTACGTCTGTGGTCCATGGTCTGTCATCCCTCTATAAATAATTTTTCTTCTATTTCTTGAGAAGAACTGGATGGATCTCTCTCAAATTTCATGTGTATGTTTCCCTTGATCCCTAGTTGTGCCTGTATGATTTTGGTACTGAACAGAAAAAGAAAATGGCCAATGGATGGCCATCTTTGATTTTGATTTAAAATGTTTTGTCATTAGTTCTTCTTGAGAAATCCTCCATAGATATTTCTCAAATTTCATGTATAGCTTATTCTTTGTCCCTAGTTGTGCTAGCTAGCTGGGATTGATCAGGGGAAAAAAACCAGGTAGCCATCTTGGATTTTGTCTAGGAAAGATTGTTAATCCTATTTCTATAGAAGTCCTGAATGGATCTCTCTCAGATTTCATAGGCATGTTCTCTTTGGTCTCTTCTTGTGCCTGTTTGATTTTTGGACCAATCAGAAAAAACAAAATGACTTCCTGGTGACCATCTTGGATTTAGCAGGTAAAGGTTATCATCACTATTTCTGCAAAGTAATGTTCAAATGACTTATCATGAAGAGCAAAAACAGAGAAGAGAATAAAAGCAGAAAGATCCAACTTTCAAAGAGCAAATAAAGATCGAACAATGGTGGGCGCCAAGATCCTTCTGGGATCTCTTGTTGATCACTGGAATCAAAGGGCCAAGTGAGCATTTGTCTCTTATTTATCAACTTAATGTTGAAGAACTTCTTCTTAAGAACTATTGATTGCTAGGGTCATAGAGGCTTGAAGCAAGTTTGTTCCAGAAATGAAGTCAAAGAAAGTCTAATAATCTTAATAATCTATTTTAACCATCTTCATCTGTGAAAGCAAAACAACCTGAAGTCATCATGTGAAATTTTGTCTGAAGTTCTCTACACAAAATTTCTCAAATGATGTTAAAAGGAAGTTACAGGTCACAGTGGTAAACTTTTGTTAATTCGAAACAACTTCTGCAGAACTTTTCAACAAACTTTAGATAAAAAATTACCTTGACCATCAATCATAGACATTAAGGTATATTCTTGACTGGAGTAATTTCATAACAAATGAAATAGACTGCATGCAAATGGTTCACAGACAGATTTAACCTATTTGTTATTAACAAACTGAGTGAGATCAGTTACATGTCTATTAGATGTTTTCCTGTTGACATGTACAGGGCTGAGTGGCACACCATCAGTGAGATGCCGGAGGAATTGATGATGGATGACTGTGAGACCTCCGAATCCGTCACTCCAGCCGAGTCAGTTGGATCCATCTCTGATACAGCAACTTCAGACATGATGGCAGATGGTATGGCATTCTCAAAGGAATTTCCAATGGACTATGTTTACTTTAAAATTCAAATTTTTGGTTATAATGTTAATTGTATAATGCTGTTTGAGATAGTTTTAAGTAAAAATGCGTTTGGATGAACATCTGAACATTTCCCTGAGGGCCTTTTTGTAATAATTGTAATATCCTTTAGATGTTGTATTTCTTTGCCACTTGGTTTTCTAGTGAGTATTGGTCATTGTCTTGTGTTGACCATGCACATATTTCCATGTGATGATTTAAAATTCTATGGGCTAATGCAACTTAACTCTGAATTCAAAGGTCAATACCACTTACCATAACTCGTAATTTATCTGTGTGTCATCACCAAAGTTTGTTTTGGATGATAAAACCTGAAGTTAAAGTTGAAGATGTTACTTTGGTAAAAAGGTAAAGGTCAGAAAGCATTGTAGTGTAAATGTGTGTTTTTGTTGATAGATGAAAGCAATCTAAAACAGTCTTGGAGTTATCTTGTTTCTTTAGAAGATGAATTATCAGCTGATGACTTCAGGCAAGCTGCACCTGAGATCTCTAACAAGAAGTCTAAGAGGGCAAAAGCTGTGCCCATACCTATTCCACCTAAGGGACGAATCAAGGGTAGGTGTCCAGATCTAAGGTTATTGTCATAAAAACTCCACCTAAGAGACGAATCAAGGGTGGGTGTCCAGATCTAAGGTTATTGTCCAGATCTAAGGTTATTGTCATAAAAACTCCACCTAAGGGACGAATCAAGGGTAGGTGTCCAGATCTAAGGTTATTGTCATAAAAACTCCACCTAAGAGATGTATCAAGGGTGGGTGTCCAGATCTAAGGTTATTGTCATAAAAACTCCACCTAAGGGACGAATCAAGGGTTGGTGTCCAGATCTAAGGTTATTGTCATAAAAACTCCACCTAAGGGACGAATCAAGGGTTGGTGTCTGGATCTAAGGTTATGGCCATAAAAATTCCTTCTAAAGGTGGATCAAGAGGCCAAATCTAAGGTTGTATCCAAAGAAATTACGCGGAAGAATTGGTCAAAATAGATTTTCTGAGGATTTTTTCCAGTGAACCAATGTCACATATATGATGGGTAAGGAGGAATGCTTACCTTAGTGACTTTTCTAGACTGTATTGATGTGACTTGCATGAATATCTTGTACATGCCCAGGATTATGCATACCAGTGTGTGACTCAATTGACAATGTGGTTTTGTAGGTGGCCAGGACCGTGTATATGTGACACATATCAAGAACCCTGGCAAGTTTTTTGTACAGAGATGTGGTGATGCTGCAGCTCTTCGTAAGCTCTCCCGACAAATCAACATGGCATGTAAAAAGAATTCAGCAGAAATTCCAACAGAGGTAACAAAAGGTAATCTATCTCCTCAATGTCTCCTCACTACATTGATGTACCACCTAACACTAGGTTCTCGTCAGCATATAAAACACACAGTAAACATATACAGTGTATAAAAAAAGGTGTGAATTAGTTAATCAGCATTAAATCACCAAATTCTTAATCAAACTTAATCTTTTGCCTGAAAGGTCAATGAACCAAGAAGGTACATTTGAGCCGTTTGAAATATTGAGAATACCTACAGGCAAATGGGCAGTGTCCAATAGGAGAAATGAAGGTGAATTGTAAATAAACCACTTTTTTATCACATTCTCATTTGGTAATTATTAACAATTATTAATTTTCAGGTAACTAAAGAGTACAGATCTAATGGTCGTTTTATTCAAATTTGATAAATAATGTTCAGGTAAACAAGTGAAAATAAAGAAATTGACCATGGACCTGTAAAAGTTTTGTTATATATTGTTTAACATTTATGTACATGTTTGCTGCAGGGGACCTGTTACTAGGGAAATATACAGGTGATAATGTGTGGTACAGGGTTAAGGTCAAACAGGTGTTTCCTGGTGACAACAAAAACAAGATGAAGCTGGATGTTATTTACCTTGATTATGGAAATGTTGAGGTGATCCCTATTGACAGGTGAGTATTAATTATCTTTCCCCTATATCAGTTCATGTGACTCCTTTACACTGCACAATTGTGGTACTCTCTTTCACAGCTGATATTTACTTTCTATTTCAGTACATCAATATGAAAATTCAAAGTGAGTAAATATATGATGAAGAATTGGATTTCAGAATCATTCTAGAAATAAGTGAATGTAATTACACAACTATAGTCTGGTCATGTACAGTGTAGTTGTACAGCTTCTTGTATGGTTATTGTTCAAGACATTTTTTCTTTACTTAATGTGTATTACGAGATATTGTTTGGTCCAAAAATGTTCTCTCTATCTTGAAGTGCACCCTTTCAAAATCCTATCAAAATTTCCTTTCTGGTGTCAAACATGCAGGTGTCACTTTGTCGCAGATATGACTAATTGTGATTGGTCAGCTGTATCTTTGTTAAAGAGCCCTTTTGTAAGTGTAAGTTTCAATCAAACATTAATCCCTGCATTTATACAGGTGCTCAGGTGAAAGTTTGAATCAATAAAGAAGAAGGCAACCAAATCTAAGATAGAATACACCATTAATCGTATATGTACTGTGTTCTGTTACATTTTGATGCACCAGAAGGAAAAAACAAGCAATAATTACTGTGCCACGTTTTGTCATTGACACATCAGTGCCATGGCAGCTATCTTGAGAAAGATATTTTGAACTTCTTCTCCAGTTCCACTGGTGCCATTGAGATAAAAATTGGAGGGAATATTATGGAAAGGTAGCCAACAAAATGTTGTTATTTTTTCGACCATGTCAAACTTTAATACAGCAGGGAGGTCATTTTGTAAAATGATTGCACTGTCATTGTTTTCCTTTGCAACACTTATTTCAAACTTCTACTCAAGTTTTGCCAGTGAAATTGAGCTCCAACTTTATGGTAAAAAAATAGGTAAGACTTGTTACAGTTACCTACTGCTCACCAAAACTATCGCTTGCATCATGGAAAACAGCATCTTAGTCAAGTTGACCTAAAGCCATTGTGCTTCATCCATCGTTGTGTGTAAACTTTTTTTTTTAAACCTTACCTCTTTCATACCTGTATGGATTTAAACCAAATTTGGTCTGTTGCATCATTGAGTGAGGCTAATTATTTTTTAAAATCAGAATATTGATTTGACCCCGAAGGGTCAAGTGACGGGGCTCCAAAGGGGGAGGTGCAGAAATTAGAGTTAAAACCCTACTCCTCCTTTCTGCCAGGGTGGATTTCAGCAAACTTTGTCCTGATTCATTAGTTAGAGTAGGCAATTATTTCTTAAATTCAGAAATTTGATTTGATCCTTAGGGACATGTGGGTCCCAAAAGGGAAAGTTGGTAAATATTTTGCTTCAAAATGTGAAGAATTATTTCTTAAACTCAGAGAGTTGATTCAACACCTAGGACTTGGGGACAGGGCTCCAAAAGGGGAGGTTAAACAAGATTTTACATCAGAATGCTACTTTTTCTTAATGCTTGAATGGATTTCAACTTAATTTATTCTAAAACATCATGGAGAGTGGGACATTGTTTCTTAAAGTTAGAAAATTGATCAATCCCTTGTTAATAGGAATGACCTTGATCCATTTGAAAAGTCCCAGGGATCAAATATGTTAAAACCTTTAATTGATTTCTTCTCAACAACTAAAAGGATCAGGGTGAGATATTGGACCAACGTTCAAGATCGCAGGGGTCAATTGTGTGTTGAAATGGTTAAGCAACTTCTCAATAACCAAAAGGCCAAGGGCCTGGATATTGGCCTGTAGCTTGCTTTTTCAACAAGCAATATGTCCAGAGTAATGGCAATTGTGTATAAAGAATATGATTTCAAGTTTGCAGAAAATATCTTGATGAAGCAACAATGTCTTCTATGTAAGCTGTAGAGTGGTTGTGCAATTTATTGTAGGCCTATTTCCCTTTTTCATATATCAGCCTTTATAGTCAGATGACCGTTAAGGCACATGGGCCTCATTTTTTTAATTCATTACTGTCAAGCCATGCTATGAGACACGTATCTGGTAAACAGGTGTTGAAAATGGGGTCAATCTTCACTGACAGTCGTACCATCAGTTAAGTCAAATACTTTATTTGGTCTTGTTGACTTCAACTTATCTGTATTTTTCTGTAATTTCATCCATTGAAACATGTGAATTTAGGTCTTTTGATATGATGAGGCTTTAGATTAACAAATTAAAGGTTCACGATTTTGTTTATCGTTGACAGGACGAGGAGAATGCAGCCAAAGTTTAGAGAGCAGCCTCCATTCTTAATGGAATGTTGTCTGTCAGACATTGTTCCTGTGGACAAAGTTAGTATCACAAAGTTCTGATTGTTTCCACAATAACTTCTTAATGGAATGTTGTCTGTCAGACATTGTTCCTGTGGACAAAGTTAGTATCACAAAGTTCTGATTGTTTCCACAATAACTTCTTAATGAGATGTTGTCTGTCAGACATTGTTCCTGTGGACAAAGTTAGTATCACAAAGTTGTGATTGTTTCCATGATAACTTCTAAATAGAAAGTTATCTATTGCAAATTGTTACTGTGGACAAAAGTTAGCATATCAAAAGTTTTATGTTCCTGTGGCAACAGAATATTATGTGCAATTCCAGATACTTTTGCAAGCATTTATAGGAATTTGGCTATATAATTGTCAACAAGTTTCTACAACATTGGTACCCTGGTATATAAGTTAAGCACTTGATGTACAAAGCCATCTTCAGCTTGATACAATACTGTGTATACTGATAGCTAACTTTTGCATTAATGTTTCCAAGGATACAGTTATTTTACACCAATTTCAGGATGAAAATCGATGGTCGTGATAGACTTCTTTCATGTCCAGAATTTATGGTCACTTCATAGAGTTGATCATTAAACATATTGTCTTTATGTAGTAAAAATGCTTAGGACCTTTTCAAAACAGTTGCTGTAGACAGGGGGTCATTACATACAAAATTTGTTTGACCATATCTCAATGTGACAAGAAAAGCTGTCTTATGAAATCACGGACAGAAAAGATGGAAACTTGAATGAGGAGGCGGTCTGTTTCACCAGTGTAAAGATGTAAATGAATAACTGAAATTATTCTTTCTTTATTTGTAGAATGAATCTTGGTCTCTTGAAGCAGTACAGACTTTTGCAAAGATGACTGCTGAAAAGCCGTTAATAATGCTTGTAAGTAAAACTAGAGCCTCTACAGAGGAAAGGTCTGACTAGCTGATAGAATTGGGGTGAGCATTAGAACAGGGAAACTTTTTATGATGCAGTCAAAATTTATCAGAGAAAGGCAGTCTATTTTGTATAAATGAGGTTTTGGATCCTTTGGGAATGGCAGTGTCCAGTTCTGTAAATAAAAGTAAATTGTTGAAATTCTTATTCTTCTATAAAGATTTAAGGATTTTAGCCCTAAATTTTTGTCTGATGGAGCCTCAGTTGAAGATTTGAAATAAACATTCGGTCTGGGCCCTTCCTGATCCAATATTGGGAAAAAGTATACGTTTGGCTTATTTTTGATGTACAAAAACCTGTTGCTGTAAACGAAGATGGTCAATGTGTTTTATTATAGAATTTGTGTGACTTGTATCTATTGTCACCACTTAACTGATATGATGACTTGTTTGGGGTGTCATTATAACTCGTTTCCAGCTGGACGTGACATCTGTTACAGGTTATCAGTGAAGTTAATAATGTTCTACATGTTGATCTGAGTAAGCCACCAGACGATGATATTGTTGACGACCGTCCCATCTCTGTTAGAGACACACTTGTTTTCCTTGAGCTGGCTAACTTCATCACACCTGCTTCTAATAATGTAGTGGGTAGGTAGTTTTTTGATCGACCAATCTCTATTTTTGTAGTCATCATATTAACCTTAAACATTCCTTTAAATTTGAGGTCATCTGACCCAAAGGGACAAGATGACCCATTACTGTTATGCATCGTCCATCGTTGTGTGCCATTTGCTGTTTGCTGTCTGTAAACTTTTCCTTTAAAACGCTACTCCTGGTTAATGCCCAGGTGGATTTCAACCAAATTAGTTCGGAAACATCATTTGGAGTGGGGGATCATTTCTTAATTCAGAAATTTGAAGCAACCCCTAGAGACCTAGGGACGGGGCACCAAAGAGGTAGTTAGAAAATACTTTGCTCCAAAATGCTACTCTTCATTAATGCTTGAATGGATTTCATTCAAATTTTGAAACGTGTGAAACATTATTGTAGGTGGGCTATCACTTCTAAAATTCAGAAAGTTGATTAAACTCTAGGAACTTGGGGATGAGGCCCCAATTGTGTGGAAAGTTCTGCAATATGTTAGAGTGACCACTGACATTGCTACTCTGATATAGTGTTAGAGTGACTGCTGACATTGATTTGGTAGAGTGACCAATATTGTGTGTTAGAGTGACTGCTGACATTGTCATAGAGTGACCACTGATATTGTGTGTTAGAGTGACTGCTGATACATTGTTTAAATTAAGAGTGACCCCTATAGGTTGGGAGTGAGCCCCAAATATCAGTTGGTAGAGTGACCACTGATTAGATGGCTGACAATACTATATTCACAGGTATGGCTGCCCCAAAACGCTGCTTCCTTTGTGCCAGTCCTGTGTCACCTGGTACTCGGTTTGATGCCCATCTGACATGTGCTAACGATCCTTCTAATTTTATGTGGTAGAAACATCAATATGTATTTTGTATTGTGTGTTAGAGTGACTGAATGAAATGTTTGTAGTGACCACTATATATTGTGTGTTAGAGTGACCATTGTAGAGTGACCACTGATATTGTGTGTTAGATATATACATTGTTGAGTGACCACTGATATTGTGTGTTAGAGTGAATTGTTAAGGTGTGATATTGTGTGTAGAGTGACTTGATATTGTTAGAGTGACCACTGATATTGTGTGTTAGAGTGACTGCTGACATTGTTTGGTAGAGTGACCACTGATATTGTGTGTTAGAGTGACTGCTGACATTGTTAGAGTGACCACTGATATTGTGTGTTAGAGTGACTGCTGACATTGTTTGGTAGAGTGACCACTGATATTGTGTGTTAGAGTGACTGCTGACATTGTTAGAGTGACCACTGATATTGTGGGTTAGAGTGACTGCTGACATTGTTAGAGTGACCACTGATATTGTGTGGTAGTGACCATTGATATTGTGTTTTTGAGTGACCACTGTTATTGTGTTTTTGAGTGACCACTGATATTGTGTGGTAGAGTGACTGCTGATATTGATTGGTAGAGTGACCACTGATATAGTGTGGTAGAGTGACTGCTGACATTGTTAGAGTGACCACTGATATTGTGTGGTAGAGTGACTGCTGATATTGATTGGTAGAGTGACCACTGATATAGTGTGGTAGAGTGACTGCTGACATTGTTTGGTAGAGTGACCACTGATATTGTGTGTTAGAGTGACTGCTGATATTGATTGGTAGAGTGACCACTGATATTGTGTGGTAGAGTGACTGCTGACATTGTTTGGTAGAGTGACCACTGATATTGTGTGGTAGAGTGACTGCTGACATTGTTTGGTAGAGTGACCACTGATATTGTGTGTTAGAGTGACTGCTGACATTGTTTGGTAGAGTGACCACTGATATTGTGTGTTAGAGTGACTGCTGACATTGTTAGAGTGACCACTGATATTGTCTTGTAGAGTGACTGCTGACATTGTTTGGTAGAGTGACCACTGATATTGTGTGGTAGAGTGACTAGAGTGACTGATATTGTGACTGCTGACATTGTAGAGTGACCACTGATATTGTGTGTTAGAGTGACTGCTGACATTGTTTGGTAGAGTGACCACTGATATAGTGTGGTAGAGTGACTGCTGACATTGTTTGGTAGAGTGACCACTGATATTGTGTGTTAGAGTGACTGCTGACATTGTTAGAGTGACCACTGATATTGTGTGGTAGAGTGACTGCTGACATTGTGTTTTTGAGTGACCACTGTTATTGTGTTTTTGAGTGACCACTGATATTGTGTGTAGAGTGACTGCTGACTGATGACCACTGTGTGTGTAGAGTGACTGCTGACTGACCACTGACATTGTTAGAGTGACCACTGATATTGTGTGTTAGAGTGACTGCTGACATTGTTTGGTAGAGTGACCACTGATATTGTGTGTTAGAGTGACTGCTGACATTGTTAGAGTGACCACTGATATTGTGTGTTAGAGTGACTGCTGACATTGTTTGGTAGAGTGACCACTGATATTGTGTGTTAGAGTGACTGCTGATATTGATTGTTAGAGTGACCACTGATATTGTGTGTTAGAGTGACTGCTGACATTGTTAGAGTGACCACTGATATTGTGTGTTAGAGTGACTGCTGACATTGTTAGAGTGACCACTGATATTGTGTGTTAGAGTGACTGCTGACATTGTTAGAGTGACCACTGATATTGTCTTGTAGAGTGACTGCTGACATTGATTGGTAGAGTGACTGCTGATATTGTGTGTTAGAGTGACTGCTGACATTGTTTGGTAGAGTGACCACTGATATTGTGTGGTAGAGTGACCACTGATATCATGTGGTAGAGTGACCACTGATATAGTGTGGTAGAGTGCCACTGATATTGTGTGGTAGAGTGACCACTGTTATTGTGTGGTAGAGTGACCACTGTTATTGTGATAGAATGACCGCTGTTATTGTGTGGAAGAGTGACCACTGATATTGTGTGTTAGAGTGACTGCTGATATTGATTGGTAGAGTGACCACTGATATAGTGTGGTAGAGTGACTGCTGATATTGATTGGTAGAGTGACCACTGATATTGTGTGTTAGAGTGACTGCTGACATTGTTTGGTAGAGTGACCACTGATATTGTGTGTTAGAGTGACTGCTGACATTGTTTGGTAGAGTGACCACTGATATAGAGTGACTGCTGACATTGTGTGACCACTGATAGAGTGACTGACTGACATGACCACTGATATTGTGTGTAGAGTGACCACTGATATTGTGTGTTAGAGTGACTGCTGACATTGTTAGAGTGACCACTGATATTGTGTGGTAGAGTGACCACTGATATAGTGTGGTAGAGTGACCACTGATATAGTGTGGTAGAGTGACTGCTGACATTGTTTGGTAGAGTGACCACTGATATTGTGTGTTAGAGTGACTGCTGACATTGTTTGGTAGAGTGACCACTGATATTGTGTGTTAGAGTGACTGCTGATATTGATTGGTAGAGTGACCACTGATATAGTGTGTTAGAGTGACTGCTGACATTGTTAGAGTGACCACTGATATTGTGTAGTATAGTGACCACTGATATAGTGTAGTAAGTATTGTTCTATATTTCAGGCATGATATGTGTAGCGCGATTCTTGGCTGACAATACCTGGTATCGGGCTCAGGTGTTGGCTCTACCTGGTAACAAGATGGTAACAGTCCAGTATGTGGACTATGGTAACATAGAAACTGTTGATGTCAGCAGACTGTGTAAAATCCTGGACATTTACCTTATATTACCTGTACAGGTAGGTACTTCATTAGAATATAATGGATATACATTCTGTAGTACTTAATTTATAGACAATCTTAATTCAACACGAGGAAGGCTTTTCTTGTAGATCATGCAACTAATAAAAAGGCAACCAGTTTACATGTACATAGTGATCCTCTGTACCTGTTTAGTCTGGGTAGCAAGACAGAGACATGTATTGTGGTGTACTATGATAGGTGCATTAATGAGAGTTAATGATGTATAGGTAAGTAATAAAAAAAATATACGGGAAATGTAGTCAGTGCAATCATACTGTAGTCGAACATTTAAGAACTAAACACCTCTAAAAAAATCTGATAGTGATATAAAAATGAATTTGAGTTAGTGTTAGTGTATATTGTTTTTACTAAACCCTTGAAGGAAATCACTTGAAAATCAGAGATGTATTTCCTTTTTTAGGCCCAGCATTGCCAACTGTGTGATATTGCACCTACAGAGTACACACAGCAGGTGAGTGTTCTTCAGACTTGGCCCAATAACTAATTAAATGACATCACTGTGGTGACTCGGCTCTTCTTGATCTGAATATAAGTCATATATGTGAATACCTCATGCGAGTTCGTGTTTCAGACTCTCAAGGTGAAGGCTGTACCATTAACCAATTCAGTGACCGTTGATTCCGTTCAGAGATTATAACCAAGTTGTTTTGTGTCTTTTATTTGTGCTTTCTTCTTTAAAGGGTTTTTTTTTTTTTGGCCCAGTAAAACATTATATCTGATTTTGTAACTTTGTTTGCAAATTGTATATTTGGGGTTCATCGATCAGGCAAATTAGCACGAGATGTTAAGTAGTGTCAACATAGATAGAGATGTGGGAACAATTTGGTCAGACTGTGTTTTAGTGTTCTGGTGTTGTTTGTTACAGGCAAAACGATGGTGGAATGATAGAGTGACAATGAAGCAGTTTTCCCTCAAAGTTATGAGTAAGTTAAAGTAACCAGGATGGCCTTCATTTATTCCTTTTACAGAGTTAACAAAGAACTTTTAATATTATTGTTGTAGGAAACAAAGAACTTTTAATATTATTGTTGTAGGAAACAAAGAACTTTTAATATTATTGTTGTAGGAAACAAAGAACTTTTAATATTATTGTTATAGGAAACAAAGAACTTTTAATATTATTGTTGTAAGAAACAAAGAACTTTTAATATTATTGTTGTAGGAAACAAAGAACTTTTAATATTATTGTTGTAGGAAACAACAAACTTTTAATATTATTGTTGTAGGAAACAAAGAACTTTTAATATTATTGTTGTAGGAAACAAAGAACTTTTAATATTATTGTTGTAGGAAACAAAGAACTTTTAATATTATTGTTGTAGGAAACAAAGAACTTTTAATATTATTGTTGTAGGAAACAAAGAACTTTTAATATTATTGTTGTAGGAAACAAAGAACTTTTAATATTATTGTTGTAGGAAACAAAGAACTTTTAATATTATTGTTGTAGGAAACAAAGAACTTTTAATATTATTGTTGTAGGAAACAAAGAACTTTTAATATTATTGTTGTAGGAAACAAAGAACTTTTAATATTATTGTTGTAGGAAACAAAGAACTTTTAATATTATTGTTGTAGGAAACAAAGAATTTTTAATATTATTGTTGTAGGAAACAAAGAACTTTTAATATTATTGTTGTAGGAAACAAAGAACTTTTAATATTATTGTTGTAGGAAACAAAGAACTTTTAATATTATTGTTGTAGGAAACAAAGAACTTTTAATATTATTGTTGTAGGAAACAAAGAACTTTTAATATTATTGTTGTAGGAAACAAAGAACTTTTAATATTATTGTTGTAGGAAACAAAGAACTTTTAATATTATTGTTGTAGGAAACAAAGAACTTTTAATATTATTGTTGTAGGAAACAAAGAACTTTTAATATTATTGTTGTAGGAAACAAAGAACTTTTAATATTATTGTTGTAGGAAACAAAGAACTTTTAATATTATTGTTGTAGGAAACAAAGAACTTTTAATATTATTGTTGTAGGAAACAAAGAACTTTTAATATTATTGTTGTAGGAAACAAAGAACTTTTAATATTATTGTTGTAGGAAACAACAAACTTTTAATATTATTGTTGTAGGAAACAACAAACTTAGGAAACAAAGAACTTTTAATATTATTGTTGTATTATTGTTGTAGGAAACAAAGAACTTTTAATATTATTGTTGTAGGAAACAAAGAACTTTTAATATTATTGTTGTAGGAAACAAAGAACTTTTAATATTATTGTTGTAGGAAACAAAGAACTTTTAATATTATTGTTGTAGGAAACAAAGAACTTTTAATATTATTGTTGTAGGAAACAAAGAACTTTTAATATTATTGTTGTAGGAAACAAAGAACTTTTAATATTATTGTTGTAGGAAACAAAGAACTTTTAATATTATTGTTGTAGGAAACAAAGAACTTTTAATATTATTGTTGTAGGAAACAAAGAACTTTTAATATTATTGTTGTAGGAAACAAAGAACTTTTAATATTATTGTTGTAGGAAACAAAGAACTTTTAATATTATTGTTGTAGGAAACAACAAACTTTTAACTTTTAATATTATTGTTGTAGGAAACAAAGAACTTTTAATATTATTGTTGTAGGAAACAAATATTAAGGAAACAAAGAACTTTTAATATTATTGTTGTAGGAAACAAAGAACTTTTAATATTATTGTTGTAGGAAACAAAGAACTTTTAATATTATTGTTGTAGGAAACTTTTAATATTATTGTTGTAGGAAACAACAAACTTTTAATATTATTGTTGTAGGAAACTTTTAATATTAAGAAACAAAGAACTTTTAATATTATTGTTGTAGGAAACAACAAACTTTTAATATTATTGTTGTAGGAAACAACAAACTTTTAATATTATTGTTGTAGGAAACATAAGAACTTTTAATATTATTGTTGTAGGAAACAAAGAACTTTTAATATTATTGTTGTAGGAAACAAAGAACTTTTAATATTATTGTTGTAGGAAACAAAGAACTTTTAATATTATTGTTGTAAGAAACAAAGAACTTTTAATATTATTGTTGTAGGAAACAACAAACTTTTAATATTATTGTTGTAGGAAACAAAGAACTTTTAATATTATTGTTGTAGGAAACAACAAACTTTTAATATTATTGTTGTAGGAAACAAAGAACTTTTAATATTATTGTTGTAGGAAACAAAGAACTTTTAATATTATTGTTGTAGGAAACAAACAAACTTTTAATATTATTGTTGTAGGAAACAAAGAACTTTTAATATTATTGTTGTAGGAAACAACAAACTTTTAATATTATTGTTGTAGGAAACAAAGAACTTTTAATATTATTGTTGTAGGAAACAAAGAACTTTTAATATTATTGTTGTAGGAAACAACAAACTTTTAATATTATTGTTGTAGGAAACAACAAACTTTTAATATTATTGTTGTAGGAAACAAAAACTTTTAATATTATTGTTGTAGGTAAGAAACAAAGAACTTTTAATATTATTGTTGTAGGAAACAACAAACTTTTAATATTATTGTTGTAGGAAACAAAGAACTTTTAATATTATTGTTGTAGGAAACAAAGAACTTTTAATATTATTGTTGTAGGAAACAAAGAACTTTTAATATTATTGTTGTAGGAAACAAAGAACTTTTAATATTATTGTTGTAGGAAACAAAGAACTTTTAATATTATTGTTGTAGGAAACAAAAACTTTTAATATTATTGTTGTAGGAAACAAAGAACTTTTAATATTATTGTTGTAGGAAACAAAAACTTTTAATATTATTGTTGTAGGAAACAAAGAACTTTTAATATTATTGTTGTAGGAAACAAAGAACTTTTAATATTATTGTTGTAGGAAACAACAAACTTTTAATATTATTGTTGTAGGAAACAACAAACTTTTAATATTATTGTTGTAGGAAACAACAAACTTTTAATATTATTGTTGTAGGAAACAAAGAACTTTTAATATTATTGTTGTAGGAAACAAAGAACTTTTAATATTATTGTTGTAGGAAACAAAGAACTTTTAATATTATTGTTGTAGGAAACAAAGAACTTTTAATATTATTCTTGTAGGAAACAAAGAACTTTTAATATTATTGTTGTAGGAAACAAAGAACTTTTAATATTATTGTTGTAGGAATCCAGAAAATATCCTAACATGTCAGTATTGTGAAGTATATTATTTTAATGACTAACTAATGGTTGGTTACATTGCTTCTTGTCCCTAACGATTCATTACCTCTTCTTTATCAAATATCAAAGGATTTTTTTGTTGGTTGGCAGTTACACTTGTATTATGAAATAGCTTGACGGTTAAAAATTGAAATTGCTGCTTCTCCAAAAAATTTCTAGATTATGAAAAGCTGTCCTTGCTATTTCTCAGAAGTGACAAATTTTAGAAAACCATTGAAGTTTGTACAATTGTAGAATGATATTAAGCTAATTCAATCAGAATTCAAGACAGGTCAGGGTCTAATTGTGTAATTCTGAATGACATCAATTACTGGTATTGAATTAAAAAATCATACTATAATGATACAATGACTTACTCAGTGCTGATCTGATTTGTTGGTTGTAGGTGTGAAAGAGGACCACTTGTCTGTAGTGTTGTATGATGATGACAGTAGTGGTTACAGTGTAAACAGTGAATTAGTCGGTCGAGGCTTCGCCACCAGTACAGGTCCACTGTAAGTCTACCCTTAACTTGTTTAACATGTATGGTTTTCTTAATGATATCAAACTCCAATCTCTGTTTATCTGTACTGATATTGACCTCCTAATTCTTTGTCTCTGTACTGTACAGGCAGCAATCTTGGATTTTTTCAGTGAAGTTTGTTATTCCTATTTCTTGAATTGTAAGAGATAGATCTCTCTCAAAATTCTTATGTAAGTACCCCTTTGTCCCTAGTTGTGCCCATTTAATTTTTAGTCTGTTCACAAAAACAAAATGGCCAACGGATGGCCATCTTGGATTTTGACTTTGCAAGATTGTTATCACTATTTCTTGAGAACTACTGTATAGCTCTTTTCCCACATTTCATATGTATGCTTTCCTTGATCCCTGGTGGCTCTTGTTTATTTTTGGTATTGATAAAAAAAAACTAAAATGGCTGACAAGAGGCCATCTTGGATTTTGCCTTCCAAAGTTTATCACAATTTCAGAGAACTACTCGATAGATCTTTCTCAGATTTCATGTATAGGTGTCTATAGGACCCTAGTTGTGCCTGTTCGAGTTCGACTGACCAGAAAAACAAAAGGCAGTCTAGTAAAGATGGTTATTGCTGTTTCTGACAAAGCACTGAATGGATATTTCTCAAATTTTATATGTATGTTCCATTTGATCTCTCCTTGTGCTCGTTTGATTTCGGGACTCAGCAGAAGAAACAAAATGGCTTCCAGGTGGCCATTTTGGATTTTGGCAGGTAATTATCATCATTGCTATTTCTGCAAAGGAATGTTCAAATGTCTTATCATTAAGAGCAAAACCAGAGAAGAGAAAAGAAGGGAAAAGATCCAACTTCAAAGAGCATATATAGATCAAACAATGGTGGCTGCAAAAATCCCTCTGAGATCTCTTGTCTCTGTACTGATTTCAACCTCCAAACATATCTTGCTCTACCATCCTACAATCTCATTCTTCAGTCAGTAATATTATTGGAATTAAGCTATTTAATTCCTATTCCATACAATGTTGTGATGTAATGCTCTTTGTGCAAGAGATAGTTTGTTCCAAATTTCCCTAAGAATAAAGTGCTTCAAGAATAAAATCATGACAGTTCTCTCATATGACACTATCAGTATGATAAGTAGTTGGGAATGGAATTTGAAATTGAAGCTTCCACATCATTCATAAATAAGTTGGCTGAATTCTTACTGTTTTCTAACGTTAAATATGGTAAAGGTTCCTTAAACATGGAAATTGAGTGGTTAAGTATTGTTTCTACAACAGGTCAAAACAGCTGCCTAAAGGTGGTGTAGGGGGACTACTGACAAGCTCTGATGACAGCTCCACAGAAAGTCAGGTATCTTCACTGTTCTTTCCTATCTAGAGGGTAATCTAGAAAATCTAACAGAATATTTCCCTGCCTTTGAGTTTCAACAAAGAAATCTCAATTTAACAGGGATTCTTGAATGTCAGACCTAAGGGTCCACTGAGGGTTGAACATGCCTAGAACATTCATCAGAGGGCTGAGATTTAGTCGTTACACAGCTAAGGAATGATTATTTTTCTCTTATGAAGAACAAACTATCCAATTCATAATCTTGAACATAGTGTTACATATATGTAGAATATGATTCAATGAATTCATAATCTAAAGCATGGTGTTAAATTTATCTAGAGCATACATGGTGTAATGGATTAATGATCTGTAATGTGGAAACATAACAACAACAAAAAATGTTGTGATAATTTCGTTGTTATTGTTCTGTCAGAGTGATCCACTTAGTAAACTCCTGGTTAGCAGCAGTCAGACCTCCTCAAGGTCATCAACAAGGTCAAATTCTAGAACCACTACACCTGTTGTCTCACCACAAAAGGATTTGAGGAAAGCAAGTCAACGCTTGGAAACATCAGTTAAGTCTGTGGCAAGGTTAGAAACCAGCAGCAAGTCATCCCGCTCTAGTTCCAGCTCAACCTCACCTGAAAAACCAGTCACTGAGTCCAAGGTCACAAAGGTCAAGCCAACAGGTACATAAATGCTGAACAGATATAATTCAGGATATTGTCATTTTTCTACCAATCACATTGTGTAGTGTCTGTTATACATGATAGGTGGTGTCACCATTATCACATTTTACACAAAATGATAAGCGATAGTTCATAAGACATATTCCTTATTCTATTGTTAAAGATTTGTCCTTGGACATCAAGGCTGCAGAAGCAAAGTCCAAGGCTGCATCCAAGGATCCCTCAGAACCAGATTCCCCAAGCAATATTCAGGTCGTAATCAGTCATTTCCAGTCTCCATCTGACTTCCATGTCCAGCTGGCATCCTCTGCAACGGACAGACTAGAGAGGTAGGTAGTGCTGTATCAGTGGGTATTTATGTGTATATATGCGTTACTTCAGCAAATGAAGAAAACATATTGAATGATACTTATACAATTTGATGTATTGTCATTTGACTATTGTGGCATTTGTTTTAGAGAACGTGAGTTTACATGGACTGATTGAGGTCAACAGTTAATACATCCTACTGATATCTTACGTCCTGCCCTAGATTGCTTGCTGTGATTCAGTGACAGTTGTTCTGTTTACAGGATGATGCAAGGTCTACAGGAGGAATACACGAACTCTGAGACGCAGTGGATGTCTTGGAAAGTGTCCGAATTCTGTGTCGCCAAATACTCACAAGATGGACGCTGGTATCGGGGGAAAATACAAAAAATACTCCATAAGAATGTCATGGAGGTTAGCGTTGTATTTGCTGAGGTAATATGATAGCATAGAGACGTCCATGTTTTCTATGCTAGGGTAGACTGTTGGGTTTAAGGTAATATGATAGCATAGAGACGTCCATGTTTTCTATGCTAGGGTAGACTGTAGGGTTTAAGGTAATATGATAGCATAGAGACATTTGTGTTTTCTATGCTAGGGTTGGCTGCTGTAAGGTTTAAGGTAATATGATAGCTTAAAGACGTCTGTGTTTTCTATGCTAGGGTAGACTGCTATAGGGTTTTAGGTAGGGATCTCACTGTAGCTATGAAATATGTAAATGTGCTGTTAGGCATATCAACCTTTTGATACCAATAGCTGTTGCTAAATGTATGTGAAGTTTACCTAAACTGAACCCATTAACTCGGACGTGTAATTGTGTCTGACAGGTGAAGTTGGTGGATTATGGGTATACTTGTACAGTCAGTCAGAACCAGCTACGTCCTCTGGCCAGATTCTTTCTAAAAGACATGGCGTTTGCTTTTCACTGTCACCTGGCCAACCTGGTCCCTGCTGGAGATGGACAGAAGTGGTCACGGACCGCGTGCGAGTTTATGGAGGATGCTGTCCAGGGAGTCAAGCTCTACTTAAAAAAAGAGGTACAATAAATTCATAACCAGCACTTTTTACATAAAGTGAAATAAAGAAATGAATGTAAAGATCTTTGTGTACTATGTATGTTTTATTCAGTAGAGATGTTTTTTCTAGGGAGACATGGAGAATTCATCACTTGCAATAGATATGTATTTAGAGGAGTATATTGCAGAGAGTGCACTAGAGCCTTCTAAGCACAGATTTATCAGTCTCAGAGAAAAGATCATTGAACAAGGACTTGGCATTCCAACCAAGAGGTAACATATCAAAACTATTCTGCTTTATTTTGATATGAATTAGTATTAATTCAGTATCAATTAATATATATAATGTTTTTAATATCTAACCTATGGCTGATTGGTCTTTCTGTCTATGAAGGCAGATTTCTTACATTGTATTACTTTTAATCACAGAATAACACTCATTAATTGTGATACCTGTGAATCTATAGTAACTTATGTACAGAATAACACTCATTAATTGTGATACCTGTGAATCTATAGTAACTTATGTACAGGATAACACTCAGTAATTATGATACCTGTGAATCTATAGTAACTTATGTACAGGATAACACACAGTAATTGTGATACCTGTGAATCTATAGTAACTTACGTACAGGATAACACACAGTAATAGTGATACCTGTGAATCTATAGTAACTTATGTACAGGATAACACACAGTGATTGTGATACCTGTGAATCTATAGTAACTTATGTACAGGATAACACACAGTAATTGTGATACCTGTGAATCTATAGTAACTTATGTACAGGATAACACACGGTAATTGTGATACCTGTGAATCTATAGTAACTTATGTACAGGATAACACACAGTAATTGTGATACCTGTGAATCTATAGTAACTCATGTACAGGATAACACACAGTAATTGTGATACCTGTGAATCTATAGTAACTCATGTACAGGATAACACACAGTGATTGTGATACCTGTGAATCTATAGTAACTTATGTACAGGATAACACACAGTGATTGTGATACCTGTGAATCTGTAGTAACTTATGTACAGGATAACACACAGTAATTGTGATACCTGTGAATCTATAGTAACTTATGTACAGGATAACACTCAGTAATTGTGATACCTGTGAATTCATTGTAACTGTTTTATACAGGCGAGAGGTAAGGACAGTACCAGAAAAGGTTTTAGAGCCAACAGAGATCATGTTATGTGAAGAACCCCAGGAAGTGTCTTGTGTCTATTACTTGCCTGCTGATCTTCCTTCCTCCTCATCTATTGAGGGTGTACCAACCTACATAGACATGGAGGGAGTTGTCTACATACAGGACAACATTAATGGTAGGTTGTTATACAAGACAACATTAATGGTAGACTGTTATACAGGACCACATTAATGTTAGACTGTTGTACAGGACCACATTAATGGTAGGTTGTTATACAGGACAACATTAATGGTAGGTTATACAGGACAACATTAATGGTAGGTTGTTATACAGGACAACATTAATGGTATTCTGCTATACAGGACAACTTTAACGATAGGTAAATATTGCTAATGAATTATCTGTAAAAGGTAGGCAATCCCACAACAAATGTGAATGTTACATGTGATCTTGAATAATGTCACTCTATAGAGGTGTCTCAAATTGATATGCATCACTTTTCTAAAAACTACAAGAAGATTTTGTGTGTGAATCCATGTTTTAAGGAAAATATGGCTGAACTGTTAACATGACCAGTTGACGTGATCTCTCTACATCAGTTAATTAAAATGATATCGTAAGAATCAGAACATAATTCAGTGCCCTCCAGCTCTCCTGGAAATTATCAACCTTCCTCAACTACTCGTGTCTGACTGCAATGTTTTCACATTCATCATGATTAAACATCGATAGAAATGGAAAACAATTTGTGTCTAATGTGTGTGCTTTTGTAGCTCCCGTGTTGGAAAAACTTGCCAAGCGCCTAGAGAAGAAATTTAGTGATAGTAAACCACATGGATTTGATGTGGATTGGAAGGTTGGGCAGGCATGTGCAGCTAAGTTTCACCTGGACCAGATGTGGTATCGTGCTCAGGTAGTACGGATAGAAGTGGATTTCATACAGGTAAACTGCCTGCGTTTACTGATTCCTTGATTTATCTCCTACATTATAATGAGAATTTCTGATTTCTTATCGATTATTATCTGGCAGATTTTTATATAAAAGTTGGAATATGTTACGAATCAAGACTTCCTGAAAAGCCTTTGTTAGCTTGCGTATTTTATCTAATGTAGAACATTTAGTGCCTCGCAAACTTTTCAATTTTTCAAGTTCTTCTCAAGTTCCACCAATGGGTTTCAGTGAAAAGTTGCCTAAAATGGTCCTGAGATGGTGCTTTTTAAGTGTCATTACTTTTTGTTTTTCTGAGATCCAACATGACTGCCATTTTGAAAAGTAGAAAAAACAATCTTCTCCAGTACGATCAGTTTAGTTGACCTTAAGTTTTTAAGCATTTTTGTAATCCTTTGATAATTGTTACCACTTAATCTTAATGCTTTTACATTGAAACCTGCTTATGATGATTTTATAGTTCCACATAAAGATATTATAATAAACGAGCAAGCGATTTAGGTGACGAGAACTGGAGATTCGATTATCATAATAGTCAGACCTATTACTAAATAAAAGCAATAAAGTATTATGGATAATTGCCTTTTGTAACAATTAAAATCAACATGAATTACTACTGATATTGATGCTGATTGATGTATATTTAGTCCTTATAAGCACAGACATATCTGACGCAAGATAATTTCTACTTTCAGTGTAGTTAAGTTTTTTTGAACTGAAGGCAAAATAGATTAATGTAATGAAATGTTGAGTTTGTGTATATATTCTATTAACTGTTTTTGTTAGGTCAGCTTTATAGATTTTGGAAACACAGAAATGGTTACACCAGACCAGCTACGAGGAGATGTAGAAGAGTTTATAGACACACCACAGCTGTGTTTCGAGTGTGTCCTCAACAACATTGCCCCGGTAAGTGTGGTCATCAGTATTAAGAGGAAAATACCAGAAACTGATTTATTTTGAGATAAATATTTCAAAATCCCTGTATATAGTCATGATTAATGAAATGCCAGGCAGTTAGCTTCATGTCTTAATGCAATGTGTGTCACCATTTCAATTTCAAAACAGAACACATTAAAGTTGATAAGTGACTTTCTTGTATTTTCAGATGACGGAGAGTGGTTGTTGGCCAATACCTGTTTTAGATCGCATTCACAAGTTAATTGTCTCCAAACCTTGTGCTGTTGAGATACTGGTAAGTAGTGTACTTGCCCAGTAATCAGATGGATCATTCTGACATTTCATATGAACGTTTCCCAAGGTCCAAATTTGTGTACTGTCTATTTTGGGACAGACCAGAAAATTTGAAATAGCTGTCCATCTTGGATATTAGAGTCATAAAATGTCATCACTATTTCTGGAGATGCAAAGGATAGATCTTTCTGTAGTTTCTCCTTTGTACCAAGTTATGCATTTTCTATTTTTGATGGATAAGAATTTTTTGGATAGATCAGAAAATGAAATGGCCTTCTAGTGGCCATCTTGGATTTTGACAGTTACTGGTAATGAGAAGCACTGGATAGATCATTCTCGAATTCTTATGTAGGATCCTTTTGGTCTCCTGTTGTGCATTGGTTATTTTGGGACTGATTGGAAAAGTAACATGGCTGACAAGTGGCCATCTTGAATTTTGTCAGTTATAGTTTGTTATCACTTTCTTTTAAGTACTTGGGGGATCATGTGTTCAGTGTTTAACAAGATGATAGGAAAGAAGGGAAAATATCAAGTTTACGAAGACCTGGGACCTCTTGCTGCTCCACACAAAGTTAATGGGTTAAGTCTTAGAAGCTCTAACACAATGATGCTCTGTTGCTTTACCACTTCAGCGATGTTGAAGGTTTAGCAGACGTCAGATATTGAGATGTTACTCGGTTCTGCTCCAAGACTTTGATACTTCAACTGAGTCTTAAATGATTTATGCTGGAAAAAAAATTCACTTTCAGAAAATTGAGCCTAGTTTGCAGGCAAGTGTGAAAATATGTCTGGAAGGGGGAAACGATCTTGGAGATTTCCTCTGTTACCATGGTAATGCCTTTCACCCTGACAACACCAGTCAACTTGTAACTCAGAGTCATAAAATAGCCATGGTTGTTGAGGTTTGTAGTCATTTTCTGAACCAACACTTTCCACTTAGTTGTTGTCATTCTGTTGATTAATGTATGCCAATTCAATGGAAGTAAATTTTTAATGAATATCTGGAATTGTTGCCAACAAACATTTGAAACTAGAATAGAATCTAGCTTTCTTGATAGGATTTTTGAAGGATAATAACAATTTTATAACTGTTGAAATATGCTGATTTTCATCCCAAGATGGATCAATTAAAGTGTTGACTCAGATCTTAAATATTTCTTCTCCTACTCAAACAGAAGAAAAATCCATACAAGACAACAGAGATGATGCCCCCAGGCGAGTACTTTCCTGTGATCATTACTCATGTTGAGGTGCCTAATGTGGTGAGTAGTTGTACTGTGGTATGAATACAGTGTTAGCATAATGAAAAGTCTTCTTAAGGAATTTTACCTTCTTAGTCTTTAGAGATTTCAATAAAAGAATATGTTCATTAGTACCATTTGAGATAACATGAAGTTAAGAACTCATTTAATTTAAGAATGATTACACACACCTGTTTTAGCATGATGGCCCACTATCTGATAGGTCGACTGTTGTCTGTATTGAGGTGGTGCTTCAGCTTGTTCATTTAAAAAAAAGTAATTCACTTCACAGTCACAATTAGGATCAGATTCAAAGGGATCATCTGTATCATATACCCCTTGTACAATATGATTGGTTTGAGCTATTACAAAAGAACTTTTTATTTAACAAATGTATTGTTTATTGTGTCTGATAACTACAATACCTCTCTATAGTGTAAATCTACTTTAGATTTAACAAATGTATTGTTTATGGTGTCTGATAACTACGATACCTCTCTATAGTGTAAATATACTTTAGATTTAACAAGTGTATTGTTTATTGTATCTGATAACTATGATACCTCTCTTTAGTGTAAGTCTACTTTAGATTTAACAAGTGTATTGTTTATTGTATCTGATAACTATGATACCTCTCTATAGTGTAAATATACTTTAGATTTAACAAGTGTATTGTTTATTGTATCTGATAACTATGATACCTCTCTTTAGTGTAAGTCTACTTTAGATTTAACAAGTGTATTGTTTATTGTATCTGATAACTATGATACCTCTCTATAGTGTAAATATACTTTAGATTTAACAAGTGTATTGTTTATTGTGTCTGATAACTACAATACCTCTCTATAGTGTAAATCTACTTTAGATTTAACAAATGTATTGTTTATGGTGTCTGATAACTACGATACCTCTCTTTAGTGTAAGTCTACTTTAGATTTAACAAACGTATTGTTTATTGTGTCTGATAACTATGATACCTCTCTATAGTGTAAATATACTTTAGATTTAACAAGTGTATTGTTTATTGTATCTGATAACTATGATACCTCTCTATAGTGTAAATCTACTTTAGATTTAACAAATGTATTGTTTATGGTGTCTGATAACTACGATACCTCTCTATAGTGTAAGTCTACTTTAGATTTAACAAACGTATTGTTTATTGTGTCTGATAACTATGATACCTCTCTATAGTGTAAATATACTTTAGATTTAACAAACGTATTGTTTATTGTGTCTGATAACTATGATACCTCTCTATAGTGTAAATATACTTTAGATTTAACAAACGTATTGTTTATTGTGTCTGATAACTATGATACCTCACTATAGTGTAAATATACTTTAGATTTAACAAACGTATTGTTTATTGTGTCTGATAACTATGATACCTCACTATAGTGTAAATATACTTTAGATTTAACAAGTGTATTGTTTATTGTGTCTGATAACTATGATACCTCACTATAGTGTAAATATACTTTAGATTTAACAAACGTATTGTTTATTGTGTCTGATAACTATGATACCTCTCTATAGTGTAAGTCTACTTTAGATTTAACAAACGTATTGTTTATTGTGTCTGATAACTATGATACCTCACTATAGTGTAAATATACTTTAGATTTAACAAGTGTATTGTTTATTGTATCTGATAACTATGATACCTCTCTATAGTGTAAATCTACTTTAGATTTAACAAATGTATTGTTTATGGTGTCTGATAACTACGATACCTCTCTTTAGTGTAAATATACTTTAGATTTAACAAGTGTATTGTTTATTGTATCTGATAACTATGATACCTCTCTATAGTGTAAATATACTTTAGATTTAACAAACGTATTGTTTATGGTGTCTGATAACTATGATACCTCTCTATAGTGTAAATATACTTTAGATTTAACAAGTGTATTGTTTATTGTATCTGATAACTATGATACCTCTCTATAGTGTAAATCTACTTTAGATTTAACAAATGTATTGTTTATGGTGTCTGATAACTACGATACCTCTCTTTAGTGTAAGTCTACTTTAGATTTAACAAACGTATTGTTTATTGTGTCTGATAACTATGATACCTCTCTATAGTGTAAATATACTTTAGATTTAACAAACGTATTGTTTATTGTGTCTGATAACTATGATACCTCTCTATAGTGTAAATATACTTTAGATTTAACAAACGTATTGTTTATTGTGTCTGATAACTATGATACCTCTCTTTAGTGTAAATATACTTTAGATTTAACAAACGTATTGTTTATTGTGTCTGATAACTATGATACCTCTCTATAGTGTAACTCTACTTTAGATGGTCTCTCCTAGTAACCACAAAGTAATGTACCACTGTGTTATTTTACAGGTGTATTTCCAACATACCAGACAAAGTGGATCTGAAATGGATGAGCGCATGGATGAAATAAATGTTCAGCTCTCCAAATTAGAACAACTAGCTGTTGACCTGAATGAACTTGGACCCTTAGCTGCTGCTTTACCTAATCCAAAACCAGGTTTGCTTCCTCCAGTCATCATCAGTACATGGTGACATGTCCACTTGATTTTGAGACTGATCAGAAAAGCAAAATGGCTGACAGGCAGCCATCTTAGATTTCTACAATAGAAGTTTTGTTTTCACTATTGCAAACAATTAAGAACAATTAAGGGAAAAGCAGAGAAAGTTATCACTGATAAAGCACAGCTATAGGTCATGCAATGGCTGGTATCAAGATCTCTTGAATATCTGTTGAGAATTGAATGGTGTCATGTGATGTGGCATATCTGTTGAGAATTGAATGTTGTCATGTGATGTGGAGGGAGACTATCTTGGTATTACATGAGGAAGGAGATGTGTCTTCAATGGAACTCTCTCTGATTACATAGATTAGATGAATTTTAAGTTTGTTTTGAAAATAAAAAGTCTTCTTTACCAGTCTTCAAGTCACTCTATTTAAATTTGTTGAATATTTTTAATTAGCATCTTTGATTGAGCTATGAGATTATAACATTTACAATCGGCTGAATAAGGATAATGTGAAATGAGAATGGCTATCTTATTTCTATGTAAAGAAACAAACCAAGTAGACAGATGTCATGGCAAATATGTTATTTCACCTAGGTGTTATAAATACTTAAGAACTATAAGTCTGCTAATTTGGTTGTAATTGATCCTGTCAGGATTTAATTATTGATAATATTAAGTCCTGTAAACACAGGATTTACTTGCTATGCTTTTATAAATGTATTTTTTTGATTGTCAGGCCTGATGTGCTGTGCACAGTTTGGCTACGACCAGTGTTGGTACCGGGCAGTAGTGGTGGAACGTGACGTCAGAACAGACATGATCCTTGTCCTATATGTTGACTATGGTACATCAGAGTATGTGACAGTAGACAGGTAAGATCAGGAGAATTTCCCTCATAATGAATGATGTTTCAAGCTTTCATCACCTTCTGATTGATCAATGGTAAAATACAATCCTTATGTATATAGTGGAGGACAGATACATGAAGCTTGTCTTGTTAGACAGTCAATGAGGTCTGTTCATTTTTAAGTCTTTTCTTTAATGTTACAGAGTCAGGGCTCTACCATCAAGATTTGGCAGTCTGCCAGCACAGTCTGTCAGAATGACCCTAAGTGAGGTGACCCCTAAATCACATAATAGACAGTGGTCAAAAGAAGTGTTGGAAGCCATCATGACTTCTGTTTGTAACAAACAACTTATTGCCTGTCTCAAGGTAGATTTCTCATCATTGTAGTAATGATAAAATTTGTTAAAATGTAAGTCAAAGTATGATCACTGTTTTATAAGCCCCTGTATAGTCACTTCAATGTAAGTCCCTGTATAGACACTACAGTATAAGCCCCTGTTTAGTCACTTCAATGTAAGTCCCTGTATAGACACTACAGTATAAGCCCCTGTATAGTCACTTCAATGTAAGTCCCTGTATAGACACTACAGTATAAGCCCCTGTATAGTCACTTCAATGTAAGTCCCTGTATAGACACTACAGTATAAGCCCCTGTATAGTCACTTCAATGTAAGTCCCTGTATAGACACTACAGTATAAGCCCCTGTATAGTCACTTCAATGTAAGTCCCTGTATAGACACTACAGTATAAGCCCCCGTATAGTCACTTCAATGTAAGTCCCTGTATAGACACTACAGTATAAGCCCCTGTATAGTCACTTCAATGTAAGTCCCTGTATAGACACTACAGTATAAGCCCCCATATAATCACTTCAATGTAAGTCCCTGTATAGACACTACAGTATAAGCCCCTGTATAGTCACTTCAATGTAAGTCCCTGTATAGACACTACAGTATAAGCCCCTGTATAGTCACTTCAATGTAAGTCCCTGTATATGTTAAATGAAATCACTGTAATGTCATCCCCTGTTTAATCTGTGTTTTGTAAGCCTCAGTATAATCCTGTATTCTCTGTATAATCCTGTATTCTAGGTATAGTCCTGTATTCTAGGTATAATCCTGTATTCTAGGTATAGTCCTGTATTCTAGGTATAGTCCTGTATTCTAGGTATAGTCCTGTATTCTAGGTATAATCCTGTATTCTAGGTATAGTCCTGTATTCTAGGTATTGTCCTGTATTCTAGGTACTATCAGAGTTTTACAAGGCTCTTTTCTGGATCTGTTTACAGAAGATCGATCCTCCCACTGGTGACCTGTATGTAATGGGTTCATCAGCTGGTGCTGCCCTAAGCCTTGCCTACCAGGAAGTGGGTGATAAAGGGCTGATAACTCTGCCAGATGAATCATCAGTGTAAGTACACTTTAACATTATTAACCATCTTCCTGGGTTTTAGACAGAAAGGATCTATTCCATTTCATCTGGCATGGACACCATCTTGAAAAACACATTTAAAACTTCTCCCCAGTTCCAAATTGAAATTTTGGGGAAATGTTGAAAAACTGAAATGAACTGTTTTTTGTTCTTACTGCTGAAATATTCTGAACTGATTGGTTTAAGGTTGTTCCCACTACTACTGCTTCTGATACAATTGTATCTTATCATGGGCTTTATATAGCCAGAAGACTTTGATGAGCTCTGGTCTTTCTTGTTTGTTTAAGTCTGTGTCAAGGGAAGAGTTTCACAAATCACATACGAAATGGAACACATCTAATCTCCTTTTAATTATACAATTTAGATTCTTTGTTATCAATCATGCAAAATTCAAATTTTCTCTCCATATCCTTTTTTTGTTTGTGATGTCAAAAGCAGATGACACCCTGAGTTGCAAATGAATCAATGGAAACCTCAAGGAAATCACAACATTATAAGGTGTTATTACATGAGTAGACATAACAAGATTTATGTTATGTATGTTATTTCACTGATAACAAGGTAATTATGTAAGGGCTGTTATTATACTGATAACAAGGTAATTATATAAGGTGTGTTATTACACTGATAACAAGGTAATTATGTAAGGGGTGTTATTACACTGATAACAAGGTAACTATGTAAGGGGTGTTATTACACTGATAACAAGGTAATTATGTAAGGGGTGTTATTACACTGATAACAAGGTAATTATGTAAGGAGTGTTATTACACTGATAACAAGGTAATTATGTAAGGGGTGTTATTACACTGATAACAAGGTAATTATGTAAGGGGTGTTATTACACTGATAACAAGGTAATTATGTAAGGTGTGTTATTACACTGATAACAAGGTAATTATGTAAGGGGTGTTATTTCACTGATAACAGGGTAATTATGTAAGGTGTGTTATTACACTGATAACAAGGTAATTATGTAAGGGGTGTTATTTCACAGATAACAGGGTAATTATGTAAGGGGTGTTATTGCACTGATAACAAGGTAATTCTGTAAGGAGTGTTATTACACTGATAACAAGGTAATTATGTAAGGGGTGTTATTACACAGATAACAGGGTAATTATGTAAGGGGTGTTATTTCACAGATAACAGGGTAATTATGTAAGGTGTGTTATTACACTGATAACAAGGTAATTATGTAAGGGGTGTTATTTCACAGATAACAGGGTAATTATGTAAGGGGTGTTATTGCACTGATAACAAGGTAATTATGTAAGGGGTGTTATTACACTGATAACAAGTTAATTATGTAAGGGGTGTTATTTCACAGATAACAGGGTAATTATGTAAGGGGTGTTATTGCACTGATAACAAGGTAATTATGTAAGGGGTGTTATTACACTGATAACAAGGTAATTATGTAAGGGGTGTTATTACACTGATAACAAGGTAACTATGTAAGGGGTGTTATTACACTGATAACAAGGTAATTATGTAAGGGGTGTTATTGCACTGATAACAAGGTAATTATGTAAGGAGTGTTATTACACTGATAACAAGGTAATTATGTAAGGTGTGTTATTACACTGATAACAGGGTAATTATGTAAGGAGTGTTATTACACTGATAACAAGGTAATTATGTAAGGGGTGTTATTGCACTGATAACAGGGAAATTATGTGAGGAGTGTTATTTCACTGATAACAGGGTAATTATGTAAGGGTTGTTATTACACAGATAACAGGGTAATTAAGTAATGAGTGTTATTAGGGCCCGGCATCGCGATGCGGGTGCCCTATAGTAATCACCTTGTCCGTCTGTCCCGCCGTCTGTCTGTCCGTCTGTCGGTCCGTTTCCCTGTCCGTCGATCCATATATCTGTCCATCTGTCCATTTTCATTGGATTTTGATGAAAGTTGCTTTCAATACTTGACACCTGTCCATATATTTCTTAATATTAAGAAACTCAATCATAAGGGGTAGGTATTATGCGGGGCCCTTCCTCGACATTGGTCTAGTTTCACTGATAACAGGGTAATTATGTAAGGGGTGTTATTACACTGATAACAAGGTAATTATGTAAGGGTGTTATTACACTTATAACAAAATAATTATGTAAGGGGTGTTATTTCACAGATAACAGGGTAATTATGTAAGGGGTGTTATTACACTGATAACAAGGTAATTATGTAAGGTGTGTTATTACACTGATAACAAGGTAATTATGTAAGGTGTGTTATTACACTGATAACAAGGTAATTATGTAAGGGGTGTTATTTCACAGATAACAGGGTAATTATGTAAGGGGTGTTATTACACTGATAACAAGGTAATTATGTAAGGGTGTTATTACACTTATAACAAAATAATTATGTAAGGGGTGTTATTACACTGATATTTCTTGTAGATATGATGATACCATGGTTACAGAGGGTAGAGAAAAGTGTAAAAAGCAGAAATCTATACAATATTAAATTTCTTGTAGATATGATGATACCATGGTTACAGAGGGTAGAGAAAAGTGTAAAAAGCAGAAATCTATACAATATTATATTTCTTGTAGATATGATACCATGGTTACAGAGGGTAGACAAAAGTGTAAGAAGTAGAGATCTTTACAATCTTATATTTCTTGTAGATATGATACCATGGTTACAGAGGGTAGACAAAAGTGTGAAAGGCAGATATCTTTACAATTTTGTATTTTTTGTAGATATGATACCATGGTTACGGAAGGTAAGAATACATCTGTACCTGACATGACAACACCAGACTCGTCAGATGTAGAGGTGATGCACACAGGTGTGAAAGGAATTGTCAAAGATGAAGAGGAAAAGGACAGAGATGAAGGGTCGTGGGCACAAGATTCTAGTGAAGGGACTGGGGAAAATGGTTCAAGTGAAGGGGTATGGGAAAAGGGTAAAAGTGAAACGGCAAAGGTGAAGGACACACGTGTAGGGGTAGATGGAAAAAATACCGATAAAGGAGTAGAGGACAATACTACAGCCAGCAATAAAACACAGGAAACCTCTCAACACGAAAATCTTCCCACTAATAATGAGACCCAGATCATTAATGTAGAGGACACAAGTGATGGTGAGGATGATGTTATTATAGAGGAGGACATGTCATGTGACGACATCGGTGATAATAATGATAAATAATATTCTTAATAAAGAACGTGACCAGGAAGCTGAAATTTTCTGTGTACATTTCTAGACAAACAAACAAAGGTAGGATTTTAAATCTGATTGTGTTGATGAGCTTTATTTGAAATGTAGACAATTTACAGTGGCTGAACTTATCACCGGTATTGTGGATAAAGATCTGTAATTTTCCAGATCATCAATCTATATCTCGCTTTTTGTCAAGTTTCTCTTCTAGAATCTATGTCTTAGTGCAATTCTCCTTTTTGTCAGATATTTTGTTGATATTTCTTCTCAGGAAGAGAACGAGATATTGTTATTTATTTTGTGCTTAGAGTAGACACTGCGGTAGATAGTTTGCTGAGAGAACATGATTGTAACAACATAAGATGTGACAGTATTCCTGGGGCCGGGAAGGATGTGTGACATTATTCCTAACTGAGGTCAGAAAGGATATGACATTATTCCTAACTGAAGACAGAAAGGATGTGACAGTATTCCTAACTGAGGACAGAAAGGATGTGACAGTATTCCTAACTGAGGACAGAAAGGATGTGACAGTATTCCTAACTGAAGACAGAAAGGATGTGACAGTGTTCCTAACTGAGGTCAGAAAGGATGTGACAGTGTTCCTAACTGAGGTCAGAAAGGATGTGACAGTATTCCTAACTGAGGACAGAAAGAATGTGACAGTATTCCTAACTGAGGACAGAAAGAATGTGACAGTATTTCTAACTGAGGACAGAAAGAATGTGACAGTATTCCTAACTGAAGACAGAAAGAATGTGACAGTATTTCTAACTGAAGACAATATGTGCCAATTAAAAAACTGATTGGAGTGAAGTATTAGATGAGAGAGACTAAATTGTTTATAGTGAAGTGTTTGATGAGACTAAATTGTTTATAGTGAAGTGTTTGATGAGAGAGACTAAATTGTTTATAGTGAAATGTTTGATGAGACTAAATTGTTTATAGTGAAGTGTTTGATGAGAGAGACTAAATTGTTTATAGTGAAGTGTTTGATGAGAGAGACTAAATTGTTTATAGTGAAGTGTTTGATGAGAGAGACTAAATTGTTTATAGTGAAGTGTTTGATGAGAGAGACTAAATTGTTTATAATGAAGTGTTTGATGAGACTAAATTGTTTATAATGAAGTGTTTGATGAGACTAAATTGTTTATAGTGAAGTGTTTGATGAGAGAGACTAAATTGTTTATAGTGAAGTGTTTGATGAGAGAGACTAAATTGTTTATAATGAAGTGTTTGATGAGAGAGACTAAATTGTTTATAGTGAAGTGTTTGATGAGAGAGGCTTAATTGTTTATAGTGAAGTGTTTGGTGAGAGAGGCTAAATTGTTTATAGTGAAGTGTTTGGTGAGACTAAATTGTTTATAGTGAAGTGTTTGATGAGAGAGGCTAAATTGTTTATAATGAAGTGTTTGGTGAGACTAAATTGTTTATAGTGAAGTGTTTGATGAGAGAGACTAAATTGTTTATAATGAAGTGTTTGGTGAGAGAGGCTAAATTGTTTATAGTGAAGTGTTTGATGAGAGAGGCTTAATTGTTTATAATGAAGTGTTTGATGAGACTAAATTGTTTATAGTGAAGTGTTTGATGAGAGAGACTAAATTGTTTATAATGAAGTGTTTGGTGAGAGAGACTAAATTGTTTATAGTGAAGTGTTTGGTGAGAGAGACTAAATTGTTTATAATGAAGTGTTTGATGAGACTAAATTGTTTATAGTGAAGTGTTTGATGAGAGAGGCTAAATTGTTTATAGTGAAGTGTTTGATGAGACTAAATTGTTTATAGTGAAGTGTTTGATGAGACTAAATTGTTTATAGTGAAGTGTTTGATGAGAGAGACTAAATTGTTTATAATGAAGTGTTTGGTGAGACTAAATTGTTTATAATGAAGTGTTTGATGAGACTAAATTGTTTATAGTGAAGTGTTTGATGAGAGAGGCTAAATTGTTTATAATGAAGTGTTTGGTGAGAGAGACTAAATTGTTTATAGTGAAGTGTTTGATGAGAGAGGCTAAATTGTTTATAATGAAGTGTTTGGTGAGACTAAATTGTTTATAGTGAAGTGTTTGATGAGAGAGGCTTAATTGTTTATAGTGAAGTGTTTGGTGAGAGAGACTAAATTGTTTATAGTGAAGTGTTTGATGAGAGAGGCTAAATTGTTTATAATGAAGTGTTTGGTGAGAGAGACTAAATTGTTTATAATGAAGTGTTTGATGAGAGAGGCTAAATTGTTTATAATGAAGTGTTTGGTGAGACTAAATTGTTTATAATGAAGTGTTTGATGAGAGAGGCTAAATTGTTTATAATGAAGTGTTTGGTGAGAGAGACTAAATTGTTTATAGTGAAGTGTTTGATGAGAGAGGCTAAATTGTTTATAATGAAGTGTTTGGTGAGACTAAATTGTTTATAGTGAAGTGTTTGATGAGAGAGGCTTAATTGTTTATAGTGAAGTGTTTGGTGAGAGAGGCTAAATTGTTTATAATGAAGTGTTTGGTGAGAGAGACTAAATTGTTTATAGTGAAGTGTTTGATGAGAGAGGCTAAATTGTTTATAGTGAAATGTTTGATGAGAGAGGCTTAATTGTTTATAGTGAAGTGTTTGATGAGAGAGGCTAAATTGTCTACAGTGAAGTTAGGGACTACATGAACTACTTACTATAAATACAGCTGTATGATCAATGGCATTATACAATTATTTTACTGTTGTTGTTTTTTTCTAATTTTTTTTTTTTTTTTGCTGTTTTTTTATTTTGTACAAACAAAGGAGAAAATCATGTTACTTGTATTAGTTATTAGGAATTGATGAGAAAATCCACTTCTGTTTAAGTAAGCCTGCTTCTCATTATATGATATAGGCACTCTTCATTGTGTTGTTATTCAATAAAGAATTAACCTCGGACCTCTATAAAACAGAGTATATTGCATTAATCAGTTGATTAACGTATGTCAGGTCTGAAACTGTTGTCGTTGAAACCTAGTCGATACCGTGCATTTGTAAAAAGAAAATTAAATTGATTTGCTTTTTTACAAAATTTGTAATTTTCCTTGTTTTATTTTGCCAAAACAAAAAAAAAAGGGGATTGCTATGTACTGGTGTTGTGTTCAATGACATGAAGTGAAAAAAGAAAATAATGGTTCCCTATATTGAGGTGTAACAAAGCCCTCAGACTCTTTAATTTGCAGAGGTAAATTCTTTTCACATACAGGTATTAAGCTTCATCTTAGGAACCTACCAGCCATATTAGATTCTTGGTCTTTTGCTTCAGAAGTTGTTGCTTTTAACATACTTAACCCTGTGACCTTGAATATGGGTCATTGTCATTTGCTTCCTCCTTGGAACCTGTCTGCCAAATGTGATTCTAGTCATTTTGGTTAAATCAAGAGACCTTGTTTGAAGGCTTATAACAAATTTGACTCCTGTGATCTTTGATTCTATGCCTTTTGGTAACTCATCAGAAGTGGTTTGAAGGTTTAAATAAATTTTACCCCTGTGTTTTGAATATTAAGTTAGGTAATTTTGGCCCCGCATTGACAATGCAGATGTTGTATAGTTAACTGGTTGTCTGTCTGTTGGTTTTTGTTTTGTTTTTTTGTTTTTTTTTTTTGTCGATTGCAATCAAAAATGCCCAATGCTACATGGAATTAATCCTCATGTCAGAGTGAGTTTTGGGTCCTGAGGTCAAAGGTCAAAGTCACTATTAACATAAATAGACAGTTTCTGCAAAATATCTTCAGATCTGTTTAGGATGATGACACTCAGATTATCTCCATAGCGCCTTAACAAGAAGTGCTAACTCCTAGTTGTTTTTCATGTTCAGAGGTCAAGGTCAGCATTACTCTATATGGAAATTCCAATATACAGCAAAATAATCTGTGTGTAAAGAAATAATTAATGATACAGTGAACAATATCAATATTAATCTCGAGTTTAGAGTGCGACACAATGCAGGCCCTTCCTAATGTATGTCATTACTCTGATTTTTTTTACTAACTGTGGCTGGCTTCATGCCAACAACCTACCAGTAAAATATAATTCTAGAAATTTTTGTTTCTGTAACCTAGAATTTGAGGTCCGATAATTCCTTTTGCAAAATTTGTCTGGCTTGATGTCGAGAACTTCCAGCTGAATGACCAAAGACTTTTGGTTACTCGCTTATTTGAAGTCTTTTGAATGATGGTTTTATCAACTCACCTGAACCAAAGGGCCAAGTGAGCTTATGCTGTGGTGCAATGTCTGTCATACATCAGTTCATGGATGAGGCCTGACAAAGTTTGCAAAAAAGAAATTCTGACCCAAATTCAAGGTCACAGGAGTTTTAACTGACTTCTTCTGATTCAACAAAGTGCTTAGGATCATAATACCAACACAGACATGACCTCGACCAAAAGTTGAGGTCACAAGTGCCAACTTTTTAAAACTTTCAACAGGTTTCTTTGAATTAATCAAAAGATCTTGGATCAGGATTACCAATAGATACCTTGCAAATGTTATCTGCTACAGAATAGCAAGCAATTATTATTCAGCCTTCCACTGCCTGAAAATGATGATATCAAACAAGACCAAGAGCTTCCACTGAGCGATTCTGATGCAGAACTGCTTCTTGAATGGTTCCATTGATACATAAGAAGGGTTACAACACTCTCTGTGACAATTAAAAAATGGCTGCTGCCCAGTTCAAAGCAAAGCCAGAGATGAACACAGGACTTATTATAGATGTGTTTCTTCCTTTGAACGATTATTTAACTTTATCCATTAGACAACTTCATGTAATGGTAGACTTGGGTTTGTTCAAAATATTAAAACTAAACTGAAAGCTCAATCCGAACTGCTTTATACCTGATTTCCTGTTCAGTGTTTTCAATGTTTGGAAGATTTCCTGCCCACTTTTGTTTCATAATGTTGATATTGTGTCCAGAGATTTGCTCTATCACTTTTCAACCCATTTCTTTGAAAACTTAGGAGGCTTTAATACTAAGACAAAAAGCTATGTTTCCTTACATGGAAATTTATTTTGATTTTTGAAGGAGTTGTTGCCCTTTGATTTTCTAGCATAGTAGATTTTTCTGTTTTTCACCAATATCTCTGAAACTTGGTAGGCTGCATAATCATTGTGTTTTAATTAATGGCATTGTGACTTTACAATTTTGGGAATATTTATGGCAGATGGTTTCTACAACAATTATCTTACTGATATCTCCTCCCTCAGTTTTCAACTAATTTCTTTGAAACTTTGCAGGTTTTAAATGACAATAGTATATAAAACTTGTTTCATTTCCCCTGGAATCCTTCTGAACAAATTTGGTCATATTACCTTAATCCCATTAGAACAATGATATGTAAGTGATTTATCTTTTACTCTTGTAAGGCTCTGTCCATCAGACTCCAGGGGGATCAGACACACCATCTATATAAAACTCTCTTGTAAGGCTCTGTCCATCAGACTCCAGGGGGATCAGACACACCATCTATATAAAACTCTCTTGTAAGGCTCTGTCCATCAGACTCCAGGGGGATCAGACACACCATCTATATAAAACTCTCTTGTAAGGCTCTGTCCATCAGACTCCAGGGGGATCAGACACACCATCTATATAAAACTCTCTTGTAAGGCTCTGTCCATCAGACTCCAGGGGGATCAGACACACCATCTATATAAAACTCTCTTGTAAGGCTCTGTCCATCAGACTCCAGGGGGATCAGACACACCATCTATATAAAACTCTCTTGTAAGGCTCTGTCCATCAGACTCCAGGGGGATCAGACACACCATCTATATAAAACTGAGTTCCCTCATCCAATGATGCTTCCGCCCAAATTTAAACAAATTCCTATCAGATAGGAGCTGAGTAAAGGACAAAGGGATGTTGGGCTAAAAAAGATGCAATTAAGCCGAGTGAGTAGAGAATAAGACTTTATTTCACATTTGTTAAGATGCATCAGAACTTGTCAAGTTTTTTTGGTAACCACTTCTCTATCACAGTCATTTCTGAATTGAGTAGTAATACTAAGGCCCCCTAATACAGTTGCTGCTTCCATATGTCTGATTGGGGTAAAATGTAGCTTTCCAGTTTGATGTCATACAAATAATAACTACCATTAATTGAGACTGATTCACACAGAAATTCTGCAGAAGTTTCTACAGTTATCAATGCTGTATATCTGTGCTCGCTATTTTCTCCCAGACTGAACAAGTTGAATGATTTTAAACAGGAACATGGTGGCATGTTTTGTAGCCAGATGTAAATTGCTACAGTAACAGAGGTCATCTACTACCGCAGCAGAGGTCAAACAGATGATCAATCTACTGATTATTTCAGCACTCAAGTCATTGTTATCATCTTTTGTTTAAAACACTGTCTTCATGAACTGGCCTGGAGTAATGTTTTGAGAATTTCATCAGAATAGGTTTCGACACAGTGGACAGGTGGAGTTGTGACTCGTCTGGAACCATTTATACTGTGAAATAAAACATCAGCTTTATTAAAAATCCCACACAAATTTCAAGGTTTTATAAGAATCAAAATATGAAAAATCCCACACAAATTTCAAGGTTTTACAAGAATTAAGATAATATCAAAAATCCCACACAAATTTCAAGGTTTTACAAGAATTAAGATAATATCAAAAATCCCACACAAATTTCAAGGTTTTACAAGAATTAAGATAATATCAAAAATCCCACACAAATTTCAAGGTTTTACAAGAATTAAGATAATATCAAAAATCCCACACAAATTTCAAGGTTTTATAAGAATCAAAATATTAAAAATCCCACACAAATTTCAAGGTTTTACAAGAATTAAGATAATATCAAAAATCCCACACAAATTTCAAGGTTTTACAAGAATTAAGATAATATTAAAAATCCCACACAAATTTCAAGGTTTTACAAGAATTAAGATAATATTAAAAATCCCACACAAATTTCAAGGTTTTACAAGAATTAAGATAATATCAAAAATCCCACACAAATTTCAAGGTTTTACAAGAATTAAGATAATATCAAAAATCCCACACAAATTTCAAGGTTTTACAAGAATTAAGATAATATTAAAAATCCCACACAAATTTCAAGGTTTTATAAGAATCAAAATATTAAAAATCCCACACAAATTTCAAGATTTTATAAGAACTAAAATAAAATCTACAAATCTAAATGAGCTAAAATAGAATTCTGTATGTGTAAATTAACCACAATGCTTTGTAGACTGAGATATAATGACTAATATGTAAGTTAGTGAAGACTTTGTGGTCTGTTACTTGATGATCAGTACACTTACTAGGCAAGCTGAATGGAATTTTTTCTTGCAGGTTTTACATTGAAGTCGTGGTAGCTGATAGTTTGTGCCGTGCAGGACGGAGAAACAGATCATACAATCATCAACACCTTCAAATCTCTTATCAACATTCCGCTTCCAAATCCTCAGACCATCAAACAGACTTCCATTCTGTACAACACAGACATAGTTTTAAGCTTGTGAGAAATAGATAAAACCAACAGCTCTAAAGAAAAATGTTTTTTCTTACATATGTGAGCTGGAGTAAGGGCTTATTTCCCTGGTACTGTAGAAATAGTGTTTTCCTTATATATATATTGTGTATATTCTGTAATATAATGTACAACGAGAGCAAGTTTACCTGATACTGAAGAAATATCTTGAGTTGTAACAACCACTTCTCCCACTGTGCTGCCGACACACCCACTCGTTTTTCACTGTGAACCTCAATGCTGCCCATAGGATAGTTCTGAGGAAGGGAGATAACCATTTCTGTGCTGACTTCTTCAAGTGCGTAGGTCACAATTACCTCCCTTGTTGTTGGGCGTGTTCGTATCTGTTGGAGAAAGGACATGATTTACCTTCACATTAGAAGATGGATGATGATACAAGATAAGATTTATCATAATTAAAACATGCTGATATTTCAGTAGTCTTCTCTCAAATCTTAAACCCAACAAGTCAAATATTTATTCTGGCTCAGAAGCAATACTTTTATAACAAATGGTACATTATAAAGAATTTTCTTTCAGAAATGATGAAATACTGTGTTCACTGAAAAAAATCACTTATCTCTGAGATCCCTAGCCTCTACCAAGTCCAGTCATCAGGACAGATCTCTCCTCAGTCCATATTAGAATAGAACAGATAGACCTTTTTCACTTGTGAAAAGCTCTCTTGCTAGCCTGGTGGCTAGAACAGTTACACCTTCTTCACCTGTGAGAATACCTCTCCCTCATCCAGGTTAAAACTCCTATCTTTACTATTTCAACTTAGTGGTTTACCATATTTGGAAAATAGAAATTTTCTTACACTTTGTACTTACTGTTATGTAGTCCAGCTTCTGGTCACTCCTACTGATGGAGCGGATTTCAGCTGTACATAACAGCTGACTGACATTCTTACTCGTAAATCTGAAATCAGGAAACCGAGTTGAAACCAGAGATGTAGATGTCATACATTACAATTCTTAGTTAGGGTGAAATATTTGTGACAGAAAGCAATAAATTCTCTTCCAAACATAAATAAGATGACAGATTTCAAAAGATCTCTGTGTGTTTCAAAAGTTTTACAGAATACCTGTCTTCTTCACTTACCTGTCAACATAGGCTGAAGTTTTGCGGTCCTGGTCAAGCCACCACTGGCGAGCCATGGCTGGCATGGTCTGTAATGAGTCCTTATACACCCAGCTACTCACATGCTGAATCTCTAAGACACTTGGCTCATCTGGATAATAACATCACAGTGTAAACACCCAGCTACTCACATGCTGAATCTCTAAGAGAATTGTGTAATGTAAATTTAGTTATACAACAGTGTATCTCTCCACAGAAGTTGCTAGAATAATGACAATGGCCTTGTATGTGTCATAGAAAAAAAATTAAAATGTGTCAGAGAAGTGAGCTTTAAGTACAAGACAAAACATCAAATCAAATTAAGTTGATTACCCAATCAGAAGTTATTCAAGAGTCATAACAGTGTAAATCTACTCTGTGTCACTTGTAGGACAAAATGTACCTGTAACTCTTAATGTAGGGGTGACTTCGAAAACAGTTCCAGACTGACCATCTCCGTTGACCATGGGGGTTTTCACTGGCATCAGACAGAAGAGATACCTCATCAGCTGAACAATGAGACCAGTGTCTTTGAAGTGACTGGCGTATTCCTGTCTCAACTGTGTAAATAAAACAAACTCAAATTATAAAATATAGAAAAATATAGAATAGTTTCCACAACAGGATTTTATAAGTACCTACCTCAGCAGGGCAGCTGACGAAGAGATTAAAAAATAGTTTCCACAACAGGACATTATAAATACCTACCTCAGCAGGGCAGCTGATGAAGAGATTGAGCAATAGTTTCCATGCCAAGAGGTAGGCTAGTGTGAACTGATACTCGTCCGTGTAGGGAGCTAACTCCACATTGGCGTCTACCTTTTCCTCCCCTAACAATATCTCCATGGCAACATTGCATTTTGACAAGACCTTCATCAGGGCAGCTGGGGGGCTTCTGAGAGGGGCAAAAAAACAAATTTTAATATCACTCAAGGATATGAACTTTATCATGCTAGGTGATGACTTTCAGAAAGAAAACATTTTGATAACATGGTAGGATATGTTTTTCATCATGGTAAATGAGGGTACATGACGAAAGACATGTACAGCTGAAATTTTCCAAAATGACGTTTATCAGTGTAACAGGGGCTCCTGTGGGGCAGATACATTACAGGAGAGTGGGATAGCCCAAGCTTTCCTTGGAAGGAGACAGACGATGACCCTTTGTCAATATTTACCTATTGGTGTCTTCTCTGTCATCTTCTGGAACTTTCACATCTTTATCATATTGTGGGAACTCTGGCATCACACTGAAAACATAACAAGATAATGTAATATCTAGTGATAGAAAATCAGTATTAAGAAACATATGTTAATGTCACTTTGTAAGGAAATGGAATCCTGTTATCTGGGCAGCACAGACCTACCTTGTGAGGAGATGGAATCCTGTTATCTGGGCAGCACAGACCTACCTTGTGAGGAGATGGCATCCTGTTATCTGGGCAGCACAGACTTACCTTGTGAGGAGATGGAATCCTGTTATCTGGGCAGCCCAGACTTACCTTGTGAGGAGATGGCATCCTGTTATCTGGACAGCCCAGACTTACCTTGTGAGGAGATGGCATCCTGTTATCTGGACAGCCCAGACTTACCTTGTGAGGAGATGGAATCCTTTTATCTGGAAAGCACAGACTTACCTTGTGAGGAGATGAAATCCTGTTATCTGGACAGCCCAGACTTACCTTGTGAGGAGATGGCATCCTGTTATCTGGGCAGCCCAGACTTACCTTGTGAGGAGATGGCATCCTGTTATCTGGACAGCCCAGACTTACCTTGTGAGGAGATGGAATCCTTTTATCTGGACAGCACAGACTTACCTTGTGAGGAGATGGAATCCTGTTATCTGGGCAGCCCAGACCTACCTTGTAAGGAGATGGCATCCTGTTATCTGGGCAGCACAGACTTACCTTGTGAGGAGATGGAATCCTGTTATCTGGGCAGCCCAGACTTACCTTGTGAGGAGATGGCATCCTTGTGAGGAGATGGCATCCTGTTATCTGGACAGCACAGACTTACCTTGTGAGGAGATGGAATCCTTTTATCTGGACAGCACAGACTTACCTTGTGAGGAGATGGAATCCTTTTATCTGGACAGCACAGACTTACCTTGTGAGGAGATGGATTCCTTTTATCTGGACAGCCCAGACTTACCTTGTGAGGAGATGGAATCCTTTTATCTGGACAGCACAGACTTACCTTGTGAGGAGATGGAATCCTTTTATCTGGACAGCCCAGACTTACCTTGTGAGGAGATGGAATCCTTTTATCTGGACAGCACAGACTTACCTTGTGAGGAGATGGAATCCAGTGATCTGGACAGCCCTGTCCTTATGAGTCAGTAGTGGACAAAAATGATTCATCAGTGTTTGTAGACCATCAGGCAGTGGTGATGACTCCCCAGCTATCAACAGGGGAGGTAACTGGTGATTAAGGACCTGTTGTTTAGGACACAGGGACAGACAGGATCCCATGGCTTGCAGTAACACATGATGAGATCTCTCTTTTGTTTTCTCTTCACCTATCAGACATGTGAATTTACCTCAACATATACCCACGGTAACAAATAAATACATTGATACATCATTTATATCTACTGTGACTACAGTGCTGTTGTTTGAGACATTTGACATCAGTGTTGTGTGAGATGTATATTTATCCTTCTGATTGTCTGCAGAAGACCAATAATCTTAACGTCTGAGTTAACAGTAGATATGACAAGACAACATCTGCAGGATTCGTTGGGGAACCTTCCAACAGAAGTTGTCTGGTCATATCTACCATTCACTTTGACAACTGTTTGCAACTGGACTCTGTATTCCATTAGGAATCTATCTCTAAAAGACTACCACAACTTTAAGAAGTTTTTTCTGGAGTCATTTTTTCCTCAAGATTGTAAATCCTTTATTAGTTGACAGGAAATGGAAGCAAGTCTAGAGAGGGAGACAAACCTATAACTTTCACAAATAGTGGTAGCATGGTGCTGTAAGCACTCTCACTGAAGAACTCCTGCCATTCTGTAATGAGGTTCACCGGATATGTCTCCTCTACCGTCTGTAGAGTCAGTGCAACCTGGTGGAGCAGACGACACACTCCCACAGTGTATCTTTGTGTTACACAGGAACTAAGAAGCCCAGTCTTGCTTTCCTCTACACTCTGTAAATATAAAAACATTCCTCTGTGTTATTTCTATAAATGTATTCTTTATTCTCTACTAACATCATTTTTGTTGCAACATTTTGAAATTTTTATGTTTGATACAGAAATACATATACATTTACAATAGATATAAAGCACACTATTCAACACCTGAAAGTCTAAAAAACTCTATTGATAATATTTTCATTTAAAGGTTGATTTGGAGTCCGGAAAAATCCCAAATCAACACCCAAATATCAACCCTCTTCCAATACAATTGACATTCTACAAGTGGGAACATGCTACAAAATCCCTCTACTTCCAAAACACCTCTTATGTAGGGCTTCGTTGTGGCATGTTTACCTGCGCCATAGAGACCATACTACACATGATGAAATCCCACTCTCGATCAGTCAGGTGTTTGTAGAAAAACTTGACCACCAGGGTAAGAAATTTGGCTATCTCTGCATTAACAAGCACCAAACCTGGAGCCTCCTTCCCAAGGTCACTACAAAATAACAGGTAATATCTGATGCAATGCCAATGGTTATCAAAGTAAACACTGAATCTTTGAAACGTGTACTCTCCTAAAACTTACACTGTAATTTCTTTAACTTCCTGCCTCTTCTTAATGTCCAAACTCCATGAACCCACTTTATTAATATTGAAGTATTAGGTATTTGAAACAATCATTTCTCATTGTGTTAAGTATATCTGACATCACTTGCTACACTTTCATATCTTGTATAAGATTAGAAAATATTGGTAAACTTTCCATACAAATGTCAGTCAAATAGAAAATATTGGTAAACTTCTCATACAAGTGACAGTCAAGTAGAAAATATTGGTAAACTTCTCATACAAGTGACAGTCAAGTAAAAAATGTTGGTAAACTTCCCATACAAATGTCAGTCAAGTAGAAAATATTGGTAAACTTCCCATACAAATGTCTTTATTAATATTGAAGTATTAGGTAGTCAAGTAGAAAATATTGGTAAACTTCCCATACAAATGTCAGTCAAGTAGAAAATACTGGTAAACTTCCCATACAAATGTCAGTCAAGTAAAAAATGTTGGTAAACTTCTCATACAAGTGACAGTCAAGTAAAAAATGTTGGTAAACTTCCCATACAAATGTCAGTCAAGTAGAAAATATTGGTAAACTTCCCATACAAATGTCAGTCAAGTAGAAAATATTGGTAAACTTCCCATACAAGTGACAGTCAAGTAGAAAATATTGGTAAACTTTCCATACAAGTGACAGTCAAGTAGAAAATATTGGTAAACTTCCCATACAAGTGACAGTCAAGTAGAAAATATTGGTAAACTTCCATACAATGACAGTCAAGTGAAAATACAGTGACAGTCAAGTAGAAAATATTAGTAAACTTCCCATACAAATGTCAGTCAAGTAGAAAATATTGGTAAACTTCCCATACAAGTGACAGTCAAGTAGAAAATATTGGTAAACTTCCCATACAAATGTCAGTCAAGTAGAAAATATTGGTAAACTTCCCATACAAGTGACAGTCAAGTAGAAAATATTGGTAAACTTCCCATACAAATGTCAGTCAAGTAGAAAATATTGGTAAACTTCCCATACAAGTGACAGTCAAGTAGAAAATATTGGTAAACTTCCCATACAATTGACAGTCAAGTAGAAAATATTGGTAAACTTCCCATACAAATGTCAGTCAAGTAGAAAATATTGGTAAACTTCCCATACAAATGTCAGTCAAGTAGAAAATATTGGTAAACTTCCCATACAAATGTCAGTCAAGTAGAAAATATTGGTAAACTTCCCATACAAATGTCAGACAAGTAGAAAATATTGGTAAACTTCCCATACAAGTGACAGTCAAGTAGAAAATATTGGTAAACTTCCCATACAAATGTCAGTCAAGTAGAAAATATTGGTAAACTTCCCATACAAGTGACAGTCAAGTAGAAAATATTGGTAAACTTCCCATACAAATGTCAGTCAAGTAGAAAATATTGGTAAACTTCCCATACAAATGTCAGTCAAGTAGAAAATATTGGTAAACTTCCCATACAAATGTCAGACAAGTAGAAAATATTGGTAAACTTCCCATACAAATGTCAGACAAGTAGAAAATATTGGTAAACTTCCCATACAAGTGACAGTCAAGTAGAAAATATTGGTAAACCACCCATACAAATGTCAGTCAAGTAGAAAATATTGGTAAACTTCCCATACAAATGTCAGTCAAGTAGAAAATATTGGTAAACTTCCCATACAAGTGACAGTCAAGTAGAATATATTGGTAAACTTCACATACAAACATCAGTCAAGTAGAAAATATTGGTAAACTTCCCAATACAAGTGACAGTCAAGTAGAAAATATTGGTAAACTTCCCATACAAGTGACAGTCAAGTAGAAAATATTGGTAAACTTCCCATACAAACATCAGTCAAGTAGAAAATATTGGTAAACTTTCCATACAAGTGACAGTCAAGTAGAAAATATTGGTAAACTTCCCATACAAGTGACAGTCAAGTAGAAAATATTGGTAAACTTCCCATACAAGTGACAGTCAAGTAGAAAAAATTTGTAAACTTCTCATACAAATGTCAGTCAAGTAGAAAATATTGGTAAACTTCCCATACAAGTGACAGTCAAGTAGAAAATATTGGTAAACTTCCCATACAAGTGACAGTCAAGTAGAATATATTGGTAAACTTCACATACAAACATCAGTCAAGTAGAAAATATTGGTAAACTTCACATACAAACATCAGTCAAGTAGAAAATATTGGTAAACTTCACATACAAACATCAGTCAAGTAGAAAATATTGGTAAACTTCCCAATACAAGTGACAGTCAAGTAGAAAATATTGGTAAACTTCCCATACAAATGATCAGTCAAGTAGAATATATTGGTAAACTTCCCATACAAGTGACAGTCAAGTAGAAAATATTGGTAAACTTCCCATACAAACATCAGTCAAGTAGAAAATATTGGTAAACTTCCCATACAAACATCAGTCAAGTAGAATATATTGGTAAACTTCCCATACAAGTGACAGTCAAGTAGAAAATATTGGTAAACTTCCCATACAAACATCAGTCAAGTAGAATATATTGGTAAACTTCCCATACAAGTGACAGTCAAGTAGAAAATATTGGTAAACTTCCCATACAAACATCAGTCAAGTAGAAAATATTGGTAAACTTCCCATACAAACATCAGTCAAGTAGAATATATTGGTAAACTTCCCATACAAATGTCAGTCAAGTAGAAAATATTGGTAAACTTCCCATACAAACATCAGTCAAGTAGAAAATATTGGTAAACTTCCCATACAAACATCAGTCAAGTAGAATATATTGGTAAACTTCCCATACAAGTGACAGTCAAGTAGAAAATATTGGTAAACTTTCCATACAAATGTCAGTCAAGTAGAAAATATTGGTAAACTTCCCATACAAGTGACAGTCAAGTAGAAAATATTGGTAAACTTTCCATACAAATGTCAGTCAAGTAGAAAATGTTCATCTGAAAGTGAATAAAGTTGTTTCACAGTAGAGTATTTTTCATCTAAAGGTGCATTAAACTTGATGTAATTTTTAACATCTCAGGCCACAAACCTGCCAAACAACAGGAAAGTATCATCTTGGTCCCTCCAGTCCATCAGCTGTCCCAAAGTGCCCTGTACCAGATCGAGACAGGCTGGTACGAGGTTCTCCTCCTTCATCACTCCTGGCAACACACTGGTCACAGCTGCCAGGGCACCAAAGCCACCTGTAGGGTAACAGTCAGGTGTATATCTACTTAACACATTAATTATAAGTGTAATATAAAGGCCAGTAAGGATTCATTAATAAGTGTGAAATACAGACCACTGACCAGTCTGGCATCCTTTTGGCTACATTTTGAATACTGACCAGTAAGGATTCACTAATAAAAGTGCAATTCTGACCATTGATGTGTAAGAAAATCTCAAAAAGAATATGATACTGACCACTGATTAGCCTGACATCCTCCAGGGGACTGCTTACGAGTCTGGCCACCAGGATTTCACAGAGAGTCATAGTGTCAGTGGCTGTTAGGTATCCACACAAGCTCTGTAACAGGTGTACACGCCCGGAGTCCAGCTCCACACACCTAACAATGATAAAACCCTATCTCATCAAAACAGAATCAAATGAAATCATCCATCCGTGTCAAAAAAAAAGCTGTGAAGATTAAATACTCATCACCTAGTAGGCATGAAGGTCTAAGGTGATTGTACAGATACTGTGGTATATTTAGTGGCTGTATAGACACTGTGGTATATTTAGTGGTTGTACAGACACTGTGGTATATTAAGTGGCAGTATAGACACTGAGGTATATTTAGTGGCTGTATAGACACTGTGGTATATTTAGTGGCTGTATAGACACTGTGGTATATTTAGTGGTTGTACAGACACTGTGGTATATTTAGTGGCTGTATAAACACTGTGGTATATTAAGTGGATGTATAGACACTGAGGTATATTTAGTGGCTGTATAGACACTGTGGTATATTTAGTGGCTGTATAGACACTGTGGTATATTTAGTGGTTGTGACACTGTGGTATATTTATATAGACACAGTAGTATATTTAGTGGACACTGAGGTATATTTGTATAGACACTGTGGTATATTTAGTGGCTGTATATTCTGAGGTATATTTAGTGGCTGTATAGACACTGTGGTATATTTAGTAGCTGTACAGACACTGTGGTATATTTAGTAGCTGTATAGACACTGTGGTATATTTAGTGGCTGTATAGACACTGTGGTATATTTAGTGGCTGTATAGACACTGTGGTATATTCAGTGGCTGTATAGACACTGTGGTATATTTAGTGGCTGTATAGACACTGTGGTATATTTAGTGGCTGTATAGACACTGTGGTATATTTAGTGGCTGTATAGACACTGTGGTATATTTAGTGGTTGTATAGACACTGTGGTATATTTAGTGGCTGTATAGACACAGTGGTATATTTAGTGGCTGTATAGACACTGTGGTATATTTAGTGGCTGTATAGACACTGTGGTATATTTAGTGGCTGTATAGACACTGAGGTATATTTAGTGGTTGTATATACAATGTGGTATATTTAGTGGCTGTATAGACACTGTGGTATATTTAGTGGCTGTATAGACACTGTGGTATATTTAGTGGCTGTATAGACACTGTGGTATATTTAGTGGCTGTATAGACACAGTGGTATATTTAGTGGTTGTATAGACACTGTGGTATATTTAGTGGCTGTATAGACACTGAGGTATATTTAGTGGTTGTATAGACACTGTGGTATATTTAGTGGCTGTATAGACACTGTGGTATATTTAGTGGCTGTATAGACACTGTCGTATATGCAGTGGCTGTATAGACTCTGTGGTATATTTAGTGGTTGTACAGACACTGTGGTATATCTAGTGGCTGTATAGACACTGTGGTATATATAGTGGCTGTATAGACACTGTGTTATATTTAGTGGCTGTATAGACACTGTGGCATATTTAGTGGCTGTATAGACACTGTGGTATATATAGTGGTTGTATAGACACTGTGGTATATTTAGTGGCTGTATAGACACTGTGGTATATTTAGTGGTTGTATAGACACTGTGGTATATTTATTGGCTGTATAGACACAGTAGTATATTTAGTGGCTGTATAGACACTGTGGTATATTTAGTGGCTGTATAGACTCTGAGGTATATTTAGTGGCTGTATAGACACTGTCGTATATTAAGTGGCTGTATAGACACTGTGGTATATTTAGTAGCTGTATAGACACTGTGGTATATTTAGTGGCTGTATAGACACTGTGGTATATTTAGTGGCTGTATAGACTCTGAGGTATATTTAGTGGCTGTATAGACACTGTCGTATATTAAGTGGCTGTATAGACACTGTGGTATATTTAGTGGCTGTATAGACTGTGGTATATTTAGTGGCTGTATAGACACTGTGGTATATAGTAGCTTACAGACACTGTGGTATATTTAGTAGCTGTATAGACACTGTGGTATATTTAGTGGCTGTATAGACACTGTGGTATATTTAGTGGCTGTATAGACACTGTGGTATATTTAGTAGCTGTATAGACACTGTGGTATATTTAGTAGCTGTATAGACACTGTGGTATATTTAGTAGCTGTATAGACACTGAGGTATATTTAGTGGCTGTATAGACACTGTGGTATATTTAGTGGTTGTATAGACACTGTGGTATATTTAGTGGCTGTATAGACACTGTGGTATATTTAGTGGTTGTACAGACACAGTCGCATATTTAGTAGCTGTATAGACACAGTAGTATATTTAGTGGTTGTATAGACACTGAGGTATATTTAGTGGCTGTATAGACACTGTGGTATATTTAGTGGCTGTATAGACACTGTGGTATATTTAGTGGCTGTATAGACTCTGAGGTATATTTAGTGGTTGTACAGACACTGTCGTATATTTAGTGGCTGTATAGACACTGTGGTATATTTAGTGGCTGTATAGACACTGTGGTATATTTAGTGGCTGTACAGACACTGTGTTATATTTAGTGGTTGTATAGACTCTGAGGTATATTTAGTGGTTGTACAGACACTGTGGTATATTAAGTGGCTGTATAGACTCTGAGGTATATTTAGTGGCTGTATAGACACTGTGGTATATTTAGTGGTTGTATAGACACTGTGGTATATTAAGTGGCTGTACAGACACAGTTGCATATTTAGTAGCTGTATAGACACTGTGGTATATTTAGTAGCTGTATAGACACTGTGGTATATTTAGTGGCTGTATAGACACTGAGGTATATTTAGTGGCTGTATAGACACTGTGGTATATTTTGTGGCTGTATAGACACAGTGGTATATATAGTGGCTGTATAGACTCTGAGGTATATTTAGTGGTTGTACAGACACTGTGGTATATTAAGTGGCAGCGTGTTTCTTTATCAAGGATTTCATTAACTTCTGTTCTTGCATGGTTGCAAATTTACCTGTCTAGAACTTCCCCGAGGTCTACTGTAAATTGGATGTCATCTGACAGCAGGCCTAACAGATGTTTGAGGGTCCTTCCCCATAGCCATGGTCCTGTCTCACACCTACAATGTAACAATATATTACCATCAGATCTGTCTCACACCTACAATGTAACAATATATTACCATCAGATCTGTCTCACACCTACAATGTAACAATATATTACGATCAGATCTGTCTCACACCTACAATGTAACAATATATTACCATCAGATCTGTCTCACACCTACAATGTAACAATATATTATCTGTCTCACATCAATGATCTGTCTCACACCTACAATGTAACAATATATATCAGATCTGTCTCACACACCTACAATGTAACAATATATTACCATCAGATCTGTCTCACACCTACAATGTAACAATATATTATGATCAGATCTGTCTCACACCTACAATGTAACAATATATTATGATCAGATCTGTCTCACACCTACAATGTAACAATATATTACCATCAGATCTGTCTCACACCTACAATGTAACAATATATTACGATCAGATCTGTCTCACACCTACAATGTAACAATATATTACCATCAGATCTGTCTCACACCTACAATGTAACAATATATTACCATCAGATCTGTCTCACACCTACAATGTAACAATATATTACCATCAGATCTGTCTCACACCTACAATGTAACAATATATTACCATCAGATCTGTCTCACACCTACAATGTAACAATATATTACGATCAGATCTGTCTACAATGTAACAATATATTACCATCAGATCTGTCTCACACCTACAATGTAACAATATATTATGATCAGATCTGTATCAAACCTACAATATAACAATATATTACCATCAGATCTGTCTCACACCTACAATATAACAATATATTACCATCAGATCTGTCTCACACCTACAATATAACAATATATTACCATCAGATCTGCTTACACCTACAATATAACAATATATTACCATCAGATCTGTCTCACACCTACAATGTAACAATATATTACCATCAGATCTGTCTCACACCTACAATGTAACAATATATTACCATCAGATCTGTCTCACACCTACAATGTAACAATATATTACCATCAGATCTGTCTCACACCTACAATGTAACAATATATTACCATCAGATCTGTCTCACACCTACAATATAACAATATATTACCATCAGATCTGCTTACACCTACAATGTAACAATATATTACCATCAGATCTGTCTTACACCTACAATGTAACAATACATTACGATAAGATCTGTCTCTAACCTACAATTTATCAATATATTACCATCAGATCTGTCTCACACCTACATATGTAACAATATATTACCTACAATGTAACAATATATTCAGATCTGTCTCACACCTACAATGTAACAATATATTACCATCAGATCTGTCTCACACCTACAATATAACACCATCAGATCTGTCTCACACCTACAATGTAACAATACATTACCATCAGATCTGTCTCACACCTACAATGTAACAATATATCACGATCAGAATTGTCTCACACCTACAGTGTAACAATATATTACGATCAGATCTGTCTCACACCTACAATGTAACAATATATTACCATCAGATCTGTCTCACACCTACAATGTAACAATATATTACGATCAGATCATTCTAACACCAAATACAACAGCCTATATAATCCTAGTCATTCTAACACCAAGGTACAACAGCCTATATAATCCTAGTCATTCTAACACCAAGGTACAACAGTCTATATAATCCTAGTCATTCTAACACCAAGGTACAACAGTCTATATAATCCTAGTCATTCTAACACCAAGGTACAACAGCCTATATAATCCTAGTCATTCTAACACCAAGGTACAACAGTCTATATAATCCTAGTCATTCTAACACCAAGGTACAACAGCCTATATAATCCTAGTCATTCTAACACCAAGGTACAACAGTCTATATAATCCTAGTCATTCTAACACCAAGGTACAACAGCCTATATAATCCTAGTCATTCTAACACCAAGGTACAACAGCCTATATAATCCTAGTCATTCTAACACCAAGGTACAACAGCCTATATAATCCTAGTCATTCTAACACCAAGGTACAACAGCCTATATAATCCTAGTCACGATATTCTAACACCAAGGTACAACAGTCTATATAATCCTCGTCATGATATTCTAACACCAAGGTACAACAGCCTATATAATCCTAGTCATTCTAACACCAAGGTACAACAGCCTATATAATCCTAGTCACGATATTCTAACACCAAGGTACAACAGCCTATATAATCCTAGTCATTCTAACACCAAGGTACAACAGCCTATATAATCCTAGTCACGATATTCTAACACCAAGGTACAACAGCCTATATAATCCTAGTCATTCTAACACCAAGGTACAACAGTCTATATAAACCTAGTCATGATATTCTAACACCAAGGTACAACAGTCTATATAATCCTAGTCATTCTAACACCAAGGTACAACAGCCTATATAATCCTAGTCATTCTAACACCAAGGTACAACAGTCTATATAATCCTAGTCATTCTAACACCAAGGTACAACAGTCTATATAATCCTAGTCATTCTAACACCAAGGTACAACAGTCTATATAATCCTAGTCATTCTAACACCAAGGTACAACAGTCTATATAATCCTAGTCATTCTAACACCAAGGTACAACAGTCTATATAAACCTAGTCATTCTAACACCAAGGTACAACAGCCTATATAATCCTAGTCATTCTAACACCAAGGTACAACAGCCTATATAATCCTAGTCATTCTAACACCAAGGTACAACAGCCTATATAATCCTAGTCATTCTAACACCAAGGTACAACAGCCTATATAATCCTAGTCATTCTAACACCAAGGTACAACAGCCTATATAATCCTAGTCATTCTAACACCAAGGTACATTAGTCTATATAAACCTAGTCATTCTAACACCGAGGTACAACAGCCTATATAAACCTAGTCATTCTAACACCAAGGTACAACAGTCTATATAATCCTAGTCATTCTAACACCAAGGTACAACAGCCTATATAATCCTAGTCACGATATTATAACACCAAGGTACAACAGCCTATATAATCCTAGTCATTCTAACACCAAGGTACAACAGCCTATATAATACTAGTCATTCTAACACCAAGGTACAACAGCCTATATAATCCTAGTCATTCTAACACCAAGGTACAACAGCCTATATAATCCTAGTCATTCTAACACCAAGGTACAACAGCCTATATAATCCTAGTCATTCTAACACCAAGGTACAACAGCCTATATAATCCTAGTCATTCTAACACCAAGGTACAACAGCCTATATAATCCTAGTCATTCTAACACCAAGGTACAACAGCCTATATAATCCTCTAACAGTCAATGCCTATATAATCCTATTCTAACACCAAGGTACAACAGTCTATATAATCCTAGTCATTCTAACACCAAGGTACAACAGTCTATATAATCCTAGTCATTCTAACACCAAGGTACAACAGACTATATAATCCTAGTCATTCTAACACCAAGGTACAACAGTCTATATATATAATAACACCAAGGTCTATATAAACCTATATAACACCAAGGTACAACAGCCTATATAATCCTAGTCATTGTAACACCAAGGTACAACAGTCTATATAATCCTAGTCATTCTAACACCAAGGTACAACAGCCTATATAATCCTAGTCATGATATTCTAACACCAAGGTACAACAGTCTATATAATCCTATATTATGTTTGAATAATGTAACACAGTCTATATAATCATAACACCAAGGTACAACAGTCTATATAATCCTAGTCACGATATTCTAACACCAAGGTACAACAGCCTATATAATCCTAGTCATTCTAACACCAAGGTACAACAGCCTATATAATCCTAGTCAAATATTCTAGACAAAAGTAGTCAGCCTATATAACAGTCATTCTAACACAGATAAGGATACACATGGTGTCAAATATTCAGACAAAAGTAGTCAATAACAGAAGTAGAAGTAGCAGATATAGAGATATCACATGGTGTCAAATATTCAGACAAAAGTAGTCAATAACAGTAGAAGAAGAAGATATAGAGTGATATTCAGTGACCTACATGTAACATGTATCACTGCCTTCAATTTTTATAAAGCTTGAGGACCTACTGGAGCAGAGAAAAATATATCAAACACAACCAAGAAGGTGTCTGGTTATATGGATGAAGGGAAAGAACAGACACAGGAGTTGTACTCTCTACATCTGTTATCATGGTATATAAGAATTGTTTTTACAGACCCTGGTATAAAGTCATATTCTGTCCAAATTTACCTTGTCATGGCCTTGTTGACCAATGCATTCCTGTTTGAGTGTAAACATTGCTTCACCAAGTTGTGTAGAGTGGACTCAAGTCTGTGTACAGCAGTAGTAAATATCTCAGCTTCGGGACCCTAGAGTAAATACACAAGTCAAATATCTCTACATCACAGATTATTAGATGAATACCATAACAAGGAATCATGATGTCACATTACCACCACATGGAATGATATCACATCATAGCATTAGGATAATGCTTCAGTATTGTAGTTTTTAACAAGTAAGTAAAATCATCTACAGTGGAAAAGTCATCACCCATGGTAACCTTGTGTGTGTTTTTTTTGTTTTTTTCTCAATATTACTATTGATGATGTGACCAGTATTTGTCTGTGTACCTTATGGATGCATGTACCTTGTAATTAATGTCAATCAAAACACTGAGGATCTGCTCTCCATACAAACAGTCCAGTAGCACCTCTAGTTCTATATCAGACAACATCTCATCCCTCGAGGACTCAGACCTCGAGGACTCGGACCTGGTCTCCAGTGACTGGTCCTTGGTGTCCGTGACTATAGGTCTGGTGTGTAGGAGGAGGCAGGTGTTGTGAAGGGTGTTGTACAGTGAGGTACCGACCTCTGACCCCACACCAAGGGACATGTCATCAAAGGTGAAATCTCCACTAACAAGCACATGCTCCATTACCTGTAAAAGGACCAGAAAATAAGATTAAAGCTTCATTTCTCAACATTTGTGATAATCCAAAACATTTGTTTTATGTATCAACCATTGTATATCATCTCAATGCTCTATGTCTGTTAACACAATGTAAATGTAATCCCTGTAATAAACTCCATGAAGACACCTAGTCACCAAACACAAACAACTATAATCATTTAACACACTGCAAACTAGTCTCACCTCACAAGACACATCTGGTTGTATCCGATTGTACAGCTCTGTGACAACACTGGTAAATACAGGATTATCTCCCTTGTCACAATCTGGTAAGTTGTTCTTGATAACAGTCAGCAGAGACTTGACTTTATTAGCCACAGTATCAAACCTGAAATAAAACAATATCCTGATTTACTCTCTTCTTCTCACAGAAATAATAATGTTCCTATATCATACAATATTATTTTATATGCTATGACCCGAGTACAAGAAATACTGGGATTCTAGTTATACACAGGTGGACAAACTTCTGTTACAGATACAATACAGTAAACAGTACTTACTGTGCTAGACTGGTCAACTTAGCCAGTCTAGTTTTCACCAGTGTTACTGCTTTATGCAGCACACCTTGGTCTTGGAACATTCCACCAGTTTCTTTGATGATGGTGGCTAGCCCTTCTGTCCACACAATTTCACATTCCTGAACAGTCTCGTCTGCAACAAATAATCACTACAGAAATACCAAGGTACCACAATTTATATAATTCTAGTCATTCTAACACCAAGGTACAACAGTCTATATAATCCTAGTCACGATATTCTAACACCAAGGTACAACAGCCTATATAATCCTAGTCACGATATTCTAACACCAAGGTACAACAGCCTATATAATCCTAGTCACGATATTCTAACACCAAGGTACAACAGCCTATATAATCCTAGTCACGATATTCTAACACCAAGGTACAACAGCCTATATAATCCTAGTCATTCTAACACCAAGGTACAACAGCCTATATAATCCTAGTCACGATATTATAACACCAAGGTACAACAGTCTATATAATCCTAGTCATTCTAACACCAAGGTACAACAGCCTATATAATCCTAGTCATTCTAACACCAAGGTACAACAGCCTATATAATCCTAGTCGATATTCTAACACCAAGGTACAACAGCCTATATAATCCTAGTCGATATTCTAACACCAAGGTACAACAGCCTATATAATCCTAGTCACGATATTCTAACACCAAGGTACAACAGCCTATATAATCCTAGTCATTCTAACACCAAGGTACAACAGCCTATATAATCCTAGTCAAGATATTCTAACACCAAGGTACAACAGCCTATATAATCCTAGTCATTCTAACACCAAGGTACAACAGCCTATATAATCCTAGTCATTCTAACACCAAGGTACAACAGCCTATATAATCCTAGTCATTCTAACACCAAGGTACAACAGCCTATATAATCCTAGTCATTCTAACACCAAGGTACAACAGCCTATATAATCCTAGTCATTCTAACACCAAGGTACAACAGCCTATATAATCCTAGTCATTCTAACACCAAGGTACAACAGCCTATATAATCCTAGTCATTCTAACACCAAGGTACAACAGCCTATATAATCCTAGTCATTCTAACACCAAGGTACAACAGCCTATATAATCCTAGTCATTCTAACACCAAGGTACAACAGCCTATATAATCCTAGTCATTCTAACACCAAGGTACAACAGCCTATATAATCCTAGTCATTCTAACACCAAGGTACAACAGCCTATATAATCCTAGTCATTCTAACACCAAGGTACAACAGCCTATATAATCCTAGTCATTCTAACACCAAGGTACAACAGCCTATATAATCCTAGTCATTCTAACACCAAGGTACAACAGCCTATATAATCCTAGTCACGATATTCTAACACCAAGGTACAACAGCCTATATAATCCTAGTCACGATATTCTAACACCAAGGTACAACAGCCTATATAATCCTAGTCACGATATTCTAACACCATGGTACAACAGCCTATATAATCCTAGTCATTCTAACACCGAGGTACAACAGCCTATATAAACCTAGTCATTCTAACACTGCTGTGAATTTCTCAGACACAGGTAAGGACAGAAAGGTAAACTATAGTCCCCCCTTCCCAACATTCTAACACTGCTGTGAATTTCCCAGACTTAGGTAAGGACAGAAAGGTAAACTATAGTCCCCCCTTCCCAAAACCTTATAGTTTCACTGGTAGGAGAATCTTAAACCCTGCTTATATTATGATTTGATATCTTTTCTTAGAAAAACTTTTGCCTACATTTAAGTACTTACCACTGACATCCCAACTGTTGTCAAGGGATACAGAGAACAAAGTTAAAAGTAGGTCCGAGGCTGAAGGCAAGGACAGACAACTCTGTAATAAATACAAGATCCTTCATAATCCAATTAAGTGAAGAAAAAACAATACTGAAAAGATTGTTTGTGATGTTTTAGTGACCAGAACTGTACACACTCTATCAGTGACATCAGAGATGTGACAGAAATGTTTGTGTGTGATGTTTTAGTGACTAGAACTGTACACACTCTATCAGTGACATCAGAGAAGTGACAGAAATGTTTGTGTGTGATGTTTTAGTGACTAGAACTGTACACACTCTATCAGTGACATCAGAGCAGTGACAGAAATGTTTGTGTGATGTTTTAGTGACCAGAACTGTACACACTCTATCAGTGACATCAGAGAAGTGACAGAAATGTTTGTGTGTGATGTTTTAGTGACCAGAACTGTACACACTCTATCAGTGACATCAGAGAAGTGACAGAAATGTTTGTGTGTGATGTTTTAGTGACTAGAACTGTACACACTCTATCAGTGACATCAGAGAAGTGACAGAAATGTTTGTGTGTGATGTTTTAGTGACTAGAACTGTACACACTCTATCAGTGACATCAGAGAAGTGACAGAAATGTTTGTGTGTGATGTTTTAGTGACTAGAACTGTACACACTCTATCAGTGACATCAGAGAAGTGACAGAAATGTTTGTGTGATGATTTAGTGACAAGAACTGTAAACAATCTATCAGTGACATCAGAGAAGTGACAGAAATGTTTGTGTGTGATGTTTTAGTGACCAGAACTGTACACACTCTATCAGTGACATCAGAGAAGTGACAGAAATGTTTGTGTGTGATGTTTTAGTGACCAGAACTGTACACACTCTATCAGTGACATCAGAGAAGTGACAGAAATGTTTGTGTGTGATGTTTTAGTGACTAGAACTGTACACAATCTATCAGTGTCATCAGAGAAGTGACAGAAATGTTTGTGTGTGATGTTTTAGTGACCAGAACTGTACACACTCTATCAGTGACATCAGAGAAGTGACATATATATCTAACCTGTTACATCAAACATGTTTATGTTGACCAGAACTGTACACACTCTATCAGTGTCATCAGAGAAGTGACAGAAATGTTTGTGTGTGACAGAAATGTTTGTGTGTAATGTTTTAGTGACCAGAACTGTACACACTCTATCAGTGACATCAGAGAAGTGACAGAAATGTGATGTTTTAGACTACACATGATAGACTACTAGTATGCAATTTTCTGAAAAAAGACATATAAATGTAAATCATTTGTTCAATAAAATGAAGATTTAAATGTGCTTTATAAGTACAGTTCAAATACACAGAAACACCCTTGACATATATATCTACCTGTTCATCAAACATTTTATGTTACCACTGTGTTTAACCTGGTGACATAACTCAATCAATGACACTCAAGGAGTTTTCATTGTACACTTTCAGATTTACCTTGGAATTGAGGAAAAAGCTGCGAGTAGCCATGGCAACAAACTTGATAGCTATGTCAGCCTTGTGGTCATCTTTACTGTGTTTGAGAACCAGAAGTGACCGATGGACAATCTGAAGAATCTCATGTACTAGTTCATGGCTCAGCGTCCAATCTGTGAAACAAAATCATCAAATAGCAAAACGTCTTTAGTATTAGACAATCAATTACTGTAGAAAATTGGTTACATATACTTTATTGACTTCATCATTATGAACTGTTCCCCCAACAGGGATATCTCATCTTACTGGACTGTTCCCCCAGTACCAGGGATATCTCACTACTTACTGAACTGTTCCCCCAGTACCAGGGATATCTCACTACTTACTGGACTGTTCCCCCAGTACCAGGGATATCTCACTACTTACTGGACTGTTCCCCCAGTACCAGGGATATCTCACTACTTACTGAACTGTTCCTCCAGTACCAGGGATATCTCACTACTTACTGAACTGTTCCTCCAGTACCAGGGATATCTCACTACTTACTGAACTGTTCCCCCAGTACCAGGGATATCTCACTACTTACTACCAGGGATATCTCACTGCTTACTGAACTGTTCCCCTAGTACCAGGGATATCTCACTACTTACTGAACTGTTCCCCCAGTACCAGGGATATCTCACTACTTACTGAACTGTTCCCCCAGTACCAGGGATATCTCACTACTTACTGAACTGTTCCCCCAGTACCAGGGATATCTCACTACTTACTGAACTGTTCCCCCAGTACCAGGGATATCTCACTACTTACTGAACTATTCCCCCAGTACCAGGGATATCTCACTTCTTACCGGACTGTTCCCCTAGTACCAGGGATATCTCAGTACTTACTGAACTGTTCCCCCAGTACCAGGGATATCTCACTACCTACTGGACTGTTTCCCCAGTACCAGGGATATCTCACTACTTACTGGACTGTTCCCCCAGTACCAGGGATATCTCACTACTTACTGGACTGTTCCCCCAGTACTAGGCATATAACACTCCAGCCCTTCTGTATGTCACAGTCGTCAGCCATCTTGAGTGTCATGCTTCTCTGACACAGTTCTGTTGTGATGGCAGTTACTTTGCTGTGGAATGTTGGGCCCTGTAACCAGGCACTAACACTGGATAATCGGACTTGAAGTGGCATGATCTTCTCCAGGAGGTGGTGGAATGCCCCAAAACTCAGTTCCATCTGTCATGAATATAATTTCAGAAGTAATATTTATTGTACAGAGAGAAAGAAAAACTTCTGCACTAACACTAAATGATTAAACTTCTTCACAAACACTAAATGATTAAACTTCTTCACAAACCCTAAATGCTTTATTGTTTTAAGTAGAGCAGACAATCAACAGATTTCTACACAGTTATCTCTACCTCTCAACGTAAAAATGCAAACCAGATATCAGTTATATATAAAGTATTTTGCCCAACACTTAACATTAAACTGACTTTGGTTTACTCTGATACTGACCTGGCAGAGCTGCTGCAACAGTTGACCAATGGAGTCAGACTCCAGAAGAGGCATGAATACACAGATCACAGACAGCAGCTGTCTGGGGTCAGTGCCCTCTGATGATATAATTTCCTGTAGCCAGGGTATACACACAGTGAAAATAAAGTACAATGAGGGCGACTGATGATCCACCACACGACCCTCACACTCCTCAATCACTTTCTGTATTGTGTTCTGAGACGGGTCCAATTCAACCAGTGATGCAAACAGGTGCAAACAATGGACGCTGTGGGTCTCTCGTGCCATTTGGAAAGCCTTCAGGGTTATTCTCTGTACTAGGTGAGCAGCCCCTGTTGATAAAGCAGTTCTCTCTCCTTCTGTTGCTATAGGATCAGGTTCTGTTCCAAGAGAAAACTTCACCTTTTCCGTTTTGCTTTTGCTGCCTGTTTTAGGATACACAAGACAGGTGACTAGATGAATACATCGCTCCACAAACTTACTGTCCTCCAAGTCTGATTCTTCACTTGATAATCTTTCCAGCACACTGTCCCCTAACTCTGTCCAAAACTCATTAGTCACATCACCAGCAGAGTGTTCTAGGCTAGAGAATACACTGCCTATCAAACTGTACAGGGGAGATATATGGAGGGTAGATTTACAGTCCATAAGAGATGTCTGAACCATCGGCAATACCTGTTATACATGTACACAGATATTCATTAGTATTAATAACAATATCACAAACAGATCAATTTTGAGTGAAGATCTGGAAATGATATACATCACTGTTAGGCTATAGAACAAAGTGCAAATGACTCATTCTCAGAGTCAACATAATGAAATGACACATCAATGTTAGGCTATAGAACAAAGGACAAATGACTCATTCTCAGAGTCAACATAATGAAATGACAGACATCAATTTTAGGCTATAGAACAAAGGACAAATGACTGAATCTAACCTAAATTTTTTTCTTTTGAATTTAACATTGTACACCTCACCTTCTCCAGGATTATAGATCTGGATATTTGTCTCTCATCCACAGTCATGGTGACATACTGGCAACATTCCATGTAGGCCTTCACTAGACTGTACATAGACAGGGGCTGAATCACTGATATCTATAATGTATTACCTAGACTGTACACAGGGGCTGAATCACTGATATCTATAATGCCTTACCTAGACTGTACACAGATAGGGGCTGAATCACTGATATCTATAATGCCTTACCTAGACTGTACATAGCCAGGGGCTGAATCACTGATATCTATAATGCCTTACCTAGACTGTACACAGATAGGGGCTGAATCACTGAGATGTAGAATGCCTTACCTAGACTGTACACAGACAGGGGCTGAATCACTGATATCTATAATGCCTTACCTAGACTGTACACAGATAGGGGCTGAATCACTGATATCTATAATGTCTTACCTAGACTGTACACAGATAGGGGCTGAATCACTGATATCTATAATGTCTTACCTAGACTGTAAACAGATAGGGGCTGAATCACTGATATCTATAATGCCTTACCTAGACTGTACACAGACAGGGGCTGAATCACTGATATCTATAATGTCTTACCTAGACTGTACACAGACAGGGGCTGAATCACTGATATCTATAATGCCTTACCTAGACTGTACACAGACAGGGGCTGAATCACTGATATCTATAATGCCTTACCTAGACTGTACACAGACAGGGGCTGAATCACTGATATCTATAATGCCTTACCTAGACTGTACACAGACAGGGGCTGAATCACTGATATCTATAATGCCTTACCTAGACTGTACACAGATAGGGGCTGAATCACTGAGATGTAGAACACCTTACCTAGACTGTAAACAGATAGGGGCTGAATCACTGATATCTATAATGCCTCACCTAGACTGTACACAGATAGGGGCTGAATCATTGATATCTATAATGTCTTACCTAGACTGTACACAGACAGGGGCTGAATCACTGATATCTATAATGTCTTACCTAGACTGTACACAGACAGGGGCTGAATCACTGATATCTATAATGCCTTACCTAGACTGTACACAGACAGGGGCTGAATCACTGATATCTATAATGTCTTACCTAGACTGTACACAGACAGGGGCTGAATCACTGATATCTATAATGTCTTACCTAGACTGTACACAGATAGGGGCTGAATCACTGATATCTGTATGTCTTACCTAGACTGTACACAGACAGGGGCTGAATCACTGATATCTATAATGTCTTACCTAGACTGTACACACACAGGGGCTGAATCACTGATATCTATAATGCCTTACCTAGACTGTACACAGACAGGGGCTGAATCACTGATATCTATAATGTATTACCTAGACTGTACACAGACAGGGGCTGAATCACTGATCACATATGAATATAATGCCTTACCTAGACTGTACACAGACAGGGGCTGAATCACTGATATCTATAATGTATTACCTAGACTGTACACAGACAGGGGCTGAATCACTGATATCTATAATGTCTTACCTAGACTGTACACAGACAGGGGCTGAATCACTCATATCTATAATGTCTTACCTAGACTGTACACAGACAGGGGCTGAATCACTGATATCTATAATGTATTACCTAGACTGTACACAGGGGCTGAATCACTGATATCTATAATGCCTTACCTAGACTGTACACAGATAGGGGCTGAATCACTGATATCTATAATGCCTTACCTAGACTGTACACAGACAGGGGCTGAATCACTGATATCTATAATGTCTTACCTAGACTGTACACAGACAGGGGCTGAATCACTGATATCTATAATGCCTTACCTAGACTGTACACAGATAGGGGCTGAATCACTGATATCTATAATGTCTTACCTAGACTGTACACAGACAGGGGCTGAATCACTGATATCTATAATGCCTTACCTAGACTGTACACAGACAGGGGCTGAATCACTGATATCTATAATGCCTTACCTAGACTGTACACAGACAGGGGCTGAATCATTGATATCTATAATGTCTTACCTAGACTGTACACAGATAGGGGCTGAATCACTGATATCTATAATGTCTTACCTAGACTGTACACAGATAGGGGCTGAATCACTGAGATGTAGAATGCCTTACCTAGACTGTACACAGATAGGGGCTGAATCACTGATATCTATAATGCCTTACCTAGACTGTACACAGACAGGGGCTGAATCACTGATATCTATTATGTCATATAAACATGTCTCACACTATGTCATATAAACATATCTCACACTAATGTCATATAAACATGTCTCACCCTTATGTTATATAAATATGTTTCACACTAATGTCATGTAAACATGTCTCACACTAATGACATGTAATATATGTCTCAACATGATGCCGTGTATATTTCTCACACTTATGTCATATAAACATGTCACACCCTTATGTCATATAAACATGTCTCACACTAATGTCATGTAAACATGTCTCACACTAATATCATGTAAGATATGTCTCATCCTCATGTCATGTAAATATGTCTAATTATGATGTCATGTAAATATGTCTCATTCTCATGTCATGTAAATATGTCTAATTATGATGTCATGTATATGTCTCACACTTATGTCATATAAGCATGTCTCACACTTATATCATGTAAGATATGTCTCAACCTCATGTCATATAGATATGTCTCATCCTCATGTCATGTAAATATGTCTAATTATGATGTCATGTAAATATGTCTCATCCTCATGTCATGTAAATATGTCTAATTCTGATGTCTTACCCTGAAGTTATGTAAGAGAAGAACTGTGTATAGAATCTTTTATCTGCACCCAGGATATCTGCTGGTACTTTACTAAGGAATGGCAACAGGTTGGGTCCAATCAGAGTCATGTTTCCATAGAAACCATTCTCAAGGGCTGATCGCAATTTTGGCCAAAATGCTTTTTCCACACTTACAGATTTCCAACAGTCCTGAAGTGCAAAAAGGCCAGTTTGAAGCCATGCATAACAGATCATCCTCAGTCCTGAAAACACTATGTTTTATATCTAAATTGAAAAATAAAAGGATTATATATGTACAATGACTTTTTTCTTACAAAATTCAAATGACCTCCCCATAGAAAGTAAAGACGTGAACACCTAAACACAATGTGAGAAAACATTCATACACTTACTTCACAACAAAGTAGTTATGGTAACATGTTCTATTTAAACGATCTTGGGAAAAAAGAAGTTAAACTCAATAATTGTGAGATCACTGTTGAACACTAACTGGGACATGGCTGATTAGGGATAATGTAGCTTCCCACACAGCGGGACAAATGACTGGGTCTTTCTCATCCAGATTGTGTAAGATCAGTGGTGTTGACTTGCTGCTATAAAGGGCAGACAACTCTGGTTGTACTTGGCAGATACAGGCAAGGAAGGAATAAAAGGCTGCTTTTATCTGAAAAAGATAACATAAATTGCAAAATTCACTCTTTTCTGGAATTTTACTTAAGTATGAATATAAACATGTTTAAGTCTTTCTGTTTAAGGAGTGAGGTGGTGTTAGGGTGGGGTGATGTTGGTAGGGTGGGGTGGTGTTGGTAGGGTGATGTGGTGGTAGGGTGGGTGGTGTTAGGGTGGAGTGATGGTGGTAGGGTGGGGTGGTGTTGGTAGGGTGTTGTGGTGGTAGGGTGAGGTGGTGTTAGGGTTGGGTGGTGGTAGGGTGAGGTGGTGTTAGGGTGGGGTGATGGTGGTGGTAGGGTGAGGTGGTGTTAGGGTGGGGTGTTGGTAGGGTGAGGTGGTGTTAGGGTGGGGTGATGGTGGTGGTAGGGTGAGGTGGTGGTAGGGTGAGGTGGTGTTAGGGTGAGGTAGTGGTAGGGTGGGGTGGTGATAGGGTGGGGTGGTGTTAGGGTGGGGTGGTGGTAGGATGAGGTAGTGGTAGGGTGGGGTGGTGGTAGGGTGGGGTGGTGTTAGGGTGGGGTGATGGTAGGGTGAGGTAGTGGTGGCAGAGTGAGGTGGTGGTAGGGTGAGGTGGTGGTGGTAGGGTGAGGTGGTGTTAGGGTGGGGTGATGGTAGGGTGGGGTAATGGTAGGGTACACATTTGACACAGTATATTCCATGAAGAGTATACAATACACTTTTCTGAAACACAAGATTTTACATTTGTATGTGTAATGTGAGTGTATGTGTATGTGAGTAGGAGGGGGAGAGGATTAAGGAACACAGTATACATACATTTATACAACACTTACACTTGCTGTAGGGGACTTTCCATACTTCCAAAACTTTGAATCTTTCATCAGAACATCCAGGCTATCCCTAAGCGACTCGATATGGTTGACAGGAAGAGAAGTTAATAATTTCCTTAAGCTATAAAGTGATGATGTCATTACTCTGAGATATTTGTTTTGCATATCATCAGGATCTGTAGATCTGGAAGGAGTGAACAAAGCACAGTCAATGTTTAAAAATGACAGGAATATAATTCCATGAAAAAAATTAACTAGTGCTATAGAACTAACACATTGGTGTAAATTTTTATATTTTGGAACTACTAATAAAAAATCTGTATATAACCATCACAACAATGAAGTCAAATATGCACTGGTGCATTACTATACCAACTGTTGCTTGTTTATTGAATAATCAAATCAAATATGATAGTCTCAAGCAGACACTTCATGTCACAATATCACATCATTTATCAAACTTTTGGCCAGTTACTTGAAACAGTACTTGCACAAATTTTGGAACTTTAAACAACCTATTTTCAAATGATTTTCAATACATTTACCCTGGCAGATACCCCCTAGTTAATGTTCATATCTCACTTTCATTGCCATCGTGACTCAAACCCATACGATAATTCATTGAATTAATTGACCAATCAGCACTGTTTTGGCCAAAATTTTTATCAAGAATGGTGGCCCTAACAGGTCTTTATTTCAACAAATGCAGTCTAGCAGAGAAAACTGTAATAAGGCAGGTAATACAGTTTTGCAGCTCAAAATAAATGTTCTAAATTACAAAATGTCATTTAGTTGTTTTGACAGGAGTGGATACATAATGAAGAACACAATTTTAGTTGTAGTTTTTGTTGAGATAACTTACTTTGGGTCACTCAGGGAGTTGGCAGTCTGATTCAGCAGTTGATCAGTCAAAAACTATAAAAGTTAACAAAATATACATAATTAGGAAAATGTACAAGCTTTGTTTTGACTTATTTTTAAGGTATAGTTATAAAACAGAACTTCTACAACAGTCACTTTACATTTACTCCATGTATCTAGATATTGTTGATCTGACTGATGTAACAAATCTCTACCTGTCTCAACTTATTGTTAAATATAGATGTATGTTAATTAATTTCTTAGTGCAGATATATAAAAATAAAAACACATATTTTCCTACAGTTGCATAATAAAAAAAAAATTGTTTCATTTGAGAATCAAGCTATACTTGTGCTATCTCTATGCGACAGAAGACGAGAACATCAGTCTGTTTGGTTGGCGGGAAGGCAGACTGGAAAGCTTGAGTGGCGGCAGCAGCCACAGTAGGATATGTGTCACATTGACACAACAGCCATGCACCCATCAGGCTGCGCAAATAAGGTGCAAGATGCTTCCTTGCTTTAAATACCAGGGCCGTCATTGCTTGCTGGGTGGTCTCCCTAACTCTGTGGTCTACATCCTAATACAACAAGACAGAAATGGTTGAGTAAATCATGAAATGTACTTCAATTTAACAAGAGACCCCAGAGAGATCTTGGCACTCAACATTGAAATCTGAGAATGATATACTTCTCCACAGATTGTAAAGACAAACAATATCTATCCAAATTCAAGATGACCACCTGATTCTATGATCCATCCCAAAAGTAAACAATGCTCAACTACTTTGTTCTTACTATAGCTGCCCTGTTGAACATCCTTGGCCAAAATGGAAGTACAGCTTTCAAGTTCTCTATATCCTTCTCCTTACAAAGAGTACTGAATTCCTGAAGTGCCTAAAACAAGAAGAAAATTTTTCATAAACGAGCTTCAATGGAATGCCAAAAATACCAGTGACAAGGTCCGGTTAAGCCATTCCTTGTATATTTGATCAAATTGAATGGATTTATCTCAAGGAATATCTTCAACTTTTTTAAACAAATGAACTATCAGATTTTGAAAGATATATCTATTGCACCCAAAACTGCATATCATGGTAGAAAGCTATGTTATGTTATTACAGTTATGTTTGCTGATTAAAACTTTGAAAGAAAAACAAATTAAGTAAAGTTAGGTCTGTCTGATTTGACTAATCAGCGTTTACTTGAGCAGAATATTTTAAGTTTAAAAAGTCATGATCTGTACTCATAGAATAGGACTGTGATTCTCGACAGAGTGGATAATTTTAAGATATCTAAAAATCTCATTGATCATTACACAAAAGGTAGGTGTTAAGAAATGTCATGATAGATTTTTAGTTATTTTGTCAAAAAAGAAGTGAACAACACCAATTGGTATCAGAGACATTCCAATCATAAAATTCCAGCAAAGGTGTCAAGTACCTTGACTTTAGTAATGCTGTCTTTCTTGGTGAGCTTGCGAAGAACAAGTCTGAAGTCAGCGTCTAGACTGCTGTCAACATCCTCCAATGTCTGACTGATGGGAACATAACCTGGCGACCCAGACATTGTGTCAAATCCAACAAAAGTAGATCTATCGCTTGCTTGTGACAGCAGCTGGGCAGCCTGGCTGCTACTGGATGGCTGCGATGATAAAACATGAAAAATACTTGTTTAAAGTGTATTCGTACTTGGGTAATGGAGATGGAAATTCTCTAGAGGCTGTAATGTAGTTTTCTAAGGAAATTCTTAACTTTCACAACAACTTTTCCAAAAATATCAACGTATATATACATTCTAGTCCTGGTCAGGTTGATATGAAGAATTGTGAAAGATATAGATAATACCTTAATGTTTCAAGTAATTATTCGGTGTAACAGCAAAGCGTCGCCATCTATATAGTGATTATGAATGAAATAAGAAAATATATTACACTGACATGTTTTTGTTTATAACTTCCTTGTGGTGAACAGCTGTTATCTGTACCTTTAATTTGCTCAGTGCACTTACCCTGACATTCCCCTTCGTTCTTTGGGATTGTTTCTTACTTGAGTGGCCCGGCATCTTCTTTTTCCTATTGCTCACTTAAATATGTGTAATAAAACAAAATACCCTCACGTTAAATCCATTTACAACATCCTTCGATTCTTTACATTTTCTGTTTGGTTGTGAAATCCGTAGTCTCTCGTGTTCCAAGTCCCGGAAGTTTGCAACATTATAAAGATGGATAACTCTACATGGACAAAAAATATTAAAAATTAAAACCCTTCTGTTATTTTCAATGTTTCAATGATTTTGCATATGAAAGCGCACATTCAATAGCGAAATAAAAAAATAGAAATAGTTGCCGTAGCCAAATTATTGATATGCAACTAAGCATTTGAATTCGTGAATAAAAATAGAATATTATAGTGGATATGAAAACGGAAGTAACAAACATTACTTGTGCGCATGCTTATTGTTGTGAACTATACATTCCAAAGAGAAGGAAAAAAAACACAATTTAAGGTCTGGAAACGTTGAACTTTACTGGAAGATGCGATCTGATAATCTAGTCGATGATCTTGTCGCGTATTAAGGGTTCGTATGATGCAATTTCTGTTGACATCTACTTTAAATGCTTTCAGTTGGAATTAAGTGACCATTCAGAATGGACATGTTCATGCAAAGAATCTCAGTCAGTCAGTGACAGCTGATCATGATAGTCAGGCAGTCCTAAAGGAAAAAAAGATATATCGATTTAAGTTCAAAGATCTTTTTCAGTTAAACGCTTTTGTTTCTAACTTCTCACTGAATACTACACGGTACAAATAATATATCCATCTATACTATGTATTTTGTAGATTATCAGCTTAATATCATAAAAGGATGTCTGATCGGAGTTGGTTACCAATGGGTAAAAGCTGTAAGCCTTACTGTTGCATTATCGTTGGTTTCGCACTTGTCCTGATTAAGCAATTGACATATACTTTCAACTTATTTCAGAGGAGTTTGATTTGTAAAGTTGATAGTACAGGTCACCTTACTAGCTTAGCATGGCTTGTGGGAATTACCCTTTAGTTGAATGGTAGAGTGTCTGACAAGAGATCAACGGGTTGCTAATTTGAACCCAAGGGGTTGCAGGATTTTTTCTTTACTCCAGTTTAGTACTTTCATATGCATCTGACATTAGTAATTGGTATCTAGGTTGGGCACACTCATATGCATGATGGTCCTGCATTTGGGTAACTGACTCAAATGCAGGATCTTTATGCATTAAAGGGAGTGTGCCAAACATGTTTCAGTTTACAAATGTAATTCATCACAAAAATGACCATGGATTGGGAATAGATCAGCATTAATTCTTTAGTGTCAACACCAGGCAATAGAAATTTTGATGCCCATATGTCATAGGTGAAGGCTAGCCCAAGGTTCTTCTGGTCCTGGACAGATGTATAGGCCCCAAAACCTTGTATTTGACATTTGATGGTCAGATGTCATGTATAGAATCTAGACTGAGACCACATGTTAGACATACTGCAAAAAGAAGACATAACACCTTATCTACTTGTAACAATAAATGAAATATTTGTTTCTTAAATCCCTAACTTGTTAAGTTTGCTTTTTGAAGTTTTTAAAGATTGTGCCATTGGACATACTGTTTAATAGTGCTTCTTAAATTACAAATGCATACAAGTTATTAATGCCCACATCAAGATTTCCTTTAAATTCATCACTTGTTGATAACTCAAGTCTAATGATAATAAATTAATTTTAGTTTGAATATGAACCTCTACAATTGGCATCAAAGATAACATGATGGACCAAGCATCAAAACGAAGCAAAGGAGACCGGCCTTTCTATCAGCCACCTGAGAATATACCTACAAGTGCTGAAATAATCAACGATGCAAGACAATCAATTGGCCGTCCTCTGCAAGTTGTGAAGACAAAACGACCTTTCACTCCACGTGAAGATAGAAGGTCATTGTTTGGTCCAACAAGTACCAGGAATCCAGAAACTAGGCCTCCAAGTGCCTTTAGGTAAATTGTATAGCTGTTGAGGAAACAGTACAGCAAAATTCTGTAAACAAACAGAATCAAATTATTGGTTATTTTTTTAATATGAATGAAATTTTGATCAATTTCAAATCATGAATTTTAGAACATGTCATTGATAATTTTTAATACATGAAGAAAAAACATCTAAAAATGTATTAACACCTTCATAATTATATCTGTTATTGATGTTAATGAATAATATTTTCTACTTGTTTTGGTATTTTGAAGTCTTACATCACGACATTTTGATGGAGCAGATTCAAGACCTGCATCTGGTACCAAACTCAGCCCCCTCCCTCATGTAAGTATCACCAAAATTAACAGCAAAGGCAATTTGCAAAAGTAGATACACACTTATGTGATCTTAAGTACAGGTAGCAGCCAATCAAGGTTTTGTGTATGAAACTGTGACCTGTTAAAATGTTATGAAATTATAACAAAATGACGACATACGTGAAAATTATATAACGATGTCAGTACAATGGCGACAGCAGATGACATGGAAAAACACATTTTTGATTGAATCTTGGAACCTGGCTTGAATGAAAATAACCTTACCAGTAAACCCTTTTCTCTGGTGAAGTGGTAACTCTTGTAAGATCATATATATTGTAAAATCATTAACTTTGGTAGGTATTGGTGGAAGTATTTTAAGCCACCTATTCACATATCCACAAATCAATCAATGGTAATTGCTAAATCCTCAGCTTTTTATATATATATATATATAACATATATAGAAAGGAGAAAGACTGCTAGCTCACTGTGCTTTATTGAAACAGTACCATTGCAGAGATTTAGGCATATGTACAAGGTTTATAACTAGTGAAGACTTGATATATCAATAGAATGCTTTCATTATATAAGTCAGTTGTTTGTAGCTCGTTGAAAACAAGCATGTTGATAAGTGCCATGTTTATAAAACCACAGATTTAGGTTGATATCACCCAATCACTCATGCATTCATGTGCTTTAAAAACTAATTTATCACTGTCTGATTTCAACCTGGATATTTTTGACATGTTAAACAAGATACAGGAGTGGTTGGTACAAGATTTCTAGACAAGAAGAAAACACTACTGCTTCATTGTGAATATGTTTCATTGCCAGCTCAGCAAGGGTCATAATTTTGATCTGCAACACAAATTTTAACAATAAAACAAAGTAGTGTAAACAGTTGTTTCTTGTATATAAATTACATCGTAGTTGAACTGTCTACAGCATCAGCTTTCATTTTTCAAAGTTTTTATTTAATCAGTTAAATATAAAAAATGGATTATCAGAAGGCACTGTTGGTAACTGAAATCAGTTACACAGTAAGCAGCATCTTATAAGGAAAATGAAATTGTAGCCATTAGAAAGTAGCGGAGTTTATAGTACATGATTTACAATTTGTAATCAAAGAGTGTTGAACATTTTGTATAATCTCTTAAACCTTTCTCAGCTTGCTTGATTTTCTATGCTTCAGTCTCAAGTAATCCTGTTTTATTATATCCTAGCTCTCTTGTAATATCATGCATATTCACTTTTTTGTAATCTATCTGAATATTACATTAACTCTGTCACAGAAATAGCAGCCTTTACTGTTACTGCCACTCGACACTTTCTGATACTGGGTATGTGGAGGACCTCGGTTAATAACAATTTCCTGGCAAATAACTAAATATTACATCATGATGTTAATGAATTTTTCTGGAGGTAACAACAAGTGATATAATCATGTAGACTACCCTTCAGTGTGGTAACACTATACATCAGATTTTAATATAAAGCATCTCACTGGGAAAGGGATGGGGTGTGCCCATGCAATACCCATACACAGATTAGTGTAATGATCTCACAGTTTTACAGGTAAATCTTACAATGTTTTGTTTGATAAATGATATACAACTGAACATATTGAAGTTCAGACATGTGAAAGGCTTAAAGTGATTGTATTTGACCTTTGGACTATTACAGTAACACATTATAAGGTTTGACTGGTTATATTCTAGTGTAACAAATAGTCTATCTTTGAGAACCAATTTGACAATATGTAGAAATATCCTGTGAATTAGAAGATCGTTTAAATGTAATATTTATTGTTCAGTGGCGGATTTATAAACTTAAAGTGTATGTAGATTATACCATTCTAACATTTCTACCACTTAGTAGAGTATAAAATATAAGTCACCTATCACTGGACTGTAGTGGGATAGTTATGTGTTGGAGGTATAAGTCACCTATCACAGGACTGTAGTGGGATAGTTATGTGTTGGAGGTATAAGTCACCTATCACTGGACTGTTGTGGGATAGTTAATAATAGTTGAAGGTATTGGGCACATATCTGTTTAAGTAGCATTTTGCACTTGTTTAAACACCTGTTTGTATGTATTTCGCAAAGTACATTTAAAGCAGAATGGTTTAAGTAGGAATTATTGCAAACTGAAAACCTACTTAAACTTATTGAACTTTTACTAATGCAACACATTTATCAGAAAAGTAGACTAATGGCACCTGGAGATATGCTTCACAATACAAAAGAATGCAGAATTCAGGTTCAAAATTAAGGTTAGAAAGTAAAATGCCTGGTACCTAAAATGTTAGTAGTGATTTTATACAGGGTTGTTTCAAAGTAAAAAGAGTGATTCCCTTATCATATGACAGGTTACATTGATAAATATATGTGGACTGGGCTAAACAAAAATAGAGATTAAAAAACATGGATAGGTCCTTAACCCCAGCAATCTACTGTAGTAATATACACTATTAAAGGAAGATACCTACAGGCTAGATTACAACTCCTACTGAAATCTGAATCTTCATTTTCAGAGGCCAAGTTGCACATCTATCAATGAAGAACAAGTAAGCATGTCAGCACTGGAAGATGTTGTGTACTTTGTGTTAAAGTCATTGGTAGGCCTGGAAGCTTTATAGTGACTATGTGATAGAACTGGCTTTTAATGTGTTCCCCAAGTGTCTGTGCAAGACTCAATGCTGGATAAGAAAAACATGATCCTCTGAAACTATACTGCTGATAGTATTTATTATTACAAAGCTGTTTTCATAATACAAATTACCAACATGGTAATATTAAGAACTATTTTTTCACATGAGAAAACAAATACAACTATTCATTCTAATAATAAATTGTATTTCAAAGTAGCATATTGACATGTCTAAATGTTTCTTTGATCAGCTTACAGAAGTAGTTAAATTGATATCTTAGAAAATCCAGCTATTCATTTAATGCTTTTACACTGCTACTACTAAACTTTGTAATGGAATGTGAACACTACTGAGGGATGTCTGCATGTCTCCTGGGATGTTAGAAACGCATGCTTAAACATAGAAAAGAAGAATGTTATGGAGTCTGTCACAATTTTGTTGTAGACCTGGTTTGGTTATTGTAGTAACTACCCCTGTTGTTCAAGTTTATGTAAAGTTCGCTCATCGTGTATGCTTTGTGAAATACTTTAACATCCTTACCTGGTAGTAAGATTAAAGCAAGCTGTTAGTTGATTTAAAACTTTCTGCTTAGAGACAACGTACCTTATTATCTTCTTGTGGCAAATGTTGGGAGGTGTTGTTCCTGTATATAACATAACACTTACATATCCTTGTCTATTGGGTTCATTCCTTTAGTGGTTTATATTAAACCTCATGCTTTATAAAGGACCATTGTAATTGGACCGTTTCAAATTGGAGGTTCTTGGGTCAAGGTCAAGTCTCCATTTTTACATGTATTGTTAAAAAATCCTACAACTTCTTTAGTTCTTCCTTGAGAAATTCAGATCATAAGAAAAAAATCATATAAAGGGTCATAACATCACTAATAAGTTTCAGTTTCAGAGTTGTAAGGTCAAGGTCACCATTGCTATTTTTTCAGAAAATCATAGCATTCTAGTGGCTTCACTCCTGAAGTGATTTCAATCAAACTTTACATTCATACAAAAGACCACACATAATGTTAAAAATGAGTAAGTTGTAGGGTTATAGGTCAAGGTTGCCTTAACTATTTTTATGAAATCCTTGTCAGTTCTCTAGTGATTAAATTTGATGTGAGATTTTGATCACACTTGGCTGTATTCTTTACTGTGTACAAGTCAAGGTGAAGGTTGTATTCTTTACTGTGTACAAGTCAAGGTGAAGGCTGTATTCTTTCCTTATTCTTTACTGTGTACAAGTCAAGGTGAAGGCTGTATTCTTTCCTGTGTACAAGTCCAGGTGGAACCACACGGGGATTTGTATTGTTTGCAGTGCCTTGGGTCTTTTTAGACCAATAACTAATGATGGTGATATAGTGTGTAACACATTGGTAGGAAATGATGGTGAATTTTTATATGTTGTAGGTCTTTGTATATTTAAACTGCAGTATTGTTATGTTTGATGTATGAGTAATGTTTGTATTGGTGATGATGGCTGGAAGTGAAGTTAATTTTATAACTCTGTCAGATGATAACAGTAGAAAATATTGTTACAGACTCCACGCGTACCCACAGAACCAGATGTGGAGGTACTTCTTCCCCCCAAACCCCCAACCGACCCAAACAAAGCTACAAGAAAGGTCCCTCGGACGCGTGTCATCCACAGCAATAGTGTAGATGCTTCCAGTCCAGACTCCCCAGGGATCAACAAAAGTGGTTCACTCACTGACTGTAAGTACAAATTTCTGAGAGGCCTAACAAATCACTGACTAAATATTGGTTCCCTAAAAACCAGGAGTAAGTAAATGAGTGTTGACTCCCTAACAAACATGAACAAAAGTATTGGCCATTCTATGATATGATATAAACTTATATATGACAACAGACCATAAACATGCTTGTCCGGCTGATAATGTAATAGAGTTTACATGCTGCACTCTCTAACAAGGTTACATAAATAATGCTTGTTTATCATTTTTGATTGTCTCTTTAATGTGGAACTGTGTTTGTTCAATCAACTTTTCTCTGTTTACGATGAATTTCCAGTCTATGCCAGCTTAGCAGAAATGAATTTTGTTTTCTCTTTCTAGTGTCCTCCAGACAAACAGAGGGAAGTACTACTGACACATCACGGAGAACTCATAGCGGTCCTAAGGAAAGGACACCCATTCCTAAGGAGGAGCGAGGGGAGGGGGATGGCAAGGAGATGCCCCATAGGGCTCCTAGTCAAGCCTCAGTCAGGAGTCCTCCTAGAAGGTAGATTGGAGATTATTTTTGTAATATACTGGTGACATGTCCATAGGTCAAGACACTAAGAGAATAACTAAAGTCATTGTTGTGATTACCTCAGAAATTTAAGATGACTGAGGGTACGAATAGTCAGTGTTAGGGCTTGTACCAGCTGTGACCTAAGGGGTCTGGAGGCTGAGGAAGTAGCTATATCAATGTTAACTAATCATTGGTTCTGTTCATTTAGGGGTTTACATACTTTAATATAGCTGTTTAGATTGACTAAGAAGTGTAACTTATATTGTAAATCTCAGAAAGTTTCCTTGTTGAAAGTTAAATAGAAAGAGTGCATGATAATATGTTCTGTTTTCAATCTTCATAGTAATTGCTAAATAGAGTATAGTACAAATGGTTCTTGTTAGCCAGTTTGTTTGTTTTGAACTTGGTGATGTGATGTTGACAGTGCCAGCAGTAGAGAGGTAGAAAGTAGAGTCAGCAGTGGAGGTACGAAGCGGACATCAAGTGCAGGCAGCACTGGACGTGCAGGTAAGCACAGTATTCTGTCAGTACGTCAGACTACTAGACAGGTAAGCACTGGATTCTGTCAGTACGTCAGACTACTAGACAGGTAAGAGCTGTACTCTGTCAGTACGTCAGACTACTAGACAGGTAAGGGCTGGACTCTGTCAGTACGTCAGACTACTAGACAGGTAAGCACTGGACTCTGTCAGTACGTCAGACTACTAGACAGGTAAGCACTGGATTCTGTCAGTTTACATCATACTACTAGACAGGTAAGAGCTGGACTCTGTCAGTATGTCAGACTACTAGACAGATAAGGGCTGGACTCTGTCAGTACGTCAGACTTCTAGTCAGGTTAGCACTGGACTCTGTCAGTTTAAATCAGACTACTAGTCAGCTAATAACAGACATGATCAGTTGCTAGGTAAATTATAGTGTTAGTCAGGTAAGTTTGATTAATGTATCAAAATAATTGTTAGGCAGGGAAAGAAGGCCTTGATCATGGTATCAGACTAGTCCAACAGGTAGGACTAAGATTCAACCTCTGGTGTCAGTATGCTGACACGTTGGACAAGCAAGTCAGATGGAAATGTTACTTTGTTGCCATAAATTAAGTCAATGTTGCTCCTAGGTGTGACAGTTTTTAGGAAATTTGAAACCTGATTTATGACTTTGTAGGCAGTGCTGGTAAGCGGGATACAGAGGAGTCACAGGAGGAAACCCTGTTCTATACCCAGAACATTGCACCCCGTCTGGAGGAGCTGGCTCTCCTGGGTAAAAGTAAGCGACAACCTTACACACTACATCAGCCATTGTTATATTGTTATTCTTTATTGGAAGCAACAAAATTGGTACAACATCATTAAAAAGATATAAAAAACAATCCTGATTGACAACTCTGATACCAAATCATTTCAGAATAATGCTGCTTCAACTATATGAGTAAGGTTTGAGGTGTTTTGTTTGCAGAGCGTGAAGGAGACAAGCTCTGTGAGTGTGCTGACAGCCTATACAAGTTATTACAGAAAGAAAACTTGTTAGGCAAGAATTGTAAACAGCGTTCCACCATACTCAAGTCTGTGTTCAAATTGCTTGACCTGGAGGAGCCCAAAGTTTTACTACGGGTGGCAAGACTGATCCTCGCTGTATGTAATTAATCTATCATATCTGGCCTTCAGATAGGAGACTTAAGTGTACATAACTTAACAGATTCACTTTAATATCAGACATAATTGGATGTGTTGTGAATAATATGTTTTTTAGATATCTGGCAATGTATAATACTGACACTTAAAAATTTGATTTTGTAAACCAAACTGTATAAATGTGTATATGTCAGGAAATGATGAAATGTTAATTGTTCATCAGTGTAAGTTTTCTGTTTCTACCTTTTCAGTTCCGTGTGAGTGGTAACAACCTTTTAAATGTGTGTAAGCTAGTTTTTAAAGTCAGTAGGAATGAAAAAAATGACCCAGAATTTCTGCGAGGAAATATATTAGGTAAGTTTTATATCCATGTTTACTTCTTACGGTTATCAATGTTTTGTTGATAGAATTTCATAATCTATCAAAATGAAAGTATGTTATGGCATACAAACCAGTCCTTTTGTTTCTTTGTCCTTCACCTCTTTATTTTGTATATATATTGACTTCAAATCTTCACTTTTCTTACTTTTCTCTTCACTGTTGTTCAGTTACTGTTTAGCCTTTTTGCACTTTAAAATTTTTAATTAGAGAATGAAATTTTGCCGTCTGTATAGAAGAGGATGTCTAAATGTTGGTGAATTTTGGTCTCAATGTCAAATTTCAAATATGTGATGGGTTATTTATCAATCAAACATCAGTATGTCCCAATAATATTTGAGAAGGATTGACACTTTTAAACACAAGTACTCTGTACAGCGTAACAAGTGGTGTGTCATGTACTAAATGATGTGTTCCACACAATTTGTAGCCATGAAAATAACCTTGGATAAGTAAAGACGACCGAATTAGCTAGTGATGGTATCAATGTAATACAGTCTTTATGTCAGTGATATCATTTCACAGATTGTAATTTTGCGATGTCATCAATACCCAGTGAATATCCCCTCAGATATTGTCTATACAGTACCTTGTTCACATATATACACTACTGTATAATTCTCTCTCAAAAGAAGCCTGTACTTTGACTTAATCTGGCAATCTGAAAATCATTCCATTTTGATTTTGTAGAATTGTTGTCCAAAACTTTAAGTTGTACTGACCACACAACATCATGTGAAGCCTTGATCTACTGTGTGGGTGCCATCAAATTCCTGACAGGGAACACCACCATTGTCAAACAGTTGGTCAAAGAGAATTGCATAGAAGGCCTAGGTCAGCTGCTGGACGGAATCAACAAAACAGTGAGTAGTTATATTGTTAACTTAAAAACGGATTATATCAAAGTCTTGACACTTTGTAAGTCTTCGCCAGGCTAAATTTACCTCACATTATTAGCAAACAACTTATAACAGTCATATGACACAACTCCACGTTTTCTCCTAATTGAAAACTTATCCTCTCTGAATCACCTTTGTCAAAAATGAAAGATAATGTCAGATCTAAAAATGATCTGTAAGGCTATTTGCATTCCACATACCAAGTTAGAATATGAACATAGTCTATATTGAAGGCACTGATACCAAAAAATGTATTGACACTCAAACCCTTCATCTTGGTAAATTTTCAATATTGGCATAATTTACATGTCAAGATTACTGAAACTAAATAATAAATCTCCCCCTGAGATTCATTGTATCGCTCCATCAGCTGTCATTTTCGGCAGTACTACTTACTTGTGTTGATATATCAGCTTCATCAACGATTGATCTTGTTCACATTAGAAATACAACAGCTGTGCTGGGGCTATGTTTATTGTTTATATCCTCTTAGGTCATAAAGATCTTGTTGATGGACTTCAGTTCAAATCTAACATCATATTACAAACATTTAAACATAGTTAATTATTTTGCAGAATAGAGAAAATGGAAAAGTAAATGAACAACTAGGCCATATTCTTGTGCAGGTAAGTATCTAGTATACCTAATAACTAGGCCATATTCTTGTGCAGGTAAGTATCTAGTATACCTAATAACTAGGCCATATTCTTGTGCAGGTAAGTATCTAGTATACCTAATAACTAGGCCATATTCTTGTGCAGGTAAGTATCTAGTATACCTAATAGCTAGGCCATATTCTTGTGCAGGTAAGTATCTAGTATACCTAATAACTAGGCCATATTCTTGTGCAGGTAAGTATCTAGTATACCTAATAACTAGGCCATATTCTTGTACAGGTAAGTATCTAGTATACCTAATAACTAGGCCATATTCTTGTGCAGGTAAGTATCTAGTATACCTAATAACTAGGCCATATTCTTGTGCAGGTAAGTATCTAGTATACCTAATAAGTAGGCCATATTCTTGTGCAGGTAAGTATCTAGTATACCTAATAACTAGGCCATATTCTTGTACAGGTAAGTATCTAGTATACCTAATAACTAGGCCATATTCTTGTGCAGGTAAGTATCTAGTATACCTAATAACTAGGCCATATACTTGTACAGGTAAGTATCTAGTATACCTAATAGCTAGGCCATATTCTTGTGCAGGTAAGTATCTAGTATACCTAATAACTAGGCCATATTCTTGTGCAGGTAAGTATCTAGTATACCTAATAACTAGGCCATATTCTTGTGCAGGTAAGTATCTAGTATACCTAATAACTAGGCCATATTCTTGTACAGGTAAGTATCTAGTATACCAAATAATGATAACTAGATACCGATAAAACTAAGTCAGAAGTGACAGACACTGTAACTAAATATACCAGTGTAACTTTATTGTAATTAAAGATATCAAACAACATGAGTAACTTTAAAGGAGATGTAACTAAAAATACTACATTACTTGTGTAACTTAACAGTTACTGTAACTAAAGATACCATATAACCCATGTAACTTTACAAATACTGTAGCTAAAGTTACTAAAATCATATTGAACTTTTCTGACAATGTGTTACAGTTAACTGCAGCCTTAAGAAATTTAGCTGATGCCAACTCAAGTCGTGAGAAGTTCCTCAACTGTCATATTGTGGAGGGTCTTTGTACTGTTGTGGACACATATGCTCTTGATGGAGACCTTATGCTCAACATATCACGTATATTTAGGTAAGGCAATTTGTTCATATCTTTTGTGAACTATTTTATCATTCTAGGTTTACTTTTATAAGAAATAAGTAGGTTTAGATTTCTAGATTTGCCCTGTTATTGTTGAACAATTTTGTTCCAATGTTTAAGATTTTATGTCTGTATTTGCCCTGTTATCATTGAACAATTTCGTGTGAATGTTAGAGATTTTATTTCTAAGTTATTGTTAGCTCATCTGTCTGTTCATCCATCCGGCGTCAACTACTTTTTTTTTTAACAACTTTTTCTCAATAACAAATAGATAAAATGTTTTGATATTTGGCTGGTATGTTCCTAGGATGAAGCCCAACAAAGTTAGCAAAAAAAATTACCTTGACCTATATTCAAGATCACAGTGGTCAGATTTGTTAAATGTTTAAACAACTTCATCTCATGAACTAAAAGGCCTAGAGGCATGATATTTGGCCGATAGCTTCCTAGGATGAAGTCAAACAAAGTGTTAAAAAAAAATGACCTTAACTTATATTCAAGGTCACAGGGGTCATTTGTTGAAACCTTTAAAAGATGTCTACTCATGAACTAAAAGGCTTAGAGGCATGATATTTGGCTGGTATATGTATATCAGATGAGCACTGCAGGCCCATTGGGCCTCTTGTTGAACAGTTTCATTTTGGTGTTTAAGGTTTTACAAAGGCTCATTGATAAGTTGTGAGCTTTGTATTGAAGAAATTCAGCTGGGATGTCCTTTTCCGTCTGTACTATTCCCTGACTATTTAGACTGAGTACCCGAAGACTGGTGTCATTTGGTCAGTCTATGTCAAAGAGGTAGCACTCTAAAGTAAATTAGGCAAGTGACTTTTGCATGAATGGCAAAATTGCTGAAAGAGCAATGATTCAATATTTACATAAGAAAGGTCTAGCACCAAAGGATATCCATACTGATATGGTAGCAGCACAGAGGAATGATGCCCCTTCATATGCTATGGTGAAGAGGTGGCGGAATTAAAATGTGGCAGGCAGAGCCTTGGGGATGACGCCCATCCTGGAAGGCCCGTCACAATTGCAACCCCAGAAATGGTCAATAGAGATGATATAGTTATGGCTGAAAGACGAGTTACAGAGAGATATATAGTCAGTGCAGTTGGGATTTCACAGGGAAGAGTACATTTCTTTTTACAGAAGATCTTGTTGTGAGAAAGCTCTCAGCCTGTTGAGTACAAAGACTTCTAACAGCTGATCAGAAGCACTTTGTCACATGCTATTCTTAAGCTTTTAGAGGCAGATCTCTGCAGAGGTTTGTGACTGTAAATTAAACGTGGGTCCATGATTTCACCCCAGAGGCCAAATATCAGTCTCAACAATAGAGGCACCCTGGTTCACCCTCACCAAAGACAAAGACTGTTCCATCAACTGAAAAGTATATGGCCATGGTTTACTGGGATACTGATGGTATTCTGATGGAAGACTATATGCAAAAGGGACAAACAATCAATGGTGCATAATATGCATCACTTCTTATGCAGTTAAGAGAAAATATTAAACTCAAGCACTGTGGAAAATTCAATAAAGGTGTGTTTTTCTACCAGGACAATGCCCCTGATCACAAGTCTGTCATACCAATGATCGAAAAAAAAAGGCCATTTCCGGTACCCACTTCAATCAGAAGATGAAATCATACATACAGTGGGAGACATTCTGAATGATCAAGAAATGGACTTTAAAAACAGAATGGAGGCCCATAAACATCACTGGCAAAAGCTTATATATACTGAAGGGGATTATGTTGAAAAATAATGCAGATTGTCCACAAAAAGTAAAACCTTTAAATTTGACGCTGACAACTTATCAATCAGACCTTGTATTTCTATGTTTGCTGTGTTATTGTTGAACATTTAAGATTTTATATCTATGAATGCTTTGCTTTATTACAGTAAGATCACACTCCACACAGACTGTTGTACTGTCTTGGCAGACCAGCCATCCTCATACAAGTCTTTCATCAATTTGCTCAACAAACATCTCCAGAAATCAGTAAGTGTTTTTTTTGCAAAGAGAAATGTGATGTGGGCCATTGTTGGAATGATTAAATATATAGTTGTTTTGTTATTTAGGGTTAAATTTATTGTCGTTTTGTGGTGGAGAAATCTTCTGACTTGTATGTCTCTACATTACAGGATATGGTTGTACGTGTGTGTTTTGTACTTGGAAACATAACTGCCAAAAATGATGAAGCTCGTGTGCGACTGTTCCAGGAGAACAAAGCCTTTGATGTATTACTGTCAGTGTTAAAACTTTACCTGGAAATGGACCTCAAGGTAGGTACTTCTGTCAGTATTCAAAACTTTACCAGAAGTTATGACCCAACTTCATGATAATCTAGACAGAAATTAATATGTTTTATTTTTTCTTTCAACACCACAATTATCTAAGATTTAAAACAGCAATCAAATGTTAATGTGTCATCTAGTTCTATACAAAGGCTCCAAGAGATAAACTGTAAACCGCTAACTTGTTACATTGTAATGTTGTAGGCACAGGGAAAGGAAGAGAAGCCTGAGGAAGGGGAGCGAGGCAATAAGCTTAATAAAAGGGAGGATGTGATGATCAAGGTGGTCAGGGTCATCGCCAATCTGTCCATCAATGAAACTGTCGGCCCACTCATAGCTTCTAATGCTCTGTGTATAGATCTTCTACTTAGCATTTTAGGTATGTGCTGGTACACTTATCTTACATAACTTTCCATGTTTCACTATGCTCCCTGAAAGCAGAGCATGTAGTCGCCATTTGTCTGTCAGTCCGTCATAATTTTACCCAGAGCATATCACAAAAACTATGAGAGGTACCAACATGAAACTAGATAGATAGATCTCAATAAGTAAAAGTGAAATGTACAAGAACCATAACTCTCTTTTGCATAATTTAGGAGTTATTGAAACTTGGTGTATACATTGGTCATACTGAGAGAATGTGCAGTATACCAAATTAAAGGCCTGCAACTTCTTAATTACAGAATGATTGTCCTTTGATTAAATTTTGTGTCCAATAAAGTCGTTATTGGGAATATTCATCAATTTCACTGATACTCTTTTTGTCCCTGATAATATTGTGATAATTTTAGTTAGAAACTTGATTTTGTGCTGCAGTTGTACAATATCCAGAAATATAGTGAGTATTATAACCAATAACTTAATTTTGATTCCTGCCTACAGAATACAAGGAAATCCCGACCAGTGAAGAGCTTGTCCTGAATACAGTGGCTACCATTAACAATCTGTCCTACTACAGTGTAAAGACTAGCATGATCAACCAACATCAGATGAGGGTTATAGAGGGTGAGTGTTGACTGCAGGGTTACAGGTCTAGCATGATCAATGAATGCTAGACAAAGGTATGGAAAGTGAGTGTAGACTACTGAGTGACAGGTGAGGGTTATAGAAGGTGAGTGTTGACTGCAGGGTTACAGGTCTAGCATGATCAATGAATGCTAGATAAGGGGTATGGAAAGTGAGTGTAGACTACTGAGTGACAGATGAGAGATATAGAGGGTGAGTGTTGACTGCAGGGTTACAGGTCTAGCATGATCAATGAATGCTAGATAAGGGGTATGGAAAGTGAGTGTACACTACTGAGTGACAGATGAGAGATATAGAAGATGAGTGTTGGGTGACAGGTCTACAGGCCTGGCATGATCAACCAATGCCAGATGAGGGTTATTGAAGATGAGTATTGACCATAGAATAACATCAGGGTAAGTAGTAATTGTTATTTTTTGATCTTCTGTCGACATCAAACTGTCACTGTGATTTTGATGTGGTTTCTTGTAGTCCTGTATAGGTATAGATATAATATATAAATAACTGTCACTGCCCATGATTTGGTAACATTCATTCTTACCACCTACTGGTTGTTGTGTTTCAGCCCTGTTAAAGCTAGTACTGGCTGATAATATGGAGGGTATGATTGAGGCTTCACGTGTGTTTGGTAACTTGACAAGGCAGAAGACAGTCCGTGACTTCCTGGTACAGCATAAGGGTGAGTCGTTCCTACTGATCACATTCTCATACTGAAGTTAGCTGTATTTGTTACAACTTTGTACTTTAAAGTCCTCCTAGTTTTAAATCTTGTGTGTAAATATATTCAATATTGGTATTTCCCAGTGAAAGAGAAATATCCAATATTACTTAGTAGTTTTAAATCTTACGTGTAAACATATTCCATAAGGATATTTCCCAAAAGAGGAATACTCAATAAGCACTCCGTAGTGGTATATCTGTAATCCAGTATAGAGGTTAATCTTGTGAGGATTTTGTGTTTTTTGTTACAGTGGATCAGATGATGGTAACAATGCTAGACTCTGGGAACCGTGAGGTGGTGTATATCTCCTGTGGTGTCCTTATCAACTTCATGGTAGATGAGGAGAAGCGCCCTGCTCTCAAAAAGGAGGGAGGAGTGAAAAAGTAACCACAATTCTTGTTTGAAAGCACAGATCATGTTCTACATTTCAAGCTATAATGGCCATACTTTAGGGTAGTATTTACCCTGTATTCTTTTGTCCACACTGTTAGTTTCAAAGACTGTAAGAATTATAGAAAAATGGAATTAATCCTTGCAAGAATAACATCACATGTAAAGAGATGAATATGCTTACATATATATTGTAGACTTATTGAGGTGCTGAGAGACTTTGGACGGACAGACTGGGAGCTGGCCAGTTTGGTGTGTCAGATACTGTGGAATTACAGTGGCAAAATCACCAGCTCCAATGCCTGCTTTGGGGAGCAAGAAGCACAGGACTTACTGGACCTACTCATTGAATATACAGGTACACAGAAAACATGAGTAGTCAACATTAGGGTACACAGAAAACATGAGTAGTCAACATTAGGGTACACAGAAAACATCGGTAGTCAACATTAGGGTACACAGAAAACATCGGTAGTCAACATTAGGGTACACAGAAAACATGAGTAGTCAACATTAGGGTACACAGAAAACATCCATAGTCAACATTAGGGTACACAGAAAACATCGGTAGTCAACATGAGGGTACACAGAAAACATCGGTAGTCAACATTAGGGTACACAGAAAACATCGGTAGTCAACATTAGGGTACACAGAAAACATGAGTAGTCAACATTAGGGTACACAGAAAACATGAGTAGTCAACATTAGGGTACACAGAAAACATCGGTAGTCAACATAAGGGTACACGGAAAACATCAGTAGTCAACATTAGGGTACACAGAAAACATCCTTAGTCAACATTAGGGTACACAGAAAACATCGGTAGTCAACATTAGGGTACACAGAAAACATCAGTAGTCAACTTTAGGGTACACAGAAAACATGAGTAGTCAACATTAGGGTACACAGAAAACATGAGTAGTCAACATAAGGGTACACAGAAAACATCAGTAGTCAACATTAGGGTACACAGAAAACATCCATAGTCAACATTAGGGTACACAGAAAACATCGGTAGTCAACATGAGGGTACACAGAAAACATCGGTAGTCAACATTAGGGTACACAGAAAACATCAGTAGTCAACTTTAGGGTACACAGAAAACATCAGTAGTCAACATTAGGGTACACAGAAAAATGGGTAAACATCACTACTTTACAAGTGAACATTAGTGCATATTAGATAAATATCAGTACAACACAGGGCAACCTCACTACTACAGGAGTAAATACATGTATCAGTACTACACAGGTAAACATCAATACTACACAGGTAAACATCAATACTACACTGGTAAATATCAATACTACACAGGTAAATACATGTATCAATACTACACAGGTAAAAATACTACACAGGTAAACATCAATACTACTCAGGTGAACATCAGTACTACACAGGTAAACATCAATACTACACAGGTAACCATCAATACTACACAGGTAAACATCAATACTACACAGGTAAACATCAGTACTACACAGGTGAACATCAATACTACACAGGTGAACATCAACACTACACATGTAAACATCAGTACTACAAAGGTAAACATCAATACTACACAGGTAAACATCAGTACTACACAGGTAGATTGATACACAGGTAAACATCAGTACTACACAGGTAAAGATTGATACACAGGTAAACATCAGTACTACACAGGTAAACATTATTAATACACAGGTTAATGTCAGTCCTTCACAGGTAAACTTCAGTGATGCACAGGTTGACATTATTTCTACACAGGAAGCATCAGTACTACATGGGTAAAATTCAAATTTTGATATGTTGATGCTATCAGTTGACAAACATTATTAAGATTGTAAGTGGTGAATCTGATTAGGAATGCACGAAAAAAATACAGAATATTATGATATTGTAAATATACAGGTTCTTGAAGGTTTAGCTAGGAATGGTGTGTATTATGCTATTAACTTACCCACATTTAAACTCAAACTTCATTTTCTACTCAACAGATCAAGATTCGGCATTAGACTCGTCCTTTAAAGAAGAGGAAACAGATGAGGAAATGAGGAAGTATTACTACGAGACGTGGCGGGAATTTTATCCTGTAGCCGAGCAGTTGTTACACCGCCTTGAAACACATCAGTCAGACTTTGAACCACTGGAAAATCCTGGGACTCCATGAATTTCAAGTAGTAAAATTGTAACAGTGATCAGATAGTGAACCCTAGAGTGAGCATGCTTAGGATCAGGCTCAGGAGCCTCAGTTTGACCAGCTTTGTGTTCTAGCTTTGTGATGATAGCCAATCCTAGTGCTGTGTGTTATCTGTCTAGTCTCAGCTTAGTGGTTACAAACATGGCAGGAAATTGTTCCTGTGAGATCTGATAACAGTGACAAACATGCTGGGAAATTGTTCCTGTGAGATCTGATAACAGTGACAAACATGCTGGGAAGTTGTTTCTGTGAGATCTGATAACAGTGACAAAAATGCTGGGAAGTTGTTCCTGTGAGAGCTGATAACAGTGACAAACATGCTGAGAAGTTGTTTCTGTGAGATCTGATAACAGTGACAAACATGCTGGGAAGTTGTTTCTGTGAGATCTGATAACAGTGACAAACATGCTGAGAAGTTGTTTCTGTGAGATCTGATAACAGTGACAAACATGCTGAGAAGTTGTTCCTGTGAGATCTGACAAACATGCTGGGAAGTTGTTCCTGTGAGATCTGATAACAGTGACAAACATGCTGGGAAGTTGTTCCTGTGAGATCTGATAACAGTGACAAACATCACTAGTACCTAAACACTGGTAAGGGGCATTATGGCTGGAATGGAGAAGCTGAAGTATTGTGAAGCCATGTTGTATTCTGTGATGGACTGCATCATTGTAGCAAACACTTCAGAGAGGGATAGTTTTACTGTTAACATCAGTGATGAACATGTTAGAACCAATGGCGGAAAAATCATGTTGATGTCATTCCAACAAATTTTATCTGTGATAAGTTGGCGTGAGATTCACCGTGAGCAATTTCTGAAATTCTCTTTTCAGTAAATACTGAAAACATTTCATGTCAATTTCTGATTATATATTGAGAATTTTTTTATACATCGTGAAATCAACTCAGATGTCCCACCAAGAAATCCATGTCATCATAATATACCAACTGTAGTGCAGAACTGGGATATTAATTATTAAGCTTGTCAAGAAATCTCAGGTTTGCTGTTTTGTGGTGTAGTTTTATATTGCTCCGTCCATATTAGTGATTTGTCTCAAAGACACCATATGTTTTATATTTTTAATTGTATAATCTCAACTACATGTGGAATAGATGATCCTCCTCTTCTCTGCATGTAGTCCATCATGTTCAAGAGTGACTGAATATATTCAACTCAGGATAAGCTGTTCCCCTCCCCTATAGATTATCAGACTGTGAGGTGACTACTACACTTCAGGATAAACTGTTCCCCTCCCCTATAGATTATCTCACTGTGTGGTGACTACTACACTTCAGGATAAACTGTTCCCCTCCCCTATAGATTATCTCACTGTGTGGTGACCAGTACACTTCAGGATAAACTGTTCCCCTCCCCTATAGATTATCTCACTGTGTGGTGACCAGTACACTTCAGGATAAACTGTTCCCCTCCCCTATAGATTATCTCACTGTGTGGTGACCACTACACTTCAGGATAAACTGTTCCCCTCCCCTATAGATTATCTAACTGTGAGGTGACCAGTACACTTCAGGATAAGCTGTTCCCCTCCCCTATAGATTATCACACTGTGAGGTGACTACTACACTTCAGGATAAGCTGTTCCCCTCCCCTATAGATTATCTCACTGTGTGGTGACCACTACACATCAGGATAAACTGTTCCCCTCCCCTATAGATTATCACAATGTGAGGTGACTACTACACTTCAGGATAAACTGTTCCCCTCCCCTATAGATTATCTCACTGTGAGGTGACCAGTACACTTCAGGATAAACTGTTCCCCTCCCCTATAGATTATCTCACTGTGAAGTGACTACTACACTTCAGGATAAGCTGTTCCCCTCCCCTATAGATTATCTCACTGTGAGGTGACTACTACACTTCAGGATAAGCTGTTCCCCTCCCCTATAGATTATCTCACTGTGTGGTGACCAGTACACTTCAGGATAAACTGTTCCCCTCCCCTATAGATTATCTCACTGTGTGGTGACTACTACACTTCAGGATAAACTGTTCCCCTCCCCTATAGATTATCTCACTGTGTGGTGACTACTACACTTCAGGATAAGCTGTTCCCCTCCCCTATAGATTATCTCACTGTGAAGTGACTACTACACTTCAGGATAAACTGTTCCCTTCCCCTATAGATTATCTAACTGTGAGGTGACTACTACACTTCAGGATAAGCTGTTCCCCTCCTTTATAGATTATCTCACAGTGAGGTGACCAGTACACTTCAGGATAAACTGTTCCCTTCCCCTATAGATTATCTAACTGTGAAGTGACTACTACACTTCAGGATAAACTGTTCCCCTCCCCTATAGATTATCTAACTGTGAGGTGACCAGTACACTTCAGGATAAACTGTTCCCCTCCCCTATAGATTATCTAACTGTGAGGTGACTACTACACTTCAGGATAAACTGTTCCCTTCCCCTATAGATTATCTGACTGTGAGGTGACTACTACACTTCAGGATAAACTGTTCCCCTCCCCTATAGATTATCTGACTGTGAGGTGACTACTACACTTCAGGATAAACTGTTCCCCTCCCCTATAGATTATCTGACTGTGAGGTGACTACTACACTTCAGGATAAACTGGAGAGAATAAAGAAAGCATAAATACACATTAAATAGTTGAGGTGTGTGTTGGAGTAAGTGAAGAGGAGAGTATGTATGGTGTAAGTGAATAATGGGAGATACAAATTACATATGTAGATATGATGTGTGAGTGGAGGATACATGCTGATGTGTGTGATATAATTATGTTACATGTGTATGATTTGTTAGGTGGTATATCTATATAGTATTATTTATAAATGATTCTTCCATTGTCATACTCACAGATGTCAATTGTACATAAACAGCTATTTATTTGTAGGTTGTGATGATTCTGGTGAGATCCTCATCAAACACAGTGTGTACTGCACCCATTCCATAATCACCGTGTTATTGCCTTTTTTTTTTGTCCCAGGCCTTTCCTAGTGCCCATTTACAATAAATGAATATTCTCCTATCCCACCCACAATTTATCAGTATATATAATGCCCTTTGGCATATAGTGCACATTAGCAACTCAATGATATTCTAAGAATCCTCAAACAGCCCAAGTTTCCACCTAAGAAAGTGACAACGTTAATCCCAGCTGGATGTTGTAGCTGTCCAACACTACAATTTGTCATATTGTATTGTCAGGGTCAGGAATGAATATTAATGTAATACGAAGTGGTCAATATAAATATGTATTAGAATCCTAGAAGAAATCATTCTGTAATTCTGTGATGTTTTCCTGTAGAAATATTGGGACATTTGACAAGACAATCTTCAAGCGTCATTAAACATATACCCCATAATACTACTCTCCCAAGGATACTGAATACCTGTCAACACTCAGTTCTTAAGTCCTATATTTCACCAAGATATGAATAAAGATGAGGTTGGACATCTGGTCAAGTTTCATTCCTTTGTTGTTGGAAGTTTGTTGAATCCGTCCAGTATTATTTACATGTGTGACCATAGTGTGATCAGCTGTCCTATTTATTGATCTTATGTGTGTCCATGGGTCCAAACATACATCTGAGGGTACTGTAGTTTTATAAAGCCTATTTTACTAATTGATAACCCATCTTGTTTCAATGATTTTATAGGAATAATCCTATATATATTTGCTATATAGCTTTAAATTGCAGCACACCTTACAATGGTAGAATTTGTTGCGGTCTGAATTTGAAATCAAATAGAGAATTTGAAACAGATTTAATCAATTTTAGATACTGAATCGTAATTTCTGCTGATAAATGATAATATGGTTCATCTGCACAGTTGAGGAAAATTAAATAAATTGATGTTGATAGTTACCTGCTTATAGATACAAGTTTGCTGTGAAGTTGACTGATCAGTATGACCCAGTTGGCGATGCACATTTATCATGTTTTGAAGTGTGTTTCTTGTTAATGAATGTATACTGCTATATTTAATGATGTTTTGTTAGGATTGCTGTTTTCCTATGTTTAAAAGTTGTCTTATAAATAAAAATAACAATGATTCATAAAGGTGTTATCAGAGACTTTGTTTTCGGTAAATGTATGCAAGAAACAGGGTTTTTGAATAACTACCAACCACTGCTGTGTGTATCAATACTGGTTTTGTCTATCAGTGAAAGTGACACTTGCTTGAGAACCTCTACCTACCAATTTGTTACACATTTTGCTTTTCATAATAACAAATTGACAATTGAATTGGAATAAGGCTGTCACTTCATTGTGATTAAAGGTCAGGCAGAGATGACCTACTGGCTGTCCTTAGATCTTGTATTGCAGTGTATTGTAAAGGAGTGGATATAACAAGTTTGAATTTAGATTGATAAAATGGTGAGAAATATGCTGTTGGGCAGTATGTGGGAATTTCTCCTTTAAGAACAATGTATTTTTCCACTTTATACAAAGGGCGCCCTTGATCTCTTGTTATGAGAGCTTTTCATTTGCAAGAAAGATGAACGATGGTACAAAGACATGGTTGTGAACTATAATGAAACGTGTTTCGTGAAAATTACGTCCAAATCCAAGAAGAAATATTCAGAGGAAGAAGTCAAAAAAAGGTAACGTGTTTCTGGTTGATGTCTGCGTCGAGTTTGGTGGTCAGATTACCTAACAAACTATTGGCATATCTATTGGAACTGTGCCCCTGTGTTGGCTGACTTGATTTTGTTTTCATACGAGGCTGAATTTATCGAAGAGCTAATCAAAAAAGTCTCTTAGACCTTGCAAGATTGTTTTATTTCACTTTCAGATATATTTAAGACGTCTTTAAAATACATGAAATTTATTGACCAGTCTTTCGCATGTACCAAAAATATTGGACACGACAGACAATATCAGCCGCTTATCTCGATTATTCCCTTCGTGATAAGCGCGATGATTTTATTTTCCTTATTGTGGATTTTCTGGATAGCAAAATCCCTGCACCCCCAACCTGTAGCGTTTACATGTCGCAGTTGATTCGATATTCCTCGTCATCTGACGTACAAACTCGTACACAGGGTTTCAAAAGATACAGGTTGATGACAATTAGGGGTAGGTTTTACGGCCGTCATACTGATTCCATTTAGAAATATCTTAATTCTTCGTGCGATATGAAGCTGAAAGTGTTTGATGTTCGTTAGTTTGCCTGCTTGTTCCGTTGTTGTATAACTTGTTCTCATTTGAGGACATGACATTACTTACTAGGATCATGGCGGTGTCGTCGATAAATCAGGAAGCGCTTACTATTCCGGAACACATGGTCTTATTCTCCTTGTTCAGGAGTCTTCGTGGAAATCTTTCGTTCACAATTTGCCATTGGTTTATTGACTTTGAGTTATATTGACATGTTTTCTTGTTTTTAATGGGAAGAGTTTCACCACTACTCTGTTTAGCGGAGAATTTTTTATCGACGAATCTTCTCTTTCGACCTTATTAGTTCAAGACATTCGTTTAGTGCCAATAGTAGTCATACCAAAATGAAGTTTGCCGACATCTATTAATCTAGTTGGCTAGGCAGTTCCATATATTATCGGAAATCCACATTCATATCCAGTAAAGATAATTCGCTAAACTAACATTAGAGGGTCTTCATTTCTAACGGACCACGAAGCTGTCATGGAGGTCCTTAACCCTATCCCTATCGATAGCATTACACAAACTGAACACCAGAATGATGTTGGAGTCATTCATTTCTTCAAAACCAATACACAAGTTCATCAATGCAAACCGATAAGACTATATACTTAATTCCTAACGCTGAATGTGACGAACACAGCAATGAGGACAGAAACTATCAACCGTTTAAATCAAATGTTTACTTAAATAAAAGTCAAAAGACAGAGAAGATGACTACCATTGTTTTAAAAAAATAAAGGAAATAAGACATCGTCAGCCGTTTACCTCGATGTTTTCTTGAATGCGTTGTGTTTAGGTCAGTGTTGCTGCTCAACCAAATTTCGCATGTATGAGGCAGCTGTCTATTCTAGAACGACGGCTATTCAGACCGCTCTCCGTCCAAAAGTGTGTCCAGATATTGTCTGTCATCCGTACTTTGAAACTCTTAATTGGTATAGCTATTTTAAGACATTACCGGAAGTACTCGCTTTTCGTTATTCTATGGCCAGAATGTAGCAATTTGCCTGGCTGAAAGGTTAAATCTTACTATTCGACTGTGCGTCGATGGCAGTTTGGACACTTGCTGTAGGACTGTGGCCGGCCAATATTGAGACTAAGAACGTCTCGGCGTTTCAGTCTTTGAAATAAAATTCTATTGTGCATCACAATAATAAATCAGTTGAAGGAAAGGAAATGAAAATGACTGAGTCTTGCGGGCCATTGAAAACTTGTTTGACAACATTTTCGTGGAGTTTGTTGGCAATATCTTCTAGCCATGTGCGTTTCCATAGGAACTGAGGCCCTTGTTCGACCGACTTTATATTCTCTTGTGAGTTTTACTGCAACAAAAACCTTGTCAAAATGACGTGCACTCTCTGAATAGATAAGAAGTTATTGACCATCTGATAAAACATCAAGTTTTAAATCAAGGACACAGCTTTTAACACCTTGGTTTAATCTTACAACGCGATCAACCGAGCAGTAGGAGAAGTGATTAGTCCATTTTAATTTCCCTTTTATAAAATTGTGAAATTGTGAAAATATTGTATTACTTTGTGTTAAATGGAGTTAGATGTACACCTAAATGCTTGTGGTGGCGTCTTCATTACAAATCTGGTTCTTTTCATTGAACATAATATTTCTAAATAGGTCTCCCTGATGATGCAAAGGACGCTTCCTCATCCGAAACACGTGGTCACGACCTCTTTGTACATATATAACTGCATAACGATTTTGTTGTCCGGACATGCTTCCGAGACTGAGAGAAAAGGAGTGGGGTTGAACATTAGTTTTACTGACAGACTAGGTGAGGGGGTCATATGATAGATTTTTTGTACATTTAAGATAGATGCCATAAAGTCTGTCCTACCGACTCAGGAAGTCGAGTCAAATCGCGGATTTTACATATATCATTCATGATGCTTGACGAGAAGAAAAAATGTGTCCATAAGTCACAAAGTCACACACCAGTCTTTGTTAGAAAATATGGTAATACAGACAGTAGTAAAAGAAAATGCTGGTACATTTACTGTTAACAGAAAGCACCTCACTTCAAACAGCTTCACAACTTCATATTTAAATTGCTCGAAATAAATAGACGAGTGTCGATCGTTCGACGTCAATCTGAAATAATCGCTACTTCAAAACGACATGAAATGAAATGAAGTCATACAAAATTGTTCAGTTGTTTTTTATTCATAACATTCACATATCTCACTTTCACTCTCAGCACCGGATGTGATGAATTATTGTAGACCGTTTGTACTAAAAATAACCACCGGATGTGATGAATCATTGTAGACCGTTTGTACACGAATCAGTACCGGATGTGATGAATCATTGTAGACAGTTTTACACGAATCAGTACCGGATGAGATGAATCATTGTGGACCGTTTGTACATGAATCAGTACCGGATGTGACGAATCATCGTAGACTGCTTGTACACGAATCAGTACCGGATGTGACGAATCATTGTAGACCGCTTGTACACGAATCAGTACCGGATGTGGTGAATTATTGTAGACCGTTTGTACACGAATCAGTACCGGATGTGACGAACCATTGTAGATCGTTTGTACACGACTCAGTACCGGATGTGACGAATCATTGTAGACCGTTTGTACATGAATCAGTACCGGATGTGATGAATCATTGTAGACCGTTTTACATAAATCAGTACCGGATGAGATGAATCATTGTAGACCGTTTGTACACTAATCAGTACCGGATGTGATGAATCATTGTAGACCGTTTGTACACGAATCAGTACCGGATGTGATGAATCATTGTAGACCGCTTGTACACTAATCAGTACCGGATGTGATGAATTATTGTAGACCGTTTGTACACGAATCAGTACCGGACGTGACGAACCATTGTAGATTGTTTGTACACGAATCAGTACCGGATGTGACGAATCATTGTAGACCGTTTGTACACGACTCAGTACCGGATGTGACGAATCATTGTAGATCGCCTGTACACGAATCAGTACCGGATGAGATGAATCATTGTAGATCGTTTGTACACGAATCAGTACCGGATGTGATGAATCATTGTAGACAGTTTTATATGAATCAATACCCGATGTGATGAATCATTGTAGACAGTTTTACATGAATCAGTACCGGATGTGATGAATCATTGTAGACCGTTTTACATGAATCAGTACCGGATGTGATGAATCATTGTAGACCGTTTGTACACTAATCAGTACCGGATGTGATGAATCATTGTAAACCGTTTGTACATGAATCATTACCGGATGTGATGAATCATTGTAGACAGTTTTACATGAATCAGTACCGGATGTGATGAATTACTGTAGACTGTTTTTACACGAATCAGTACCGGATGTGATGAATCATTGTAGACCGTTTTACATGAATCAATACCTGATCTATTATTTAAGACTGTTTGGACAACATCCTTGATATTGACTGTTCCAACCTTGTTAGTTAGCACTGTGTTATCAGTATTATGTCCAGTTACACAAGGCGTTTGTAGACCTGTAACACACAATATACGATAATATCGTATCACAAACCAGCATCTGTTTCGTCATCGTAGTGAGAACAGTTGAATGTACGTTTTCAACATCTTAATGTTTATTTCCCTGGGCAAACTGACCGATTCAACTTTTGTAAGTGGTGACAAGCTATGTCAGTATGAACCAAATAGATAACAATCCAGACTGGTCCAGCCAGCATCGGAAGATCAAACGCCACCTGACCTAATTCACAAACGAATCGTGCTACGGAAATTCTAACGAGGGGTCTCATGCCTTGTTGTGATTTCTAGACCGATTTAGAGGGTAACCCATGTGCTATCGGATCATACTGAAGTGTCTCTTAACGACAAGTCTTTACACATCCCGATTATGACGTCACACCGCTGAATTAGTTTGGCAGAACATTATTCAGCTCTCGATACTCCCATTTCTGGGTTTACCTAGATTTCACGTGAGCAGTTACTGATGGCTCTTATTTGTTACTGTCGTTGTCGTCTTCGTCGACGTTGTCATCAAACAGGTGTGTGAACACGTCGATTTCGCCGCCAGGACTTGACCTGTTAGACGCCGTATCAGGTGCTGTGACTTCTGTATTTGGAGAGCTTTCGTTACCCGACAGACAGTCTTCACTGTCTATAGGGATCGATATCTGGGTGCAGTTAGGCGAGTTCCTAAGCCAGGTTTCTACAGCCTCAGAAGAAGGTTCAGTGTTTGCTAATGCGTTGTCTGCGTGAGTTGGGTTCACAGGAACCTCTTCGATCACCTCAAGCTTTGGCGAACAAAGTCTATGGATACTCTCCCTTTTGTGAGAAGTCGTGTCTTGCGTGATGACTGGCATTGTTGCGGACTCAAGATCGCTCTGATCGATTAGCTGAAAATCACTTGCCGATTCCCTGCGCAGGTCCTCCTTGCTGTCCCCAAATAAGGGATTTCTAGATGGACTCAACAAAGTTCCCCGCAGGTTCTCCACCTGACTGCGTACAGCCCTGTCGAATTCTTCTCCTTCGCATTTGTCTGCGATATCTGTGTGAGTTGGTTGCCGCTCGTGTGTACAGTGACCATGTTGTATGGGACATGCCAAGCGACCAGGACACAGAAGATGCGCCTTCCTTTCTGGGGACAAGCAACCGGTGGTATGGTACCCAGCAGTTGCACCTGCAACATCTGTGTTCACCTGGTAGTCGGAAAGATTCCGGGACTGGAAGGATGAACCCATCGACAGCTGAGTCGTGGAGGTAGGGGACAGCAAGTCACGACAATCCCTACCAAACTCACCGAGGGGCTCTTCACCGTGTTGCTCCTGTCTACACCTGCAGCAAGACATGTGCAATCCCACCGGCACAGACATGATACTCACGGCGTTAGATGGTGTATGCTCCCGTCGAGTTTGAGTCTACAACAAAAGTCAGATAGTGGAAGGAGACAGTTTCAAACACTACAGGCAGCACTTAATCAATCTAAAAAGTATTAGATCTTTACTATAAACAAGTGGAAACCTTTAGGATTTGACTGTATTGATACTTCATGCAATGAAGAGCTCTATGTTGCTATCTTTGTAAATAAAAGTACGGGGTCTCTTAATGAAATACTGCACCAATTATCCAAAGGGGTTAAGTATATAGTTACAGATATTTCTAGGTCCGTGACATAACCTCGGTATCTCTGATCATGATCGGTAACCATCGAAATGTGATTAGCAGTCAAATTTTAGAATTATGAAATTTAAGAGAAGCGTGCTAACGAGCATATGTTTTCTATATACCTTTTGCACGTGTTTTATACGTGTAAAGAGATCCACATTTTACCTATTAACTTTCGTAACAGCCATCTTATCTTAAAACATTTGGGTGTAAATCTAAACCATCTTTCGTCGACGTGTCGAGGTGATTTTTGCTACAGACTGATACACAGAGATTTCGATATCTCAGCCTATTGGGGATATGTAAAACAATTCGTTAAGCTAGATATCTATTTGTTTGTTTGTCACGAAAAGAGGTTCAAACTTACTCATGTATTGATATTTCCCATCAGAAAGTTACTTGGTAACTTGTCCGAAATAGGTAAATCCGAAGTATTTCATTACGCCTTTTACCTGGATTAGCTCGCTAACAGAACGCTTGCTCCTGTCCTCGCGGTCCCTGCTAAGCATTTGTTCAAGCATCTGTCTCGTTTTGTCTAGCTGTTCTAGCGCGTTCTGCACGTCCATAGGAATGAGGCTGGTTGATCCAGGGGAAGTAGCTGTGCTTTGGTCCCTGTACGACTTGGCCCTACTGCGCATACTTGTCCTGATACCTCGTGTTGGGGTTAACATGTGAAGGGCGCCACTTTGCTCCCCCGCCACCGACTCGGAGTTGAGTGTACTTGACGATGGTATTGGTATGGTATCACGTGGCCCATACAGCAGGTCATCCGTGAAGTCGTATTCGTTGACGGCACATTCATTGATGTGATAAGATGGAATCTCGTAAACCGTGTTAGTACGCTGGGCCCACGGGATGAAAAACAATATCACAGCGCCACCTATTACAGGGATTCCAGCACAATGGAACGCAACATCATATGATCCAAGTAGGTCATATAAAGCCCCTGTACGAAAACCAAACATTGAAAAATAAGGAAAGTGATTTTCTTTGCGGTCCAAGGGTTAAGACTATGTATTTTATTCCTACCTCTCACGAGAGGAGAGTACCAATTAGGAAGTATACATACCACTGACGGTCGGAGAGTGGGATAGAGGATCTATGTATTACCATCAGTGGTCCGAGAGAGAAGGGGAGGGGGGTTGGGGGGGTTATAAACATACCACCGTGACGGTCGAGGAATCGTTCTAAGGAGAATATGTGATGATTTTATTCAGTTTGAGTTATCTCCCTTCATGTAATATACCTAATTAATGTAATTAACAATGATTGACTGATTTGTAAAGAAAACTGGTGTTTTCTATATATGTAATCATACTTTATAAGTGAATAAATAAATAAATACGTCTTACGTATTTTGGGTTATGAGATAGTTTTTGGTGCTTTGTTAATCTGAAAAATAATGACACCCAGAATGTTACACCAAATTTTATGTAAAGGCTAATTGAAACCATTACTGTGGGCTGGAAGTTCTGAAGACACACAGAGTGTACAGCGTAAACGATAAAGTAAGCGTTGGCTGCATACTGTTATCAGAAGCTCCTGCATAAGGGGTTGCCTGAATAAGGCTACTCGGGTAACAGTGTACGTGTGATTGGTGCCAGCAAGTTGACGAGTCAGGTACGCCAGAAGCTCCTGGATAAGGAGTCGCCTGCAAAGGCTGCTCTGGTACGCCTGGCTGCTGATACCAAAAACTGACACCTTCCCTTAGTAATTTGTAACAGCAGGACACTAGCAGGCAACGTCGGAGCTGTACGGTGGTCAGCTCGGCAACGTGCTTGTAGTAGTGACAGTGTCGTGGTGCTGGCAGGCTGTTGAGTGTTGTTGTGTGTTGTAGCCTTGTGGTGTGATCTACGTCCAGGCGACGGTGTAGGGAGGACAGGGGTACTGTCCATCCTATTGTAGTGTATATTGATATATTGTTTGTGTTATTTTGTTCAACTGTTCGGCCAGGTAGCCGAGGTATCCCGATCGCCTCTGGAGCAGGTAGCTCCGTATAAATTGAGAGCCCGGCGTTCACGCACGCTACCATAAGGGTGCACGTTACAAATATTATACCTACCACCTAGTTGTTCGAGAATCAGAATTGGGAATTATACCTACCGCCTAGTGACTGGAAAGTCAGACTGGGGAGTTATACCTACCACCTAGTGGCTGGAGAGTCAGACTGGGGAGTTATACCTACCACCTAGTGGCTGGAGACTCAGACTGGGGAGTTATACCTACCACCTAGTGGCTGGAGACTCAGACTGGGGAGTTATACCTACCACCTAGTGGCTGGAGACTCAGACTGGGGAGTTATACCTACCACCTAGTGGCTGGAGACTCAGACTGGGGAGTTATACCTACCACCTACTGGCTGGAGAGTCAGACTGGGGAATTATACCTACCACCTAGTGGCTGGCGAGTCAGATTGGGGAAAACTGAACCGCGAGTATGAAGGTGTTAACGTACCTGCTATTGGTGGTCCGAGGGTAAAAGTGATGGAACTTGTCCCGACGAGGAAACACCAGGCAAGAACAGTGTTTTCTGGTCCCATCAACGAAGTTGTGAGAACCGGAAGCAGCACAACGTAACATCCATCCACTAGACCGACGACAATAACATATGCTACTATTCCTGAAAATGTTTTGATCATCGGAAGGAGCATCACTCCTGTGCCAGTGATCACCATGGATATCTGATGCATGTGAATCCGGTTAAGGAAGCCAAGCTGCACAATCTTTCCGAAACTGATTCTCCCTATGGCAGTGGATGCGCCCAGTAACATGACGAAGATGGAACCTTGATCTGGGGAGATGCCAATATCTTCAGCGTACGATACCTGTCATAAACACCCATTGATATATGGATCTAGATCTAGTAAAAGGAAGAGATGAGATTACAAGGACCTGGCATGAATTTCCATTCCATGAGATCTATGATATACGGGTCTAAATCAAACATGAAATGGAAACAAATTGAGTCGTTTCATCACTAGTGACACTGCAGAACATCACTAGTGACACTGCAGGACATCACTAGTGACACTGCAGAACATCACTAGTGACACTGCAGGACATCACTAGTGACACTGCAGAACATCACTAGTGACACTGCAGGACATCACTAGTGACACTGCAGGACATCACTAGTGACACTGCAGGACATCACTAGTGACACTGCAGGACATCACTAGTGACACTGCAGGACATCACTAGTGACACTGCAGGACATCACTAGTGACACTGCAGGACATCACTAGTGACACTGCAGGACGTCACTAGTACATCACTAGTGACACTGCAGGACATCACTAGTGACACTGCAGGACATCACTAGTGACACTGCAGGACATCACTAGTGACACTGCAGAACATCACTGCAGAAAGCGCTCTCTGTCATATATTTCTTGAAACCTAGTTGGGACGTTTCAGGGTCATCACAATGATTTCAATGGGAAATATTTCATTCCCCTTTGGAACGTGACGTTACAGTATCCTAGTGGTTTCGTTGTTGTTAATATTGTTATGATTTAGTAATGCTGCATCGCCTGCCTTTTAATTTATCAATATTTACATGGCGGGTGTCACCGATCGAGCAACTGATTCTTGTCCTTTCGGAACACCTGCTATTCTCCATGTATTTTTCAGGGGTAGTCCTTCGCATCTATCTGTTGTTCATTGTTTTACCCTAGTTTCGTCGAAGCTTTAGTTTGAATTACGATTAAGTTGGCGTGTCTGTATTTTCTTTGTCATTTGTTTGAACCTGGAGTCACCATTTTATATTTTCGAATGTTTTAGGTCTTTTCAATGTTCTTTCCCGACGTCAGAAAAGGTCATCATGACAGGGGTGTAAGAACAGAACAATTCATTGAAATGTAGCACTGTCCGGGTCTGAATGACAATATAAATTCTACGGAGAACAGCATTAACAACGCCTAGACTTACAAGCGGTTGAGTATTCATATGATGTGTTACATGTGAATGGTTAGATCTTGTACGTGCATTTTGAATTGGAATAAGACTACATTTGAAAAAGAGCATGTGTTTTACTTCACCGATAATGCAGACGTTCACAATGTAGAACATTGGTGATTTGATATCTGATATTTAAAATGACGATAATGTATATGTTTGTCGTGTAGTATACTTACCAGATGTACGTACGGAATGTAGAAACCAAACATGACCGATGTTATTGACAGCGTCCACACAATAAACACCCTGTTTTTCCATAGTCTTAGCTCCCTCAGCACACGCCGGAATGTCGAGATGTCCACGCTCTCTGAGGTCATGGCTGGTCTTTTGTCGATTCCATCGAGAGGTAGAATAAAGGCTCCACATAAAGCACAACAGAGACACGTTCCCGTGAAAACGCGGAAAGTGTTCCTCCATCCAATATTATCTATAAGGCACTGGGACAGTGGTGCCATCACCAAAGTGCCCACACTACTACCAGCAGTCATGAGACCAATCGCTACAGACAGGTGTCTGTCAAAGTACGTAGGGCCAATTGTCATAGTAGGCTGAGTACACATGCAAGTGCCGATTCCGTACATCAGCGAGAATGTACCAAAAAGCTGTGACAAACGAACAACAAAGGACGATGCAAATATAGAAATTGCACATATGAAGGCACCCGTCATCATAACTTTCCTGTTGCCCCATCTCTTTAACAGGATTCCAACCACTGGTCCGAAGGTCATGGACAGACCATAAGCAACGGAGCCAACCCAGGCTGTAACCAAGCACATTAAGTATGTATAGTAAAGCCATGGTAACATCACCTAATGACACTGAATCTACCTGAACCGGAGAAAGACCTAGCAGTAAGAATGCAAATTGATTTGATGTTTGTGTAAGTACTGAGCTACGAAGACCCCAACTTTGCCCTCGCTACACTCCCGTGCGATGAACCGCTCGATGATGTTGGGGTTCGTATAACAGACTTTACACAAAAAATAATGCTGGTAAACTTCGAGCGTCGCAATGATCAGGAGTGCAGCGAGAGCAAATTTACCCAGCAGACTTGTTCAGCAATAACACATTGGTTTGTCTGCGCTTCGGATTTGTATTGCGGGTTTCACTTGGTAGATCCATGTTATTTCACGTCAAACATTAATCGCCGGAATTCATCTACAATACAGGCCTACTAACGACACCGTCATGCTCGAACTACGGTGGTTCATAACACCTTTCTCTCAAAATCAAAGTGATGATTGGTTTAGTTAACCAAATGTCTTTATCAAAAAGACCAAAAAGGCGAGAAAACGAGCCAAAGATCTTCTCCTGGATATCAATAGCATACACGCAACAACCCCTACCCTAAGTCTGTCATCAATACCACAAGACAACATATCCCCAACCCTAAGTCTGTCATCAATAATACACGACAACATAACCCCTGCCCTAAGTCTGTCATTAATAACACACGACAACATATCCCCAACCCTAAGTCTGTCATTAATAACACACGACAACATATCCCCAACCCTAAGTCTGTCATCAATAACACACGACAACATAACCCCTATCCTAAGTCTGTCATCAATAACACACGACAACATAACCCTATCCTAAGTCTGTCATCAATAACACACGACAACATAACCCCTATCCTAAGTCTGTCATCAATAACACACGACAACATAACCCCTACCCTAAGTCTGTCATCAATAACACACGACAACATAACCCCTACCCTAAGTCTGTCATCAATACCACACGACAACATAACCCCTTACTTAAGTCTATCATCAATAACACAACACACGTCATCAATAACACAACATAACCCCTAGTCTGTCATCAATAACACAGACAACATAACCCCTTACTAAGTCTATCATCAATAACAACACACGACAACATAACCCCTAACCCTAAGTCTGTCATCAATAACACACGACAACATAACCCCTATCCTAAGTCTGTCATCAATAACACACGACAATATAACCCCAACCCTAAGTCTGTCATCAATAACACACGACAACGTAACCCCTACCCTAAGTCCGTCATCAATAACACACGACAACATAACCCTATCCTAAGTCTGTCATCAATAACACACGACAACATAACCCCTATCCTAAGTCTGTCATCAATAACACACGACAAATAACACACGACAATATAACCCCAACCCTAAGTCTGTCATCAATAACACACGACAACATAACCCCTAACTTAAGTCTATCATCAATAAAACACGACAACATAACCCTATCCTAAGTCTGTCATCAAACAACATAACTACCCTAAGTCTGTCATCAATAACACACGACAACATAACCCCTACCCTAAGTCTGTCATCAATAACACACGACAACATAACCCCTATCCTAAGTCTGTCATCAATAACACACGACAACATAACCCCTACCCTAAGTCTGTCATCAATAACACACGACAACATAACCCCTACCCTAAGTCTGTCATCAATAACACACGACAACATAACCCCTACCCTAAGTCTGTCATCAATAACACACGACAACATAACCCCTTACTTAAGTCTATCATCAATAACACACGACAACGTAACCCCAACCCTAAGTCCGTCATCAATAACACACGACAACATAACCCTATCCTAAGTCTGTCATCAATAACACACGACAACATAACCCCTATCCTAAGTCTGTCATCAATAACACACGACAATATAACCCCAACCCTAAGTCTGTCATCAATAACACACGACAATATAACCCCAACCCTAAGTCTGTCATCAATAACACACGACAACATAACCCCTTACTTAAGTCTATCATCAATAACACACGACAACATAACCCTATCCTAAGTCTGTCATCAATAACACACGACAACATAACCCCTACCCTAAGTCTGTCATCAATAACACACGACAACATAACCCTATCCTAAGTCTGTCATCAATAACACACGACAACATAACCCCTACCCTAAGTCTGTCATCAATAACACACGACAACATAACCCTATCCTAAGTCTGTCATCAATAACACACGACAACATAACCCCTACCCTAAGTCTGTCATCAATAACACACGACAACATAACCCCTACCCTAAGTCTGCCATCAATAAGATATACGATACGCTCACCTTTAAATTGCTATTTGTTGTGTTAATTATATCTGTATATTCCTTACATCACGGATGTTGCATGAAAATCATCAAATCATTTTAATCACCAACTTACCAATAACGAAGGTCAAGAACAAATGAGAACGAAATGGTCTGCTAGTACCTTTCAGCAGACTGATTACATACCAACATACCCATACAAACATGAAACTCGGTCCCTCTATTTGCCCTGTTTTATGGAACTGGCTGTTTAATTTTACTCAACTATTTTATCTATCGTCACCCTTGCTTATATTTTAAGACACGGGGCAGTTGTATTTAAGCAAGTGCATTACGCTGACAGAATTACTTTCCGATTCACTAAAATATTTCATTGAATTATACAAATAACTGTTTTGGTTTTCAATTTTGTTTGTTATAACAAACAACTTTGTTTACGAAAATTGATGAAATTGCTGTTAAATCCGTTGAAATTTGAAACCATTTCCACGCGGAGCAATTATTTTATTATCCGGCATAATTCAGCCACAGGAATTGGAAGTTGTTTATAATTATAGGGAAACAAAGATTGAACAACAAATTGATGAAGTTATGATAATCTGAACTTGTCTTTCTTCACCTCCGAAAAATATAGCTTATATTTTAAGACACTGACCATGTATTCTGTATATAAACCCCACAGCATCTTGCGAAAAATACTTACTACAGACACTTTTGACGTTGGGAAAAGTTGAAATAGAATTGCTGTTGAGAGAACAGCCATGGTACAAAGTGTGTAAAAAAGTGCTTTTACCAATATTCAAGTGCACTGATGTCAAATCTGGCTAGATGTGAAATTTTTAGAGTACAACGACGGAAGGGTGGGAAATGGGAGAGTACTTCGGTCCGCTGACAAGGTACTGACAGTGATCTACCAAAAACTGACTTGCATTTGTCACAACTATACACATCTAAGGCCTTATATCACTAAATTGATCATGCGAATGGAAGAAAATGTGTATAAAGCCGAAAAGTACAACATGTTTCTCTAGTTAATGGTCTTGTTAGACCCAGAGAAACGCAGAATAATCATCCACATTTATTCGAGCAATTGTTTTCAGTTAGAGTTAATTCCGAATCTCGAAGCCCGATAGTACATCTAATTGAAACTATTGATTTTTAACACTACTCACCTGCTTGAGATTTTGAAACCTTGAATTCTTTTATAAACTCAACAAAGAATACTCCGAATGCATGATGGACTCCCAGAATAAAAACCTGCATAACAAATCCGCAAGCGCACACAAACCAACTATATCTTGAATCTTTTTTGGATATCAAGTTTTCATTAAGCTGTTCTTGATCTCCATGGACATTATCTATCAAAGCTCTTTCTGGCGATGTCATCGTGATTTGCCTTCGACCGTCTGCTTTGATCATGTATGTTTATGACAGTCTGTCTTCAAACGTGAACTACACCTAAAACAATGACGTCGTAGTAAAATGACGTCTTTTATGACGTCATTAATACGGAGGTCACCTGTGATATCCTATCACTCATACCTTGTATATGAAAAATTAACAAAAGAACCTAATGCTTAGTCGACTATGTAGATTTCTGATAGGACATCTATACTTTCCAGTTATATTTTATTCAAGGTCTAGTGTTTTTTTCATATATATTTCGTTATTCGTGGTTTGTTACCAAAGTACTTTGATGGTATCCTTTTGTAATTTGGTTTGTTTTAGTTTCTGTTATGTCTCAATTATAAGTGTGCCAGAACTTCAAGACGTATACAGAAACGTCACGAAGTATATTTTGATTGTTATAATGTCGAGTTTCATATTTGCATTAAGTTTTCCGACACTAATGGAGTCATATGTATTCATAAAATAGGTACTGTAGTGGAATTGTCACCCACTGTCTTGTTAATTGCATATTAACTCTGAATATTAATTATGCGTATGTACATATGTGCTGTATTGCACTTGGAACTAATAAAACTCGAAAATAGGCGAAAAGAGGATAAATAACGGGTCGACATGACGATATTAATGTCTTACCGCGGCGAAGAGACGATGGTTAGCAGGTCGAATAGAAGATATTTAGCAAGGCGACATATCGATAGGTATTAATAGAAACATCCCATGTATAATGTTTCATTGGTGTTAATAACAAATCTGCTTATCTCATGGAAAGGGAATGTTTTAGACGTCAAATTAAGATACTTATATTCCATGGCAGTTTTCCGCGTCATTCCCCAACTTTTCGTGTTTCCATGCTGATAGCATACGACAAGATATCTCGGTAAAAAGGCATGAAACTTGGCATCAATGTTATTTTTGTTAATATGCTTAATAAAAAAAACCCAAGAATACACACATACTGAAATGTATGCCTTCCAACCCTCCTATTAGTAAACAATGCACTTTTCATTTAAAAACAGGCTTTGTGTAGAACCGTGATTTCTGATATATTTTTAAAATATGTTAATAACCAAGGCCTTAGTGTCAAGGAAATATCACAAAACAAAACAATACTATAAAGTTCTGTATGACGACCCATCTGTCTTAAAATGTCACTATTATAAATAGAGATGTGTCTGAATATGAACAGTGCACAGCAATCAATATTGATGTTCAATTTATGATACTAATTGT